AAGACGTTAATTAATTTATTGATTTATTCATAGGTAGATTAACCACATAAATTTTAAAATTTTCAAACAATGGCTTTCTTAGACTGAATAGTGACGTCACTTGATTTGTTTACTTTTTAGTACAATAACATGGCGGCTTCCATCATAGACTTTGTGGCCCATTCAAAAGTTTAACGCGTTCTAAAGCTAATTTTCTGTCGGGCTATGACTTTAACAATAGTCCGTTTGCTGTATTTATTACGTTCCAACACTTGTATCAATTTTCAACTGTCTTTTTCATTTAGTTTTACAATAAATTTATCTAGCTCTACAATCTGTCCAAGAAAGTTATCTATTTATTTATAGATCTAAATATCAAGTGGCCAAGAAAGTTATTTATAGATCTAGATCTAGGTCAAACCAAAGATTAATTAGATACAAACCAAAGATTAATTAGATAAAAAATACAATCCATTTTATAATCATAATACATTTCTTTAGCCCTTAAATACTTGATATAAATCTTTGTGATTTATCTATCTAGATCTAGATCTATCTAGCTAGAATATGTCCTAATGATTAGATCTAGATCTAGCAAGAGTTACGCAAAAACTAGACTTAAGCAAACGAGTCGTAGAATCTAGATAATTCTATCTAGATCTAGATAATTTCAGACCTTCAATATTTTATATAAATCTTTGTTTGTTTAGCTATGTTACTGGCTAATTTAAGATAAAATTTAATTTGAAAGTTACTACTACTAGACCTTAGATCTAGATCTAAGCGCGTAAATCAAGTTGCATAAGGAGACTCAAAGTATTAAACTATACTATAAAAAAACATCACTGACGTCACGAGTTAAATAGCTAAGTTGTTAGTGTAATCGGCTTTCATGCGGGTGGGCACGGGTTCTAGACATATCACGTCAATGTAAAAAAAAATTATTTAAAAAAAAATTATTTTCATTTTTTTTATAGATGTGAATGATAAATTTGACTATCTGAACTTGGCGGGATACAGGGCAGATGAAGTAGAGTTCATCTGTTTCAGACGTGATGTTTTTTATGGATGACCCCCGAAACTCACAGTTATCCAAGATATGACGGGTAGACTAGTTTAAAATAATTGTGCCCATATTGTTTTATATGAATTGTAGGGCATGGTAAAAGTCGAGCTAAAGTTAAAGCATTTTAATGCAAAGTAGAGCTATATGTAAAGTAAATGGGCGCTTACATAGAACTGATTTTATGAATAGTAGAGCCATCTGTGGAGTGAGTCCACGTTGATTTAATGAATTGTGGGAGTGATAACGGCCCTGGTAGATTATTCCCCACCAGAGCTGGCATAGAAAAACGCGCAGTGTTTCTTCCAGACTTTTTTTCTCCGGGGTGCACTTGAAATTTTCGGGGGGGGGGGGGGGGGGGTAGCGCGGACAACAACTTTCCGGGGGGGGGGGGGCGGGCGGACACTGTCAAAAGTATATATTTTCTATATAAATTCCATTTCGTTCGCCCCTCCCCCCCCCCCCCCCCCCCCCCCCCCGAAGAGATGCCTGGAAGAAACTCTGAATACGCGAAGCCTAAAGACTCAGGGCTGACCATAGCGCGGGGACCAAGTTTTACCATTGGTGTCTTCAACATGTACTATGTACAGTAAGGCTGTATCAATTCAAGAAAATAGTGTACGAATTTAGTCTTCTAGGTGTTCGAAAGCTTTTCCTCCAATTTTGGAAAAGTAGTGTTTTTATTTCTTCTCAAAGCGAATTAATATTAAGACGATGATATAATCATATCGTTTTCCTTTCATATTATTAGCTTCATTATCACATCTCTGGCCTCGACATTCGCCAATCTCTACGCCATATTTCTCGAGCTAAATATCTTTGCCTGTTGTGTCTTTAGCGATACAAAAGTTCAATGTAACATTCCAGAGGTTAAAAATAACAACGTGAAACATCGACATAGCTCACAAGCAGAGATCGCTGTTCTCTTTGACTAGATCTAGTATCAATATGTATCGAGTTTTGTTTTTTCTTTTACCAAGACGAGACGCTTTATTCCTACGTATCCGACTACTTCGACATACGAGACAAGACCTACATTTCTAAGGTCCGTAACTAGTACAGGCATAAAAAAAAAAAAAAAAAACTTCTACATTGGTCCGAATACAGAAGGGTATCACATTACGTGTTTTCCCAAATTAACATACCAGGCTTATGGTGGGTGGGGTGGCTCACTCAAGTCCCCCCATCGCCAGCCACCTCAGGTCAAACAATTACCAGGCGAGCCGCTCAACTGTTCCCTGCACACAGCGAGGTGTGACACTAATGTCTTCCTATCGAAGTTCAGGTGGGGGATAACTCACATCAACCGTGGCCTGTACTAGTTACTAGAACTTGGCGGGATACAGGGCAGATGAAGTAGAGTTCATCTGTTTCAGACGTGATGTTTTTTATGGATGACCCCCGAAACTCACAGTTATCCAAGATATGACGGGTAGACTAGTTTAAAATAATTGTGCCCATATTGTTTTATATGAATTGTAGGGCATGGTAAAAGTCGAGCTAAAGTTAAAGCATTTTAATGCAAAGTAGAGCTATATGTAAAGTAAATGGGCGCTTACATAGAACTGATTTTATGAATAGTAGAGCCATCTGTGGAGTGAGTCCACGTTGATTTAATGAATTGTGGGAGTGATAACGGCCCTGGTAGATTATTCCCCACCAGAGCTGGCATAGAAAAACGCGCAGTGTTTCTTCCAGACTTTTTTTCTCCCGGGGGTGCACCTTGAAATTTTCGGGGGGGGGGGGGGTGGTAGCGCGGACAACAACTTTCCGGGGGGGGGGGGGGGGCGGCGGACACTGTCAAAAGTATATATTTTCTATATAAATTCCATTTCGTTCGCCCCTCCCCCCCCCCCCCCCCCCCCCGAAGAGATGCCTGGAAGAAACTCTGAATACGCGAAGCCTAAAGACTCAGGGCTGACCATAGCGCGGGGACCAAGTTTTACCATTGGTGTCTTCAACATGTACTATGTACAGTAAGGCTGTATCAATTCAAGAAAATAGTGTACGAATTTAGTCTTCTAGGTGTTCGAAAGCTTTTCCTCCAATTTGGAAAAGTAGTGTTTTTATTTCTTCTCAAAGCGAATTAATATTAAGACGATGATATAATCATATCGTTTTCCTTTCATATTATTAGCTTCATTATCACATCTCTGGCCTCGACATTCGCCAATCTCTACGCCATATTTCTCGAGCTAAATATCTTTGCCTGTTGTGTCTTTAGCGATACAAAAGTTCAATGTAACATTCCAGAGGTTAAAAATAACAACGTGAAACATCGACATAGCTCACAAGCAGAGATCGCTGTTCTCTTTGACTAGATCTAGTATCAATATGTATCGAGTTTTGTTTTTCTTTTACCAAGACGAGACGCTTTATTCCTACGTATCCGACTACTTCGACATACGAGACAAGACCTACATTTCTAAGGTCCGTAACTAGTACAGGCATAAAAAAAAAAAAAAAAAACTTCTACATTGGTCCGAATACAGAAGGGTATCACATTACGTGTTTTCCCAAATTAACATACCAGGCTTATGGTGGGTGGGGGTGGCTCACTCAAGTCCCCCCATCGCCAGCCACCTCAGGTCAAACAATTACCAGGCGAGCCGCTCAACTGTTCCCTGCACACAGCGAGGTGTGACACTAATGTCTTCCTATCGAAGTTCAGGTGGGGGATAACTCACATCAACCGTGGCCTCAGTTGTAACAATCAACAATGGTGAACTTTGACCTTCAGCTTTCCCCCAATTTAATTCAACAAAGAATAGTTTACCCAATTGTGACTGCAGCCCGGCCCGAAATTCCATCAATTATCATTAATACATTTGGATTCCTTTGGATTTATCTGTATGCAGTGTTTTCAGGAGTTTAGCTAAGTCAATTTTTAAAAATGCTTTTCTATTTGTATTCTGTTTAATAACATAATGCATGTTGTTATGTTGTTGTAATTTATCTTCAATTGTGCGGCTATTAACACTTTTATGATATATATATATATATATATATATATATATATATATATATATATATATATATATATATATAATAATGTATGGGGGGCATCTTCCCTTGGGTTGGCCCCGAGCATCAAAATAGCTCTGCACGCCACTGGAAGCTAGCTACCAACAATTCGATGATCTATTATTCTATTTAAATACACATAAATACACCGCCCTCATGAAAGAGTCGCATGCAGATTGGTCTATTTAACAGTCTAAAAATCAATCGTGGAAATATAAACAGCAAGTGGAATGGTATCATCTGCTCCAAGTCACTGTCCTTCAGAGACATTCAGAAGTACTTAAGACAACAGAAGCAAACATGTATCGTCTTGTAATACGACTTGTCCTTGCCATTTTTGTTTTAATTACAAATGATATTCTTGATAAACATAACAATATACGCTTATGAAAGAAAACATTATTCTTTAGTGCTTTTAACTTTATGACAATAATATTATTAAGCACTGGTATGAAAGACTGAATGAACAGAAAAAAAATAGCAACACTAGCAACACAAATACTTTACTCCCAAACAAATCAGCAGAGGCGTAGAGAGGGCGGGGTGGGGGTTGCGGACCCCATCGGGTGACACCAATTAGGGGGTGACACCAAGGCAAAAAAGCATATACACATAGATATACACGTATGCGGGATATATTTAAATTATAGGCCTATGTAGGCCGATTTAAACACACACACATATTTTGTACATATATATACTACCATTGATTTAATTAAAAATGGTTCTAATTTAAATTTTTAGATTAATCCACAAGCCTACATATTGGCTACCCTCTCAGTCTTTAGCAGCTGATAAGTAACGTTCATTTTACCTGATAAGTGATTAGTTCTATTGTATTTGGATAAACATTGTTTTTATTCTTTGTTTGATAATTAGCTAATCTCGCACTTTCCGCCTCGTTTTTACAATATTTGACTTACTTGGTGTCCCGTACTCGGGTGACCCGAAACAAGGAAGGCTATGCTAAGTTTTCATTGAGTGAGTCAGCCTCGAGTTCTCTTGTGTAGTGGTTGTGTAGGCATGGATTTGGTGTGGTTTCTAACTCTAGTATTCGGCTAAATCGACAAAGTGTAGATCTAGCCTAATTTACAATTTAAAATAATTGTTGCAATGGCATCGATTTTAACCAAGCCAGAGCTGGCATCATGCGGTAAGATAACGACAATAACGTAGATTCTAGATCTAGATAGTAGGTAGAGTCTTCTTAATCTAGCTAGAATCTAGATCTAGATCTAGATCTAGATCTAGAATCTAGATCTAATTATTTAAAGTATTTTCCATTTTTCGTATCTACTAGACTAGATCTAGATTCTAGATCTAGATTATAGATCAGATTTCTACTAAATCTAGAGTCTAGATTTCTTCTGCCTCTGTGACCTAACACTCTAGAATCTAGATCTAGTTGTAGAATCCAGATAGAATCTAGTAACACAACACTCAACACCCCTATGCTATTCTATTGCCAACAGCAACCAACTAGATCTAGATCTAGTCTCGATCTAACACAAATTAAATTAGTTAGGGCCTATTAGTTGACAACTATTATACTAAACTAAAAACTAAACTAATAGTAATGCCTAGAGACAAAAAAAAAGAAGATAGAAGTTAGTATAAGTCTAATTAGGGGACAGATGAAGAGTCTAGATTCTAGAAGATCTAGAAATCTATCCTATAATTTATAATCTATATACTAAAATTTTAGATGTGCAAATCAGTGCAAGTTTACTCCTACTAGATCTAGATCTAGAATCTAAATATTGTTATTTACATTTAGGTTCAGTTTTGTCATGTCACATATCTACTAATCCTATTTATTATTTATAATCAAATTAATAGGTCCTAACTAAGCCTACTAGATCTAGAAATCTAGTAAATATAGTATAGTTAGTAACCAGACTCTAGCACTGTTAAATTAAAAATATTTTTAGACCTATTTTTAAAATATTAAGCCTATTGACATATTAATATTAAGCCTATTAACATTGCCACTACCTAACATATGGGACAGCTCATTGCCACTCCCTAACTTATGGGATAGCTATAGACCATTGCCACTACCTAACATATGGGACAGCTCATTGCCACTCCCTAACATATGAGACAGCTATAGACCATTGCCACTCCCTAACATATGAGACAGCTATAAACCATTGCCACTCCCTAACATACAGGACAGCTATAGACCATTGCCACTCCCTAACATATGAGACAGCTATAAACCATTGCCACTCCCTAACATATGGGACAGCTATAGACCATTGCCACTACCTAACATATGAGACAGCTATAGATTATTTCCACTCTCTAACTTATGTGACAGTTATAGACCATTGCCACTACCTAACATATGGGGCATCTCATTGCCACTCCCTAACATATGAGACAGCTATAGACCATTGCCACTACCTAACATATGGACAGCTCATTGCCACTCCCTAACATATGAGACAGCTATAGACCATTGCCACTACCTAACATATGGACAGCTCATTGCCACTCCCTAACATATGAGACAGCTATAGACCATTGCCACTACCTAACATATGGACAGCTCATTGCCACTCCCTAACATATGAGACAACTATAGACCATTGCCACTCCCTAACATATGAGACAGCTATAGACCATTGCCACTCCCTAACATATGGGACAGCTATAGCCCATTGCCACTACCTAATATATGAGACAGCTATAGATTATTTCCACTCTCTAACTTATGGGACAGCTATAGGTATAGACCACATTATAGGCACTGATTTAGAATCCCAAAATGCATTAATTTTACATTCCACCCCCCCCCCCCCCCCCCCCCTTAAAAAAAATCTATCACATTTAACAATGTGTCACAGCTTATGCTAGATGCTCCATTAAAAATGTGTTTAATGTGAAAGTTGAACTCTGGTTTTGTGTCTACAGGTCTGAAGCCTTCAGATGGTGTCAGGGACATGATTCTTATAAGTGAAATCGATGAGACTGGAATTAACACAAACCTCAAAGTCAGATATCAAAAAGATTTGATTTATGTATCCTTTTAACATTATCTTTTATTCTCTGTGTCCTAGTTTAGTAGTTTCCACTAAATACTCTGCTTCAATCTCTATATATGTATATGTTGTGTGCCATATCACTAAGCTATTGTACTGCTGCTTTGATGTAGATGTCAAGGAAGTGATACTGTGATTGGGTTGAAACTTTTGTAATTATTTTTTACTTAATAATATAAGAGAAATAATTTCCTTGTGTAGTTTACACAGTGGTTGGGGGGGGGGGGAGAAGTAGGCCTACACAGAGATGGGGTCAGGGTTTGAAGTTGATGTTGTCTAAACTTCAAACTCGTGAAGGGGGGGGGGAGAGAAAGAGAAGGTTCTTTGCTGATCAGAGGGGTTGTTGCATAATGTCCACAAGGTTTGGGAGTGTCAGTGCTGATCAGAGGGGTTGTTGCATAATGTCCACAAGGTTTAGGGGAGGGGGGTGTCAGTGCTGATCAGAGGGGTTGTTGCATAATGTCCACAAGGTTTGGGGGAGGGGGGGTGTCAGTGCTGATCAGAGGGGTTGTTGCATAATGTCCCACAAGGTTTTGGGGGAGGGGGGTGTCAGTGCTGATCAGAGGGGTTGTTGCATAATGTCCACAAGGTTTGGGGGAGGGGGGTGTCAGAGCTGATCAGAGGGGTTGTTGCATAATGTCCACAAGGTTTAGGGGAGGGGGGTGTCAGTGCTGATCAGAGGGGTTGTTGCATAATGTCCACAAGGTTTGGGGGAGGGGGGTGTCAGAGCTGATCAGAGGGGTTGTTGCATAATGTCCACAAGGTTTGGGGGGTGTCATTGCTGATCAGAGGGGTTGTTGCATAAACCTACTAAGGTAAAAAAGCTAAATAATAATATACCATCACACATTATTTGCTTACATTACACATTGAAGGCTAAAGCAACAAATTACATAAAGTTTTAACTACTCTTCTTAACAGTCCATAACACAAGTCATTTCAAATGACGTGTTATGGACTCATTGCTACTCCAACAACACCACCCACAAAAAAAGCTCCATTTAAAATTTAAACATTTTTAAAAAATCGCATCAAATACAAAGGAATGAAAATGAAATAATTTTTGAATGGTTGCAGAAACTACTAACCATAAATGATAAAGAAGAAATCACTTTGTTTTGTTTTAAAAAATGTTTTGTTATAAACGCCAGCTATTTACGCTGGTCATACTACATTGAAGTTAGAGCACCCGTTTGTGCTGCAGGCTTTCTAAGGGAAGTCACTCCCATCGTGTTTATCTTGTTGCCGCCTATTCCCCGCGAGTCAACTGCTGTTAGGCTAGGCCTAGGTGTGAAAGTTTCTTGAGTAGCTCTCCAGGATGTAAGGTTAAAATGGTTGCGAGTAATTTGCAAGCAGTACACCAACACTTGCCAGCAGACGGCTATTTCCGCTGATAAAGTGCTTGATATCAGATGGTATCATTAGTGGGTCAAGACTCACATTCTTTGTTTATTGTTTTTAAACCTGATCGTGTTTTGTGCCGTGGTTGGTTCAAGTGGCTGATCGCGCCTAAATTCCCGTGTAAACTCATCAAAACACTTAGATTAATTTGATTTTAATGGTTAACTTGTAAATCTGGATCGAGATCTAGGAGTCTAGCTAGGTCAAACGTACAAAAGATGATTATATAAATAGTTTACTTAACAGTACAAATGCCCCCCCCCCCTCCTTTCCTCCATCCGCTAGCCTACGAAGTGTGATGTAATCATGACACATGTTAAAACTGGTTCATTCTTCCAAGAAAATAATTAAATCTAGTTCTTTAGAGAAAAAAAAAGTATTGTGTGTACCCCATGTGACACAACTTAAGAAGTGTGAGTAATTTTCATTTATTGTGGTTATAAGGGAAAAACATAACTCGTTAAATTTGTCATTTCCCATTCCCCCCCCCCCCCCCCCATTTGACTGCCTGACTGCTCCATTGTGACTGGCTGACTCCTCCATTGTGACTGCTTGCCTCCTCCATTGTGACTGCTTGCCTCCTGCATTTTGACATCCTGACTCCCCCAGTTTGTGTCAGCCTGACTCCCCCAGTATGTGACAGCCTGTGTCAGCCTGAATCCCCCATTTTGTGACAGCCTGACTCCTCTAGTTTGTGACAGCCTGACTCCTCTAGTTTGTGACAGCCTGACTCCCCCAGTTTGTGACAGCCTGACTCCCCCAGTTTGTGACAGCCTGACTCCCCCAGTTTGTGACAGCCTGACTCCCCCAGTTTGTGACAGCCTGACTCCCCCAGTTTGTGACAGCCTGACTCCCCCAGTTTGTGACAGCCTGACTCCCCCAGTTTGTGACAGCCTGACTCCCCCAGTTTGTGACAGCCTGACTCCCCCAGTTTGTGACAGCCTGACTCCCCCAGTTTGTGACAGCCTGACTCCCCCATTTTGTGACAGCCTGACTCCCCCAGTTTGTGACAGCCTGACTCCCCCAGTTTGTGACAGCCTGACTCCCCCAGTTTGTGACAGCCTGACTCCCCCAGTTTATGACAGCCTGACTCCCCCAGTTTGTGACAGCCTGACTCCCCCAGTTTGTGACAGCCTTGACTCCCCCAGTTTATGACAGCCTGACTCCCCCAGTTTGTGACAGCCTGACTCCCCCAGTTTGTGACAGCCTGACAGCCTGACTCATCTAGTTTGTGACAGCCTGACTCCCCCAGTTTGTGACAGCCTGACTCCCCCAGTTTGTGACAGCCTGACTCCCCCAGTTTGTGACAGCCTGACTCCCCCAGTTTCTGACAGCCTGACTCATCTAGTTTCTGACAGCCTGACTCCCCCAGTTTGTGACAGCCTGACTCCCCCAGTTTGTGACAGCCTGACTCATCTAGTTTCTGACAGCCTGACTCATCTAGTTTCTGACAGCCTGACTCCCCCAGTTTGTGACAGCCTGACTCCCCCAGTTTGTGACAGCCTGACTCCCCCAGTTTGTGACAGCCTGACTCCCCCAGTTTGTGACAGCCTGACTCCCCCAGTTTGTGACAGCCTGACTCCCCCAGTTTGTGACAGCCTGACTCCCCCAGTTTGTGACAGCCTGACAGCCTTAACTTTACCTAGACATTTACTGGCTCTATCCTGGTGGCAGTCAACCCTTACAAGACCATCAAATGTTATGAGCAGACACACGTGAGTGCATACAGTGGTCAGAAGATCAGCCAAGTGGAGCCACATGTCTTTGCTATAGCTGAAGCTGCGTATCAAAATCTGTTCAGTTCAAACATCAACCAGAGTTGCATTATTAGTGGAGAGAGTGGGGCAGGAAAGGTGAGTGATGGGTGGGGCAGGAAAGATGGGGGAGGGGTGGGGCGGGAGGGGTGGGGCGGGTGGGCAGATAAGGTGGGGGGGGGGGGGGGTGGGGCAGGAAAGTTGAGTGATGGGTGGGGCAGGAAAGGTGGGTGATGGGTGGGGCAGGAAAGGTGGGTGATGGGTGGGGCAGGAAAAGTGGGGGGGGGGGGGGGCAGAAAAGTTGTGTGATGGGTGGGGCAGGAAAGATGGGTGATGGGTGGGGCAGGAAAGGTGGGTGATGGGTGGGGCAGGTAAGGTAAGGTGGGTGATGGGTGGGGCAGGAAAGGTGGTATGGGAGGGGCAGGAAAGGTGGGTGATGGGTGGGGCAGGTAAGGTGAGTGATGGGTGGGGCAGGAAAGGTGGGTGATGGGTGGGGCAGGAAAGGTGGGTGATGGGTGGGGCAGGAAAGGTGGGTGATGGGTGGGGCAGGAAAGGTTGGAGGGGTGGGGCAGGATAGTTGAGTGATGGGTGGGGCAGGAAAGTTGTGATGGGTGGGGCAGGAAAGGTGAGTGATGGGTGGGGCAGGAAAGGTGGGTGATGGGTGGGGCAGGAAAGGTGGGATGGGTGGGGCAGGAAAGTTGAGTGATGGGTGGGGCAGGAAAGGTGGGTGATGGGTGGGGCAGGTAAGGTGAGTGATGGGTGGGGCAGGAAAGGTGAGTGATGGGTGGGGCAGGAAAGATGGGTGGGGCAGGAAAGGTGGGTGATGGGTGGGGCAGGAAAGGTTGGAGGGGGTGGGGCAGGATAGTTGAGTGATGGGTGGGGCAGGAAAGGTGAGTGATGGGTGGGGCAGGAAAGGTGAGTGATGGGTGGGGCAGGAAAGGTGAGTGATGGGTGGGGCAGGAAAGGTGAGTGATGGGTGGGGCAGGAAAGGTGAGTGATGGGTGGGGCAGGAAAGGTTGGAGGGGTGGGGCAGGATAGTTGAGTGATGGGTGGGGCAGGAAAGTTGTGATGGGTGGGGCAGGAAAGGTGAGTGATGGGTGGGGCAGGAAAGTTGAGTGATGGGTGGGGCAGGAAAGTTGTGATGGGTGGGGCAGGAAAGGTGAGTGATGGGTGGGGCAGGAAAGTTGAGTGATGGGTGGGGCAGGAAAGGTGGGTGATGGGTGGGGCAGGTAAGGTGAGTGATGGGTGAGGCAGGAAAGGTAGGAGGGGTGGGGCAGGAAAGTTGAGTGATGGGTGGGGCAGGAAAGTTGTGATGGGTGGGGCAGGAAAGGTGAGTGATGGGTGGGGCAGGAAAGGTTGGAGGGGTGGGGCAGGATAGTTGAGTGATGGGTGGGGCAGGAAAGTTGTGATGGGTGGGGCAGGAAAGGTGAGTGATGGGTGGGGCAGGAAAGTTGAGTGATGGGTGGGGCAGGAAAAGTGGGGGGGGGGGGCAGAAAAGTTGTGTGATGGGTGGGGCAGGAAAGATGGGTGATGGGTGGGGCAGGAAAGGTGGGTGATGGGTGGGGCAGGTAAGGTAAGGTGGGTGATGGGTGGGGCAGGAAAGGTGGTATGGGAGGGGCAGGAAAGGTGGGTGATGGGTGGGGCAGGTAAGGTGAGTGATGGGTGGGGCAGGAAAGGTGGGTGATGGGTGGGGCAGGAAAGGTGGGTGATGGGTGGGGCAGGAAAGGTGGGTGATGGGTGGGGCAGGAAAGGTTGGAGGGGTGGGGCAGGATAGTTGAGTGATGGGTGGGGCAGGAAAGTTGTGATGGGTGGGGCAGGAAAGGTGAGTGATGGGTGGGGCAGGAAAGGTGGGTGATGGGTGGGGCAGGAAAGGTGGGATGGGTGGGGCAGGAAAGTTGAGTGATGGGTGGGGCAGGAAAGGTGGGTGATGGGTGGGGCAGGTAAGGTGAGTGATGGGTGGGGCAGGAAAGGTGAGTGATGGGTGGGGCAGGAAAGATGGGTGGGGCAGGAAAGGTGGGTGATGGGTGGGGCAGGAAAGGTTGGAGGGGTGGGGCAGGATAGTTGAGTGATGGGTGGGGCAGGAAAGGTGAGTGATGGGTGGGGCAGGAAAGGTGAGTGATGGGTGGGGCAGGAAAGGTGAGTGATGGGTGGGGCAGGAAAGGTGAGTGATGGGTGGGGCAGGAAAGGTGAGTGATGGGTGGGGCAGGAAAGGTTGGAGGGGTGGGGCAGGATAGTTGAGTGATGGGTGGGGCAGGAAAGTTGTGATGGGTGGGGCAGGAAAGGTGAGTGATGGGTGGGGCAGGAAAGTTGAGTGATGGGTGGGGCAGGAAAGTTGTGATGGGTGGGGCAGGAAAGGTGAGTGATGGGTGGGGCAGGAAAGTTGAGTGATGGGTGGGGCAGGAAAGGTGGGTGATGGGTGGGGCAGGTAAGGTGAGTGATGGGTGAGGCAGGAAAGGTAGGAGGGGTGGGGCAGGAAAGTTGAGTGATGGGTGGGGCAGGAAAGTTGTGATGGGTGGGGCAGGAAAGGTGAGTGATGGGTGGGGCAGGAAAGGTTGGAGGGGTGGGGCAGGATAGTTGAGTGATGGGTGGGGCAGGAAAGTTGTGATGGGTGGGGCAGGAAAGGTGAGTGATGGGTGGGGCAGGAAAGTTGAGTGATGGGTGGGGCAGGAAAGGTGGGTGATGGGTGGGGCAGGTAAGGTGAGTGATGGGTGAGGCAGGAAAGGTAGGAGGGGTGGGGCAGTAAAGTTGAGTGATGGGTGGGGCAGGAAAGTTGTGATGGGTGGGGCAGGAAAGGTGGGTGATGGGTGGGGCAGGAAAGTGAGTGATGGGAGGGGCAGGAAAGGTGAGAGGGGTGGGGCAGGAAAGATGGGTGATGGGTGGGGCAGGAAAGCTGTGAGTGGTGGGGCAGGAAAAGTGGGTGATGGGTGGGGCAGGAAAAGTGAGTGATGGGTGGGGAAGGAAAGGTGAGTGATGGGTGGGGCAGGAAAGGTGGGTGGGGCAGGAAAGGTGGGTGATGGGTGGGGCAGGAAAGTTGAGTGATGGGTGGGGCAGGAAAAGTGAGTGATGGGTGGGGAAGGAAAGGTGAGTGATGGGTGGGGCAGGAAAGGTGGGTGGGGCAGGAAAGGTGGGTGGGGCAGGAAAGATGGGTGGGGCAGGAAAGTTGAGTGATGGGTGGGGCAGGAAAAGTGAGTGATGGGTGGGGAAGGAAAGGTGAGTGATGGGTGGGGCAGGAAAAGTGAGTGATGGGTGGGGAAGGAAAGGTGAGTGATGGGTGGGGCAGGAAAGGTGGGTGGGGCAGGAAAGGTGGGAGGGGTGGGGCAGGAAAGATGGGTGGGGCAGGAAAGTTGAGTGATGGGTGGGGCAGGAAAGTTGAGTGATGGGAGGGGCAGGAAAGGTGGATGATGGGTGGGGCAGGTAAAGTGGGTGATGGGTGGGGCAGGAAAGGTGGGAGGGGTGGGGCAGGAAAGGTGAGTGATGGTTTTTGACTTAAGTCTAAAAAAATATTTTTCAGACAGAGACAACAAAGTTTATTTTACAGTATTTGTGTTCTGTAACTAACCACACCTCATTTTGGACAGAGCAACAGATTTTGGAGGCTAACACAGTATTGGAGGCATTTGGTATGTTTGTGTTTATGTTTTAGGTAGTTATATTTAAATTTGTAGGTGGTTGTCTTTATTTCTTAGATTGTTTGTCTTCATGTTGAAAGCGCTTGTCTTTATGTTGTATAGTGCTAGTTGCACTCAAGTAACATTTTAGGTCTATTCCAAAGTAGCCTACTTAACCCTCTTTAAAAGTCACAGTGATGATTTCTGATTTTATTTTTATTTCAATTTTGTACACTTTTTTTCAGGCAATGCAAAAACAGTGCGCAATGACAATTCCAGTAGATTTGGCAAGTTTATGCAGGTTTGTTTCTCTGGCACCCAAATCAAAGGGTGTATTGTACAAGACTACCTACTGGAGCAGTCTAGGATCACATTTCAGAGTGGCCAGGAAAGGAACTACCATGTATTCTACCAACTTCTGGCTGCTGCCCAGGCCTGTCCTCAGCTGGCAGAGACCTACATGTTGGCCAATGCCCAGTCCTACTGCTACTTGAATCAGAGTGGCTGCTACTCACTGGAGGGTGTCAATGACTCGGCTATGTTTGACAACCTGCGTCTGGCCATGAATGTATTAGGTATAACTGAGGAGATGGCCCACGGCCTGTTCTGTGTTTTGTCTGCTGTGCTGTTGCTGGGGAACTTACAGTTCCAGGGACCAGATGGAGATAAAGAAAAAAGTGAATTTGCACCAGAGGACCAAGTGATTCTGCACAAAGTTTGTCAGCTAGTCGGCATTGAACTCAAACCTTTTCAGGATATTTCTTTGTTCAGACAAATTCAAGTGCGGGGGACCATAACCAGCATTCCATTTAAACTGCAAGAGGTAAAATATTTGTGCCAAACAAATACACCCTTTTAAATACACAAATGTAATATAACCAGCACTTCCCTTTCACGTTTGAAAACTTGCATTTTAAAATTCCTCTGTTATATCCACTGTCTCACTTTTTAAAATGTCATCTGATGCTACAGAACTAGACCTGTTGTACTAGTGCTATTGGTACAGAACTAGACCTGTTGTACTAGTGCTATTGGTACAGAACTAGACCTGTTGTACTAGTGCTATTGGTACAGAACTAGACCTGTTGTACTAGTGCTATTGGTACAGAACTAGGGACCCCAGAACTAGACCTGTTGTACTAGTGCTATTGGTACAGAACTAGACCTGTTGTACTAGTGCTATTGGTACAGAACTAGACCTGTTGTACTAGTGCTATTGGTACAGAACTAGACCTGTTGTACTAGTGCTATTGGTACAGAACTAGACCTGTTGTACTAGTGCTATTGGTACAGAACTAGACCTGTTGTACTAGTGCTATTGGTACAGAACTAGACCTGTTGTACTAGTGCTATTGGTACAGAACTAGACCTGTTGTACTAGTGCTATTGGTACAGAACTAGACCTGTTGTACTAGTGCTATTGGTACAGAACTAGACCTGTTGTACTAGTGCTATTGGTACAGAACTAGACCTGTTGTACTAGTGCTATTGGTACAGAACTAGACCTGTTGTGTTAGTGCTATTGGTACAGAACTAGACCTGTTGTACTAGTGCTATTGGTACAGAACTAGACCTGTTGTACTAGTGCTATTGGTACAGAACTAGACCTGTTGTACTAGTGCTATTGGTACAGAACTAGACCTGTTGTACTAGTGCTATTGGTACAGAACTAGACCTGTTGTACTAGTGCTATTGGTACAGAACTAGACCTGTTGTACTAGTGCTATTGGTACAGAACTAGACCTGTTGTACTAGTGCTATTGGTACAGAACTAGACCTGTTGTACTAGTGCTATTGGTACAGAACTAGACCTGTTGTACTAGTGCTATTGGTACAGAACTAGACCTGTTGTACTAGTGCTATTGGTACAGAACTAGACCTGTTGTACTAGTGCTATTGGTACAGAACTAGACCTGTTGTACTAGTGCTATTGGTACAGAACTAGACCTGTTGTACTAGTGCTATTGGTACAGAACTAGACCTGTTGTACTAGTGCTATTGGTACAGAACTAGACCTGTTGTACTAGTGCTATTGGTACAGAACTAGACCTGTTGTACTAGTGCTATTGGTACAGAACTAGACCTGTTGTACTAGTGCTATTGGTACAGAACTAGACCTGTTGTACTAGTGCTATTGGTACAGAACTAGACCTGTTGTACTAGTGCTATTGGTACAGAACTAGACCTGTTGTACTAGTGCTATTGGTACAGAACTAGACCTGTTGTGTTAGTGCTATTGGTACAGAACTAGACCTGTTGTACTAGTGCTATTGGTACAGAACTAGACCTGTTGTACTAGTGCTATTGGTACAGAACTAGACCTGTTGTACTAGTGCTATTGGTACAGAACTAGACCTGTTGTACTAGTGCTATTGGTACAGAACTAGACCTGTTGTACTAGTGCTATTGGTACAGAACTAGACCTGTTGTACTAGTGCTATTGGTACTGAACTAGACCTGTTGTACTAGTGCTATTGGTACAGAACTAGACCTGTTGTACTAGTGCTATTGGTACAGAACTAGACCTGTTGTACTAGTGCTATTGGTACAGAACTAGACCTGTTGTACTAGTGCTATTGGTACAGAACTAGACCTGTTGTACTAGTGCTATTGGTACAGAACTAGACCTGTTGTACTAGTGCTATTGGTACAGAACTAGACCTGTTGTACTAGTGCTATTGGTACAGAACTAGACCTGTTGTACTAGTGCTATTGGTACAGAACTAGACCTGTTGTACTAGTGCTATTGGTACAGAACTAGACCTGTTGTGTTAGTGCTATTGGTACAGAACTAGACCTGTTGTACTAGTGCTATTGGTACAGAACTAGACCTGTTGTACTAGTGCTATTGGTACAGAACTAGACCTGTTGTACTAGTGCTATTGGTACAGAACTAGACCTGTTGTACTAGTGCTATTGGTACAGAACTAGACCTGTTGTACTAGTGCTATTGGTACAGAACTAGGGACCCCAGAACTAGACCTGTTGTACTAGTGCTATTGGTACAGAACTAGACCTGTTGTACTAGTGCTATTGGTACAGAACTAGACCTGTTGTACTAGTGCTATTGGTACAGAACTAGACCTGTTGTACTAGTGCTATTGGTACAGAACTAGACCTGTTGTACTAGTGCTATTGGTACAGAACTAGACCTGTTGTACTAGTGCTATTGGTACAGAACTAGACCTGTTGTACTAGTGCTATTGGTACAGAACTAGACCTGTTGTACTAGTGCTATTGGTACAGAACTAGACCTGTTGTACTAGTGCTATTGGTACAGAACTAGACCTGTTGTACTAGTGCTATTGGTACAGAACTAGACCTGTTGTACTAGTGCTATTGGTACAGAACTAGACCTGTTGTGTTAGTGCTATTGGTACAGAACTAGACCTGTTGTACTAGTGCTATTGGTACAGAACTAGACCTGTTGTACTAGTGCTATTGGTACAGAACTAGACCTGTTGTACTAGTGCTATTGGTACAGAACTAGACCTGTTGTACTAGTGCTATTGGTACAGAACTAGACCTGTTGTACTAGTGCTATTGGTACAGAACTAGACCTGTTGTACTAGTGCTATTGGTACAGAACTAGACCTGTTGTACTAGTGCTATTGGTACAGAACTAGACCTGTTGTACTAGTGCTATTGGTACAGAACTAGACCTGTTGTACTAGTGCTATTGGTACAGAACTAGACCTGTTGTACTAGTGCTATTGGTACAGAACTAGACCTGTTGTACTAGTGCTATTGGTACAGAACTAGACCTGTTGTACTAGTGCTATTGGTACAGAACTAGACCTGTTGTACTAGTGCTATTGGTACAGAACTAGACCTGTTGTACTAGTGCTATTGGTACAGAACTAGACCTGTTGTACTAGTGCTATTGGTACAGAACTAGACCTGTTGTACTAGTGCTATTGGTACAGAACTAGACCTGTTGTACTAGTGCTATTGGTACAGAACTAGACCTGTTGTACTAGTGCTATTGGTACAGAACTAGACCTGTTGTACTAGTGCTATTGGTACAGAACTAGACCTGTTGTACTAGTGCTATTGGTACAGAACTAGACCTGTTGTACTAGTGCTATTGGTACAGAACTAGACCTGTTGTACTAGTGCTATTGGTACAGAACTAGACCTGTTGTACTAGTGCTATTGGTACAGAACTAGACCTGTTGTGTTAGTGCTATTGGTACAGAACTAGACCTGTTGTACTAGTGCTATTGGTACAGAACTAGACCTGTTGTACTAGTGCTATTGGTACAGAACTAGACCTGTTGTACTAGTGCTATTGGTACAGAACTAGACCTGTTGTACTAGTGCTATTGGTACAGAACTAGACCTGTTGTACTAGTGCTATTGGTACAGAACTAGACCTGTTGTACTAGTGCTATTGGTACAGAACTAGACCTGTTGTACTAGTGCTATTGGTACAGAACTAGACCTGTTGTACTAGTGCTATTGGTACAGAACTAGACCTGTTGTACTAGTGCTATTGGTACAGAACTAGACCTGTTGTACTAGTGCTATTGGTACAGAACTAGACCTGTTGTACTAGTGCTATTGGTACAGAACTAGACCTGTTGTACTAGTGCTATTGGTACAGAACTAGACCTGTTGTACTAGTGCTATTGGTACAGAACTAGACCTGTTGTACTAGTGCTATTGGTACAGAACTAGACCTGTTGTACTAGTGCTATTGGTACAGAACTAGACCTGTTGTGTTAGTGCTATTGGTACAGAACTAGACCTGTTGTACTAGTGCTATTGGTACAGAACTAGACCTGTTGTACTAGTGCTATTGGTACAGAACTAGACCTGTTGTACTAGTGCTATTGGTACAGAACTAGACCTGTTGTACTAGTGCTATTGGTACAGAACTAGACCTGTTGTACTAGTGCTATTGGTACAGAACTAGACCTGTTGTACTAGTGCTATTGGTACAGAACTAGACCTGTTGTACTAGTGCTATTGGTACAGAACTAGACCTGTTGTACTAGTGCTATTGGTACAGAACTAGACCTGTTGTACTAGTGCTATTGGTACAGAACTAGACCTGTTGTACTAGTGCTATTGGTACAGAACTAGACCTGTTGTACTAGTGCTATTGGTACAGAACTAGACCTGTTGTACTAGTGCTATTGGTACAGAACTAGACCTGTTGTACTAGTGCTATTGGTACAGAACTAGACCTGTTGTACTAGTGCTATTGGTACAGAACTAGACATGTTGTACTAGTGCTATTGGTACAGAACTAGACCTGTTGTACTAGTGCTATTGGTACAGAACTAGACCTGTTGTACTAGTGCTATTGGTACAGAACTAGACCTGTTGTACTAGTGCTATTGGTACAGAACTAGACCTGTTGTACTAGTGCTATTGGTACAGAACTAGACCTGTTGTACTAGTGCTATTGGTACAGAACTAGACCTGTTGTGTTAGTGCTATTGGTACAGAACTAGACCTGTTGTACTAGTGCTATTGGTACAGAACTAGACCTGTTGTACTAGTGCTATTGGTACAGAACTAGACCTGTTGTACTAGTGCTATTGGTACAGAACTAGACCTGTTGTACTAGTGCTATTGGTACAGAACTAGACCTGTTGTACTAGTGCTATTGGTACAGAACTAGACCTGTTGTACTAGTGCTATTGGTACTGAACTAGACCTGTTGTACTAGTGCTATTGGTACAGAACTAGACCTGTTGTATTAGTGCTATTGGTACAGAACTAGACCTGTTGTACTAGTGCTATTGGTACAGAACTAGACCTGTTGTACTAGTGCTATTGGTACAGAACTAGACCGGTTTTATTAGTGCTATTGGTACAGAACTAGACCTGTTGTACTAGTGCTATTGGTACAGAACTAGACCTGTTGTACTAGTGCTATTGGTACAGAACTAGACCTGTTGTACTAGTGCTATTGGTACAGAACTAGACCTGTTGTACTTGTGCTATTGGTACAGAACTAGACCTGTTGTACTAGTGCTATTGGTACAGAACTAGACCTGTTGTACTTGTGCTATTGGTACAGAACTAGATCTGTTGTACTAGTGCTATTGGTACAGAACTAGACCTGTTGTACTAGTGCTATTGGTACAGAACTAGTCTGGTAAAACAACGCTAGTTGATGTAATGTATGGTTTCATTAATGCCAATGAAATACTGTTTCAGGCCATTGAAAACCGTCATGCAATGGCAAAAGCACTGTACTCCCGAACATTTGCCTGGTTAGTCGATGCTATCAATAAATGTACCAACCCTGGAGCCCATGAGAAATATTTTATTGGAATCTTGGATATTTTCGGCTTTGAAAATTTTGAGGTAAGAATAAAGTCTATTGACACATTTTTCTGCCTTCAGTCCATCAACATGTCTGACTCTCAAGCTAGAACCCTGTAACCAGTTTTTTAAAAATTGGGGATATATACTTGTATAATTGAAGACAGTGCAATAATGAATAATTTTATGACATTTTCATTTGGAAGTAAAAAAAAGAATAGTCTACTCTGATTACTGAGTTCACCAATGCCGTATCTTTAAAAATGCAAAACAATTGTTACATTGTGTATTTGTGAAGAGAGACAGGTAACAGCTTTCTCCATTTTTATGCCACTCATTACATATTAATCTCATAGTGCTCAATGAAGATTTCAGGAGTAACTCAAATACATTTTTAGTTTTCCTAATCATGATGTATTGCTATTGTGTAACCAAGTACTGCTTGTATGTTTACAACTATATCAGTGGACAGGTTTTCTACTTCACCCCACTTAATGTACTTGACTTCTGTTCTATTGACTTAATGTACTTGACTTCAGTTCTATTGACTTAATGTACTTGACTTCTGTTCTATTGACTTAATGTACTTGTGTTCAATTGACTTAATGTACATGGGGTCTATTGACTTAATGTACTTGTGTTCTATTTTTTAAAAATTTATTACTAACTATGTATTTTTCAGACCAATAGTTTTGAACAGCTGTGTATAAATTTCACCAATGAAAAACTTCATCGTTTCTTCAATCACTATGTGTTTGCTCTAGAGCAGGAAACTGTAAGTTTTATTTAAGCATTTTAGATATAATTTTTTATTGACTGGCACACCCACCTTTAGCGTTTGATAGATTCACTTCTAGATATTTTGTTAGGCCCTTTTAGCTACTGGCACGTCCAGATACCAATTTTGTTAGAATCTTTTAGTTGAACCATGACTAAAGCTGGTCCTGGCCTTAAACAGCCTGTTTTGTCATAACGATGAGAGCAGCTGTGATTTATGTATATCTGAAGAGTTGCCACTTTAGTGATCAACACACATTAAGTATTTTTTAATAAAAAGTGATAGGGCCCACTGCATCATTCTGTAAAACCATTGGTTTTTTTTCCTGGTTTTGGCCATCCTCACTGGTATTATTGTCTCATGTTCAGCAAGCCTATGAAAAATTGTTTGATAATGCAATCTAATTGTAATATGACAAAACTATCCATTCCAATTGAAATTTTCTCAGTTTAGGGAAATCTTTCGAGTGAGATATTTAATCTGAGATATTTATTTCAGGGATCTTTATTCCTAAAGTGAAAACTATTCGACGCTTACAATTTGAGGACACCGGCGCTTACATTTATCTTATTTCTTACAGTACCGTCTGGAGGAGATAGAGTTTTCCCACATTACTTTCACTGACAACAGCAGGTGTGTCGAGCTGATAGAGAAACCACCTAAGTGTGTTCTCAAGATGTTAGACGAGGAGTGTCGTTTTCCACAGGTAAGTTGTTAGATGAGAAGTTTCCCAAAGGTAAGTTGTTAAATGAGAAGTTTTCTATACGTAACTTGTTAGATGAGAAGTTTTCCACAGGTAAGTTGTTAAATGAGAAGTTTTCTACAGGTAAGTTGTTAGATGAGAAGTTTTCTACAGGTAAGTTGTTAGATGAGAAGTTTTCTACAGGTAAGTTGTTAGATGAGAAGTTTTCTACAGGTAAGTTGTTAGATGAGAAGTTTTCTACAGGTAAGTTGTTAGATGAGAAGTTTTCTACAGGTAAGTTGTTAGATGAGAAGTTTTCTACAGGTAAGTTGTTTGACCAGTTAAGTCTGGGCGTATGATGCTCTTAGCTGGAAATACCAGCCCGCTGCAGAATGTTCTTCTTGTTAGGACAATGGCTGTGAAACACCCAGAAATAAAGGCAGGCTGAATATTATAAGACACATGTTGACACTCAATACTTCATTATTCTGATTAAACTTCCCTCTAATATTACAGTAAAGCAACGTTAACTTTTACATGAATTGTTTTTCAGGGTACAGACAAGTCTTATTTGAGCAAACAGCACCAGGAACTGGAGGAGCATGAGTATTACATTAAAGGTGATCGGCGCAACTGGGAGATTGAGTTTGGCATCCAACACTACGCTGGTGTCGTTGTATACAACATCCATGGCTTTCTTGATAAAAATAAAGACACACAGCAAGACCAGTTGTTTGAACTAATGCACACATCTACAAACTGTTTTGTTAAAGATCTCACACGCTTCCAGGTGGGTACTCTAGCTATTATGTTTTTGCTCTCACCATTTAGCATAAGTTAACAGACTAGCTTGTGTGTTTTCTCTTCTAGGATCTTCTAGGTGTGAGGCTTGAAATTTTACAAGGCAGACAAACTATATCCCGCACAGCTCGCAGCAAGCCTACTGTTGGGGATACATTTAAACATCAGCTTAATGCCTTGGTGGATGTCCTGGACCTGACCAATCCATGGTATGTATGTAAGCTTGTCCATGTAGTGCCTGCTGGGTAGTGAAGCTCAGTTCTTGCTGCCTGTATTGTAGGTATGTAAGCTTGTCTATGTAGTGCCTGTTGGGTAGTGAAGCTCAGTTCTTGCTGCCTGTATTGTAGGTATGTAAGCTTGTCCATGTAGTGCCTGTTGGGTAGTGAAGCTCAGTTCTTGCTGCCTGTATTGTAGGTATGTAAGCTTGTCCATATAGTGCCTGTTGGGTAGTGAAGCTCAGTTCTTGCTGCCTGTATTGTAGGTATGTAAGCTTGTCTATGTAGTGCCTGTTGGGTAGTGAAGCTCAGTTGTTGCTGCCTGTATTGTAGGTATGTAAGCTTGTCCATGTAGTGCCTGTTGGGTAGTGAAGCTCAGTTCTTGCTGACTGTATTGTAGGTATGTAAGCTTGTCCATATAGTGCCTGTTGGGTAGTGAAGCTCAGTTCTTGCTGACTGTATTGTAGGTATGTAAGCTTGTCCATGTAGTGCCTGTTGGGTAGTGAAGCTCAGTTCTTGCTGCCTGTATTGTAGGTATGTAAGCTTGTCCATGTAGTGCCTGTTGGGTAGTGAAGCTCAGTTCTTGCTGCCTGTATTGTAGGTATGTAAGCTTGTCTATGTAGTGCCTGTTGGGTAGTGAAGCTCAGTTCTTGCTGCCTGTATTGTAGGTATGTAAGCTTGTCTATGTAGTGCCTGTTGGGTAGTGAAGCTCAGTTCTTGCTGCCTGTATTGTAGGTATGTAAGCTTGTCCATATAGTGCCTGTTGGGTAGTGAAGCTCAGTTCTTGCTGACTGTATTGTAGGTATGTAAGCTTGTCCATATAGTGCCTGTTGGGTAGTGAAGCTCAGTTCTTGCTGCCTGTATTGTAGGTATGTAAGCTTGTCCATGTAGTGCCTGTTGGGTAGTGAAGCTCAGTTCTTGCTGCCTGTATTGTAGGTATGTAAGCTTGTCCATGTAGTGCCTGTTGGGTAGTGAAGCAAGAGATGAAGCTCAGTTCTTGCTGACTGTATTGTAGGTATGTAAGCTTGTCCATGTAGTGCCTGTTGGGTAGTGAAGCTCAGTTCTTGCTGCCTGTATTGTAGGTATGTAAGCTTGTCTATGTAGTGCCTGTTGGGTAGTGAAGCTCAGTTCTTGCTGCCTGTATTGTAGGTATGTAAGCTTGTCCATGTAGTGCCTGTTGGGTAGTGAAGCTCAGTTCTTGCTGCCTGTATTGTAGGTATGTAAGCTTGTCCATGTAGTGCCTGTTGGGTAGTGAAGCTCAGTTGTTGCTGCCTGTATTGTAGGTATGTAAGCTTGTCCATGTAGTGCCTGTTGGGTAGTGAAGCTCAGTTCTTGCTGCCTGTATTGTAGGTATGTAAGCTTGTCCATGTAGTGCCTGTTGGGTAGTGAAGCTCAGTTCTTGCTGCCTGTATTGTAGGTATGTAAGCTTGTCCATGTAGTGCCTGTTGGGTAGTGAAGCTCAGTTCTTGCTGCCTGTATTGTAGGTATGTAAGCTTGTCCATGTAGTGCCTGTTGGGTAGTGAAGCTCAGTTCTTGCTGACTGTATTGTAGGTATGTAAGCTTGTCTATGTAGTGCCTGTTGGGTAGTGAAGCTCAGTTCTTGCTGCCTGTATTGTAGGTATGTAAGCTTGTCCATGTAGTGCCTGTTGGGTAGTGAAGCTCAGTTCTTGCTGACTGTATTGTAGGTATGTAAGCTTGTCTATGTAGTGCCTGTTGGGTAGTGAAGCTCAGTTCTTGCTGCCTGTATTGTAGGTATGTAAGCTTGTCCATATAGTGCCTGTTGGGTAGTGAAGCTCAGTTCTTGCTGCCTGTATTGTAGGTATGTAAGCTTGTCCATGTAGTGCCTGTTGGGTAGTGAAGCTCAGTTCTTGCTGCCTGTATTGTAGGTATGTAAGCTTGTCCATATAGTGCCTGTTGGGTAGTGAAGCTCAGTTCTTGCTGCCTGTATTGTAGGTATGTAAGCTTGTCCATGTAGTGCCTGTTGGGTAGTGAAGCTCAGTTCTTGCTGCCTGTATTGTAGGTATGTAAGCTTGTCCATGTAGTGCCTGTTGGGTAGTGAAGCAAGAGATGAAGCTCAGTTCTTGCTGCCTGTATTGTAGGTATGTAAGCTTGTCCATGTAGTGCCTGTTGGGTAGTGAAGCTCAGTTCTTGCTGCCTGTATTGTAGGTATGTAAGCTTGTCCATGTAGTGCCTGTTGGGTAGTGAAGCTCAGTTCTTGCTGCCTGTATTGTAGGTATGTAAGCTTGTCCATGTAGTGCCTGTTGGGTAGTGAAGCTCAGTTCTTGCTGCCTGTATTGTAGGTATGTAAGCTTGTCTATGTAGTGCCTGTTGGGTAGTGAAGCTCAGTTGTTGCTGCCTGTATTGTAGGTATGTAAGCTTGTCCATATAGTGCCTGTTGGGTAGTGAAGCTCAGTTCTTGCTGACTGTATTGTAGGTATGTAAGCTTGTCCATATAGTGCCTGTTGGGTAGTGAAGCTCAGTTCTTGCTGCCTGTATTGTAGGTATGTAAGCTTGTCTATGTAGTGCCTGTTGGGTAGTGAAGCTCAGTTCTTGCTGCCTGTATTGTAGGTATGTAAGCTTGTCTATGTAGTGCCTGTTGGGTAGTGAAGCTCAGTTGTTGCTGCCTGTATTGTAGGTATGTAAGCTTGTCTATGTAGTGCCTGTTGGGTAGTGAAGCTCAGTTCTTGCTGCCTGTATTGTAGGTATGTAAGCTTGTCCATGTAGTGCCTGTTGGGTAGTGAAGCTCAGTTCTTGCTGCCTGTATTGTAGGTATGTAAGCTTGTCTATGTAGTGCCTGTTGGGTAGTGAAGCTCAGTTCTTGCTGCCTGTATTGTAGGTATGTAAGCTTGTCCATGTAGTGCCTGTTGGGTAGTGAAGCTCAGTTCTTGCTGCCTGTATTGTAGGTATGTAAGCTTGTCCATATAGTGCCTGTTGGGTAGTGAAGCAAGAGATGAAGCTCAGTTCTTGCTGCCTGTATTGTAGGTATGTAAGCTTGTCTATGTAGTGCCTGTTGGGTAGTGAAGCTCAGTTCTTGCTGCCTGTATTGTAGGTATGTAAGCTTGTCCATGTAGTGCCTGTTGGGTAGTGAAGCTCAGTTCTTGCTGCCTGTATTGTAGGTATGTAAGCTTGTCCATGTAGTGCCTGTTGGGTAGTGAAGCTCAGTTCTTGCTGCCTGTATTGTAGGTATGTAAGTTTGTCCATGTAGTGCCTGTTGGGTAGTGAAGCTCAGTTCTTGCTGCCTGTATTGTAGGTATGTAAGCTTGTCCATGTAGTGCCTGTTGGGTAGTGAAGCTCAGTTCTTGCTGCCTGTATTGTATGTATGTAAGCTTGTCCATGTAGTGCCTGTTGGGTAGTGAAGCTCAGTTCTTGCTGCCTGTATTGTAGGTATGTAAGCTTGTCTATGTAGTGCCTGTTGGGTAGTGAAGCTCAGTTCTTGCTGCCTGTATTGTAGGTATGTAAGCTTGTCCATGTAGTGCCTGTTGGGTAGTGAAGCTCAGTTCTTGCTGCCTGTATTGTATGTATGTAAGCTTGTCCATGTAGTGCCTGTTGGGTAGTGAAGCTCAGTTCTTGCTGCCTGTATTGTAGGTATGTAAGCTTGTCCATGTAGTGCCTGTTGGGTAGTGAAGCTCAGATCTTGCTGCCTGTATTGTAGGTATGTAAGCTTGTCCATGTAGTGCCTGTTGGGTAGTGAAGCTCAGTTCTTGCTGCCTGTATTGTAGGTATGTAAGCTTGTCCATGTAGTGCCTGTTGGGTAGTGAAGCTCAGTTCTTGCTGCCTGTATTGTAGGTATGTAAGCTTGTCTATGTAGTGCCTGTTGGGTAGTGAAGCTCTGTTCTTGCTGCCTGTATTGTAGGTATGTAAGCTTGTCCATGTAGTGCCTGTTGGGTAGTGAAGCTCAGTTCTTGCTGCCTGTATTGTAGGTATGTAAGCTTGTCCATGTGGTGCCTGTTGGGTAGTGAAGCTCAGTTCTTGCTACCTGTATTGTAGGTATGTAAGCTTGTCCATGTAGTGCCTGTTGGGTAGTGAAGCTCAGTTCTTGCTGCCTGTATTGTAGGTATGTAAGCTTGTCCATGTAGTGCCTGTTGGGTAGTGAAGCTCAGTTCTTGATGCCTGTATTGTAGGTATGTAAGCTTGTCCATGTAGTGCCTGTTGGGTAGTGAAGCTCAGTTCTTGCTGCCTGTATTGTAGGTATGTAAGCTTGTCCATGTAGTGCCTGTTGGGTAGTGAAGCTCAGTTCTTGCTGCCTGTATTGTAGGTATGTAAGCTTGTCCATGTAGTGCCTGTTGGGTAGTGAAGCTCTGTTCTTGCTGCCTGTATTGTAGGTATGTGAGATGCCTGAAGCCCAACTCTGGCAAACGTCCCAATGACTACCAGGACAAGGAAGTGCTGCTCCAGCTCAAGTATTCGGGCATGCTGGACATCATCCGCATCAAACGGGAGGTATGGCATAGGACTTTTATTTAATTATCCTCATCTCATTTAAGATAATTTTGCCTCTTTCTCAGGAATTCCCTATTGCTTTGATTGATACAGGTTTTATTTAAATGTTCTTGGTTTCAGGGCTACCCTGTGCATGTCCCAATAGAAATATTTCTCAGTAAATATGCCATCTTGTCAGACAACTTAGTTGACAACTCTAGTGATGCTGTTAAAAACATTCTCACCTCCCTTGGATTACCTAAAACTGAGTGGCAAGTTGGAAAAACAAAGGTAACTTTAACGTAAATTAAAGCCCTACAACAGACTTATTGCCCACTAGATGGCACTTCTTGCCAAAATTTGGTCTACAGCTGTTATGTTTTTTAATTTAGATTTTCATGCGCAACAGTGTGTTTGAACCTCTAGAAGAAAGAAGACAGGACCTGTTGAAAAAAAAAGCTGTTTTAATTCAAAAAGTCTGGAGGGGTTTTATATGTTGGAGAGGTAGGTTTCATTAGATGTGTGTGTGGGTTTTACTATGACAAATGATCTCAGACAAAAGATCTCCCAACAAAATATGTTAGGACATGATCTCAAGGAGATATTAAATGAACATTTTAAATATATGGCATGCTGGTTTTCATTTAGTAGAATATAAATTGAACAATTAAAAAAAGTGAAATATGAACATGGAAATTGAAATACACCACATTAATGTTCAAAATTTCTCTAAAAATAGTGATTAGAATCATCTGTCTTAAAAACAGTTTTTGTCGAATCGCTAAGGGAACATCTAGATGACCTTTTGACAATAGTTAAAGAAAAAGGTTATTTCCTCTTAGTGCCAGTTTCTGCCATCTTAGTGTTTCAATCTAATTTTAATATACTAATATACATACTTATGTTGATAGATATAGATGTATATTACGGTCAAAGCACACATTGGCTGACCCTCATCTCCCATTGACCGGCCAAAGTCTGAAATTTTTATTTATTTTGGACATTGGCCCGGGAGACAATTGCAGCAAGTGTAGCCTATGCTGGCGGTCAGTGATTGTAAAGATTTGATGGTTCATGGTGATTCTGGAATCAACATCACTGGCCATCACTTCTGGTTATTGGTTGGATGAGTGGGTTTTATTAGTGGATTGGTTGGATGAGTGGGTTCTATTAGTGGATTGGTTGGATGAGTGGGTTCTATTAGTGGATTGGTTGGATGGGTGGGTTCTACTAGTGGATTGGTTGGATGAGTGGGTTTTATTAGTGGATTGGTTGGATGAGTGGGTTTTATTAGTGGATTGGTTGGATGAGTGGGTTTTATTAGTTGTAGAAGAAAGTGGGTTTAATTAATTGTATAGTTTGCTATTGGTTCTATGGGTGGGGTTTATTAATTTAATGACTCTGGTCTACATATTTGAAAGGTTTTTAAATCTATAGAAAATATACTTTTTTCATTGTGCTGCAATCGTCAGATTTTCAAAGAAGGCGTCAGGCAGTTCTAATACTACAGGACAGCTTCAGGTCATTCAGACTGAGACTTGAATTTCTGCGCAAGCGAAGGGCTGCCATTACTTTACAGGTGTGTATCTAAAGCTCAGATTTCATCAGATAATGACCTTCCCTTTTGAGCTGGAAGAACCTTGATGCTGTTATAACAGATTCAGTTTATTTGGCACTATTCCAAAGGCCCAACGTTATTGTCTAGACCCTCACAAGATTGTCTAGACCCCAGAAGATTGTCTAGACCCCAGAAGATTGTCTAGACCCCAGAAGATTGTCTAGACACCAGAAGATTGTCTAGACCCCAGAAGATTGTCTAGACTCCATAAGATTGTCTAGACCCCATAGCATATGATTGTCTAGACCCCATATGATTGTCTAGACCCCATAAGATTGTCTAGACCCCATATGATTGTCTAGACCCCATATGATTGTCTAGACCCCAGAAGATTGACTAGACTCCATATGATTGTCTAGACCCCAGAAGATTGACTAGACTCCATATGATTGTCTAGACTCCATATGATTGTCTAGACTCCATATGATTGTCTTGACTCCATATGATTGTCTAGACCCCATATGATTGTCTAGACCCCAGATGATTGTCTTGACTCCATATGATTGTCTAGACCCCAGAAGATTGTCTAGACCCCAGAAGATTGTCTAGACCCCAGAAGATTGTCTAGACCCCATAGGATTGTCTAGACCCTCATAAGATTGTCTAGACCCCAGAAGATTGTCTAGACCCCAGAAGATTGTCTAGACTCTATATGATTGTCTTGACTCCATATGATTGTCTTGACTCCATATGATTGTCTAGACCCCAGTAGATTGTCTAGACTCCATAAGATTGTCTAGACTCCATATGATTGTCTAGACTCCATATGATTGTCTAGACTCCATAAGATTGTCTAGACTCCATATGATTGTCTAGACTCCATATGATTGTCTAGACTCCATAAGATTGTCTAGACTCCATATGATTGTCTTGACTCCATATGATTGTCTAGACCCCAGAAGATTGTCTAGACCCCAGTAGATTGTCTAGACCCCAGAAAATTGTCTAGACTCCATATGATTGTCTAGACTCCATAAGATTGTCTAGACTCCATATGATTGTCTAGACTCCATATGATTGTCTAGACTCCATAAGATTGTCTAGACTCCATATGATTGTCTAGACCCCATATGATTGTCTAGACCCCAGAAGATTGACTAGACTCCATATGATTGTCTAGACCCCAGAAGATTGACTAGACTCCATATGATTGTCTAGACTCCATATGATTGTCTAGACTCCATATGATTGTCTTGACTCCATATGATTGTCTAGACCCCATATGATTGTCTAGACCCCAGATGATTGTCTTGACTCCATATGATTGTCTAGACCCCAGAAGATTGTCTAGACCCCAGAAGATTGTCTAGACCCCAGAAGATTGTCTAGACCCCATAGGATTGTCTAGACCCCATAAGATTGTCTAGACCCCAGAAGATTGTCTAGACCCCAGAAGATTGTCTAGACTCTATATGATTGTCTTGACTCCATATGATTGTCTAGACCCCATATGATTGTCTAGACCCCAGAAGATTGTCTAGACTCTATATGATTGTCTTGACTCCATATGATTGTCTTGACTCCATATGATTGTCTAGACCCCAGTAGATTGTCTAGACCCCAGTAGATTGTCTAGACTCCATAAGATTGTCTAGACTCCATAAGATTGTCTAGACTCCATATGATTGTCTAGACCCCATAAGATTGTCTAGACCCCAGAAGATTGTCTAGACTCCATATGATTGTCTAGACCCCATAAGATTGTCTAGACCCCAGAAGATTGTCTAGACTCCATATGATTGTCTAGACTCCATATGATTGTCTAGACTCCATATGATTGTCTAGACTCCATAAGATTGTCTAGACTCCATATGATTGTCTAGACTCCATATGATTGTCTAGACTCCATATGATTGTCTAGACTCCATAAGATTGTCTAGACTCCATATGATTGTCTAGACCCCATAAGATTGTCTAGACCCCAGAAGATTGTCTAGACTCCATATGATTGTCTAGACCCCATAAGATTGTCTAGACCCCATAAGATTGTCTAGACTCCATATGATTGTCTAGACTCCATATGATTGTCTAGACTCCATATGATTGTCTAGACTCCATAAGATTGTCTAGACTCCATAAGATTGTCTAGACTCCATATGATTGTCTAGACCTGAATGTCCAGACCCACTCAAAGAATTATGCTTTTTATTTGTGCAATGCCTTCATAAATAATTTTTTCCTCTAGTCATGTTATAGAGGCAGGCTGGCACGTCTTCTTGCTGCAAATATGAAAATAGAAAAACAAAAAGAGGCAGAGAGACGCCGTTTGGAAGAGTTGGAACGAGATAGACGGGAAAGAGAACAGGAATCTGCTGATCAAATGGCGATTGATGAAGCTTTAAAGTATGTAGTTGTTATTTATATAAGTTGCTCCCTGTGTTTTGTTGCTCGTCCTATGTGAATATTAAGTGAACAAAGACAGATTCCTTGAGTGGTCTAGTACAGGGGATGAATCACACTAGCACACACCCCCACATGTAGGCCTTCATGGCTGCAACCAATGGTCCATCTGACTGATGTCGCAGACAACTGCAACTGTTGCAACCAATGGTCCATCTGACTGATGTCGCAGGCAATTGCAACTGTTGCAACCAATGGTCCATCTGACTGATGTCGCAGACAATTGCAACCAATGGTCCATCTGACTGATGTGGCAGACAATTGCAACTGTTGCAACCAATGGTCCATCTGACTGATGTCGCAGGCAACTGCAACTGTTGCAACCAATGGTCCATCTGACTGATGTCGCAGACAATTGCAACTGTTGCAACCAATGGTCCATCTGACTGATGTCGCAGACAACTGCAACTGTTGCAACCAATGGTCCATCTGACTGATGTCGCAGACAATTGCAACTGTTGCAACCAATGGTCCATCTGACTGATGTCGCAGACAATTGCAACTGTTGCAACCAATGGTCCATCTGACTGATGTCGCAGACAATTGCAACCAATGGTCCATCTGACTGATGTGGCAGACAATTGCAACTGTTGCAACCAATGGCCCATCTGACTGATGTCGCAGACAATTGCAACTGTTGCAACCAATGGTCCATCTGACTGATGTCGCAGACAACTGCAACTGTTGCAACCAATGGTCCATCTGACTGATGTCACAGACAATTGCAACTGTTGCAACCAATGGTCCATCTGACTGATGTCGCAGACAATTGCAACTGTTGCAACCAATGGTCCATCTGACTGATGTCACAGACAATTGCAACTGTTGCAACCAATGGTCCATCTGACTGATGTCGCAGACAACTGCAACTGTTGCAACCAATGGTCCATCTGACGGATGTCGCAGACAATTGCAACTGTTGCAACCAATGGTCCATCTGACTGATGTCGCAGACAATTGCAACTGTTGCAACCAATGGTCCATCTGACTGATGTCGCAGACAATTGCAACCAATGGTCCATCTGACTGATGTCACAGACAATTGCAACTGTTGCAACCAATGGTCCATCTGACTGATGTGGCAGACAATTGCAACTGTTGCAACCAATGGTCCATCTGACTGATGTCGCAGACAATTGCAACTGTTGCAACTAATGGTCCATCTGACTGATGTCGCAGACAATTGCAACTGTTGCAACCAATGGTCCATCTGACTGATGTCGCAGACAATTGCAACTGTTGCAACCAATGGTCCATCTGATTGATGTCGCAGACAACTGCAACTGTTGCAACCAATGGTCCATCTGACTGATGTCGCAGACAATTGCAACTGTTGCAACCAATGGTCCATCTGACTGATGTCGCAGACAACTGCAACTGTTGCAACCAATGGTCCATCTGACTGATGTCGCAGACAATTGCAACTGTTGCAACCAATGGTCCATCTGACTGATGTCGCAGACAATTGCAACTGTTGCAACCAATGGTCCATCTGACTGATGTGGCAGACAATTGCAACTGTTGCAACCAATGGTCCATCTGACTGATGTCGCAGACAATTGCAACTGTTGCAACCAATGGTCCATCTGACTGATGTGGCAGACAATTGCAACTGTTGCAACCAATGGTCCATCTGACTGATGTCGCAGACAACTGCAACTGTTGCAACCAATGGTCCATCTGACTGATGTCGCAGACAATTGCAACTGTTGCAACCAATGGTCCATCTGACTGATGTCGCAGACAATTGCAACTGTTGCAACCAATGGTCCATCTGACTGATGTGGCAGACAATTGCAACTGTTGCAACCAATGGTCCATCTGACTGATGTCGCAGACAATTGCAACTGTTGCAACCAATGGTCCATCTGACTGATGTCGCAGACAATTGCAACTGTTGCAACCAATGGTCCATCTGACTGATATGGCAGACAATTGCAACTGTTGCAACCAATGGTCCATCTGACTGATGTCGCAGACAATTGCAACTGTTGCATGCAAAACTGATGTGGTCCACAGTTAACTATATGCAGCATTTTGAATCTGATAACCCTGAAGTTAAGATACATACACCTGAAGTTAAGATACAGTTTTTACATTTTTCGGCTTACATTATACTTTTTATTTAGGTATATTTGTTTGTCAGCTGCTTAGCCCTTTTAAATACAAGTTAATTGAATGCAAAGTTTGGCTTTGTAATTACCCTTTTATGTTGTCTAGTTTTTAGTAGAATCTTTTATATTGTTGTCTAATTGAGGAGAGTAATATTGTCTAATCTTATTTTCCAGAACATTTGTCTAGTCTAGCTTAGGAGAACCTTTTATATTATCTAGTCTTATTTTCTAGAACTTAATTCTAGTCTAGCTTAGGAGAACCTTTTATATTGTCTATTCTAGTTAAGTCAAGTATTTTATCCTCTAGTTAAGTAGAATCCTTTAAGGCAAGTAATATCATCCAATGCAGCTTTACTGCCTTACCTTCTGAACAAAAAGTTTCTGCTGGTTGGTTCTGATAAGCTAATTTGGTCTTGATCAAATGAAGAAATTTTTTTTTTACTGCTACCTGTTTTAGGAAAATGAGAAAAAGACAATCCTGGCAAAAAATATTGAGGTAGAAGTCTTATCTCTTTTTGGGGCTTGAATGTCACCATTCAATGTTGTAACCTTTTTTATGTCACCATTCTCTTATAGGCTTTTTACTTCACTACTTCATGTTGAAGCCTTCTAAGCTCACTATTTTGTGTTGTAGCAAAACTTCATGCATGATTCTATTTTGTGTTGTAGCAAAACTTCATGCATGCTTCTATGTTTTTGCTGCTACATTTTTGTTGTGTTTTGTCTTGTTTTTATCATAAGTTTATTTTGACATCACAAGGTTAATATAAATAGATGTCAAAGGTCTTTGTCAGTGTTTGTGACAGTAGAATTCAGCTAAATTATTTTTTCCATTAATATTAAAATTGGATAAGTTGTAATATTTTCATAAAATGCAGTAAATTATTATTATAATGCATTACAAATAAGGGTCTCATAAATCTGTCAAATTAAAATATTTTGCCCAAACAATTTTTTTTTCCTCCAGTTATTTCAATGTTGCTTATTATAATTAGTCTAGTTCAGCAGAAATCTGTCATTTTTTTCCCATTCATATACACTGCAGGCAAAATGGGCAGGCTTAGTTGGTTGTTATCTTGATCAAGTTATATTTTTAATGTATTTTTTACCCTGCAGAATTTTTTCAATCAATGACATTAGTTTAGTAAGACGTAATACATAATTTTCTATATTTTATAATAGTTCTAGTGTTGTCAAAATAGCATTAAATACAGTAATGAACATTTTTCTCACCTTATGTTCCACATAATATTCTCTGCTATTAAACCAAAACAATGTACAAAATAGCATTAAATAGAGTAATGAACATTTTTCTCACCTTATGTTCCACTTAATATTCTCTGCTATTAAACCAAAACAATGTACAAAAGGCAGGTTTACATCAAACACTAATTGTCCCTTGTTAAAACTAAATCGGTCTCATTGAATAAGTTACAAAAATAACGATTTAAAGTATGTGTTGTTGAAATGACCATGAAACATTGTTAAAAACTGAAACCCCAGTATTGTTTTCAGCAGCCATCATTACCATGACGAAAGTATACAAAAAAGTAGGTCAAGCAACAGCCTATTTTACATGGGTCATTATTTATACAGTGTTCATAAGTCTGTTTATACAGGGGTCACTATTTCAGTTTATGCATGGGTCTCAAGTCTAGTTTATACAGTGTTCATACGTCTGTTTATACAGGGGTCACTATTTCAGTTTATACAGGATCACTATTTTAGTTTATGCAGGGGTCATTAGTGTAGTATTTTGATGTTACTAGTTTTGTAATTATTACCTCTCTACTGGTTATTAGTAGGTAAATATTGTATTACTTTGGTCTCAATGCTATTCTTGACCAAAAGAATTGAATGCTGTTAAGTGTGATTAATGTGACTTCTCAGTTTACTTTGTAATCATAGTTTGATAATTTAGTTTGCTATTTTATTAGGGTCTATCCTTATCCGTGTTGTAGTACATATTTCTATTATGGTCCTTGAATAAATCCATGAATGGTAGACCAAATACTAGTGCCAGCATACAAATACCTTATACAATCATCTTTATTGAATAAGGTTATCTTTTATTGCTGTAATTTTGCTTTATTTTATTTGTGAGTGTTGTATTTGGATTTAATTCAAGTAAAATGCTCTGTTGGATTGAAGTAACTTGCTGTTAGTCAGCTTATTCTTTTGCTTTATAAAAAAAACTTTTGTCTGCTTAAAAAAACTTTTAAAAATTTGTGTTGCTTTATTTGAGGCCAAGCTTTATTTATTTGTTTGTGGTCAAGCTTTGTTTATTTGATTGTGGTCAGCTTTATTTGTTTGTGGCCAAGCTTTATTTGTTTTTGACCAAACTTTGTTTATTTGATTGTGGCCAAGCTTTGTTTATTTGTTTGTGGCCAAACTTTGTTTATTTGTTTGTGGCCAAACTTTGTTTATTTGTTTGTGGCCAAACTTTGTTTATTTGTCTGTGGCCAAGCTTTGTTTATTTGTTTGTGGCCAAACTTTGTTTATTTGTTTGTGGCCAAACTTTGTTTATTTGAGAGTGCATGTTGGCTGTTTCAGACAATCCCAGCTTGAGCTGGAGTCACTGACTCACCTAATTGAGTCAATGTGGACCCATTGCCAGCCAGAGGTCACAGCTTCTAAACTTGACCTGGATGCCATGTTTGGTTTCCTCAAGGAAGAAAGAAATGAGATGAAGGGAGTTAATACATCAAAAGAAGCTGCTCTTAATAAAATAAATGAAGAATTCAGTACCTTGGATGACCTGTGGAAGGAGGCAGAAAAGGTCTGTTTATTATTTGACTTTGAACAAGTGGCTAATCTGTTTGCCATTGTTATGTGACTGCCTGACAGCCCTTACATTAGTGGTTCCAACACTTGCCTCCCATCGCTATAGGCAGATTTGTTTTTTCATCTTGTTCAACCTCACTAATACATGAAGCACGGGTTTATTTTAATGGCCCATCCATTGAGTGTCCACTCTGTCACAAGTTGGCTGTGTGGTGCCCCATTTATTTTGTGTGCCATTATGTGATCAGTTTTGTTCTGTTCCAGGAGTTTAAAGCCAACCACGAACAGGAAATAGAGCAGGCCTTACGAGAAGTTGACCAGTCCATAGCTGAGTTTGATAGCTCAGGCTCAGAGAAGAGCTCTAGACCTAACTCAATGCTAATGCCACTGGCTCCACCATCAAATCCTCCTCCTGCACCACCAGTTCCACCATCAAATCCACCAGTTGCACCATCAAATCCACCTGCTCCACCATCAAATCCTTTACTTTCCAGGATGGACTCAGAAGATATACCCCCTCCCCCTCCCCCAGCACCTCCACTTCCAGGAGAAGATAGTTGTGTGCAAGTGGCCACACCTCTAACCCCACCCCCAGGTGTAAGTCAGGCAACTGCTTTCATCTCTTCCTACATCAGTCCTCCCCCACCAGCTCTCCGAGATAAAGGGACAACCCCACCATTACCTCCCCCTCGCATCTCATCAGCAACCACAGGTGATTTGCCTCCCCCTCCATCATCCACCCACTTAGACCTGTCTTCATTGCCCACTGGTGATCCCCTGCCTCCACCCCCCTGTGAAGGAGAAAACCCCTATGCTGAACTCAAGGAAGTGCATAAAACTATTCATGATTCACTCATCAACCGTGGCTTCCAGGCTCCTGCCCCCACACCCCCAGCCGTGCCCCCTATACCACGGTCCTTTCCACCCTCTGTGCCTAGCACACCTAGGTCCAGCATGGCCCTCCGAATGAGTGCTGCCCCAGAAGTTGGCCCCCCTAGAGAGCTGGGCCAACTGTCTCCCACCACACGACAGAGACTGAGCTTCCTGATGTCCCACCCCTCCAGTGAGATCCTCAGTCCCCAGTCCCCTGGAAGAGAGCTGGCTGAAGGAATTCCAGAGCCAGATGCTCTCTTTGACATGCTGGAGTATGCAGAGAAGTATTTCAATGACCATGAGAGAGAATTTGGTGGAACTATCATCAAGTCCATAAAGAAGCGCACTAAACAGTCATCGTTTAATGTAAGTTTTTATCTATTATTATTGGACTGCTCTAATATGTCTAGAATTTAACCAAAAATATTTGACTTCTGTAATGTGTCTATTATTGAACCAGGAATATTTGACAAGAGAAGAAATGCTGCGCTACTGTAAGACTGGGTTGATCCCAACATCTCACATCCATCTGCATGACATAGAGAACATTCATCAGGCCTGTAACATATTTAAGGTTAGTTACAACTCTTTAACAGCAACTATTCATTGATCCCAACACAAACTGACCCCTACATTAAATTGACCCCATCAATACAAACACCTGACCCCAAACAGGGATGATGCAAACTAAAATGTTTTGTTTGCTCTAGGAACTGACCAGATACATCCGAGATGAAAGTAAAGATGACACCGCCATTAGCACGGTCCAGTTTGTGGTCAAGTCTGGCATAGAGAGGATAGAGCTGAGGGATGAGATCCTGGTGCAGCTGGTCAGGCAGACCAACGAGAACCCTGAAGCTGATGTGCTCAAGCAAGCCTGGATCCTTATGTCTCTGTGTACAGCAGCTTTCTCACCCAGCAAGAACTTGCACAAGGTCCTTACTCAACACACGGCTAGTTAAATGTCACTCAACACACGGCTAGTTAAATGTCACTCAACACACGGCTAGTTCAATGTCACTCAACACACGGCTAGTTAAATGTCACTCAACACACGGCTAGTTAAATGTCACTCAACACACGGCTAGTTAAATGTCACTCAACACACGGCTAGTTAAATGTCACTCAACACACGGCTAGTTAAATGTCACTCAACACACGGCTAGTTAAATGTCACTCAACACACGGCTAGTTAAATGTCACTCAACACACGGCTAGTTAAATGTCACTCAACACACGGCTAGTTAAATGTCACTCAACACACGGCTAGTTAAATGTCACTCAACACACGGCTAGTTAAATGTCACTCAACACACAGCTAGTTAAATGTCACTCAACACACAGCTAGTTAAATGTCACACTAGTTAAATGTCACTCAACACATGGCTAGTTAAATGTCACTCAACACACGGCTAGTTAAATGTCACTCAACACATGGTTAGTTAAATGTCACACTAGTTAAATGTCACTCAACACACGGCTAGTTAAATGTCACTCAACACACAGCTAGTTAAATGTCACTCAACACACGGCTTGTTAAATGTCACACTAGTTAAATGTCACTCAACACATGGCTAGTTAAATGTCACTCAACACACGGCTAGTTAAATGTCACTCAACACACAGCTAGTTAAATGTCACTCAACACACGGCTAGTTAAATGTCACTCAACACACAGCTAGTTAAATGTCACTCAACACATGGCTAGTTAAATGTCACTCAACACACAGCTAGTTAAATGTCACTCAACACACAGCTAGTTAAATGTCACTCAACACACGGCTAGTTAAATGTCACACTAGTTAAATGTCACTCAACACATGGCTAGTTGAATGTCACTCAACACACAGCTAGTTAAATGTCACTCAACACACAGCTAGTTAAATGTCACTCAACACATGGCTAGTTAAATGTCACTCAACACATGGTTAGTTAAATGTCACACTAGTTAAATGTCACTCAACACACGGCTAGTTAAATGTCACTCAACACACAGCTAGTTAAATGTCACTCAACACACGGCTTGTTAAATGTCACTCAACACACGGCTAGTTAAATGTCACACTAGTTAAATGTCACTCAACACATGGCTAGTTAAATGTCACTCAACACATGGCTAGTTAAATGTCACACTAGTTAAATGTCACTCAACACACGGCTAGTTAAATGTCACTCAACACATGGCTAGTTAAATGTCACTCAACACACGGCTAGTTAAATGTCACTCAACACACGGCTAGTTAAATGTCACTCAACACACGGCTAGTTCAATGTCACTCAACACACGGCTAGTTAAATGTCACTCAACACACGGCTAGTTAAATGTCACTCAACACACGGCTAGTTCAATGTCACTCAACACACGGCTAGTTAAATGTCACTCAACACACGGCTAGTTAAATGTCACTCAACACACGGCTAGTTAAATGTCACTCAACACACGGCTAGTTAAATGTCACTCAACACACGGCTAGTTAAATGTCACTCAACACACGGCTAGTTAAATGTCACTCAACACACGGCTAGTTAAATGTCACTCAACACACGGCTAGTTAAATGTCACTCAACACACGGCTAGTTAAATGTCACTCAACACACGGCTAGTTAAATGTCACTCAACACACGGCTAGTTAAATGTCACTCAACACACGGCTAGTTAAATGTCACTCAACACACGGCTAGTTAAATGTCACTCAACACACGGCTAGTTAAATGTCACTCAACACACGGCTAGTTCAATGTCACTCAACACACGGCTAGTTAAATGTCACTCAACACACGGCTAGTTAAATGTCACTCAACACACGGCTAGTTAAATGTCACTCAACACACGGCTAGTTAAATGTCACTCAACACACGGCTAGTTAAATGTCACTCAACACACGGCTAGTTAAATGTCACTCAACACACGGCTAGTTAAATGTCACTCAACACACGGCTAGTTAAATGTCACTCAACACACGGCTAGTTAAATGTCACTCAACACACGGCTAGTTAAATGTCACTCAACACACAGCTAGTTAAATGTCACTCAACACACAGCTAGTTAAATGTCACACTAGTTAAATGTCACTCAACACATGGCTAGTTAAATGTCACTCAACACACGGCTAGTTAAATGTCACTCAACACATGGTTAGTTAAATGTCACACTAGTTAAATGTCACTCAACACACGGCTAGTTAAATGTCACTCAACACACAGCTAGTTAAATGTCACTCAACACACGGCTTGTTAAATGTCACACTAGTTAAATGTCACTCAACACATGGCTAGTTAAATGTCACTCAACACACGGCTAGTTAAATGTCACTCAACACACAGCTAGTTAAATGTCACTCAACACACGGCTAGTTAAATGTCACTCAACACACAGCTAGTTAAATGTCACTCAACACATGGCTAGTTAAATGTCACTCAACACACAGCTAGTTAAATGTCACTCAACACACAGCTAGTTAAATGTCACTCAACACACGGCTAGTTAAATGTCACACTAGTTAAATGTCACTCAACACATGGCTAGTTGAATGTCACTCAACACACAGCTAGTTAAATGTCACTCAACACACAGCTAGTTAAATGTCACTCAACACATGGCTAGTTAAATGTCACTCAACACATGGTTAGTTAAATGTCACACTAGTTAAATGTCACTCAACACACGGCTAGTTAAATGTCACTCAACACACAGCTAGTTAAATGTCACTCAACACACGGCTTGTTAAATGTCACTCAACACACGGCTAGTTAAATGTCACACTAGTTAAATGTCACTCAACACATGGCTAGTTAAATGTCACTCAACACATGGCTAGTTAAATGTCACACTAGTTAAATGTCACTCAACACACGGCTAGTTAAATGTCACTCAACACATGGCTAGTTAAATGTCACTCAACACACGGCTAGTTAAATGTCACTCAACACACAGCTAGTTCAATGTCACTCAACACACGGCTAGTTTTAAATCAGTAAACGCAACACTGTTTAGATCTCGCTCAGACATTCCTACCGTCCTGCCAATACATTTGAAAAAATCATGTCTTGTTCTGCCATTCCGCTTTCGTTGAAGTTTATTCTGCTAAATCGAATAAATAGGCAAAAATGTCTAATTAAATAAAAGTAATTCATTGAATTGAGAAAATAGTGTAGGAAAGGAGATTATTTCCCTTTGTCATTCATATCTGTTTCAGCCTACCTACTGAAGTGTTGTTAATGTCAGCTTCCAATCTTGTTAGAGCTTTAAAAATGAACACAATTTTAGAAATATTCAGAGAAATTTTCATTTATAAAATCAAAACAAATGTTCTTTTTGGAATATGTTATTGTAACAGTAAATTAATATTGAGGAAAAAGGTTAACCCCACTGTGTGTATTAACATTTTGATGACACTCAACACACAGCTGGTTAAACACGACCCAGCTTGTTCAATGTTCTGACACGACATGTTTCTTCTGTCTGACAGTACCTGTTGTCCTACATCAGCTTGTCCAATGTTCTGACACGACATGTTTCTTCTGTCTGACAGTACCTGTTGTCCTACACCAGCTTGTTCAATGTTCTGACACGACATGTTTCTCCTGTCTGACAGTACCTGTTGTCCTACATCAGCTTGTTCAATGTTCTGACACGACATGTTTCTTCTGTCTGACAGTACCTGTTGTCCTACACCAGCTTGTTCAATGTTCTGACACGACATGTTTCTTCTGTCTGACAGTACCTGTTGTCCTACACCAGCTTGTTCAATGTTCTGACACGACATGTTTCTTCTGTCTGACAGTACCTGTTGTCCTACACCAGCTTGTTCAATGTTCTGACACGACATGTTTCTTCTGTCTGACAGTACCTGTTGTCCTACATCAGCTTGTTCAATGTTCTGACACGACATGTTTCTTCTGTCTGACAGTACCTGTTGTCCTACATCAGCTTGTTCAATGTTCTGACACGACATGTTTCTCCTGTCTGACAGTACCTGTTGTCCTACATCAGCTTGTTCAATGTTCTGACACGACATGTTTCTCCTGTCTGACAGTACCTGTTGTCCTACACCAGCTTGTTCAATGTTCTGACACGACATGTTTCTTCTGTCTGACAGTACCTGTTGTCCTACATCAGCTTGTTCAATGTTCTGACACGACATGTTTCTCCTGTCTGACAGTACCTGTTGTCCTACACCAGCTTGTTCAATGTTCTGACACGACATGTTTCTCCTGTCTGACAGTACCTGTTGTCCTACATCAGCTTGTTCAATGTTCTGACACGACATGTTTCTCCTGTCTGACAGTACCTGTTGTCCTACACCAGCTTGTTCAATGTTCTGACACGACATGTTTCTCCTGTCTGACAGTACCTGTTGTCCTACATCAGCTTGTTCAATGTTCTGACACGACATGTTTCTCCTGTCTGACAGTACCTGTTGTCCTACATCAGCTTGTTCAATGTTCTGACACGACATGTTTCTCCTGTCTGACAGTACCTGTTGTCCTACATCAAACGCTGCTGTTCAGACCCTGTGGGAGGTCGCTATGCCATGTTGTGTTACAAGCACCTCACAGTCCCCAGAGCTACCAACAGGAAAAATCCTCCATCTACAATAGAGATCATGGTAAATTTTTTTCTTATCCTGATAAAGTTTGTTCTTGGGATCATGGTGGTCAAGTTTTGTTGTGATTGTGTAAAATTTTAACTGCCCTGATTGTGGTGAAGTTTTATTGTCCTGATTGTGGTAAATGTTTTGTTGTTGTGATCATGATAAAGTTTTCTTGTTGTAGCAAGGTTTTGTTGTGATTGTTATAAGTTTAATATTGTGATTTTTAGTAAAGTTTTGTTGTTGTGATTGTGGTAGTGGTAAAGTTTTATTGTCCTGATTGTGGTAAAGTTCTGTAGTGTGATTGTGTAAAGTTTTGTTGTTGTGATTGTGGTAGTTTTTTTTTTGATGATCAAGTTGTGCTTAGACTGCAATGATGTTTGTGAGGCTAAAAAAATGACATACCAACACTGTTCTTGACAGAGCATACAGAACTTGAGCCCAATTATTTGTAAAGTTTTCTTCATGGACGGCAAAACCAAGGCTGTGAGTGTCCACTCAGTTGATACCACACAAGATGTTCTGGCTAAGGTGGCACGCAGAATTGGCCTACAGTCTGTGGAGGGCTGGGCACTCTATGAGGTTGGTTGACTGGTAGCTCTGGAGGGTACAGTTCTGGAGGGTTGGCCTTGTACAGTTGTGGAGGGTTGGCCTTATCTATTACAGTTGTGGAGTGTTGGCCGAATCTAGTAATAGTACAGTTCTGGAGGGTTGGCCTTAACTAGTACAGTTGTGGAGGGTTGGCCTTAACTAGTGCAGTTGTGGAGGGTTGGCCTTATCTAGTACAGTTGTGGAGGGTTGGCCTTATCTAGTACAGTTGTGGAGGGTTGGCCTTAACTTGTACAGTTGTGGAGGGTTGGCCTTATCTAGTACAGTTGTGGAGGGTTGGCCTTATCTAGTACAGTTGTGGAGGGTTGGCCTTATCTAGTACAGTTGTGGAGGGTTGGCCTTATCTAGTACAGTTGTGGAGGGTTGGCCTTAACTTGTACAGTTGTGGAGGTTTTTCCAGAGAAGAAGTTGTTAAACTGGTAGACAGATTCCTAGATAACCAATTGAATTGATTTGATCCTGTAGCTCAGTAAAGAACTGGGTAGACAGATTCCTAGATAACCAATTGAATTGATTTGATCCTGTAGCTCAGTAAAGAACTGGGTAGACAGATTCCTAGATAACCAATTGAATTGATTTGATCCTGTAGCTCAGTAAAGAACTGGGTAGACAGATTCCTAGATAACCAATTGAATTGATTTGATCCTGTAGCTCAGTAAAGAACTGGGTAGACAGATTCCTAGATAACCAATTGAATTGATTTGATCCTGTAGCTCAGTAAAGAACTGGGTAGACAGATTCCTAGATAACCAATTGAATTGATTTGATCCTGTAGCTCAGTAAAGAACTGGGTAGACAGATTCCTAGATAACCAATTGAATTGATTTGATCCTGTAGCTCAGTAAAGAACTGGGTAGACAGATTCCTAGATAACCAATTGAATTGATTTGATCCTGTAGCTCAGTAAAGAACTGGGTAGACAGATTCCTAGATAACCAATTGAATTGATTTGATCCTGTAGCTCAGTAAAGAACTGGGTAGACAGATTCCTAGATAACCAATTGAATTGATTTGATCCTGTAGCTCAGTAAAGAACTGGGTAGACAGATTCCTAGATAACCAATTGAATTGATTTGATCCTGTAGCTCAGTAAAGAACTGGGTAGACAGATTCCTAGATAACCAATTGAATCGATTTGATCCTGTAGCTCAGTAAAGAACTGGGTAGACAGATTCCTAGATAACCAATTGAATTGATTTGATCCTGTAGCTCAGTAAAGAACTGGGTAGACAGATTCCTAGATAACCAATTGAATTGATTTGATCCTGTAGCTCAGTAAAGAACTGGGTAGACAGATTCCTAGATAACCAATTGAATTGATTTGATCCTGTAGCTCAGTAAAGAACTGGGTAGACAGATTCCTAGATAACCAATTGAATTGATTTGATCCTGTAGCTCAGTAAAGAACTGGGTAGACAGATTCCTAGATAACCAATTGAATTCATTTGATCCTGTAGGTCAGTAAAGAACTGGAGCGGTTTATTCGCAGCTATGAATATATTGCCGACATACTGGCTCAGTGGGAAGGGTAAGTCATGTTGTAGGGTAAGTCATGTTGTAGGGTAAGTCATGTTGTAGGGTAAGTCATGTTGTAGGGTAAGTCGTGTTGTAGGGTAAGTCGTGTTGTAGGGTAAGTTGTGTTGTAGGGTAAGTCGTGTTGTAGGGTAAGTCATGTTGTAGGGTAAGTCATGTTGTAGGGTAAGTCGTGTTGTAGGGTAAGTCATGTTGTAGGGTAAGTCATGTTGTAGGGTAAGTCGTGTTGTAGGGTAAGTCATGTTGTATCTGTGGGAAGTAAACTTTGTACATTTTCTGAACAGGACAGACAAACTGTCTGCTCAGCCTAGCAAATATGAAACAGTTTCTAAAAAAGGCCCCAAAATGGCCCTGGGTGGATGTGATGCCAAGCTGATGTTTAGGAAGAGAGTGTACAGACATGTGCATGACATTCCTAATGACCCTATTGAGTATCATTTGCTCTATGCTGAGGCAGTTCAAAAAGTTGTTAAGGTTAGTAGTTATGGTTAGCTCACACACAACTTCATAGTTGTATGTCATACATCTCTTTGTCTCACCATTATCACCTGCCATTTTTTGTCTCACCAATATCACCTGCCATGTGTTTGTCTCACCAATATCACCTGCCATTTGTCTCACCAATATCACCTTCTATTTTTTGTCTCACCAATATCACCTTCTATTTTTTGTCTCACCAATATCACCTGCCATGTGTTTGTCTCACCAATATCACCTGCCATGTGTTTGTCTCACCAATATCACCTGCCATTTGTCTCACCAATATCACCTGCCATGTGTTTGTCTCACCAATATCACCTGCGATTTGTCTCACCAATATCACCTGCCATGTGTTTGTCTCACCAATATCACCTGCCATGTGTTTGTCTCACCAATATCACCTTCTATTTGTTTGTCTCACCAATATCACCTTCTATTTGTTTGTCTCACCAATATCACCTGCCATTTGTCTCACCAATATCACCTGCCATTTGTCTCCCCAACATCACCTGCCATGTGTTTGTCTCACCAATATCACCTGCCATTTGTCTCACCAATATCACCTGCCATTTGTCTCACCAATATCACCTGCCATTTGTCTCACTGATTCTTGTCTTCCAGTTTGATGAGTACAGCGTATCAGACAAAGTGGGCCTACAGCTGGCTGGCCTACAGGCTCAAGTTATTTGGGGAGAGTTTGAGCTCAACAAGGAGTTCCGCTACAGTGAGGCTGACCAGTACTTATGTAAACGCATCTTAGCTTCCTCTGGGAGGAACTGGTCTCAGGAGGTGGCTAAAGCACACATGGTAGGCCCTCACTTGTTTCTTAGCTTGTCTGACTTTTAATGTGGTCGGTGTTGTGAAATGAGTTGAGGCTGACCACACATGATAAGGTGTTTATGCGTTTCTTATTACGCTTGAAAATACATAAACTAGATGATAACTAAAAACTTGCTGATAACTAATGGACACTTGAACGATAACTGAACTAAACAGTAAGTAAAGTATGACTTGACTACATTGACAAGGACAGATGAATACGTCCACACCTAGCACAAGACACAGACTTCCCTAACCTACTTCCATCAACAGACCAGATCTCAAACATCACTTCCTTACGTTGCTCATCACACTGTCATCATATTTTTAGTAATAACACATACTCTCATACCCTTGCAACACACTGAGATACAATACATAACAGTGGCTGGTGCCTTAGATAGGCTCTCCTTGTGGTACATTAGATGTTCTCCTTTTATTTCAGCACTATGGTGGCACCAAGAGTGAGCTGGAGGCCAAGGTCTGGTACCTGACATGTGTGAAACAGTTTTCCCTGTATGGCTGCACCCTGTTCCCCATCATGCACAAGGGCATGTGGTCACACACCAGTGAATCCCTCCTGGCCATCAACATGGATGGCATCAAGTTTGTGCGCAGCAAGGACAAGTCAGTGATCCATGACCTCAAGTATTGTGAGATTGAGTCCATCTGTATAGATCCCAATGATAACTACATGACTCTTGAGCTGTACAGCATGGCACAATCTGGCATAGGCCAGAAAACATTTGTCTTTGAGACCAGCCACAAGGAGGACATAGGTCACTTGATTGCTTCCTACTCACCAACACATGCCTCTTGGATGAAATCTGAAAATGACAGTGTCAAAAAGGTAGTAATTCAGTGTTTATAGCCTGATTCTGTTCTGTAGACAATTTCAATGTGGAATGTCTGCCATAGACATGTCATTAACATGTGGAATGTCTGCCATAGACCTGTCATTTACATGTGGAATGTCTGCCATAGACCTGTCATTTACATGTGGAATGTCTGCCATTGATCTACCATATGTTCCCCAGATGAAGCTGACAGATGAAGACAAGCTGAAGCTGTATGAGGAGCTGGTGCGTTGCAGGAAAGCTCTGTCTGAGAGCCGGCTCTTACAGCGACCATCACATGATGTAGGCTCTGGCTTCCTTAGAAACACACTCAGGAGGTCAGACTTGTTTGTTGGTGTGTTAGTGTATTCTCTCCTGTCTCCATCTGTCAATGTCCCCACATATCTGGGTGCCTGTCTCCATCTGTCAATGTCCCCACATATCTGGGTGCCTGTCTCCATCTGTCAATGTGTCCCCACATATCTGGGTGCCTGTCTCCATCTGTCAATGTGTCCCCACATATCTGGGTGCCTGTCTCCATCTGTCAATGTGTCCCCACATATCTGGGTGCCTGTCTCCATCTGTCAATGTCCCCACATATCTGGGTGCCTGTCTCCATCTGTCAATGTGTCCCCACATATCTGGGTGCCTGTCTCCATCTGTCAATGTGTTCCCACATATCTGGGTGCCTGTCTCCATCTGTCAATGTGTCCCCACATATCTGGGTGCCTGTCTCCATCTGTCAATGTGTCCCCACATATCTGGGTACCTGTCTCCATCTGTCAATGTCCCCACATATCTGGGTGCCTGTCTCCATCTGTCAATGTGTCCCCACATATCTGGGTGCCTGTCTCCATCTGTCAATGTGTCCCCACATATCTGGGTGCCTGTCTCCATCTGTCAATGTGTCCCCACATATCTGGGTGCCTGTCTCCATCTGTCAATGTGTCCCCACATATCTGGGTGCCTGTCTCCATCTGTCAATGTGTCCCCACATATCTGGGTGCCTGTCTCCATCTGTCAATGTGTCCCCACATATCTGGGTGCCTGTCTCCATCTGTCAATGTCCCCACATATCTGGGTGCCTGTCTCCATCTGTCAATGTGTTCCCACATATCTGGGTGCCTGTCTCCATCTGTCAATGTCCCCACATATCTGGGTGCCTGTCTCCATCTGTCAATGTGTCCCCACATATCTGGGTGCCTGTCTCCATCTGTCAATGTCCCCACATATCTGGGTGCCTGTCTCCATCTGTCAATGTGTCCCCACATATCTGGGTGCCTGTCTCCATCTGTCAATGTGTCCCCACATATCTGGGTGCCTGTCTCCATCTGTCAATGTGTCCCCACATATCTGGGTGCCTGTCTCCATCTGTCAATGTCCCCACATATCTGGGTGCCTGTCTCCATCTGTCAATGTGTCCCCACATATCTGGGTGCCTGTCTCCATCTGTCAATGTGTCCCCACATATCTGGGTGCCTGTCTCCATCTGTCAATGTGTCCCCACATATCTGGGTGCCTGTCTCCATCTGTCAATGTGTCCCCACATATCTGGGTGCCTGTCTCCATCTGTCAATGTCCCCACATATCTGGGTGCCTGTCTCCATCTGTCAATGTGTCCCCACATATCTGGGTGCCTGTCTCCATCTGTCAATGTCCCCACATATCTGGGTGCCTGTCTCCATCTGTCAATGTCCCCACATATCTGGGTGCCTGTCTCCATCTGTCAATGTCCCCACATATCTGGGTGCCTGTCTCCATCTGTCAATGTCCCCACATATCTGGGTGCCTGTCTCCATCTGTCAATGTGTCCCCACATATCTGGGTGCCTGTCTCCATCTGTCAATGTGTCCCCACATATCTGGGTGCCTGTCTCCATCTGTCAATGTGTCCCCACATATCTGGGTGCCTGTCTCCATCTGTCAATGTGTCCCCACATATCTGGGTGCCTGTCTCCATCTGTCAATGTCCCCACATATCTGGGTGCCTGTCTCCATCTGTCAATGTGTCCCCACATATCTGGGTGCCTGTCTCCATCTGTCAATGTGTGATCTTCATGAGATGATGGTTGTTTGTACATTACTGGATCAAATTATGTATGTGGTACCATGCAGGATCAGATGATGTTGTATGTGGTACCATGCAGGATCAGGTGATGTTGTATGTGGTACCATGCAGGATCAGGTGATGTTGTATGAGGTACCATGCAGGATCAGATGTTGCATGTGGTACCATGCAGGGTCAGATGTTGTATGTGGTACCATGCAGGATCAGATGATGTTGTATGTGGTACCATGCAGGATCAGATGATGTTGTATGTGGTACCATGCAGGATCAGATGTTGCATGTGGTACCATGCAGGGTCAGATGTTGCATGTGGTACCATGCAGGGTCAGATGATGTTGTATGAGGTACCATGCAGGATCAGATGATGTTGTATGTGGTACCATGCAGGATCAGGTGATGTTGTATGTGGTACCATGCAGGATCAGATGATGTTGTATGTGGTACCATGCAGGATCAGATGATGTTGTATGTGGTACCATGCAGGATCAGATGATGTTGTATGTGGTACCATGCAGGATCAGATGTTGTATGTGGTACCATGCAGGATCAGATGTTGTATGTGGTACCATGCAGGATCAGGTGATGTTGTATGTGGTACCATGCAGGATCAGATGATGTTGTATGTGGTACCATGCAGGATCAGATGATGTTGTATGTGGTACCATGCAGGATCAGATGATGTTGTATGTGGTACCATGCAGGATCAGATGTTGTATGTGGTACCATGCAGGGTCAGGTGATGTTGTATGTGGTACCATGCAGGATCAGGTGATGTTGTATGTGGTACCATGCAGGGTCAGATGATGTTGTATGTGGTACCATGCAGGGTCAGATGATGTTGTATGTGGTACCATGCAGGATCAGGTGATGTTGTATGTGGTACCATGCAGGATCAGATGATGTTGTATGTGGTACCATGCAGGATCAGGTGATGTTGTATGTGGTACCATGCAGGATCAGGTGATGTTGTATGTGGTACCATGCAGGATCAGATGATGTATGTGGTACCATGCAGGATCAGATGTTGTATGTGGTACCATGCAGGATCAGATGTTGTATGTGGTACCATGCAGGATCAGGTGATGTTGTATGTGGTACCATGCAGGATCAGATGATGTTGTATGTGGTACCATGCAGGATCAGATGTTGTATGTGGTACCATGCAGGATCAGGTGATGTTGTATGTGGTACCATGCAGGATCAGATGATGTTGTATGTGGTACCATGCAGGATCAGGTGATGTTGTATGTGGTACCATGCAGGATCAGATGATGTTGTATGTGGTACCATGCAGGATCAGATGTTGTATGTGGTACCATGCAGGATCAGGTGATGTTGTATGTGGTACCATGCAGGATCAGATGATGTTGTATGTGGTACCATGCAGGATCAGATGTTGTATGTGGTACCATGCAGGATCTGATGATGTTGTACGTGATAACTTTCAGATTAAAAACACCAAGTTTCTCCTCATTGTAATTTTTTTCAATTTAACCAGGTTGACAAAGTCCAAGATAGAAAAACTTCGCAGTTTGTCTAGTGCAGATGGCAGTAGTAACTTCAGTGTGGACTTCTGGTCCTACACCAAGACAGGGATCAAACAAAGCTTGACCATCATTCTTGACCCCAGCATGGAGGAGTCGGCTGTGAAAATGTTTTCCCAGCTCTTGGTCTATGCTGGCATTGAAGAGTCAGGTACATCACTAAGTTCTATACATTGGTATATGCTGGTACACCACTATTAGATAGATCTATACATTGGTATGTTGTTGGTCTATGCTGGTACACCACTATTAGATAGATCTATACATTGGTATGTTGTTGGTCTATGCTGGTACACCACTATTAGATAGATCTATACATTGGTATGTTGTTGGTCTATGCTGGTACACCACTATTAGATAGATCTATACATTGGTATGTTGTTGGTCTATGCTGGTACAGCACTAAGATCTATACATTGATATGTTGTTGGTCTATGCTGGTACATCACTAAGATCTATACATTGGTATATGCTGGTACACCACTATTAGATAGATCTATACATTGATATGTTGTTGGTCTATGCTGGTACACCACTATTAGATCTATACATTGGTATATGCTGGTACAGCACTATTAGATCTATACATTGGTATATGCTGGTACAGCACTATTAGATCTATACATTGGTATATGCTGGTACAGCACTATTAGATCTATACATTGGTATATGCTGGTACACCACTATTAGATCTATACATTGGTATATGCTGGTACACCACTATTAGATCTATACATTGGTATATGCTGGTACACCACTATTAGATCTATACATTGGTATATGCTGGTACACCACTATTAGATCTATACATTGATATGTTGTTGGTCTATGCTGGTATTGAAGAGTCAGGGTTAATTGAACAACATGATGGGATAGGGGTTAATTGAACAACATGATGGGATAGGGGTTAATTGAACAACATGATGGGATAGGGGTTAATTGAACAACATGATGGGATAGGGGTTAATTGAACAACATGATGGGATAGGGGTTAATTGAACAACATGATGGGATAGGGGTTAATTGAACAACATGATGGGATATGGGTTAATTGAACAACATGATAGGATAGGGGTTATTTGAACAACATTATTGGAAGATATTTGAAAAACTTGATATAACTGATTTAAAAAATAAGTCAACTATAACAGCTGCTTAGACTGCGAAGACAAATATTAGGTTTGAAAAAGTTTAGAATTGTGATCTATTATATCTTTCAGAAGAAACAAATGAATTGGAGAAAATGAACCTTCTTCAGGGACTGATGCAGAAATGTTTGGAAAGTGACTTTATTTGCAATGAATTCTACTTGCAGTTAGTTAAACAGACAACTGACCATCCTGGTAGGTGACATGTCTCTTCTCCTTTTTATTATTCTGCACATTTTAAGCACAGAAAATGTAATTCTTTACCAAATGTGCATGTCAATATGACCACCTTGATTGTTAGTTACAAAATGTCAGTGTTCTGATTGCCTTACAAAATGTGCATGTCAATATGACCGCCTTGATTGTTAGTTACAAAATGTCAGTGTTCTGATTGCCTTACAAAATGTGCATGTCAATATGACCGCCTTGATTGTTAGTTACAAAATGTCAGTGTTCTGATTGCCTTACAAAATGTGCATGTCAATATGACCGCCTTGATTGTTAGTTACAAAATGTCAGTGTTCTGATTGCCTTATAAAATGTGCATGCAAATATGACAGCCATGATTGTTTGTTGGTCAGGGCAGATGAGAAACGCAACATGAAGCCACGTAAGTTGCTTGTTCCATTCTGCTAGGCACAGGTTGCTTCATTAACCTCCCTGCTAATTAACCCCTTCATTAGGCTGCTGCAGTCATTAACCGAGCACATTGCAAATCACTTCTGCAGCCAATTCTTTTATCACAATCATAATTAACACATTTATAACAATGTACGCACAATTGTAACAACTAACTCATTTATAAGAATCTAACCATAATGCTAAAAATTAACTCATTTATAACAATCTACCCACAATTGTAACAACTAGCTAATTTATAACAATCTACACAGCAATTGTGACCACACATTAAACAAACATCACCACACATTAAGCAAACATCACCACACATTAAACAAACATCACTACACATTAAGCAAACATCACTACACATTAAGCAAACATCACCACACATTAAACAAACATCACCACACATTAAACAAACATCACCACACATTAAGCAAACATCACATGAACAAACATCACCACACATTAAACAAACATGACCACACATTAAACAAACATCACCACAATTAAACAAACATCACCACACATTAAGCAAACATCACCACATGAACAAACATCACCACACATTAAACAAACATCACCACACATTAAACAAACATCACTACACATTAAGCAAACATCACCACACAAACAAACATCACCATGCATTGAACAAACATCATCACACAAACATCACCACACATTAAACAAACATCACACAAACAAACATCACCACACATTGAACAAATATCACCACACATTGACAAATGTCCCAAACTATGAACACAAAACAACTTGCATTTCTTAAAATATTTAAAATTTAATTTTTTGAGGTGGGTTTTGGTTTTCCAACTATTTTTTAAACATTTCATTGCTTTTACCATTACTAAACCACTTGAAACATGGAAATGTCCCATGATAGACATGATTTGTACAAAACAGATCTACTACAGCATTGACTGTTCTACAGTAACTGACACACACTTTTGATAGACTTACCAGATATTAAGTTACACTTTTCCCAATTTATAGCTGGTATAAATGAGATATATACATTTTAAAAACTCGATAATTTCAGACTAGAGAAGCGTTAAGCCCATTTCTGTGTGGTTTGTTGTCTCACAATGGATATACTTTACCATAAATTAGTTAAAAATACTAAACTAGGAAATGGTTTAATTTAAAATTTAGTTACAGTCTACTAATATAAGTACATTAATTTAAAAAAAAAAAAATATTTATATATATATATATATATATATATATATATATATATATATATATATATATATATATATATATATATATATATATATATATATATATATATATATATATATATATATATATATATATATATATATATATATATATATATATATACTAGCTGCATCCCGTGCTCCGCCACGGTAAATCTTTTTTAAATGTACCAACTTTGGAACAGAACAAAACAAACAAAAACATAACACAAACACAAACAAAACACAACCACAACACAACACAACCACAACACAACAAAACAAACAAAAACATAACACAAACACAAACAAAACACAATCACAACACAACACAACCACAACACAACCACAAACACAACCACAACACAACCACAACATAACCACAACACAACACAACACAACCACAACACAACCACAACATAACACAACCACAACACAACCACAATACAACCACAACACAACCACAACACAACCACAACACAACCACAACACAACCACAACACAACCACAACACAACCACAACAATAGAATCACCAACGAACAACACGCTTTTATTAGGCATCCGCGCCCAGAGAGAGCCTTTCCAGCATTCTCTATACTATAATTCTAAATTTTCACCATCTGTTAACACCGAAAAACAAAAACAAAAAAATAGTGATTTTGAGAGATCATAGTCTAATTAGAAAATAGTGTAAATAATCTTAACATTTTTTCTATTTTACTTAACATATAATAATCAATGTGGAAGTAATAAAAAAAATTAACTTAATTTATTGAGAGTGAGTTGAATATTTAAAAAAAACATTTTCCCATACGTCCGCGCTCAGAGAGAGCCTTTCCATTATTCTCAAAAAGTCTAATTTCACCATCTGTTTTCGTAACACCGAAAAACAAAAGCAAAAAGATAGTGATTTTAGAGAAATCATAGACTAATTAGAAAAAAATAATAAATAATATAAATAATCTTAACATTTTTCTCTTTTAATTATGAACATTAACATATACTAATCAATGCGGTAGTAATACAAAAAAGATTAACTTAAATTATTGTTGAGTTAAATATATTTTCAAATTACCTCCCTTGAAAAAAATTACCACAAAAAAAGTTGAATTAATTAGTTTTTTCGACCTACTTTTATGGAAATGTATCCATTTATTCTAGGAATATAAATTAAATGATATTTGACATTGATCTTTTTAATATGTTTTAGCAATGTGCAAATATTTAATATTTTCATAACGTTATGCAAAAAAGTAAACACAGTGTCATTTATAAAATAGCTCTATGCCGCTATATAAACAAACCCTACTCTAATACTAATAATAAGACACTGCGGTGCACTGAAAAGCACAGCATGGAGCATAGTTTACTTTTATAGTCCCAAAATCTATAGCGATGACGGAAGGAAGGAAGGACACGCTCACCCGCTTATATTATAGATATATATATATATATATATATATATATATATAGGGATCCAGGAAAAAACTGGTTGGGTGAGGGGGGTCTTTTTCACTAGACAAAATCTTTTATCTCAATGTAGCCCCAGATGCATATCTTTTTTTTAAATTACTGATATAATCTGTGGTGCTCATATTTTGGGTTTCTAAATTAGTTATTTTAGGTGCAAAAAAATCAGATGATGAAGCTAAATAAAATATGAATGAGCTGAGTGTATTGAAGAATGCTTTAATGCATGAATGAACTGAGTGCGTTGAAGTATTGTTTAAGTGAAATGTTTGTTTAAACCAGTGGTACAGGAAGATTTTGTTTCCTCAGATCCCAACAGCTCAGTTAACTGCCGCAGTTGGCAGGTGATGGCAGTCACCAGCAGCACATTGGCACCTGCAAACATGCGTGTCCAGAAGTATGTCCAGTGTCACCTCAAAAAATGTGCCATGGACACCACTTCAGAAGAGGGCAAGTTTGCTCGCTTTGCACTAAAGGTAATTGTAGTGACACTAGTTACAAATAGGTCAACAGAAAGGAGAAAACGTCAAATAGACGCGTGATAAGTACAAACCAATGATATGCGAGATGATGACCTGTCATGTGCGACAGTCAGCTGACCATTGTAGCATAGGGCAGCGAGTTGTGCCTAGATATCATAAGAGCATGTACTACAGTTGAATGTTAAATTAGAAGTAGTTGTAGATAGATATTGTTAGGAGATAGTTGAACTGCATTTGAGATTAGACAGAAGTAAAGTATAGTACAGCAGATTTAGTTAGAATTAGGAGAAGATTTATATGTGCATATGTGTGAAGAGTAAATACACTGAAATTATCTTGGTACTTGACATTGTGTTGTTGTGTTCAAGTGCAGGTATTACAAAGCTAAGTAAAGAAATCGTTCCCTGTAAGAACCTTATAGGAATAAGACAGAATTCCATTTAAATATATTCAATCAATATATATAAAAAAAACATCCTCACAGTAATAACCAACACAGCCACACCCAAATATTTTGTTCTAATATTGTCATGTAATTATGAACATAAATACCATAACCAATACAGCCACACCCAAATATTTTGTTCTAATATTGTCATGTAATTATGAACATAAATACCATAACCAACACAGCCACACCCAAATATTGTCATGTAATTATGAACATAAATACCCATCTCTTAACTCTCCATCCTGAGCTGTTTTTCTTGTTTGTTTTTTCACCTGATTCCTTGTGTCTTAACGCTTTTGTCTTCATCTGTTTTAGATCAAAACTTGCTAAGAAAATTTCACACATTAGTTCTGGACTGATTTATTTCAAACATGACAGTCTTCATCTGTTTTAGATGAAAACTTGCTAATAAAATTTCACTCATTAGTACTGGACTGATTTGTTTCAAACATGACAGTCTTCATCTGTTTTAGATGAAAACTTGCTAATAAAATTTCACTCACTAGTGCTGGACTGATTTGTTTCAAACATGACAGTCTTCATCTATTTTAGATGAAAACTTGCTAATAAAATTTCACTCATTAGTACTGGACTGATTTGTTTCAAACATGACAGTCTTCATCTGTTTTAGATGAAAACTTGCTAATAAAATTTCACTTATTAGTACTGGACTGATTTGTTTCAAACATGACAGTCTTCATCTGTTTTAGATGAAAACTTGCTAATAAAATTTCACTCATTAGTACTGGACTGATTTGTTTCAAACATGACAGTCTTCATCTGTTTTAGATGAAAACTTGCTAATAAAATTTCACTCATTAGTACTGGACTGATTTGTTTCAAACATGACAGTCTTCATCTGTTTTAGATGAAAACTTGCTAATAAAATTTCACTCATTAGTACTGGACTGATTTGTTTCAAACATGACAGTCTTCATCTGTTTTAGATGAAAACTTGCTAATAAAATTTCACTCATTAGTACTGGACTGATTTGTTTCAAACATGACAGTCTTCATCTGTTTTAGATGAAAACTTGCTAATAAAATTTCACTCATTAGTACTGGACTGATTTGTTTCAAACATGACAGTCTTCATCTGTTTTAGATCAAAACTTGCTAATAAAATTTCACTCATTAGTACTGGACTGATTTGTTTCAAACATGACAGTCTTCATCTGTTTTAGATGAAAACTTGCTAATAAAATTTCACTCATTAGTACTGGACTGATTTGTTTCAAACATGACATATAGCTTCATACCCAATTACAAAACAGTGTGACAACATAACATTTTTTAAATTAATTTTAGAAAATAAATGATAGACAAAAAACATACTATTAGTGTCAAGCTTTTACACCCACACGTTCAGTGCATGCAATTGACGTGCAACTGTCTTAAACATAAGTACGCTATCTGGAATTTAGAAAAATGAATTTCAGGCTTTAAAAAGTCTGGAAAATCGCTAGTTTTTGGGCTGGAGTTTTTAGAAGTCTGGAAAAAGTCTGGAATCTAGTTTTAGAAACAAATTGTCCACAAAGTCCATATTTTCCGACTAACAAAAAGGCTATTCTTTCGTGAATTTACTCCAAATTTTTTTTTCCGCGCTGTCGTGCAGGTCTACAAAGTCTTATGACATTTTTGCTGGATCACAGAATAAACCAGATTGCTCATTCAGTTGTTACGTCAGTGGGAGAGGAGGGGGAAGCGGGAGGGAAAAAGACATTTTTTGCACGACTGACAGTGTGGATGTGTTACAAGTATTTACAATTGTCATTTAATGAAAGAATTATTGCCCTCAGAAATGCTAGGCTCATGATTTTTACCTGCTATTTTTCATTACGTTTGAGTTTGCAAGCAGGCAGTCAGGGCAGAAAATTATGGGGGAGATGTGTAAGTGGTAGTTTAAGTATAATTTATCTCATTGTATGTGTGAACTCACAGTGACCCCAAGTAGGTATTTGTTACTGCGTGGCTAGGGATATAACAAGATAAAAATATTAGTGAGCACTTGATCAAAGGGCAGTTGAGGCAGAACTGTTTGTCTTGGTTGGCTGATTTCTTTCATGTCAAGGGGTCATCCATAAATGACGTCACACTTTTTTGGACTATTTTTACCTCCCCCCTCCCCTCCGTCAAACGTCACAAAAAGCCAGACCCCCTCAAAATTGCAGTTGAATATTTTTTAAAACATCGATATTTTTCCAAAATCTAGTCAGAACTCTGTCAACATAGAGTATTTTGATCGATTCCTATTAGAATTTATTAAAACCTTTTCTAAAACACGAAATAACGGCTAAAACTCGTTTTCTAACATTGCTTTTTTATAATGCAACAAAGTGACATCACGCCATCTGAACCCCCCCCCCCCCCCCCCCCCCCCCCCAAAACTAAAAAAAGGAAATTAAAACAAATATGAAAATCTTAATAATATCAATCTTTTCTATGCACTCAAAAATAAGAAAATAAAACCAATGGGCTTCCTTTAACTTAAGGGAGTAGGCGCCGGTAAAAAACAAACTTTTTTAATACCCCCTTAAATAAAAGCTTTGTTCTCTAAAATATTCAAGGAATCTCATGAGTGACCAAAGCTTTTATTTAAAGGAAGCAAATTATTTGAATTTTCTTATTTTCAGTGCATTTTTAATACAAAGATTTTCTATTTGTTTTATTTTTTACTTGTGATGTTTCATTAATTGGACATGTGTTTATTTCATTCAGTGCTTAAACAGAACAATTGAAAAAAAGAGACGCAAGTTTGCTCCGTCTGTCAAAGAGATCCAGTGTATAATACAGAGGTAAGTCATGCTGGTAAGTCATGCTGATACAGAGGTAAGTCATGCTGGTAAGTCATGCTGGTAAGTCATGCTGGTAAGTCATGCTGGTACAGAGGTAAGTCATGCTGGTAAGTCATGCTGGTAAGTCATGCTGGTAAGTCATGCTGGTACAGAGGTAAGTCATGCTGGTAAGTCATGCTGATACAGAGGTAAGTCATGCTGGTAAGTCATGCTGGTAAGTCATGCTGGTAAGTCATGCTGGTACAGAGGTAAGTCATGCTGGTAAGTCATGCTGGTACAGAGGTAAGTCATACCGGTACAGAGGTAAGTCATGCTGGTAAGTCATGCTGGTACAGAGGTAAGTCATGCTGGTAAGTCATGCTGGTAAGTCATGCTGGTAAGTCATGCTGGTACAGAGGTAAGTCATGCTGGTAAGTCATGCTGGTACAGAGGTAAGTCATACCGGTACAGAGGTAAGTCATGCTGGTAAGTCATGCTGGTACAGAGGTAAGTCATGCTGGTACAGAGGTAAGTCATGCTGGTACAGAGGTAAGTCATGCTGGTACAGAGGTAAGTCATGCTGGTAAGTCATGCTGGTACAGAGGTAAGTCATGCTGGTACAGAGGTAAGTCATGCTGGTACAGAGGTAAGTCATGCTGGTACAGAGGTAAGTCATGCTGGTACAGAGGTAAGTCATGCCGGTACAGAGGTAAGTCATGCCGGTACAGAGGTAAGTCATGCTGGTACAGAGGTAAGTCATGCTGGTAAGTCATGCTGGTACAGAGGTAAGTCATGCTGGTACAGAGGAAAGTCATGCTGTTACTGAGGTAAGTCAGAATTCATACTGGTACAGTATAAGGACTAGGACATTAACATCTACATCTTGTCATTACCTCCAAAACAATTACTCCCATATCCATTTCACTTACTAAAGGATACTTATTATCCATTAATCAAAGCAAGAAATGTGTCATTCTAAAGCTGAAGGTACTGAACTGCACCAGTTTCATATGCGCATTCACCGAACTCTTCTTAATAGTGTTAATGCCTACACTGACAAAATCCTAGTGTGAATCATGAGCCTGGTGTGTATCTTGACCTCTGTTGATCTCCCCCCCCCCCCCCCCCCCCAAAAAAAAAGATTGAACCCAGGTTAAGAACCTCTATTCTATAGAAAGCCTTAAATAGGCCACCAGAGCATATAATCCTGACCTTGAACTCTATCCCTAAACCTTATATTACCAAATATTACCATACAGTTTGATTGAGCTTAATATAAAGTTTGAGTCTATTTGTCATTACCAGGGGGATAATAGACAATAAGGTTCTGCCCTGGTGCTAACTCTCTCAAAACCAACTTTTCCCCAGAAAACCCATCACACAGAAAATTTATTTCCTCAATGGTGAACAGAGAATCTTGGAGTTTGATTCTGCTGGGACCTGTGGGGAGGTGAGTTGTTGGAACACAATATATGACAGCCCACATAGTCACATGACAGCACAGTCACATGACAACACACATAGTCACATGACAGCACACATAGTCACATGACAGCCCACATAGTCACATGACAGCACAGTCACATGACAACACACATAGTCACATGACAGCCCACATAGTCACATGACAGCACAGTCACATGACAGCCCACATAGTCACATGACAGCACAGTCACATGACAACACACATAGTCACATGACAGCCCACATAGTCACATGACAGCACAGTCACATGACAACACACATAGTCACATGACAGCACACAGTCACATGACAGCACACATAGTCACATGACAACACACATAGTCACATGACAGCCCACATAGTCACATGACAGCACACAGTCACATGACAGCACACATGACATATGTAGTCACATGGCAATATTAGGTTACATGACAAAAATTGGAATGACAAGAGTGTCCACATAAGACATCTGAAAACATCCTTAGCCACAAAACATCTAGTCACTTGACTCCAGAAACATATAAAAGCCGAGATATTTGCCAGGTGATCAAGAATGTGAAGACAAAGATTGGAATGAGATCTGATGCTGAGTGTTTTGCAATCTATGAGATGATGGGAAATTCTGGTTAGTTTTTTTTTTTTATCTAATGCTGTGTGGTAGAATTTTGCAAAGTTTGTGCTGGTAGTTATGTAAGCTTCTTACCTTGTATGTTTCTCTGTATGCTGACCTGTGTATGTTTCTCTGTATGCTGACCTGTGTATGTTTCTCTGTATGCTGACCTGTGTATGTCTCTGTGTATGTTTCTCTGTATGCTGACCTGTGTATGTTTCTCTGTATGCTGACCTGTGTATGTTTCTCTGTATGCTGACCTGTGTATGTTTCTCTGTATGCTGAGCTGTGTATGTTTCTCTGTATGCTTACCTGTATTTTTTCTCTGTATGCTGACTTGTATGTTTCTCTGTATGCTGACATGTATGTTTCTCTGTATGCTGACCTGTATGTTTCTGTATGCTGACCTGTATGTTTCTCTGTATGCTGACCTGTATGTTTCAGTATTCTGACCTGTATGTTTCTCTGTATGCTGACCTGTGTATGTTTCTCTGTATGCTGACCTGTGTATGTTTCTCTGTATGCTGACCTGTGTATGTCTCTGTGTATGTTTCTCTGTATGCTGACCTGTGTATGTTTCTCTGTATGCTGACCTGTGTATGTTTCTCTGTATGCTGACCTGTGTATGTTTCTCTGTATGCTGAGCTGTGTATGTTTCTCTGTATGCTTACCTGTATTTTTTCTCTGTATGCTGACTTGTATGTTTCTCTGTATGCTGACATATATGTTTCTCTGTATGCTGACCTGTATGTTTCTGTATGCTGACCTGTATGTTTCTCTGTATGCTGACCTGTATGTTTCAGTATTCTGACCTGTATGTTTCTCTGTATGCTGACCTGTGTATGTTTCTCTGTATGCTGACCTGTGTATGTTTCTCTGTATGCTGACCTGTGTATGTTTCTCTGTATGCTGACCTGTGTATGTCTCTGTGTATGTTTCTCTGTATGCTGACTTGTATGTTTCTCTGTATGCTGACCTGTATGTTTCTCTGTATGCTGACCTGTATGTGTCTTTGTATGCTGACCTGTATGTAAACTACTGACCAATGTAACCACAGAGCGCGCCATGTCCAGCGATGAACGCCTCTCTGATACAGTGAGTAAATGGGAGCGCCTGTCTCGCAGTGGAGCAGTCAGAGACCTAAAGCTCCTCTTTAAGGTATACATCTAACAAACATCTTCATTCACACAACACATCTTGTTGGCTACATTGGTTCACTGTTATTATCTAACATACATTTTGCAACATGCATCAGTAATTTTAGCTGCATGTCAAAATCTCCATATAAATAAGATTAATTTTTTAAATAGCTTGCTTATTAGCCATCTATCAAATGTCATTTGAGATATTTTGTTATTTAGCTGTATGTAAAATGTCATTTAAAACATTTAGTAATTTAGTTGTATGTAAAATGTCAACAGAAGCGCTTGTTTATTGAGCCATATGTTAACACAAGTGATCCAGTAGAATGTGACCTGCTCTTCAATCAACTCATTGAAGATGTTTTTGAGCAAAGAATTCCTATAAGTCATAAAGAGGCAGTAAGTATAATAAAATAGTGAATACAAGTATATTATATAGAGTAATTTTGTCTCGTTAACCTGAATTTTGGTGCTCAGTACAATATGACATATCTTTAGGTTCATCTTTGTGCCCTCAAAGTACAGTCTGAGATTGAAGACATGAAAACTGGAGACATAGACTACACGTAAGCTGTAGTTCAGTTTTTTTTTTATAGATAAGTAATCTACCTAGGTGAGTGAAAAACATTTTGTCTGCCTAGGTCTGTGAAAAACATTTTGTCTGCCTAGGTCTGTGAAAAACATTTTGTCTGCCTAGGTCTGTGATGCGTATACTGCCTAGGTCTGTGAAAAACATTTTGTCTGCCTAGGTCTGTGATGCGTATACTGCCTAGGTCTGTGAAAACCATTTTGTCTGCCTAGGTCTGTGAAAAACATTATGTCTGCCTAGGTCAGTGAAAAACATTTTGTCTGCCTAGGTCAGTGAAAACCATTTTGTCTGCCTAGGTCTGTGATGCGTATACTGCCCAGAGACATGAGATGCACAGTGCGACCAGAGGAAGTAGCCACAGCCCACAAGACTGTGCTGGACATGAGCCCCCACCAGGCTGTTATCTCTTTCATTCATTTATTAAAAAGCTGGCCACTTTTTGGGACAACTATATTTGAAGTTTCAGTAAGTCAGACAAGCCTATATTTGAAATTACAATATAGTAACATGACTTGGTTAATTGTATAGTTTTTTTTTTTTTAATATATCGGGAGTGATCTCCCCTAAACTTTCTCAAATATTCTGATATAACACTACGGGAGAAGACACATCACGATATAGACATGATTTTTAATCCATTTTTAATTACTTAAACTTTTTAAAATAGAATAAAATCTTGTGGGAAAAAAAATTGCACACAAAGTGAATGAAAAACAGTATGTATATAATAGTGCGGAATGTAAATAGTACTTCATAAATTCATATGCGTTTTTGAGAAATCGGATATAGTGTAAATTACTATTTCCTGTCAACGGAAATTACTCAAAATTTGACAGAAGGAAGAGAATTAGATATTTACTTATATGTGAAATTTTATTTATCTATATGAAAGAGTACTCAAGTTATAGGCTTTTGAAAAATTGAAAGTAGAATAAGTGCCACTTCTGGTTATCGGAAATTGCTGAAAAGTTGATACAGAACTACAAATTTGATATAATACTTATATATATATCTAATTTCATCAACCTAGCTTTAACGGTACTCAAGTTATTGTGTTTACAGATTCACACACACACACACAGACATACGGACAGAATTGCAAAAGTTTTTCTGACTCGATTACGCATAAAACGCCAAAATTTTGACATATCTGGATTTATAATTTTTGCCAGATTAAAATAAGTCCTCTATACTCCGGATGTGATGGAAGACTGAGGTGTAAAACGGTGAAAACTGTCAAAATTTCATGTGATTTTTTTGCACGATTACAATACTTTCTTTGAACCCCATTCTGTCTATGCTCAGTGCACAGACCCCATCTATATATATAATTCTCCGATACCCTAGAAAACACCAAACTGTAAGCACGCCTAGCAGCCCCCTCTCTTCCTCTCTAGGCATATCCCTACCACCCCCACCCCCACATGGTCTGGTGAGCTGTGGTTCATGCTAAATGTTTACAATCGTAGAGCCGGGTTTAGTGACGCCTATTAGGGACAGATAATTTAGTTTGAAATGATTTTAAACTTAGAGGAGGTAACTAAGAGGAGGCTGCTTTCACAGGGGGGGGGGGAGGGAAAGGAGGGTGGGGGTAGTATTGTCCTTAACGACCTACTGATAGTGTTTTAAAGCAAATATTTTCAGTGGCAGCACTGGTACTGTCGAATTCACAAATTATGAATTACTGGAAAGTAGAAAATAAAACAACTAAATAGCAACATATGATACGCCGTGGGTCGGCTCGCTATAGATTTTTTATAATTTTAAAAAAAAAATTTAAAAAATAATTTTTTAAACTTTATAATAATAAGCTTTTAAATAATAAGTGGATATTTAGTTTTTAAAAATAATTAGTAGACCTACTTTATTTTATTTATTTACTTGTTGCATTCTTTCCATTCTTACTGAAGTCTATAATACATATGACTAAAAACATAAGCTGTAAAACCTGATCTCTAAAAGACATTTATCTGCCCATTCTCAGTCAGCTCTCAGCTGTGAAATCAACTATCAGTTACAAACAGTTCACCTTTGTCAGCTAATACTTTATATCTTCTTAATTGTTATTTAGTTTAGTAAACTATAACTTAATTTTAATTATTAATCTATACGATGTATAGAAATAAAAAATTTTATAACTTAAATTTCATCTGCAGCTTATATGGAAAGTTTGAACGAAATCGCTGCATTAGAAGTGGGTCCAAATTTGCCACAAACCCACAAATATTATGAACTAAATAAAAGCTTTTTGAAATGCTTTGACATATGGGAAGGATTTTTCTAATAAAGTAATATGCTTGTGTGGTACATGACTCAATATGGTCTTGTCTGTTAATTGAATCTCATCAATGTTTTACCTCTTTTAGCAAACTTACACCTCAACTATGCCTAAAGTGCTGTTATTGGGAATCCACCAAAAAGGCATTTACCTCCTGGATATGGGCACATTTGTAAGTATGAGACACTCAATTATGTTGGCGAGGGGAGAGCTGGATGTCATCCACAGGGAGTGTGGAACATCCATAGCACTAGTAGAAAGGGTTGTGGGACACAGGCATACGAGGGCCTATGTGTAAGGGCTTAGGAAGGGCTGTCTTAGGGTTCAAAACGGTTCAAAAGTTGTAGGCTTTTGAAGAAATCCAATATGGCGGCCATCTACCATCTTGGATTTGTAAAAAAAACAAAGAATTTCCTAATCTTGCTGAATTGCTGTTTGATACTGAGCCTTGATATCAAATGTGGTTTATTATCTCAAATGGTTCAAAAGTTATAGGCAAAGTAAGAAACAGATAAGTGAAAATCTGTTTGGGCCTGGGATCTCAGGAAATGGGTGAAATTAGGGCTCAAAGGGTTAAAAGTGGTGAGGTGCCCTAACTACACTTGACTGTACACTTTAAAAGTGGTGAGGTGCCCTAACTTGACTACACTTTAAAAGTGGTGAGGTGCCCTAACTACACTTGACTGTACACTTTAAAAGTGGTGAGGTGTCCTAACTACACTTGACTGTACACTTTAAAAGTGGTGAGGTGCCCTAACTACACTTGACTGTACACTTTAAAAGTGGTGAGGTGCCCTAACTACACTTGACTGTACACTTTAAAAGTGGTGAGGTGCCCTAACTACACTTGACTGTACACTTTAAAAGTGGTGAGGTGTCCTAACTACACTTGACTGTACACTTTAAAAGTGGTGAGGTGTCCTAACTACACTTGACTGTACACTTTAAAAGTGGTGAGGTGTCCTAACTACACTTGACTATACTTTAAAAGTGGTGAGGTGCCCTAACTACACTTGACTGTACACTTTAAAAGTGGTGAGGTGCCCTAACTACACTTGACTGTACACTTTAAAAGTGGTGAGGTGCCCTAACTTGACTACACTTTAAAAGTGGTGAGGTGCCCTAACTACACTTGACTGTACACTTTAAAAGTGGTGAGGTGCCCTAACTTGACTACACTTTAAAAGTGGTGAGGTGCCCTAACTACACTTTTTAGCCCCTCTCTGTAAGTGTGGTCTAAAAAAACTTGTTTATTGCCAGGGAGTGTTGTCATCTTTTAGCTACTCAGACATTGTCCACTCAAGTCCAGCCATTAAAAGCATTATGATTGTCATAGGACATGTTGCTAAAGGAATCAAATTTATGTTCAACACAAATCAGGTAAATGATGTTTGAATGTCTGAAGGGGGAGGGGCACAGTTGTTGCACCAAGAGTATAGAACTATTGTGATATTAGCTTGCTGATGGGAGAGGGGCACAGTTGTTGCACCAAGAGTATAGAACTATTGTGATATTAGCTTGCTGAAGGGGGAGGGGCACAGTTGTTGCACCAAGAGTATAGAACTATTGTGATATTAGCTTGCTGAAGGGGGAGGGGCACAGTTGTTGCACCAAGAGTATAGAACTATTGTGATATTAGCTTGCTGAAGGGGGAGGGGCACAGTTGTTGCACCAAGAGTATAGAACTATTGTGATATTAGCTTGCTGAAGGGGGAGGGGCACAGTTGTTGCACCAAGAGTATAGAACTATTGTGATATTAGCTTGCTGAAGGGGGAGGGGCACAGTTGTTGCACCAAGAGTATAGAACTATTGTGATATTAGCTTGCTGAAGGGGGAGGGGCACAGTTGTTGCACCAAGAGTATAGAACTATTGTGATATTAGCTTGCTGAAGGGGGAGGGGCACAGTTGTTGCACCAAGAGTATAGAACTATTGTGATATTAGCTTGCTGAAGGGGGAGGGGCACAGTTGTTGCACCAAGAGTATAGAACTATTGTGATATTAGCTTGCTGAAGGGGGAGGGGCACAGTTGTTGCACCAAGAGTATAGAACTATTGTGATATTAGCTTTAAATAATTGTTTAATTGTTGACACAGACAAGCTTCCACCAGGAGGACTTGTATATTGTTGTAACATCTTCTCTTTCTCTCTGCCAGGCAACCCAACTTGTATATTGTTGTAACATCTTCTCTTTCTCTCTGCCAGGCATCCCAAATAGCTCAGCTAATTAAAGACTACACTGATGAGCTGCAGGCCCGCTACTTGTTAACACCAGCAGAGCATGCCCATAGGACCTCACTGCCATATGGCCTGGAGGAGCTGGAGAGGCAAAATGCTTTGATACAGTCCATTGACACAGACAGGTTCGACTGAAGAGGAGACTACTGGTGCACAGAAAATTCTAGTCAGCAATGATCAAATCAAAACAAATATTTTTTCCTCTGATGAGTAACAGTGGTGTTAGATGTTTTATTTACACTCAATGACAGGTTAACCAGTGTTAACTAACAATTCATGTACATGTATCTATGTCTCTTCACATTGTAACATATATTTACTACTGTAAACTTGGATGGCATTTATCAATGTTGCATAATATTTTAGTGAATATTATCTTGTCAACCCATGAGGTAGGATGAAGTCTTCCCCCCACCCTTCTCGCCACCCCCAGCAATTAGGTCAGAGCCCCCTTCCCCACTACCTTGCTTAGGTCAGACTCGCCCCCTCCCAACAAGACTAGCTTTGGTCAACTCCCTGAAGTATTGAAAAGCTGCATGCTTGTAGAGAAATGTGTTCACTGTTTGTTCCCAACTGATGCAGCCCTGCTCTATGTTTATTGAATGTGATATCATTGTCTACATAGAGCATTTATCCCATTGGCGCCTCACCTATATGTTCATTACTCGTAAACCTTGGTTGTCATATTTGTACATTTCTGGAAGGTGAGTTTCCTTATGAGACAAAATTGCACTATACAAGTATGCTATAGCTGGACATACCAATTTTTGATATCCCACAATGCCTTGATTTCATAATGCATGTTTTTGCTCTCCTACAGCAGTTATCTGCTCCACCTAAATGTTATCACCTGTATCAGCTCTGACTTTGGACACCTTTACCTATATATCCTCCCCTGACTGTTCTGTGTTCTCTCAACCATTTGATGTACTATAGATATCAGCCATATTATTTGTTAAACATGACAATCATGTTCCAAAACTTGAAATGATGTATTGACTGGAGTCTTCAATTGATATATTTATTTCATCTTCTCTTTTACACATTTTTTTTTACATTTTCTATGTGCACAATGATAATAGATAAAAAATGATCAATTTTTAATTGCATAGATTTTATTTTTTAACGTTGAACGTTAATGTACAATTGCTAAAAGATTTAGCCTTTTGGGTTTAGTTACAGTTGAATTTACTAGATTTTTTAAAAGTAAGATTACACTCCATTACATTAAAGTAAGGTTACACGCCTTTGATGATAATTATTTTCTTACAAAATTTAAAAAATGTCCACCTTGCTTCTTTCCCTCCCCCCCCCCCCCCCCCCCCACAATAAAATGACATAATTATACCAAGGGACCAAATCTCTAAAGTTTAGTTTGTTTACTTATAAAAAAGCTTTAATGAAGAATATGCTACAATTTTTGTTATCAAGGTGGTATTCCATTTACCGGTATTACTATACACAATACTGGCTATAAACAGCATTAATATTTTTTGTACTTAATTTAAAATTCCAACTATTCTCTTCCTAATCCTGTTATGTTACTAAGGCAGCAGGTTAGCAGTCCTGACCAATTTAAGCATTTGGTTGGCACAACCCTGGCCAAATCAACCTCTCAATTAGAAATCCAGATCTTTGCTCTATTGCAGTACTTACTGAAAGACCTTTTCAATCACTTGGAAATCCTACGCAACATTTTGAAAATAATTTCAGCTAAGATCTAGCCTCAGTGACTTCACATATTTAAGTGGGTTTTTATTTTTAAAAATGTGGAAAATAGTATCATTAGGAAGGTAAATTCAGTGCTGTAAATTGTGAACTTTTTTGTATAAATATTGAACATTCCATTCAGTTTTATTTTTTAAATTTGTTTACCAATAAATTTCATTGTGTTGAACTCAAAGATGTTTTTGTCATGGCAATGTTTTGTTATTTATTTAAATATTATGGCACTTTATGAACATCCATGTCATGATTGTTTTCCAGAATTTTTTTATTTGTCTTGTAAATTAAGTCCTTAAACTTTGTTTGTGAAATTCAGTGCCTTTAACTGATGTCTATTTTTATCATTTAGTTCTATGTAAATGGCTGTAACCAGTGTCCATGACAAAAGCAAACACCTGGTTTTACAGGCCTGACTCCAACTAAATGCTGGATGAAGGGACTTAACATGGTGGATTTTAGTTGGTCTTGTCACCACCATTTGTGTTGGCTTGAAAATTTTGAAAGAAAAGAAACATGGTTACAGTCTTCAATTTTTTCATGCTAAGCTATGCATTGAGCTTCATTATTTACTCATAAGTTGTTGAAACCACTTATTTCAGCGCTTGAATAAACACATCATTTTTTTTTTTGTTTGCTTGCTTTTTATTTTTTAAGTGTATTAGATTAGATATATATTATAATATTCTAAATTGTATTTAACGTTTGTATTTTTACATAACAAACATTTATTTAACCTGATAAATCGAGCTTTGTAATGGGTGAAAACTTGAACACAAAATTTCATCATATAAAAAGGAAAGTTTTTGTACAACAGGTTTTACAAATAAACCTGACAATTAATGTGCAGACATGATCATACATAGAATAAAAATGAACATTCCAGTTAAATAAACAATTAGAGTTAAATAGTATTTTAAGAGCAAAATTGACAAATCCAGACAACACAACTTTTGAAATGTATTAATTCATTTTAAATAAATTAAGTTTAAAAAACCTTAGAGGCATATGAATAACAAACACCATCAGCAATAAAAAAAAAGTGAGCAATAGAAAATAAAACTGGTTCGCTTGCCACATTTTGACACTTTTCATCAGCCATTAAAAGAGTTGCTAAACATTTTGAAACATTAATATGTCTAACTATAATAATTTGATTAGGAATTAAGTAGACCTATACGCTAAAGAGGTAAAGAGCTTCTAGCTGGTTCAAACATTATTAAAAAATTGCTTGGTCACTGTTACTTATTTTCCTATACATTTAAAAAAGAGGTCAAAGTTCGTCCCAAAAGTGCAGTTTAAAAAAAAAATGAAAATAAATCCAGACAAAAATAGATCTATATTTCATTAGATGAACCAGAAAGTTTAAGGGAGATCACTCCATTTAATTTTAAACATTGTCGTTAATCTATCGCTTTAGGTGCGTAAAATCGGCCGAGGCTAGATCTAGTATTGTGCGAACAAGTTGCATCATCGTTAAGGCTTTAATATGGGTATAGATCTATATATTTATAATATTGTGATATACTTGTGTCAAATATTATACATAACTGAATAATAAACCAAAATCAATGGCTAAGTATTAAGTAAGGCTAAGTTTATACGAAGTGACTACTCGGAAGATTTTTCTCCCCAACGTCTCCACTTGGTCGGCAAAAGATAACTCTGCGCATGCGCAGTGACCTATGGCTAGGATTAGGGACAGGGTTAGGGAAAGGATTAGAGTTGGTGTTAGGGTTCTGAGGTTGTAAACACACGCATGCGCAGTACCATCGAAAACATCGCAGCGAAGGCAAGTCGTAGTTTCTCTCCATTGCGCATGCGTATCGCATGCGTATCTTATTCCGGCTAGCATCGGCCAAGTTTATATATAGATCTAGCATAGGCCAGCAGTGTTCGAGCAAAAAGATGACGCCAAAAAAAAGTACGGTTTACAATACTTCGGTGAATTCCGGAAGTGTGTGACAGATTTTGCTTTTGGTTTACTGTTTTTTACTGCTATACGATTCCGGAATAATAACCGACGCTAAACTAAGGTTTTACTATCTAGATCTAGTATCATGATAATCGGCCGATTTTACGTAGATTTCTACCTAAAACGATAGATTGCCACATTTTTATAACTTTCAAAACATAAAAGTCCTCCTACAAAATGTGAAATAATTTTCACATTTACTTTAGCCGTTAGCCTCGGTCGATTTTTACGTCTAGATCTAGAATCTAAAACTAATTAATTTAAGTATGTCATTTAATGCTAGGCTAGATCTAGAATAATTGTGCACAAAAATCATATGGAATTTGGCAGTTTTCACTGTTTTTACTTCTCAGTACTTCATCGTATAGGCCTACGGAATATAGGATCTATAGGCTAGCATAGGGAGCTTATTTTAGTCTGGCAAAAATTCTAAATTCAGATTTATCTGAATTTGTTTACACGTATTCGAGTCTCACATTTTACTCCTAACCGATTAGTAGTCTTGGTAATATGATTGGTATGGGTAAATAAATTGCGCTAATATCTGTGAAAAATGTAACCGCATTAAACTTTAAATTTTGAAGTTGGCATTGTTAAAATGTAGCCGAATCCCAGAAAATGGTAGATTAGTGTACTATATTTATTAGTATATAGGGGCCCTAATATATAAGTATTTGAACTAGATCTAGATTTAACACATTGACTACAAGCAAGCAATCTTCCACCCTCAACTCTAGGTACTATTTGTAATATAAATTATTTGGAAATCAAATCTAGTTTAGTCTAAATACTATTAAGTCTAAATTATCATGATCTAGATTACAGATCTAGTCTAGTAGTAGTTACTTACTTAGAGTCATAGAGAGTATTACATCTACTAGTTAGTAACCAGTGTTTCTTCCAGACTTTTTTCTTTGTGGGGGGGGGGGGGCGGACAATGTCATAAGTATTTTCTATATAAATTCCATTTTGTTCGGGGGGGGGGGGGGGGGGCAGTAGACTCGTTAGAAGAAACTCGTTAGTAACTATAAAACTAGAATGTTGAAAATAGAACTATAAAACCTTGATCAAGATTTACAAATTCTACACACACTACACTAGATGTCGGACATCGGTAGGGCTTATTAAATAGATCTATTATAGCCTAGCACTTAACTCAATACTCAATTGAATAGGTCTACTCCCGCCTTAAGTGCAAGTGTCTTTCTGAAAGAACTCAAAACAACTGGTTTGTTCAGATGGCAACCTTAAGCTTTAATCTACACAACAAGGACGGTAGCACACAAAACATTTCTCACTCTGTTGCCGTGGATCAAGACAGCTTTGCATATCATTTATTGTTTGAATCTCTCCAACTGGTACAAGAGCAGTGTAATGACATACTTACAAGATTAGTAGAAGCAGAAAAAGTTCAGGGTATATCCAGCAGTACTGCCATCAATGTGCCAAGTATAAGTAAGTACTTGATTAGTCTGAAGTCTAGTACTAGTCTTATTTATTGTTCAACAAAAATTTGAAACAGTAGGCCTTCTCAAATTTAAATTCTTTTGAATTTAAAATGTATTTCGTTCATTGATGGAACTGCCAAAACACCAACTCATGCAGGGGCGTGGCCATGCAGTTAAGGGTCCCACGCCATACATAAAATTATTATAATTCAATCACTAACCCACGCTGGTGTGGGAACAAATTATAGAACTACTAGACAAACTAGTGTGATAGACACGCAAAGCTACAAATGAATTCTGTGACTTGCTCTCCTTTAAATGAGTGGTATTGAAGGTATACTGTAAAAAGTATACATTTCCTAAATAAATTTCATTTTGTTCGGGAAGGGGGGGGGTAGACTTTCTTCAGGAGATGCCTGGAAGAAACTCTGTGCTTACCTAAAAAAAAAAAAAAATACTTTTGTTGCCAATGGTGAATTTTTAGATGCATGACCTTCTGTTTCGTAATTGAACAATTATAATAATGGATTCTTATTGCATCAGAAATATAAAAGACATATTGGTGCACCAGATGGTTAATGTAAAGGTGGGTATGCAAATTGAGACCCAGTCAGAGGGACTTAGTTTTCATCCAGCTCTGATGGGCTTTTGGCTTTGATTGGCTTTGGTTCCAGCTGAGAGGACCCCTGGATGACCTCAATCATAAGGGCCTTTGTTAGAGACAGTTACCTCTACAGTTACAAAAATATTTGTATTGTTAAAATCATCTCTGCTTGTCTTGTTAAAATCATCTCTGCTTGTATTGTTAAAATCATCTCTACTTGTATTGTTAAAATCATCTCTACTTGTGTTGTTAAAATCATCTTTACTTGTATTGTTAAAATCATCTCTACTTGTATTGTTAAAATCATCTTTACTTGTATTGTTAAAATCATCTTTACTTGTATTGTTAAAATCATCTCTACTTGTATTGTTAAAATCATCTCTACTTGTGTTGTTAAAATCATCTCTACTTGTATTGTTAAAATCATCTCTACTTGTGTTGTTAAAATCATCTTTACTTGTATTGTTAAAATCATCTTTACTTGTATTGTTAAAATCATCTCTACTTGTATTAAAATCATCTCTACTTGTATTGTTAAAATCATCTTTACTTGTATTGTTAAAATCCTCTGTATTGTTAAAATCATCTCTGCTTGTATTGTTAAAATCATCTCTGCTTGTATTGTTAAAATCATCTCTGCTTGTATTGTTAAAATCATCTCTACTTGTATTGTTAAAATCATCTTTACTTGTTTTGTTAAAAATCCTCTGTATTGTTAAAATCATCTCTGCTTGTATTGTTAAAATCATCTCTACTTGTATTGTTAAAATCATCTTTACTTGTATTGTTAAAATCCTCTGTATTGTTAAAATCATCTCTACTTGTATTGTTAGAATGATCTCTATTTTCCTTTGTAACTGTACAACAACCGTGGTTAAAGCTTTGAATTAAGTTCATGATAAACATATTAGTATTAGCTAATGTTCATTTGCTTTAAAAGCAGCTCCTTCACAAACAGAATAGAAATAAAGCTGGAGTGATCGCCCCTAAACTTTCTCGAATATTCTTATATAACACTACAGGGGATGGCAACTCGGGTTATAGAAATGATTTTTAATTACTTAAACTTCTTAAAATAGAATAGAATCTTGTAAAATATTAGTGAACAGCAAATAATGTGTGTATAATATTGCAGAATATTAGTACTTTTTATGTTAGTTTTTTTAGAAATTGCAAAAAGTAAAGTATTACTTCCTGTCAATGAAAATTACTCAAAAATTGAACAGAAGGCAGATAATTAGATCTTTTACTTGTATGTGAAATTTCGTTTCAAGTTATAGGGTTTTGAAAAACCAAAAGTAGAATAAGTTCCACTTTTGGTTACCAGAAATCACTGAAAAGTTGATACAGAAATACAAATTTGATATAATAATTATATTATATATGAAGTTTCATCCAGCTAGCTCTAACGGTACTCAAGTTATTGTTTACAGACATACATACACACATACACAGACATACGAAAAAAAATGTAAAACTGTTTTTCAGACTCACAGAGGTGTAAAATGTCAAGATTTATCTTGATCTATACTTGGTATATAAGAAAGTAAAAACAGAAAGAATGACTGTGGGCTAGTCTTTTGTGCATGACTACTCCCTGCCATAGGGTGCCCAGACTTCCCCAGCAGCTACCTTAGCACCTGGGGCCTGTTCATTGGGGTTCTTGCTACTCGATTCAATGACCAAATGCACCAGGGCATCTGCCAGCAGTCAGGTGACACAGAGCACCCTAGGCTCTCCCATGAGCACTACGGTGCCCTCAAGTCAAATTATTCTTCCAGCCTTTACCACAGATCCAGAAGAAATTATGCACAGATTTTTTTTATAGAAATACAATGACATGTGTTATGTAACTTCATTCTACTATGTTTTGATTTTGTTCCTTTTAATAGGTAACCTAGAGGATGATGAAGATGTTGGGAGTGATAATGAAGAGAACCTAGAATTACCTCCAGAGAAGAGAAAAAAGCTATAAATAGCATAATACTTGCCCACAAATTGTAATTAAAACTACTATAGTTCAGTTCACTATCTATTGTGTTGTAGTTAACATGTTTCTCTACATTTGTTCATTCAAGCAGTCATCACATAATATCATAATCTAGTCCCACTAGACATCAGCTAGTCATCATGTGATACAAACAAATGTCACATGATACATAGTGAAGTCTCACAACAATTAGGAATGATCATAAAATTCAGTTTATTTGCATGATTTTCAAATCTGTCAGTGTTTCTGTTTTAAACGCCAGACACTTTAAATAAAATAAATAATTACGTGATTCCCGAACATGGACACAATGTGCTTAACAAATGAGCTCCACCAGCCCATGAATGAGCTAAGGGAGTTACACCAGCCCATGAATGAGCTAAGGGAGTTACACCAGCCCATGAATGAACTGAGTTACACCAACCCATGAATGAACTGAGCTCCAACAGCCCATGAATGAGCTAAGGGAGTTACACTTACCCATGAATGAGCGAACTGAGCTACACCATAACAGCACACTGAGCCTACACAGAAAAAGCTGCCTATAATAGCTTCAGAATACATAGAGTAACAAAAACATGGTCACAAGTTTTATAAATAATCACAAACAAATCTTGTTTAACACACATCACTGGGATTATGTAGAATGTAAGTTAATGACTTAACAGTAAGTAAGCATAAACACGCTTTATAGCATCAACAATCAACTTTTGAATTGTACAATTAACGCACATGCATAGATGTTGAACAGCCACAAGGTATTGTGGAATATATTGTTACAATGTGTAAGTATATAAACATGACGATATATATATATTATGATGTATTCAGTTGTATATACAAGCTGACGATGTATTCAACTTACTTTGCCTTATTCAGAGTTTCCTTCAGGGAGAAATAACCTCCCCTCCCCCTCCAAGAGAAAAATAGAATTTATTTAGAAAATATGTACTTGATCCAGTGTGGCCGACCAACCCCCTGGAAAAATGTCTGATGAAACAGTGGCCACGTCAAGCACCTACAGTTGTGGTTGACCAACAGCCCACGACAAATGTGTGAGAAAAATGTCTCCTCACCACCAGTGTCAAATGTTGTGGGTGCCAGCTACTTGCTCAACTCTTTGTGTTTCTTGACTATAAACTCGACCACCTCCGGCTCGCTGAGTGTTGAGATGTCCCCAAGTTCATCAAACTTGTTGGCTGCCACCTTCCTCAGGATTCTGCGCATTATTTTACCAGACCTTGTTCTAGGCAGGTTGGGTGTGAACTAGAGAGAAAAGTTTTGTTTTAGGCATGACCTAATGAGATGGCAGGACCTAATGAGATGGCAGGACCTAATGAGATGTGGGCATGACCTAAAGAGATGGCAGGACCTAATGAGATGGCAGGACCTAATGAGATGTGGGCATGACCTAAAGAGATGGCAGGACCTAATGAGATGGCATGACCTAATGAGATGTGGGCATGACCTAATGAGATGTGGGCATGACCTAATGAGATGGAATGACCTTAGGTGTGGACATGAGTGAGATGACCATTGTGACATACCAAGATGACCTCAGGCATGGCCAGACCACCAATTTTTGTCTTGATTGCTTCCCTTAGTTCCCTCTCTATTTCCTTCTTTGTCTTGGTTCTTCCATCTTTTAAAACTGCATAGGCATATATACCTGACAGGTGGAGACAAATATGTAAACAGGTCAACATGTCATATGTTGCTACAAACAACCAAATGTCTATCTTCCCTCCATGTTAAGCGCTTGGCTGTCAGACAGAACCTTTGAACATGTGTCATGATCTAAAATGGTCCAAAACATTTGAGTCCAACTTCCTTGTGTACTTTTGGTCAGTATGATCTCCAGCACCATGTCCACCAGCTTTTCCTTTTGGAGCTATCTGAACCCAAGGTTTAGCCTGAAGCTGACCTTGTCAGGAAGGTCACACTGAAAGGGCTGCAATAGGGCTTGTAAGTAGGTCACCATATTCTCATTTTCATACTTGCCAGCTAGTATTTTGCAAACCAAATGTGAATATTTTTATTACAAGCACTAGTGAACAGTCAAGTCTACCATCTGTACATGGCATCAGTCAAGTCATCTGTACATGGCATCAGACAAGTCATCTGTACATGGCATCAGTCAAGTCATCTGTACATGGCATCAGTCAGTCAAGTCATCTGTACATGGCATCAGTCAAGTCATCTGTACATGGCATCAGTCAAGTCATCTGTACTAGAATTTAATGGATTTTCACTAGAACTAATAGAAAATCTCATAGCTCCTTGTTATTGTAATGTTATATTTAGAAATCTATTGGATGTGTCATTGTTATACAGAAATCTATTGGATGTGTCATTGTTATACACAAATCTATTGGATGTGTCATTGTTATACAGAAATCTATTGGATGTGTCATTGTTATACACAAATCTATTGGATGTGTCATTGTTATACAGAAATCTATTGGATGTGTCATTGTTATACACAAATCTATTGGATGTGTCATTGTTATACAGAAATCTATTGGATGTGTCATTGTTATACAGAAATCTATTGGATGTGTCATTGTTATACAGAAATCTATTGGATGTGTCATTGTTATACAGAAATCTATTGGATGTGTCATTGTTATACACAAATCTATTGGATGTGTCATTGTTATACAGAAATCTATTGGATGTGTCATTGTTATACAGAAATCTATTGGATGTGTCATTGTTATACAGAAATCTATTGGATGTGTCATTGTTATACACAAATCTATTGGATGTGTCATTGTTATACAGAAATCTATTGGATGTGTCATTGTTATACAGAAATCTATTGGATGTGTCATTGTTATACAGAAATCTATTGGATGTGTCATTGTTATACAGAATGGGAAAAGAAAGAAGAGTTACCTTCTCCCTTGATGTCGTGAGGAAAGCCAACCACAGCTGTTTCTGCTACATCAGGGTGGTCGTCCTAAGAGTGGAGGTTAAAATGGTGGTCATTCTAAGAGTTAGCAGAGGGAAAATGGTGGTCATTCTAAGTTAGCAGAGGGAAAATGGTGGTCATTCTAAGTCAGCAGAGGGAAAATGGTGGTCATTCTAAGTTAGCAGAGGGAAAATGGTGGTCATTCTAAGTTAGCAGAGGGAAAATGGTGGTCATTCTAAGTTAGCAGAGGGAAAATGGTGGTCATTCTAAGAGTTAGCAGAGGGAAAATAGTGGTCATTCTAAGTCAGCAGAGGGAAAATGGTGGTCATTCTAAGTTAGCAGAGGGAAAATGGTGGTCATTCTAAGAGTTAGCAGAAGGAAAATGGTGGTCATTCTAAGTTAGCAGAGGGAAAATGGTGGTCATTCTAAGTTAGCAGAGGGAAAATAGTGGTCATTCTAAGTTAGCAGAGGGAAACTGGTGGTCATTCTAAGAGTTAGCAGAGGGAAAATGGTGGTCATTCTAAGAGTTGGCAGAGGGAAAATGGTGGTCATTCTAAAGACCAGAATGAGTAACTAAAACCAAGGCACCCACCATGACATCCTCTATTTCAGCTGTACCTAGCCGGTGTCCACTGACATTAAGAACATCATCCATGCGGCCAGTAATTTGATAATAACCGTTGTCATGACGATGAGCCCCATCACCAGTGTAGTAGACCCCTAAAAATAAAGTTAGAAGCTTAGATCTATGACATTGTTAGAAGCTTAGATCCATGACATTGTTAGCTTAGATCCATGACAAAGTTAGAAGCTTAGATTCATGACAATGTTAGAAGTGTAGATCCATGACAATGTTAGAAGTGTAGATCCATGACAATGTTAGAAGCTTAGATCCATGACAAAGTTAGAAGTGTAGATCCATGACAATGTTAGAAGCTTAGATCCATGACATTGTTAGAAGCTTAGATCCATGACAATGTTAGAAGTGTAGATCCATGACAATGTTAGAAGTGTAGATCCATGACAAAGTTAGAAGCTTAGATCCATGACAATGTTAGAAGCTTAGATCCATGACTATGTTAGAAGTGTAGATCCATGACAATGTTAGAAGTGTAGATCCATGACAAAGTTAGAAGTGTAGATCGATAAAATAAAAACCTGACAATTTGTGCAGCACATGTAAACTTAGCAGTCAATCAATCAAAAGTTACCCGACAAAGATAAAACAACAAAAGTTACCTGACAAAGATAAAACAACAAAAGTTACCCGACAAAGGTAAAACGACAAAAGTTACCCGACAAAGATAAAACAACAAAAGTTACCCGACAAAGATAAAACAACAAAAGTTACCCGACAAAGGTAAAACAACAAAAGTTACCAGACAAAGCAGTAACAAAATACTTAAAGTTAGATAGGACTACCTGGAATGACACCAAAGTAGGTTTTCTTGAATCTGTCGTGGTCACCATAAATTGTTCTGGCCATCCCTGGCCAAGGTTTGCGTATACATAGAGCACCTTCTACGTTATTTCCATTCACTTCCTGGCCCTGGGAGAGAAACACAACATATGTGGACAACAGTTGAACACAACATATGGTGTCAACAGTTGAACACAACATATGGTGTCAACAGTTGAACACAACATATGGTGACAACAGTTGAACACAACATATGGTGACAACAGTTGAACACAACATATGTGGACAACAGTTGAACACAACATATGGTGACAACAGTTGAACACAACATATGTGGACAACAGTTGAACACAACATATGGTGTCAACAGTTGAACACAACATATGGTGTCAACAGTTGAACACAACATATGGTGACAACAGTTGAACACAACATATGGTGTCAACAGTTGAACACAGCATATGGTGTCAACAGTTGAACACAACATATGGTGACAACAGTTGAACACAACATATGGTGACAACAGCTGAACACAACATATGGTGACAACAGCTGAACACAACATATGGTGACAACAGTTGAACACAACATATGGTGACAACAGCTGAACACAACATATGGTGACAACAGTTGAACACAACATATGGTGACAACAGTTGAACACAACATATGGTGTCAACAGTTGAACACAACATATGGTGACAACAGTTGAACACAACATATGTGGACAACAGTTGAACACAATATATGGTGACAACAGTTGAACACAACATATGGTGACAACAGTTGAACACAACATATGGTGTCAACAGTTGAACACAACATATGGTGACAACAGTTGAACACAACATATGTGGACAACAGTTGAACACAATATATGGTGACAACAGTTGAACACAACATATGGTGACAACAGTTGAACACAACATATGGTGTCAACAGTTGAACACAACATATGGTGTCAACAGTTGAACACAACATATGGTGACAACAGTTGAACACAACATATGGTGTCAACAGTTGAACACAACATATGGTGACAACAGTTGAACACAAAATATGGTGTCAACAGTTGAACACAACATATGGTGACAACAGTTGAACACAACATATGGTGACAACAGTTGAACACAACATATGGTGACAACAGTTGAACACAACATATGGTGACAACAGTTGAACACAACATATGGTGTCAACAGTTGAACACAACATATGGTGACAACAGTTGAACACAACATATGGTGACAACAGTTGAACACAACATATGGTTTCAACAGTTGAACACAACATATGGTGTCAACAGTTGAACACAACATATGGTGACAACAGTTGAACACAACATATGGTGACAACAGTTGAACACAACATATGGTGACAACAGTTGAACACAACATATGGTGACAACAGTTGAACACAACATATGGTGACAACAGTTGAACACAACATATGGTGTCAACAGTTGAACACAACATATGGTGACAACAGTTGAACACAACATATGGTGTCAACAGTTGAACACAACATATGGTGACAACAGTTGAACACAACATATGGTGTCAACAGTTGAACACAACATATGGTGACAACAGTTGAACACAACATATGGTGACAACAGTTGAACACAACATATGGTGACAACAGTTGAACACAACATATGTGGACAACAGTTGAACACAACATATGGTGACAACAGTTGAACACAACATATGGTTTCAACAGTTGAACACAACATATGGTGTCAACAGTTGAACACAACATATGGTGACAACAGTTGAACACAACATATGGTGTCAACAGTTGAACACAACATATGGTGACAACAGTTGAACACAACATATGGTGACAACAGCTGAACACAACATATGGTGACAACAGTTGAACACAACATATGTGGACAACAGCTGAACACAACATATGGTGACAACAGCTGAACACAACATATGGTGACAACAGCTGAACACAACATATGGTGACAACAGTTGAACACAACATATGTGGACAACAGTTGAACACAACATATGGTGACAACAGTTGAACACAACATATGGTGACAACAGTTGAACACAACATATGTGGACAACAGTTGAACACAACATATGGTGACAACAGTTGAACACAACATATGGTGTCAACAGTTGAACACAACATATAGTGTCAACAGTTGAACACAACATATGGTGACAACAGCTGAACACAACATATGGTGACAACAGTTGAACACAACATATGGTGACAACAGTTGAACACAACATATGGTGACAACAGTTGAACACAACATATGTGGACAACAGTTGAACACAACATATGGTGACAACAGTTGAACACAACATATGGTGTCAACAGTTGAACACAACATATGGTGACAACAGTTGAACACAACATATGGTGACAACAGTTGAACACAACATATGGTGACAACAGTTGAACACAACATATGGTGACAACAGTTGAACACAACATATGTGGACAACAGTTGAACACAACATATGGTGACAACAGTTGAACACAACATATGGTGTCAACAGTTGAACACAACATATGGTGTCAACAGTTGAACACAACATATGGTGACAACAGTTGAACACAACATATGGTGTCAACAGTTGAACACAACATATGGTGACAACAGTTGAACACAACATATGGTGTCAACAGTTGAACACAACATATGGTGTCAACAGTTGAACACATTTAGTGATATTGGTTAAATCAGACAAAAAAAATTCCATCCGTTACAGTCTCAGGGCTTCAGAAATCTCAGTGACAGCTGTACTCTAGTCAGTCAACTGACAGCTGTACTCTAGTCAGTCAACTGACAGCTGTACTCTAGTCAGTCAACTAAGTGACAGCTGTACTCTAGTCAGTCAACTAAGTGACAGCTGTACTCTAGTCAGTCAACTAAGTGACAACTGTACTCTAGTCAGTCAACTAAGTGACAGCTGTACTCTAGTCAGTCAACTAAGTGACAGCTGTACTCTAGTCAGTCAACTAAGTGACAGCTGTACTCTAGTCAGTCAACTAAGTGACAGCTGTACTCTAGTCAGTCAACTAAGTGACAGCTGTACTCTAGTCAGTCAACTAAGTGACAGCTGTACTCTAGTCAGTCAACTAAGTGACAGCTGTACTCTAGTCAGTCAACTAAGTGACAGCTGTACTCTAGTCAGTCAACTAAGTGACAGCTTACTCAGCTTATGAAATTAGCTAAGCTCCCACAATGTTAAGCTCAGAGCTTACCTGTGAGTCATAGATGGCGAGGTCAATACCAAACATGGGTCTCATGGGCATGCCAGGTTTGATCTCAGCTCCAACCTCTGACGGCCGCGGGCTTATGCAGATGCCACCAGTTTCTGTCAGAAGAATCTTGGGCGACTATAGCAGGCCAATATCACACATCACTTGACACACCCATCATCTCACATCACTTGACACACCCATCTCACATCACTTGACACACACATCATCTCACATCACTTGACACACCCATCTGACATCACTTGACACACCCATCATCTCACATCACTTGACACACCCATCATCTCACATCACTTGACACACCCATCATCTCACATCACTTGACACACCCATCATCTCACATCACTTGACACACCCATCATCTCACATCACTTGACACACCCATCTCACATCACTTGACACACCCATCTCACATCACTTGACACACCCATCTCACATCACTTGACACACCCATCATCTCACATCACTTGACACACCCATCTCACATCACTTGACACACCCATCATCTCACATCACTTGACACACCCATCATCTCACATCACTTGACACACACATCATCTCACATCACTTGACACACCCATCTCACATCACTTGACACACCCATCATCACACATCACTTGACACACCCATCATCTCACATCACTTGACACACACATCATCTCACATCACTTGACACACCGATCTCACATCACTTGACACACCCATCATCACACATCACTTGACACACCCATCATCTCACATCACTTGACACACACACATCTCACATCACTTGACACACCCATCATCTCACATCACTTGACACACCCATCATCTCACATCACTTGACACACCCATCTCACATCACTTGACACACACATCATCTCACATCACTTAACACACCCATCATCTCACATCACTTGACACACCCATCATCTCACATCACTTGACACACCCATCATCACACGTCACTTGACACACCTATCATTACACATCACTGGACACACCCATCTGACATCACTTGACACACCCATCTCACATCACTTGACACACCCATCATCTCACATCACCTGACACACACATCATCTCACATCACTTGACACACCCATCATCTCACATCACTTGACACACCCATCTGACATCACTTGACACACCCATCTCACATCACTTGACACACCCATCATCTCACATCACTTGACACACACATCTCACATCGCTTGACACACCCATCATCTCACATCACTTGACACACCCATCATCTCACATCACTTGACACACCCATCATCACACATCACTTGACACACCCATCATCTCACATCACTTGACACACCCATCTCACATCACTTGACACACCTATCATCTCACATCACTTGACACACCCATCATCTCACATCACTTGACACACCCATCATCTCACATCACTTGACACACCCATCATCACACATCACTTGACACACCCATCTCACATCACTTGACACACCCATCTCACATCACTTGACACACCCATCATCTCACATCACTTGACACACACATCATCTCACATCACTTGACACACCCATCATCTCACATCACTTGACACACCCATCATCACACATCACTGGACACACCCATCATCTCACATCACTTGACACACCCATCATCTCACATCACTTGACACACCCATCATCTCACATCACTTGACACACCCATCATCTCACATCACTTGACACACCCATCATCTGACATCACTTGACACACATCTCACATCACTTGACACACCCATCATCTAACATCACTTGACACACACATCATCTCACATCACTTGACACACCCATCTGACATCACTTGACACACCCATCATCTCACATCACTTGACACACCCATCATCTCACATCACTTAACACACCCATCTCACATCACTTGACACACCCATCATCTCACATCACTTGACACACCCATCTCACATCACTTGACACACCCATCATCTCACATCACTTGACACCCATCACACATCACTTGACACACCCATCTCACATCACTTGACATACCCATCTCACATCACTTGACACACCCATCATCTCACATCACTTGACACACCATCATCTCACATCACTTGATACACCCATCATCACACATCACTTGACACACATCATCTCACATCACTTGACACACCCATCATCTCACATCACTTGACACACCCATCATCACACGTCACTTGACACACCCATCTCACATCACTTGACACACCCATCATCTCACATCACTTGACACACCCATCATCTCACATCACTTGACACACCCATCATCTCACATCACTTGACACACCCATCTCACATCACTTGACACACCCATCTCACATCACTTGACACACACATCATCTCCCAACCAAACACCTGACCCAACCAAACACCTGACCCAACCAAACACCTGACCCAACCAACCACCTGACCCAACCAACCAAACACCTGACCCAACCAACCAAACACCTGACCCAACCAACCAAACACCTGACCCAACCAAACACCTGACCCAACCAACCAAACACCTGACCCAACCAACCAAACACCTGACCCAACCAACCAAACACCTGACCCAACCAAACACCTGACCCAACCAAACACCTGACCCAACCAAACACCTGACCCAACCAACCAAACACCTGACCCAACCAAACAAACACCTGACCCAACCAAACACCTGACCCAACCAACCAAACACCTGACCCAACCAACCAAACACCTGACCCAACCAAAAACCTGACCCAACCAACCAAACACCTGACCCAAACAAACACCTGACCCAACCAACCAAACACCTGACCCAACCAAACACCTGACCCAACCAACCAAACACCTGACCCAACCAACCAAACACCTGACCCAACCAACCAAACACCTGACCCAACCAACCAAACACCTGACCCAACCAACCAAACACCTGACCCAACCAACCAAACACCCGACCCAACCAACCAAACACCTGACCCAACCAAACACCTGACCCAACCAACCAAACACCTGACCCAACCAAACAAACACCTGACCCAACCAAACACCTGACCCAACCAACCAAACACCTGACCCAACCAACCAAACACCTGACCCAACCAACCAAACACTTGTGTGCCATACCTGTCTGCCACCAAGTATCAATGATGTCACACCTTTTCTCCCCCACCACATTGTAGTACCACTCCCAGGCTTCGTGGTTCAAGGGTTCACCAACTGGGGAAACAAATCTTTTACCTGACGTTTTTATCAAATCTTTTGCTTGAAGTTTTTATCAAATCTTTTACCTGACTTTTTTTAACAAATCTTTTGCCTGACATTTTTATCAAATCTTTTACCTGACTTTTTAATCAAATCTTTTGCCTGACTTTTTTATCAAATCTTTTGCCTGACTTTTTTATCAAATCTTTTGCCTGACTTTTTTTATCAAATCTTTTGCCTGACTTTTTAATCAAATCTTTTACCTGACTTTTTAATCAAATCTTTTGCCTGACTTTTTTATCAAATCTTTTGCCTGACTTTTTTATCAAATCTTTTACCTGACTTTTTAATCAAATCTTTTACCTGACTTTTTAATCAAATCTTTTACCTGACTTTTTAATCAAATCTTTTGCCTGACTTTTTAATCAAATCTTTTACCTGACTTTTTAATCAAATCTTTTGCCTGACTTTTTTATCAAATCTTTTGCCTGACTTTTTAATCAAATCTTTTGCCTGACTTTTTTATCAAATCTTTTGCCTGACTTTTTTATCAAATCTTTTACCTGACTTTTTTATCAAATCTTTTACCTTACCTAGACCCTGTTTTAGACCAGACTAAAACCTAAACATCAAGTCCTACAAAACACAGTGAATGTGGTCCACAACCTACTTACCATCTGACATCCCACTAACCATATCCCACAAACCACATCCCACTAACCATATCCCACAAACCACATCCCACTAACCATATCCCACTAACCATATCCCACTAACCACGTCCCACTAACCACGTCCCACTAACCACGTCTCACTAACCATATCCCACTAACCACATCCCACTAACAACATCCCACTAACCATGTTCCACTAACCACGTCCCACTAACCACGTCCCACTTACCACATCCCACTAACCACATCCCACTAACCATATCCCACTAACCATATCCCACTAACCACATCCCACTAACCTTATCCCACTAACCACATCCTACTGACCTTATCCCACTAACCACATCCCACTAACCACATCCCACTAACCACATCCCACTTACCACATCCCAATAACCTTATCCCACTAACCACATCCCACTTACCACATCCCACCACACATCCCACTTACCACATCCCACTAACCTTATCCCACTAACCACATCCCACTAACCACATCCCACTAACCACATCCCACTTACCACATCCCACTAACCACATCCCACTTACCACGTCCCACTTACCACATCCCACTAACCACATCCCACTAACCACGTCCCACATCCCACTTACCACATCCCACTTACCACATCCCACTTACCACATCCCACTTACCACATCCCACTTACCACATCCCACTTACCACATCGCACATCCCACTAACCACATCCCACTAACCACATCCCACTAACCATATCCCACTAACCACGTCCCACTAACCACGTCCCACTAACCACGTCCCACTTACCATATCCCACTAACCATGTCTCACTAACCATATCCCACTAACCACGTCCCACTAACCATATTCCACTAACCACGTCCCACTAACCACGTCCCACATCCTACTAACCATATCCCACTAACCACATCCCACTAACCATGTCCCACTTACCATATCTCACTAACCATATCCCACTAACCTTATCCCACTAACCACATCCTACTGACCTTATCCCACTAACCACATCTCACTTACCACATCCAACCACACATCCCACTTACCACATCCCACTAACCTTATCCCACTAACCATATCTCACTAACCACATCCCACTAACCACGTCCCACTTCCCACTAACCACGTCCCACTTACCACATCCCACTAACCACATCCCACTTACCACATCCCACTTACCACACCCCACATCCCACTTACCACACCGCACATCCCACTTACCACATCCCACTTACCACACCCCACTTACCACACCGCACATCCCACTTACCACATCCCACATCCCACTTACCACACCCCACATCCCACTTACCACACCGCACATCCCACTTACCACATCCCACATCCCACTTACCACATCCCACTTACCACATCCCACTTACCACATCCCAGTTTGCGGAGACTAGAACGATCATATTTCCAGACATAATCATTGCCAGCTTTGAGCAACATCCTGAGTGAGGTGGGGGCAAGGTACAGGTGGTTCAACTTCAACCTCTCCACCATCTCCCAGTAGCGCCCTGCAACATAGACACGTACAGTGGGGTAGACATTACAGGTAGGAGGGGGGGGGTAGACAATAGGTATGTGTGTGGGGGGGGGGAGGTAGACAACAGGTATGGGGGGGGGGTAGACAACAGGTATGTGGGGGTAAGAAAAGAGGTATGTGGGGTTCAGACAACACCAATAACTGACCTGGATTAGGGTAGAGTGGAGTGCTCTCAAAGAGCAGTGTGGTGCCACCATTAGAGAGGGGGCCGTAGAGAACGTACGAGTGGCCAGTGATCCAGCCAATGTCTGCCACACAGCCAAACCTCTCCCCAGCCATGTAGTCAAAGGTTTGCTGCAAGATATCAACAGCTTTAGTGGTGACCCCAAACTAAACAACTTTAGTGGTGACCCCAAACTAAACAACTTTAGTGGTGACCCCAAACTAAACAACTTTAGTGGTGACCCCAAACTAAACAACTTTAGTGGTGACCCCAAACTAAACTTTAGTGGTGATCCCAAACTAAACAACTTTAGTGGTGACCCCAAACTAAACAACTTTAGTGGTGACCCCAAACTAAACAACTTTAGTGGTGACCCCAAACTAAACTTTAGTGGTGACCCCAAACTAAACAACTTTAGTGGTGACCCCAAACTAAACAACTTTAGTGGTGACCCCAAACAAAACAACTTTAGTGGTGACCCCAAACTAAACAACTTTAGTGGTGACCCCAAACTAAACAACTTTAGTGGTGACCCCAAACTTAACAACTTTAGTGGTGACCCCAAACTAAACTTTAGTGGTGACCCCAAACTAAACAACTTTAGTGGTGACCCCAAACTAAACAGCTTTAGTGGTGACCCCAAACTAAACAACTTTAGTGGTGACCCCAAACTAAACAACTTTAGTGGTGACCCCAAACTAAACAACTTTAGTGGTGACCCCAAACTAAACTTTAGTGGTGACCCCAAACTAAACAACTTTAGTGGTGACCCCAAACTAAACTTTAGTGGTGACCCCAAACTAAACTTTAGTGGTGACCCCAAACTAAACTTTAGTGGTGACCCCAAACTAAACTTTAGTGGTGACCCCAAACTAAACTTTAGTGGTGACCCCAAACTAAACAACTTTAGTGGTGACCCCAAACTAAACAGCTTTAGTGGTGATCCCAAACTAAACAACTGTAGTGGTGACCCCAAACAAAAAAACCTCAGCAGGACATTACCCACCCCCCTCTCCCTCCAGCCAATACTAAAAAAATGGGGGATAAAGTTAGGAAAAGGGTTAGAATTAAGTTTAAGGTTAGGTAGTAAGTGGTGAGTTACTTTGAAGGTGAGATTGGCATAGAGCAGGTAGCCTGAAGTGGAGTGAGTGATGCCCTTAGGTGCACCGGTTGACCCTGAGGTGTACAGCATGAACAGGCTGTCCTCACTCTGGCGCTGGACAACTGGACAGTCAGGCGACTCATGCTGTAGCGCCTGTCAAACAAAAGTCATTGCTAAGTCATCCAAAACTTGCTGACAAAGTCATCCAAACCTTGCTGACAAAGTCAACTAACTGCTTGTCTAATGAACTAACTGACCTCAGTCATACTTGTCTAATGAACTAACTGACCTCAGTCATACTTGTCTAATGAACTAACTGACCTCAGTCATACTTGTCTAATGAACTAACTGACCTCAGTCATACTTGTCTAATGAACTAACTGACCTCAGTCATACTTGTCTAATGAACTAACTGACCTCAGTCATACTTGTCTAATGAACTAACTGACCTCAGTCATACTTGTCTAATGAACTAACTGACCTCAGTCATACTTGTCTAATGAACTAACTGACCTCAGTCATACTTGTCTAATGAACTAACTGACCTCAGTCATACTTGTCTAATGAACTAACTGACCTCAGTCATACTTGTCTAATGAACTAACTGACCTCAGTCATACTTGTCTAATGAACTAACTGACCTCAGTCATACTTGTCTAATGAACTAACTGACCTCAGTCATACTTGTCTAATGAACTAACTGACCTCAGTCATACTTGTCTAATGAACTAACTGACCTCAGTCATATCAATATCCAGCTTGCCCATGGGCACCTTGGCCTCAGTCCTGAAGTAAATAAAAACACGTTTAACACCGGGACATTTGCTGACCGCTGCGTCCACTGTTTTCTTTAGCTCGATCAGCTTCCCACCTCGGATGGTCTGGTTGGCGGTCACCACAGTCTCAGCACGGGCTGGGCAAGAGAGGTCAACACACAGAGGTCAACACACAAAAGTTAACACACAAACAAGCCAACAGACCACCACAGACAGACAAGCCAACAGACCACCACAGACAAGCCAACAGACCACCACAGACAGACAAGCCAACAGACCACCACAGACAAGCCAACAGACCACCACAGACAAGCCAACAGACCACCACAGACAAGCCAACAGACCACCACAGACAGACAAGCCAACAGACCACCACAGACAAGCCAACAGACCACCACAGACAGACAAGCCAACAGACCACCACAGACAGACAAGCCAACAGACCACCACAGACAAGCCAACAGACCACCACAGACAGACCACCACAGACAAGCCAACAGACCACCACAGACAAGCCAACAGACCACCACAGACAGACAAGCCAACAGACCACCACAGACAAGCCAACAGACCACCACAGACAAGCCAACAGACCACCACAGACAGACAAGCCAACAGACCACCACAGACAGACAAGCCAACAGACCACCACAGACAAGCCAACAGACCACCACAGACAGACAAGCCAACAGACCACCACAGACAAGCCAACAGACCACCACAGACAGACAAGCCAACAGACCACCACAGACAAGCCAACAGACCACCACAGACAGACAAGCCAAAAGACCACCACAGACAAGCCAACAGACCACCACAGACAGACAAGCCAACAGACCACTACAGACAAACCAACAGACCACCACAGACAGACAAGCCAACAGACCACCACAGACAGACAAGCCAACAGACCACCACAGACAAGCCAACAGACCACCACAGACAAGCCAACAGACCACCACAGACAAGCCAACAGACCACCACAGACAAGCCAACAGACCACCACAGACAAGCCAACAGACCACCACAGACAGACAAGCCAACAGACCACCACAGACAGACCACCACAGACAAGCCAACAGACCACCACAGACAGACAAGCCAACAGACCACCACAGACAAGCCAACAGACCACCACAGACAGACAAGCCAACAGACCACCACAGACAAGCTAACAGACCACCACAGACAGACCACCACAGACAAGCCAACAGACCACCACAGACAAGCCAACAGACCACCACAGACAAGCCAACAGACCACCACAGACAGACAAGCCAACAGACCACCACAGACAGACAAGCCAACAGACCACCACAGACAAGCCAACAGACCACCACAGACAAGCCAACAGATTACCACAGACAAGCCAACAGACCACCACAGACAGACAAGCCAACAGACCACCACAGACAAGCCAACAGACCACCACAGACAGACAAGCCAACAGACCACCACAGACAAGCCAACAGACCACCACAGACAAGCCAACAGACCACCACAGACAGACAAACTAACAGACCACCACAGACAAGCCAACAGACCACCACAGACAGACAAGCCAACAGACCACCACAGACAAGCCAACAGACCACCACAGACAAGCCAACAGACCACCACAGACAGACAAGCCAACAGACCACCACAGACAGACAAGCCAACAGACCACCACAGACAGACAAGCCAACAGACCACCACAGACAAGCCAACAGACCACCACAGACAAGCCAACAGACCACCACAGACAAGCCAACAGACCACCACAGACAGACAAGCCAACAGACCACCACAGACAAGCCAACAGACCACCACAGACAAGCCAACAGACCACCACAGACAAGCCAACAGACCACCACAGACAGACAAGCCAACAGACCACCACAGACAAGCCAACAGACCACCACAGACAAGCCAACAGACCACCACAGACAGACAAGCCAACAGACCACCACAGACAAGCCAACAGACCACCACAGACAGACAAGCCAACAGACCACCACAGACAAGCCAACAGACCACCACAGACAAGCCAACAGACCACCACAGACAGACAAGCCAACAGACCACCACAGACAGACCACCACAGACAAGCCAACAGACCACCACAGACAGACAAGCCAACAGACCACCACAGACAAGCCAACAGACCACCACAGACAGACAAGCCAACAGACCACCACAGACAAGCCAACAGACCGTCATTGATTCGCCCAGCTAAAGCCTCCGCACTAAAACCAGCAAAAACCACGCTGTGAATGGCCCCAATGCGGGCACAGGCCAACATCGTGGCGATGGCCGTGGGAGACTTGGGCAAGTAGATGGCCACTCTGTCACCGGCCTTGACCCCGCTGTTCAGGAGGAGATTGCCGATCTTTCCCACCATCTCAGACAGCTTCCTGATCGGATAATAGGGTTAGGTCATCTAGTCAATGGGTTAGGTCATCTAGTCAATGGGTTAGGTCATCTAGTCAATGGGTTAGGTCATCTAGTCAATGGGTTAGGTCATCTAGTCAATGGGTTAGGTCATCTAGTCAATGGGTTAGGTCATCTAGTCAATGGGTTAGGTCATCTAGTCAATAGGTTAGGTCATCTAGTCAATGGGTTAGGTCATCTAGTCAATGGGTTAGGTCAACTAGTCAATGGGTTAGGTCATCTAGTCAATGGGTTAGGTCATCTAGTCAATAGGTTAGGTCATCTAGTCAATGGGTTAGGTCATCTAGTCAATGGGTTAGGTCATCTAGTCAATGGGTTAAGTCATCCAGTCAATGGGTTAGGTCATCCAGTCAATGGGTTAGGTCATCTAGTCAATGATCATCTAGTCAATGTAGGTCACCAATGAATTAGATCATCTAGTCAATGTAGGTCATCATTGAATTAGATAATCTAGTCAATGTGGGTCATCTAGTGAATAAGAGGTCATGTGCCCACCTGTAGGTGTAGAAGCGGTGTGTGCCAGGCTCATCTCTCTCCCAGATCAGGGCGATGTCATCAGCCTTCGTGTCTAAGTGGCGGTCCAGGCAGTTCACTGGCCAGAGCATCAGTTGATTGACAAACAATTCGTTACAACAAACTTGGTTTAACCACAATTTTACAACAAAGCTGGGTGTGTATAGACATGTGTATTTGTAGCAGAGAAAATGGGGGGGGGGGGGGGTTGCAGAGAAAGGTTGATAAACGGCTTGCACGCTAACTAGTACACGATGGCCAATCTATCCCCAGCTTTTCTAACAAGTCAGTGCTTTGTGTACATTCAGGGGTCAATTGATTTCATATGAGCGTTCTTTATTTATTATGTCCCCAACACAATAGGATGACCCCCTCCCCACTAATGTGATGTCTTAAGGACCACCCCCTCCCCCTATAATGTGATGTCTTAAGAACCACCCCTGCCCCACTGATGTCTTAAGGACCACCCCTTCCCCACTGATGTCTTAAGGACCCCTCCCCCACTAATGTGATGTCTTAAGGACCACCCCCCTCCCCCACTAATGTGATGTCTTAAGGACCACCCCTCCCCCACTGATGTCTTAAGGACCACCCCTCCCCAACTAATGTCTTAAGGACCACCCCCTCCCCCACTAATGTGATGTCTTAAGGACCACCCCTCCCCCACTGATGTCTTAAGGACCACCCCCTCCCCCACTAATGTGATGTCTTATGGACCACCCCCCTCCGCACTAATGTGATGTCTTAAGGACCACCCCTCCCCCACTGATGTCTTAAGGACCCCTCCCCCACTGATGTCTTAAGGACCCCTCCCCCACTAATGTGATGTCTTAAGGACCACCCCCTCCCCCACTAATGTGATGTCTTAAGGACCACCCCTCCCCCACTGATGTCTTAAGGACCACCCCTCCCCCACTAATGTCTTAAGGACCACCCCCTCCCCCACTGATGTCTTATGGAGCACCCCCTCCCCCACTAATGTGATGTCTTAAGGACCACCCCTCACCCACTGATGTCTTAAGGACTACCCCTCCCCCACTGATGTCTTAGGGACCACCCCCTCCCCCACTGATGTCTTAGGGACCACCCCCTCCCCCACTGGTGTCTTAGGGACCACCCCCTCCCCCACTGATGTCTTAAGGACCATCCCCTCCCCCACTGATGTCTTAAGGACCACCCCCTCCCCCACTGATGTCTTAAGGACCGCCCCCTCCCCCACTAATGTGATGTCTTAAGGACCACCCCCTCCCCCACTAATGTGATGTCTTAAGGACCACCCCTCCCCCACTGATGTGATGTCTTAAGGACCACCCCTCCCCCACTGATGTCTTAAGGACCACCCCCTCCCTCACTAATGTGATGTCTTATGGACCACCTCTCCCCCACTAATGTGATGTCTTAAGGACCACCCCCCTCCCCCACTAATGTGATGTCTTAAGGACCACCCCCCTCCCCACTAATGTGATGTCTTAAGGACCACCCCCTCCCCCACTGATGTCTTAAGGACCCCTCCCCCACTAATGTGATGTCTTAAGGACCACCCCCTCCCCCACTGATGTCTTAAGGACCCCTCCCCCCTCTCATGTCTTAAGGACCACCCCTCCCCCACTAATGTCTTAAGGACCCCTCCCCCACTGATGTCTTAAGGACCACCCCCTCCCCCACTGATGTCTTAAGGACCACCCCCTCCCCCACTGATGTCTTATGGAGCACCCCCTCCCCCACTAATGTGATGTCTTAAGGACCACCCCTCCCCCACTGATGTCTTAAGGACCACCCCCTCCCCCACTAATGTGATGTCTTAAGGACCACCCCTCCCCCACTGATGTCTTAAGGACCACCCCTCCCCCACTGATGTCTTAAGGACCACCCCCTCCCCCACTGATGTCTTAAGGACCACCCCCTCCCCCACTGTGATGTCTTAACTACCAACCCCTCCCCCACTAATGTGATGTCTTAAGGACCCCTCCCCCCACTGATGTCTTAAGGACCACCCCTCCCCCACTGATGTCTTAAGGACCACCCCCTCCCCCACTGATGTCTTAAGGACCACCCCCTCCCCCACTGATGTCTTAAGGACCACCCTTCCCCCGCTGATGTGATGTCTTAAGGACCACCCCCCTCCCCCACTAATGTGATGTCTTAAGGACCACCCCCTCCCCCACTAATGTGATGTCTTAAGGACCACCCCTCCCCCACTGATGTCTTAAGGACCACCCCTCCCCCACTAATGTATTAAGGACCACCCCCTCCCCCACTGATGTCTTATGGAGCACCCCTCCCCCACTAATGTGATGTCTTAAGGACCACCCCTCCCCCACTGATGTCTTAAGGACCACCCCCTCCCCCACTAATGTCTTAAGGACCACCCCCTCCCCCACTAATGTCTTAAGGACCACCCCCTCCCCCACTAATGTCTTAAGGACCACCCCCTCCCCCACTAATGTCTTAAGGACCACCCCCCTCCCCCACTAATGTGATGTCTTAAGGACCACCCCTCCCCCACTAATGTCTTAAGGACCACCCCCTCCCCCACTAATGTCTTAAGGACCACCCCTCCCCCAGCAACGTTGGGCTACCAGTTGACGCTATTTAATGGATAAATTCTATCGACACACAAGGTTCAATGCAAGTCACGTGATGGAAGCAAAAGTCGGTCCCTATCTGACGGGTTTTGTTGAAGACAGGACGTGAACGACTGAAGGTTACAACAGTCACGACTACTGCTGGCACCAGTACATTGATTTGATAAATTGGACCGAACCACATCTCCGATGTTTGCCAACATAGGTCAGCTCAAGGCCGTGCTTGCTTAGGGTGACGCCATATGCGAGGAGAAGGGTGGCGAAGGGCGGGGCTTCGCGCACTCCTAAGCCTGATAGTGGGCGGGGTCTAGTTGTAGGGACAAGACACATTCAAATGTTGAAGACGTGTTCGTATTTAAAATGAGTAAAATATCAAAACTAAAGCCGATACAATAAAGTAATTGTTTTGGATCAAGCAATGATTGTACAACTTTAAAACAATAAATAAGATCACTGGACTTTAGACCCTTACTAGTAATATTTATCATGTTAGCCATCAGGAGATATAGGCGGAGGAAACACTTTTGTAAAATTAAAATAATTTATTAGATCTAATCTTCAGTAACTACAAAAGGTCAATCATATAGGGACACATGAAAGGCATGGGCGAGGCATCAATTCTATGAACACTAATGGTATCCTATAGTGACTAATTAGTAACTATAGTTATTTCAGGTAAGGTTTGTGCTACACTCAACATAACATTCAGAGCGCCATCCCAGGACTTTTATTTCAACGGACCAACGTATTCCGGAAAGACTTGTCGGATACCCAGTTACTATATTTAGAAAACTAGGTTATTCGGAAAGTAAATAGTAATCGATAAACGCTCGACACAACATAAACAATAAACAGTTCATAAACAAACAGATGAATGATGTTATTAAAACAAAAATAAAACAATGAAAGTAGTAGTTTCCTATTTTTTAAATAGATAGACAATTATAGTCCGATCTACACTACAATGATAAAAACTTATAAAGACATCGACAAATATTATTTTTAGGGCATCTCGAAAATAAATACGCAATATTTAGATCTACGTACGTTTGCTACGTATAGTACGTAGGCTTACACTTAAAAGTACTTTATTACACTGTAATTCTATAAATATAATAAAACTATTTATAAAGCCTCGGCTTATATGGCACATGCCTATCGGCCTACTTAAATGACGTAACTAGACGGTGAATTGCATGATGATAAAAATAAAATCATAGAACTATTATGTAGGATGCACATATGCTATTAATTAGCCACACCTCTTGACAAATTTATTATTATAAACTAATAGATCTAGTGAATATTATAAATATAATATTAATAGAATAAGACACTTGTTAAATAAATCATAAACTAATCTTACCTGATGCATTTAGCATGCCACCATCAAACCACTCAACTTTACCACTGCTAAAGTCAGCTTTGCAAGTTGTTGTGAAGTCTTTGCTCCAGGTTAGTCTTGATCGAGCTAGTCTCGACCAAAATATCTCAGGCTTTTCTATGCTGAGCTGATACAAATCTTGATGCGTTTTGATGTGTGTCAAGTCTTGAAACTCTGGAAAATCTGTAGTTGTTGAAATGTAACTGCAACTAGGAGCTCCATTCACGTATGGTTTTCCAATCAAGGATCTACATGTTTTATTTTTGCAGATATTGGCATGTTTTTTATTAAAGCACCTCCAAAATACCCTTGAGAGGGCTTGGTAAGCCATGTCCTCTCCACCAATTAACTATAACGCGACTAGATTCATAGATCTAGTTTCTACACAAAAGCAAAGGGTTGGTTGTGCTACGAATTTTTCTAGTCCAAAGGGTAACACCAATATTCTTTACTTTTAGTATCGTTTATCGTCACATTATGCCATAGCTGTGGTTCTTATACATAATCATTACATTAACAACAAAATTACATAATCAGGCTATGTAATGTAGTCAAACTACTTTATAAAATTTGAAATAACTGATTTATTGCCAACAATGAAAATTTCGTGAAAACTTGGAATTAGTGTATATCGATATTACGGAATCGATTCTGACTAGCTATTTTTAGAAATAATTATGTCAAAAGTCAAGGATGTTTGTGGAGAAGCCGCCGATTTTTTCTACTATTAAAATAGATCAGTGATAATAATCTAACGATATCTTAAGCACTTATGTGTATGTGTGTATACAGGACCCTATATATATATATATATATATATATATATATATGCATGCATATATATTATATATATATATATATATATATATATATATGCTAAACTAAATTATTAATTGCCTGCTAATGCTATACTACACATTGTTGGAAAAAAGTCACAAATGTGTATTTGATACTATTTGTAATGAATGGAATTTGTTAATACAAATAATACATTTGAATGTTTTCTGAAATCAACAAACAACGAATTAGATGTATATGCGTAGGTCTCATAGTTTGGATTAGTATGACGTCCACTAGTTTGTGAGAGAGAGAGCGCGCGACCACGAATGTTGATATTTTTTAAAAGGAATGAAGCCCCTGAGTGTCTGGCAAACTGTAGCAGTTGGAGTTTGGAGACAACTTGTCCAGTTACCGGGTTACAGCCATACAACACTCTAGGCATAGCTCAGCATTATCTGTCTGTATAGGCTACACGAAGGAGAAAAAAAACACGAACTTTTACCTGAATTAGGCCAAAGGTTCGTTTTTTGTCGGCACTTTTTTTTCTAGTTGTAGGCTTGTTTAGGTAGGGCGAGTGTGGTGTTAATGTGGGTTACATGTGTTAATGTAGGTTACATTAATTTACCTCATTTAGCTGCTATTTTGAATCATAAAAAATATATAGGAGGGAGGGGCGCCAGGAGGGGGCGCTACGCCTCTGCCCAAGGACACCGTCAAATAGCACAAGACTAAAGTAATTAAGTTGATTAAGACTCCATATAAATGGGTCCTTGTCATTCGATTCTTGTAGAGACTGATAAGTCTCCCGGCATAAAAGGCCTCATTCAATATGACTCATGACATTAGGAGCTCTTCAGTTCGCTCAGCCAACATACTTAACTAACTGCATACCCGTGCTCCGCCACGGTAAATCTTTTTTAAATATACCTTGGGAACAGAACAACACAAAACACAAACCCAAAAGAAAAAACAAACCCAAAAGAAAACACAAATCCAAAAGAACACGAAGAAAACATAAAAACAATGCAAATACAAATAAAACACAAACGCAACACATTAACACAAAAGAAAAGCAAATAAAAACAGATGAAAATATAAACACAACACTCATAACATAACTTAAATGCAAAAATAAACGCAGTGCTCACAGTCTAGCCCGTAGCGCCAAATCGCACCCTGCCCGAGCACCGGCAGACGCGCCTGATTCAGTGAACGACTATAAAAACTCAGCTTGTCCGCAAACCGAAAGATAGAATAATAATTAGTAAACAGTACGTTCAGTGTATACAATAAATAATAGGCAGTATTTAAAATATCCGTGTTTTACCTACTATATTACACTTATCAATTTATGCATTTTTTCAGTACTTTAAATTTTAAAAAAAATTACAATATAGTTTCATAACTAAAACCATTGCGCACCCAATGAACGTGATGACGCGTCTATAATAGTGCGGAATACTTGATTAAAAATTATAAGTAGTAAACAGTACGTTCAGTGAATAAAATAAATAAAAGATTGCCTTTTATTAATCGATGCTAATTATAATTTTCTAACAATATTTTCCTCTTACACATCCGCATAATTTGCATTCACATAATGTTAATTATATTATTGCAACACTAATTCCTTCTAGGACGTCCGTAGATTTGCACTCACATTTTTTAATTAGAGTGAGTTGAATTTATTTTTAAATTTCCTCCCTTGTCAAAATTAGAAAAAATAAACCGGGAGTGATCTCCCCTAGACTTTCTCGAATATTATTATATAAAACAACAGGGGATGAGAACTCGGGCTATAGACATGATTTTTAATCCATTTTAAATACTTATAGTTTTAAAAATAGAATAAAATCTCGTAGACAAAAGATTGCACACCAAGTGAACGCCAAATAAAAAAGTGCATAATAGTGCGCAATATTATTAGTACTTTAAAAATTTACATTAGTTTTTTGAGAAATCGGAAGTAGCGTAAATTAGTACTTCCGGGCAACGGAAATTACTTAAAATTTGACAGAAGGTAGAGAATTAGATCTTATACTTACATGTGAAATTTCATTTATCTGTCTGAAATAGTACTCAAGTTATAGGCTTTTGAAAAATTCAAAGTAGAAAAAGTACCACTTCCGGTTATCGGAAATCGCTCAAAAGTTGATACGGATCTACGATTTTGATAAAATACTTTTATATGAAATTTCATCAACCTAGCTGTAACGGTACTCAAGTAATCGTGTTTATACACGGACAGACAGACACACAGAATTGCAAAGCCCAGTTATTCAGACTGGATTACGCATAAAACCTATTAATTTTGATAAATCTGGATTGATAATTTTTGCCCGATTAAAATAAGTCCTCTATACTTCGGATGTGATGAAGGACTGAGGTGTAATACGGTGAAAATTTCAAGTGATTTTTGTGCACGATTACAATACTTTCTCTATACTTCGTATATACGAGCAAGTAAAAAAGAGTTTAATTAATTAGATTTTTCTACCCTACTGTTATTATGTTATTAAAATGTATCCACTTTTTCTGAGAATCTAAACGAAAATGATATTTGACATTGATCTTCTTAAACTTAAATGTTTCAGCAGTGTGCGTATATTTAATATTTTCTTGACATTATGCGAAAGAATAAAACCAGTGGCAATTATAAAATACATTTAAACAAACTCTACTCTTATAATTAGACAATCCGATGCACGCACTGTATGGTGCGATGTTTACTTTTATGGTTCCAAAAATCTATGGCGATGACTGAAGGAAGGAAGGACTGACACACTACCAGCCGGCTTATATTATAGATAAATAATACAACGTATGTAGCTCTTGGTTTTACTATTTGGCCTAATATAAAAAGTTTTAAATTTATTTAAGGGCTATATAAGAGCCCTGACATCCATCACATGAGTTGATTGGGGACTGGTCCAATCCTGTGTGTGGGGAGACTGCAACACAATCCTGTGTGTGGGGAGTTGTAGATTATCCAACAATCCAGTGTGTGGGGAGACTGCAGCATGCTTGTAGCTTACCAGTAAACATTAGATAAAGTTCAGTGGTGCCTTTAAGCAACATGTCTTCACCAGGTGGGGTGAAATATTACAATTTAAAATATTACAATAAAAATAACATTGGTGGCACTCGCTGTGAGCTATCAATTGTTGATGGTGGGTGGGGGAGCAGGACATTACCCCCCCCCCCCCCAGTTAGGGATATGGTTAGGTTAGGGCTACAGAGTCAGGGTAAGATGTAGATTTGGTGTTAGGATTGATGTTGTGGTTCATCAGGATGGGGGTGGAGGGGGGGGGGGTTAATATTCTCAACCTATTGATTGTTCATGCAGAAGTTTTTTTATTGAGGCATTTTAAAAGTGGTTATGTGGTAGTGGAGAACTGCAGGTTGGTAGATTGGATACATTGCTTGTCTATGTGGGAGAACTGCAGGTTGGTAGATTGGATACATTGCTTGTCTATGTGGGAGAACTGCACACAGTGGTGATACAAACTACTGGCACACAGTGGTGATACAAACTACTGGCACACAGTGGTGATACAATTTATCTATCTGGAGCCAACAGGTTGGGAGTCATTTTGCGGGAAGCCATTCTGTCGTGAGCCCTGTTGGGGACTTTATGACTGGGTTGTTGGTGCACAGGGGGAAGGGGCTTACAGGAAGCTGGCAGGCATCGCAGCAACACATTCAAGACTCTCTTGTCACCTTCAAATTGAGATGATCATGGATGGATTCAAAAAGATGTTTACTAGCACACCAGCCTTGTCTGCAGAAGGTCTTTACTAGCACACCCGCCTTGTCTGCAGAAGGTCTTTACTAGCACACCAGCCTTGTCTGCAGAAGGTCTTTACTAGCACACCAGCCTTGTCTGCAGAAGGTCTTTACTAGCACACCCGCCTTGTCTGCAGAAGGTCTTTACTAGTACACCAGCCTTGTCTGCAGAAGGTCTTTACTAGCACACCAGCCTTGTCTGCAGAAGGTCTTTACTAGCACACCAGCCTTGTCTGCAGAAGGTCTTTACTAGCACACCAGCCTTGTCTGCAGAAGGTCTTTACTAGCACACCAGCCTTGTCTGCAGAAGGTCTTTACTAGCACACCAGCCTTGTCTGCAGAAGGTCTTTACTAGCACACCCGCCTTGTCTGCAGAAGGTCTTTACTAGTACACCAGCCTTGTCTGCAGAAGGTCTTTACTAGCACACCAGCCTTGTCTGCAGAAGGTCTTTACTAGCACACCAGCCTTGTCTGCAGAAGGTCTTTACTAGCACACCAGCCTTGTCTGCAGAAGGTCTTTACTAGCACACCAGCCTTGTCTGCAGAAGGTCTCTACTACAATAATAGCACAATAGAATTGTCTGTAAGCAAGTCTTTACCATTTATTCTCAGGATATAGTGGGACGACAAAATCCAGAACAAGGAAATACGAAGGACAGGCTTTAACAGAAATACGAATGAGGAGATGGCGATGGCTGGGTCATGTCCTAAGCATGAACAGAAGAAGACACCCAAACATAGCGCTAAAATGGACTCCACCTGGAAAACAAAAGAGAGGAAGACCACTGGGAACATGGAGGAGAGAGATGGAAGAAAGGCAGGCTATTGGCAAGACCTGGCATGAATTGAAGTGGCTTGCCATTCCAGAGTGGAATGGCTGAGATTTGTGGCTGCCCTTTACTCCACAGGGAGTGACGAGGATTGAGAGAAGTCTTTATGATTGTTAAATGCAAAATGTACAGGCCTTAAAATAACAGGCTTTATTGTTGAACTCAAACCTGTTTGTTCCAAAGAAATGAAACACATGAAGAATATTGATTGATTGTATATTGGAGATAATAAAATAAACAAGAAGTTTCATGTGTATCAATATTTTTGGTGTTATCAGCTGACATACATATAAATCATCAAGTACCCAATTTATTATTTGCTAAACCAGTCATTCAGCAAGATACAGATATCATAGCAAGTACTCAAAGAAACAGTGACCAAAGTACGTTCATCTAATCACCCTTCTGCTGACATGTCATTTGTTAAGAAAAAATGTGAGCCAAACTTTTCTTGCGTGAACTTGTTCAGTTCTGCGTCTGCTGTCAAAGTTTTGCTGGAGGCACTGATGGCCTGGTACACGAGATCCACATCCAAGTCAGCCGTCTGCAGCATGGCCTCTGTCTCTGGACTTCTGGCCCTCACGCTGGCTGATTCCAGACTGCTGATGTCTGACAGACTCTTCTGTAGCAGGCACAACATCGCATTGTCAGAATGGTGGTGTGTGTGTGAGGACAATGGTGGTGTGTGTGTGAGGACAATGGTGGTGTGTGAGTGTGAGGACAATGGTGGTGTGTGTGAGGACAATGGTGGTGTGTGTGTGAGGACAATGGTGGTGTGTGTGTGTGAGGACAATGGTGGTGTGTGTGAGGACAATGGTGGTGTGTGTGTGAGGACAATGGTGGTGTGTGAGGACAATGGTGGTGTGTGAGGACAATGGTGGTGTGTGTGTGTGAGGACAATGGTGGTGTGTGTGTGTGAGGACAAATGGTGGTGTGTGTGAGGACAATGGTGGTGTGTGTGTGTGAGGACAATGGTGGTGTGTGTGTGAGGACAATGGTGGTGTGTGTGTGAGGACAATGGTGGTGTGTGTGTGAGGACAATGGTGGTGTGTGTGTGAGGACAATGGTGGTGTGTGAGGACAATGGTGGTGTGTGAGGACGAAGGTGGTGTGTGTGAGGACAATGGTGGTGTGTGTGAGGACAAATGGTGGTGTGTGTGAGGACAATGGTGGTGTGTGTGTGTGAGGACAATGGTGGTGTGTGTGTGAGGACAATGGTGGTGTGTGTGTGAGGACAATGGTGGTGTGTGAGGACAATGGTGGTGTGTGTGTGAGGACAATGGTGGTGTGTGTGTGTGAGGACAATGGTGGTGTGTGTGTGAGGACAATGGTGGTGTGTGTGTGAGGACAATGGTGGTGTGTGAGGACGAAGGTGGTGTGTGAGGACAATGGTGGTGTGTGTGTGAGGACAATGGTGGTGTGTGAGGACGAAGGTGGTGTGTGTGAGGACAATGGTGGTGTGTGTGTGAGGACAATGGTGGTGTGTGAGGACAATGGTGGTGTGTGAGGACAATGGTGGTGTGTGAGGACGAAGGTGGTGTGTGTGAGGACAATGGTGGTGTGTGTGAGGACAATGGTGGTGTGTGTGAGGACAATGGTGGTGTGTGAGGACAATGGTGGTGTGTGAGGACAAATGGTGGTGTGTGTGAGGACAATGGTGGTGTGTGTGTGAGGACAATGGTGGTGTGTGAGGACAATGGTGGTGTGTGTGTGAGGACAATGGTGGTGTGTGAGGACGAAGGTGGTGTGTGTGAGGACAATGGTGGTGTGTGTGAGGACAATGGTGGTGTGTGAGGACAATGGTGGTGTGTGTGTGGACAATGGTGGTGTGTGTGTGAGGACAATGGTGGGGTGTGTGTGTGTGTGAGGACAAATGGTGGTGTGTGTGTGAGGACAATGGTGGTGTGTGAGGACAATGGTGGTGTGTGAGGACAATGGTGGTGTGTGTGTGAGGACAATGGTGGTGTGTGAGGACAATGGTGGTGTGTGAGGACAATGGTGGTGTGTGTGTGAGGACAATGGTGGGGTGTGTGTGGACAATGGTGGGGTGTGTGAGGACAATGGTGGGGTGTGTGTGTGTGTGAGGACAAATGGTGGTGTGTGTGTGAGGACAATGGTGGTGTGTGAGGACAATGGTGGGGTGTGTGTGTGTGTGAGGACAATGGTGGGGTGTGTGTGTGTGTGAGGACAATGGTGGTGTGTGAGGACAATGGTGGGGTGTGTGTGTGTGTGAGGACAAATGGTGGTGTGTGTGTGAGGACAATGGTGGTGTGTGAGGACAATGGTGGTGTGTGAGGACAATGGTGGTGTGTGAGGACAATGGTGGTGTGTGTGAGGACAATGGTGGTGTGTGAGGACAATGGTGGTGTGTGAGGACAATGGTGGTGTGTGAGGACAATGGTGGTGTGTGTGTGAGGACAATGGTGGTGTGTGAGGACAAATGGTGGTGTGTGAGGACAATGGTGGTGTGTGTGAGGACAATGGTGGTGTGTGTGTGAGGACAATGGTGGTGTGTGTGTGTGTGTGAGGACAATGGTGGTGTGTGAGGACAATGGTGGTGTGTGAGGACAATGGTGGTGTGTGAGGACAATGGTGGTGTGTGAGGACAATGGTGGTGTGTGAGGACAATGGTGGTGTGTGAGGACAATGGTGGTGTGTGAGGACAATGGTGGTGTGTGTGTGAGGACAATGGTGGTGTGTGTGTGAGGACAATGGTGGTGTGTGTGTGAGGACAATGGTGTGTGTGTGAGGACAATGGTGGTGTGTGAGGACAATGGTGGTGTGTGTGTGAGGACAATGGTGGTGTGTGAGGACGAAGGTGGTGTGTGTGAGGACAATGGTGGTGTGTGTGTGAGGACAATGGTGGTGTGTGAGGACAATGGTGGTGTGTGTGTGAGGACAATGGTGGTGTGTGTGTGAGGACAATGGTGGTGTGTGAGGACAATGGTGGGGTGTGTGTGTGTGTGAGGACAATGGTGGTGTGTGTGTGAGGACAATGGTGGTGTGTGAGGACAATGGTGGTGTAAGTGTGAGGACAATGGTGGTGTGTGAGGACAATGGTGGTGTGTGAGGACAATGGTGGTGTGTGAGGACAATGGTGGTGTGTGAGGACAATGGTGGTGTGTGAGGACAATGGTGGTGTGTGTGTGAGGACAATGGTGGTGTGTGAGGACAATGGTGGTGTGTGAGGACAATGGTGGTGTGTGTGTGAGGACAATGGTGGTGTGTGTGTGAGGACAATGGTGGTGTGTGAGGACAATGGTGGTGTGTGTGTGAGGACAATGGTGGTGTGTGAGGACAATGGTGGTGTGTGTGTGAGGACAATGGTGGTGTGTGAGGACGAAGGTGGTGTGTGTGAGGACAATGGTGGTGTGTGTGTGAGGACAATGGTGGTGTGTGAGGACAATGGTGGTGTGTGAGGACAATGGTGGTGTGTGAGGACGAAGGTGGTGTGTGTGAGGACAATGGTGGTGTGTGTGAGGACAATGGTGGTGTGTGTGAGGACAATGGTGGTGTGTGAGGACAATGGTGGTGTGTGAGGACAATGGTGTGTGTGTGAGGACAATGGTGGTGTGTGTGAGGACGAAGGTGGTGTGTGTGAGGACAATGGTGGTGTGTGTGAGGACAATGGTGGTGTGTGTGAGGACAATGGTGGTGTGTGAGGACAAATGGTGGTGTGTGTGAGGACAATGGTGGTGTGTGTGGACAATGGTGGTGTGTGTGTGAGGACAATGGTGGTGTGTGAGGACAATGGTGGTGTGTGAGGACAATGGTGGTGTGTGTGTGAGGACAATGGTGGTGTGTGAGGACGAAGGTGGTGTGTGTGAGGACAATGGTGGTGTGTGTGAGGACAATGGTGGTGTGTGAGGACAATGGTGGTGTGTGTGTGGACAATGGTGGTGTGTGTGTGAGGACAATGGTGGGGTGTGTGTGTGTGTGAGGACAAATGGTGGTGTGTGTGTGAGGACAATGGTGGTGTGTGAGGACAATGGTGGTGTGTGAGGACAATGGTGGTGTGTGTGTGAGGACAATGGTGGTGTGTGAGGACAATGGTGGTGTGTGAGGACAATGGTGGTGTGTGTGTGAGGACAATGGTGGGGTGTGTGTGGACAATGGTGGGGTGTGTGAGGACAATGGTGGGGTGTGTGTGTGTGTGAGGACAAATGGTGGTGTGTGTGTGAGGACAATGGTGGTGTGTGAGGACAATGGTGGGGTGTGTGTGTGTGTGAGGACAATGGTGGGGTGTGTGTGTGTGTGAGGACAATGGTGGTGTGTGAGGACAATGGTGGGGTGTGTGTGTGTGTGAGGACAAATGGTGGTGTGTGTGTGAGGACAATGGTGGTGTGTGAGGACAATGGTGGTGTGTGAGGACAATGGTGGTGTGTGAGGACAATGGTGGTGTGTGTGAGGACAATGGTGGTGTGTGAGGACAATGGTGGTGTGTGAGGACAATGGTGGTGTGTGTGTGAGGACAATGGTGGTGTGTGAGGACAAATGGTGGTGTGTGAGGACAATGGTGGTGTGTGTGTGAGGACAATGGTGGTGTGTGTGTGAGGACAATGGTGGTGTGTGTGTGTGTGTGAGGACAATGGTGGTGTGTGAGGACAATGGTGGTGTGTGAGGACAATGGTGGTGTGTGAGGACAATGGTGGTGTGTGTGTGAGGACAATGGTGGTGTGTGTGTGAGGACAATGGTGGTGTGTGTGTGAGGACAATGGTGGTGTGTGAGGACAATGGTGGTGTGTGAGGACAATGGTGGTGTGTGAGGACAATGGTGGTGTGTGAGGACAATGGTGGTGTGTGAGGACAATGGTGGTGTGTGAGGACAATGGTGGTGTGTGTGTGAGGACAATGGTGGTGTGTGTGTGAGGACAATGGTGGTGTGTGTGTGAGGACAATGGTGGTGTGTGTGTGTGAGGACAATGGTGGTGTGTGTGTGAGGACAATGGTGGTGTGTGTGTGAGGACAATGGTGGTGTGTGAGGACAATGGTGGTGTGTGAGGACAATGGTGGTGTGTGAGGACAATGGTGGTGTGTGTGTGAGGACAATGGTGGGGTGTGTGAGGACAATGGTGGTGTGTGTGTGAGGACAATGGTGGGGTGTGTGTGGACAATGGTGGGGTGTGTGAGGACAATGGTGGGGTGTGTGTGTGTGTGAGGACAAATGGTGGTGTGTGTGTGAGGACAATGGTGGTGTGTGAGGACAATGGTGGTGTGTGAGGACAATGGTGGGGTGTGTGAGGACAATGGTGGGGTGTGTGTGTGTGTGAGGACAAATGGTGGTGTGTGTGTGGACAATGGTGGGGTGTGTGTGAGGACAATGGTGGGGTGTGTGTGTGTGTGAGGACAAATGGTGGTGTGTGTGTGAGGACAATGGTGGTGTGTGAGGACAATGGTGGTGTGTGAGGACAATGGTGGGGTGTGTGTGTGTGTGAGGACAATGGTGGTGTGTGAGGACAATGGTGGGGTGTGTGTGTGTGTGAGTGAGGACAAATGGTGGTGTGTGTGTGAGGACAATGGGGGTGTGTGAGGACAATGGTGGTGTGTGAGGACAATGGTGGGGTGTGTGTGTGTGTGAGGACAAATGGTGGTGTGTGTGTGAGGACAATGGGGGTGTGTGAGGACAATGGTGGTGTGTGAGGACAATGGTGGTGTGTGTGTGAGGACAATGGTGGTGTGTGAGGACAATGGTGGTGTAAGTGTGAGGACAATGGTGGTGTGTGTGTGAGGACAATGGTGGTGTGTGAGGACAATGGTGGTGTAAGTGTGAGGACAATGGTGGTGTGTGAGGACAATGGTGGTGTGTGAGGACAATGGTGGTGTGTGAGGACAATGGTGGGGTGTGTGAGGACAATGGTGGGGTGTGTGTGAGGACAATGGTGGTGTGTGTGTGAGGACAATGGTGGTGTGTGTGTGAGGACAATGGTGGTGTGTGAGGACAATGGTGGTGTGTGTGTGAGGACAATGGTGGTGTGTGAGGACAATGGTGGGGTGTGTGTGTGGAAGACAATGATGGTGTGTGTGTGAGGATAATGGTGGTGTGTGTGTGGGGAAGACAATGATGGTGTGTGTGTGTGAGGATGATGGTGTGTGTGTGTGAGGATAATGGTGGTGTGTGTGTGGGGAAGACAATGATGGTGTGTGTGTGAGGATAATGGTGTGTGTGTGTGAGGACAATGATGGTGGTGTGTGTGTGAGGACAATGGTGGTGTGTGTGTGAGGACAATGGTGTGTGTGAGGACAATGATGGTGGTGTGTGTGTGAGGACAATGGTGGTGTGTGTGTGAGGACAATGGTGGTGTGTGAGGACAATGGTGGTGTGTGTGTGAGGACAATGGTGTGTGTGAGGACAATGATGGTGGTGTGTGTGTGAGGACAATGGTGGTGTGTGTGTGAGGACAATGGTGGTGTGTGTGTGAGGACAATGGTGTGTGTGAGGACAATGATGGTGGTGTGTGTGTGAGGACAATGGTGGTGTGTGTGAGGACAATGATGGTGGTGTGTGTGTGAGGACAATGGAGGTGTGTGTGTGTGTGTGTGAGATACTGTCACCAGGTCAGGTAGATGGCTATTTGTGACAGCTGTATGATGACAGCATGACTCACCTCAAGGTTAGCAAGACACAGTTCTGTTTGTTCATTCATTTTCCTCAGTTTTTCTTTCATTTCTTGAATTTTTTTCTGGGTGAAAACAAATTTGTTATAAAGCATTTTAAAATTAACCTGCAACTTTTGTAGAATACCTTATGTGTTATTAAGCATTTTAAAATGATCCTGCAACTTTTGTAGAATACCTTATGTGTTATTAAGGGGATATGCGTGGAAAAAAAAAATCACAAAATTTCTTGTTTTTCGTCATGATCGGTTTCTTGCACTTTTGGATACTTTGTCCATTTTTGTATAAAGAAAATAATAACTTTAAAGAAAAAAAAATATTTTATGTGTTTGAACTACCATTTTTATGACCCTATTAATTAAAAAAGAATCATTTTTTCCCAATCTTACAAGCTCTCTATGAAAAGTTTTATATTCGTCATTATATTGTATTTGACATCATTGGAAAGCTGGATTTCTCATGTATCTAATAAACTTAATTTCCTACATCTCGGAAACACCCAAAGCTTACAATCGGCTTTGCAGTTTACACTGATGTGGTACTTTCCTGACCTAGTTTTCGTTACTTTTGGCTGTTTTTCTCAGTTCGCATGTTTTTAACACTAAAAAGCCTACTACTTTTTTATTTATAAAACAATGCCAACCATATTTTCAGTAATTGTTCATGATGCAAAAATACAACTTTTGTCACGGGGGAATTGTGATTGCTTCCATAGAAAAAATGTATTTGGTAATTAATATGCAAATTTTGAAACTTTTGAATACTAAAAAGGGTACGATTTTTTAGACCTGGTAAAATTCTTACTATTAATTATTTCAAAAAGTTGTCGTGACAAAAGTTTTAATATATACTGAAATATAAGCCATTTAAATTTGATTGCTGTAGCTGCATAAATAAAAAAAGCCTTAGTATTTTTAAAAGTACCGAAAAATTCAAAATGGCGGAGGTTTTTTGGGTTTCCATGACAACTTAAATTGTTTTCGACCCTTTTTTTTGCTGTTTAATACTTACTTTTATATGCCAAATATGATAAAAGTATTAAAAAGGCTTTAGATCTTAAACTGTAAAAAATAGAAAAAAAACATAGCATATCCCCTTAAGCATTTTAAAATTATCCTGCAACTTTTGTAGAATACCTTATGTGTTATTAAGCATTTTAAAATTATCCTGCAACTTTTGTAGAATACCTTATGTGTTATAAAGCATTTTAAAATTATCCTGCAACTTTTGTAGAATACCTTATGTGTTATTAAGCATTTTAAAATTATCCTGCAACTTTTGTAGAATACCTTATGTGTTATTAAGCATTTTAAAATTATCCTGCAACTTTTGTAGAATACCTTATGTGTTATTAAGCATTTTAAAATTATCCTGCAACTTTTGTAGAATACCTTATGTGTTATTACCTTAGAAAATTTGTGTGCTGCCTCTCCCTGCTCATCTGAGTTTTTTGGGATCTTTTCACCAGTGACTGTAAGTGACAGTGTGATTTTTTAAAATGTGATCTTGTGACAGTGATATTTTATTTGATGTGATATTGTGACAGTGTGATTTTATTTGATACAAGAAAAATGGCCTGTTGAGGAAGGATACAACGGGCGCTAGGTTGATAGTGCTGTCTATTTTCTCTAAACTAAAACCAACCCTCCCCCCCCCCCCCCCCCCAAAACATGTCTACCATCCCATTCAACGAGATATAATTATATACTTTTTCCAGTGTCCGCCCCCTCCCAGAAAATTCTACCCCTGCCCCCCAAAAAATTCAAGTACCCCCACCCCTCGACGGGGAAGAAAAAGTCTGAATGAAACACTGGTCGCATTTGTAGATCATACAAACTAAAGGAAGAACCCGGGCGTAGCTTCGCCCCTACCGGAAGAGATGCTTGAAAAAAAAAACTGCACGCTAAACACTTTTTAGATTAGAAAAAGTTCCCCCTCCGGGGAGGAAAAAGTCTGAAAGAAACACTGGTGTCGCGCTTAGCCACTACCCGAAGTATTGCATGAAAGAAACTGCAAGCAAACCATTTTTTAGATTAGACACATTAATTAGGCAGTAATTTTTATTATAAAGTATCGATGAAGAAATTTCTTTTGAGTGGGGGGTTGGGTGGGGGTGGGCGGCTTAGACGTTCTTTCGCGAGGGTGGAGCTTCGCCCCTACCCAAAGAATTGTATGAAAGAAACTCTTCACCCAAACCACAAAATTGCCTTTTTATTCAATGTTTACTCGAGAATCAATGACGTCATATTTCTGTGTGCACTCTCCAGCTTGATACCATTTTCTACTATATGCTAAATGTGACGTCATATTTCGTTTTACTATGAAAGTTTTTAATTTGCTTGTGTTTTCTCTATAGCGTTCTTGTCAGACAGATAGATAGATACATACACAGATAGATAGACAGACAGCGAAACTATTATTATAGATGATCATGTGACTGTGATTTTTTAAAATGTGATCATGTGACAGTGTGATCTGATTGGATGCTTTTACCTGGGTCAACACCATGTTTTATGTGACAGTGTGATTTGATTGGATGCTTTTACCTGGGTCAACACCATGTTTTATGTGACAGTGTGATTTGATTGGATGCTTTTACCTGGGTCAACACCATGTTTTATGTGACAGTGTGATTTGATTGGATGCTTTTACCTGGGTCAACACCATGTTTTATGTGACAGTGTGATTTGATTGGATGCTTTTACCTGGGTCAACACCATGTTTTATCAATGTCTTTTCTTGGTCCACCCTGGGGACAATAAAAGAAAAAGGCTACAGGCATACAGTAGCTTCTGGCTTGACATACTTTTTTTAAACCGACGTCATGGTAATGATGGCTGCCAAAAACGACGATACCGTGATTCGTTTTTTAACAATGTATCATGGTCATTTCAGAAATATATACTTAAAATTGTTATTTTTGCGTATTATTCAAGGATACTGGTCTAGGTTTAGCAATGGAGGATTAGTGTTTGGTGCTAACTTGTCATTGGAGAATATCAAGCAGAACATTAAAAGTAAGCAAAATGTGAATGGCTTTATTTAATAATGTTCTAAACATACTGAAAATATATTCTAAACTATAGAAAATTATAGCTTTGATTTCTACTAAACTAATGGCGTTAATGTTTTTAAAATCATGCAGGGTAAAAACAAAACATATAAAAAATAACTTGATCTAGACAACACGCCATGTATTTGAATGGGGAGAAATCTAGCAGACAACTGATTTCTGCCGAAAGACAGTGAACAGTCAATCCAACAACACTCCTTAAAATCTAACCCACCATATCACTGAGTATCAGTCATATCATTGTAGCCATTTAAAAACTGAAGCGTTTTTTCATAAATTATTTTCTAGGCTACCAATTAAATTTGATAAATAAAATTGGTATTGAATTAAAGGTAAATAAATGTAGTTTTTAATTGTTTAAGCCATCTTGAACAATAATAAAATCTTTGGCGACACCCTACACACAGTGGTGATACAAACTTCTGGCACACAGTGGTGATACAAACTTCTGGCACACAGTGGTGATACAAACTTCTGGCACACAGTGGTGATACAAACTTCTGGCACACAGTGGTGATACAAACTACTGGCACACAGTGGTGATACAAATAAGAGCTATAACATGTATGGACACTTACAGCGCTTGCTGTAGTTGGTCATGTTGTTTTATTGCTGCATCTTCAGCCTCTGTCAACATGTTCAAGTGATAGTTAGTATTTCATGTAGAGTTGGGGACAGAACACCGCGTCAAAAACATCATATTTCATGTAGAGTTGGGGACAGAACACCGCGTCACAAACATCATATTTCATGTAGAGTTGGGGACAGAACACCGCGTCAAAAACATCATATTTCATGTAGAGTTGGGGACAGAACACCGCGTCACAAACATCATATTTCATGTAGAATTGGGGACAGAACACTGCGTCACAAACATCATATTTCACAGCACAGAACACCGCGTCACAAACATCATATTTCACAGGACAGAACACAGCATCACAAACATCATATTTCATGTAGAGTTGGGGACAGAACACTGCGTCACAAACATCATATTTCACAGCACAGAACACAGCGTCACAAACATCATATTTCACAGGACAGAACACTGTGTCACAAACATCATGTTTCATGTAGAGTTGGGGACAGAACACAGCGTCACAAACATCATATTTCACAGGACATAACACAGCGACACAAACATCATATTTCATGTAAAGTTGGGGACAGAACACTGCGTCACAAACATCATATTTCACAGGACAGAACACCGCGCCACAAACATCATAATTCACAGGACAGAACACCGCATCACAAACATCATATTTCACATCACAGAACACAGCGTCACAAACATCATATTTCACAGCACAGAACACAGCGTCACAAACATCATATTTCATGTAGAGTTGGGGACGTTTCACTGCGTCACAAACATATTTCACAGGACAGAACACCGCGTCACAAACATCATATTATATGTAGAGTTGGGGACAGAACACTGTGTCACAAACATCATATTTCACAGCACAGAACACAGCGTCACAAACATCATATTTCACAGCACAGAACACAGCGTCACAAACATCATATTTCACAGCACAGAACACCGCGTCACAAACATCATATTTCACAGGACAGAACACAGCATCACAAACATCATATTTCATGTAGAGTTGGGGAAGGGAAAACCGTGTCACAAACATCATATTTCATGTAGAGTTGGGGACAGAACACTGCGTCACAAACATCATATTTCACAGCACAGAACACCGCGTCACAAACATCATATTTCATGTAGAGTTGGGGACGTTTCACTGCGTCAAAAACATATTTCACAGGACAGAACACCGCGTCACAAACATCATATTATATGTAGAGTTGGGGACAGAACACCGCGTAACAAACATCATATTTCATGTAGAGTTGGGGACAGAACACCACGTAACAAACATCATATTTCACAGGACAGAACACTGCGTCACAAACATCATATTTCATGTAGAGTTGGGGACAGAACACCGCGTAACAAACATCAGATTTCACAGGACAGAACACAGCGTAACAAACATCATATTTCATGTAGAGTTGGGGACAGAACACCGCATCACAAACATCATATTTCATGTAGAGTTGGGGACAGAACACCACGTAACAAACATCATATTTCACAGGACAGAACACTGCGTCACAAACATCATATTTCATGTAGAGTTGGGGACAGAACACCGCGTAACAAACATCAGATTTCACAGGACAGAACACAGCGTAACAAACATCATATTTCATGTAGAGTTGGGGACAGAACACTGCGTCACAAACATCATATTTCACAGGACAGAACACAGCATCACACACATCATATTTCATAGGACAGAACATAGCATCACTAAAGGTCAGAAACAAAATGACACCGAATGTCACTACGTTCATTGACACCACTACACACATACAATGACACACAATCGACTACACACCTACCTTTATAACAATGACCAGCGCTTACCTTTTATTTTTTTCTCTCTCTGATCTAAGAGCTGACTCATGGAAGCAAGTTCAGCCTGGTCAAAACAAATGTCATCTTGTTATTCTTTCATTGGCCGACATTAGTCCTGTCAACTGTCTCTACCTCAGCTTCTCTCAACTGTCTCTCCACATACCTCAGCTTCTCTCAACTGTCTCTACCTCAGCTTCTCTCAACTGTCTCTCCACATACCTCAGCTTCTCTCAACTGTCTCTCCACATACCTCAGCTTCTCTCAACTGTCTCTCCACATACCTCAGCTTCTCTCAACTGTCTCTCCACATACCTCAGCTTTTCTCAACTGTCTCTACCTCAGCTTCTCTCAACTGTCTCTCCACATACCTCAGCTTCTCTCAACTGTCTCTCCACATACCTCAGCTTCTCTCAACTGCCTCTCCACATACCTCAGCTTCTCTCAACTGTCTCTCCACATACCTCAGCTTCTCTCAACTGCCTCTCCACATACCTCAGCTTCTCTCAACTGTCTCTCCACATACCTCAGCTTCTCTCAACTGCCTCTACCTCAGCTTCTCTCAACTGTCTCTCCACATACCTCAGCTTCTCTCAACTGTCTCTCCACATACCTCAGCTTCTCTCAACTGCCTCTCCACATACCTCAGCTTCTCTCAACTGTCTCTCCACATACCTCAGCTTCTCTCAACTGCCTCTCCACATACCTCAGCTTCTCTCAACTGTCTCTCCACATACCTCAGCTTCTCTCAACTGCCTCTCCACATACCTCAGCTTCTCTCAACTGTCTCTCCACATACCTCAGCTTCTCTCAACTGCCTCTCCACATACCTCAGCTTCTCTCAACTGTCTCTCCACATACCTCAGCTTCTCTCAACTGCCTCTCCACATACCTCAGCTTCTCTCAACTGCCTCTCCACATACCTCAGCTTCTCTCAACTGTCTCTCCACATACCTCAGCTTCTCTCAACTGCCTCTCCACATACCTCAGCTTCTCTCAACTGTCTCTCCACATACCTCAGCTTCTCTCAACTGCCTCTCCATGTCCTCTCTCCTTCGCTCTTGTTCACTGTGAGCTTTCAAACTGAGTAAATGACCCTGACCTTCACCTTTCTCATCACTCCAAACTTCATTGCTGAATGGTAGTAAACAAAAGCAAATTTCTAATGTGCCAGCAAGCAAGATTGATATGACTGGCCAAAACCTAATGGACCAAGATAATGACTGGCCAAAACCTAATGGACCAAGATAATGACTGGCCAAAACCTTCAGGACTGAGATAATGACTGGCCAAAACCTAATGGACCAAGATAATGACTGGCCAAAACCTAATGGACCAAGATAATGACTGGCCAAAACCTTCAGGACTGAGATAATGACTGGCCAAAACCTTCAGGACTGAAATAATGACTGGCCAAAACCTAATGGACCAAGATAATGACTGGCCAAAACCTAATGGACCAAGATAATGACTGGCCAAAACCTAATGGACCAAGATAATGACTGGCCAAAACCTTCAGGACCAAGATAATGACTGGCCAAAACCTAATGGACCAAGATAATGACTGGCCAAAACCTTCAGGACCAAGATAATGACTGGCCAAAACCTAATGGACCAAGATAATGACTGGCCAAAACCTAATGGACCAAGATAATGACTGGCCAAAACCTTCAGGACCAAGATAATGACTGGCCAAAACCTTCAGGACTGAAATAATGACTGGCCAAAACCTAATGGACCAAGATAATGACTGGCCAAAACCTAATGGACCAAGATAATGACTGGCCAAAACCTAATGGACCAAGATAATGACTGGCCAAAACCTAATGGACCAAGATAATGACTGGCCAAAACCTAATGGACCAAGATAATGACTGGCCAAAACCTTCAGGACCAAGATAATGACTGGCCAAAACCTAATGGACCAAGATAATGACTGGCCAAAACCTTCAGGACCAAGATAATGACTGGCCAAAACCTTCAGGACCAAGATAATGACTGGCCAAAACCTTCAGGACCAAGATAATGACTGGCCAAAACCTAATGGACCAAGATAATGACTGGCCAAAACCTAATGGACCAAGATAATGACTGGCCAAAACCTTCAGGACCAAGATAATGACTGGCCAAAACCTAATGGACCAAGATAATGACTGGCCAAAACCTTCAGGACCAAGATAATGACTGGCCAAAACCTAATGGACCAAGATAATGACTGGCCAAAACCTAATGGACCAAGATAATGACTGGCCAAAACCTTCAGGACCAAGATAATGACTGGCCAAAACCTTCAGGACTGAAATAATGACTGGCCAAAACCTAATGGACCAAGATAATGACTGGCCAAAACCTAATGGACCAAGATAATGACTGGCCAAAACCTAATGGACCAAGATAATGACTGGCCAAAACCTTCAGGACCAAGATAATGACTGGCCAAAACCTAATGGACCAAGATAATGACTGGCCAAAACCTTCAGGACCAAGATAATGACTGGCCAAAACCTAATGGACCAAGATAATGACTGGCCAAAACCTTCAGGACCAAGATAATGACTGGCCAAAACCTTCAGGACTGAAATAATGACTGGCCAAAACCTTCAGGACTGAAATAATGACTGGCCAAAACCTAATGGACCAAGATAATGACTGCCCAAAACCTAATGGACCAAGATAATGACTGGCCAAAACCTTCAGGACTGAGATAATGACTGGCCAAAACCAAATGGACCAAGATAATGACTGGCCAAAACCTAATGGACTAAGATAATGACTGGCCAAAACCTTCAGGACTGAGATAATGACTGGCCAAAACCTTCAGGACTGAAATAATGACTGGCCAAAACCTAATGGACCAAGATAATGACTGGCCAAAACCTAATGGACCAAGATAATGACTGGCCAAAACCTAATGGACCAAGATAATGACTGGCCAAAACCTAATGGACCAAGATAATGACTGGCCAAAACCTAATGGACCAAGATAATGACTGGCCAAAACCTTCAGGACCAAGATAATGACTGGCCAAAACCTTCAGGACCAAGATAATGACTGGCCAAAACCTAATGGACCAAGATAATGACTGGCCAAAACCTAATGGACCAAGATAATGACTGGCCAAAACCTTCAGGACCAAGATAATGACTGGCCAAAACCTTCAGGACTGAAATAATGACTGGCCAAAACCTAATGGACCAAGATAATGACTGGCCAAAACCTAATGGACCAAGATAATGACTGGCCAAAACCTAATGGACCAAGATAATGACTGGCCAAAACCTTCAGGACCAAGATAATGACTGGCCAAAACCTAATGGACCAAGATAATGACTGGCCAAAACCTTCAGGACCAAGATAATGACTGGCCAAAACCTAATGGACCAAGATAATGACTGGCCAAAACCTTCAGGACCAAGATAATGACTGGCCAAAACCTTCAGGACTGAAATAATGACTGGCCAAAACCTTCAGGACTGAAATAATGACTGGCCAAAACCTAATGGACCAAGATAATGACTGCCCAAAACCTAATGGACCAAGATAATGACTGGCCAAAACCTTCAGGACTGAGATAATGACTGGCCAAAACCTAATGGACCAAGATAATGACTGGCCAAAACCTAATGGACCAAGATAATGACTGGCCAAAACCTTCAGGACTGAGATAATGACTGGCCAAAACCTTCAGGACTGAAATAATGACTGGCCAAAACCTAATGGACCAAGATAATGACTGGCCAAAACCTAATGGACCAAGATAATGACTGGCCAAAACCTAATGGACCAAGATAATGACTGGCCAAAACCTAATGGACCAAGATAATGACTGGCCAAAACCTAATGGACCAAGATAATGACTGGCCAAAACCTTCAGGACCAAGATAATGACTGGCCAAAACCTAATGGACCAAGATAATGACTGGCCAAAACCTTCAGGACCAAGATAATGACTGGCCAAAACCTTCAGGACTGAAATAATGACTGGCCAAAACCTTCAGGACTGAAATAATGACTGGCCAAAACCTAATGGACCAAGATAATGACTGCCCAAAACCTAATGGACCAAGATAATGACTGGCCAAAACCTTCAGGACTGAGATAATGACTGGCCAAAACCTAATGGACCAAGATAATGACTGGCCAAAACCTAATGGACCAAGATAATGACTGGCCAAAACCTTCAGGACTGAGATAATGACTACCTAGTCAGATATAATGACTAACCAAAACCTTTTATAATGACTAACCAAAACCTTTTATAATGACTAACCAAAACCTTTTATAATGACTAACCAAAACCTTTTATAATGACTAACCAAAACCTTTTATAATGACTAACCAAAACCTTTAGGTCAGACATAATGACTAACCAAAACCTTTTATAATGACCAACTAATACCAAGGTTGATAAAGAAACTACTGCTCATGCAGAACAATAAACTATTTTTGAAAAGCAAATTTTAAGTGTACAACTGTAATTATAGCTTTACACTAATTGGCTGAGCTGCCTACCTTAAAAAATGGTTACTTACAAAAGCATAAATATTCAATACTAATTACATTTGTCTGTGACATTTTAAAGAACATATTTACTCACAACTAACTTTTTGTAGACAATGTAGCAAGTCAAATTGTAGGCCATTACAAAATTAATATGCACAAAAGAAATGTTTGTATCAGGTAATTAAGCAGATAAATGGAACTGTTGAGGGAACGTGGTCGGGGTGAAAAAGAGTTTGTAAGTGCTAACTCCAAAAGTCCTGGGTTACAACTTGAGAACTCCATTACCTGGGGACAGCAACCCATCTTGGAGAGAAAGTGAAGAAATCAAATAACTGCTGCCTTGTAGTTTGTTCTTGGATGGACAAAGGCTACGCAAATCCAAAGAGAAAACAGGCAGTTAATGGGCCCTACCACGGATATGTTGACATGAAATAATTCATGGTGTTGGAAGAAATCACTTCAATAATATTATTAAGAACAAAGAAGAAGAGAATGTAAAACTGAGCCAGGAGCCAAAAGTTACTAAAAGAAAAAAATGACATCAACACAGGGGCGGAACTACAGTGCCGCCAGACCCCGCAATGCGGGGGGGCCCACGCCGTTTAGGGGGCCCACAGCCGCCCATAATAAATTTTTTTAAAGTTAAAATTAATTTTCATGCATTTTTGACCTGATGGTTGTTTTGAAAAAAAGAATACTGTAGCTGCGGTTGGAGTATCTTTATACTATAGACACCATCCCACGCTCTTGTATATTCTTTTTCCTACAATCAAACACACGCTGTTGTCGGCAAAATTCTTTTGAAAAAAACATCAATTGCGCGAGAGGCCGCTGGATATTAAGACGGCTTTTTGAGACCATCCCAAATTTGGTACTGATGGATAAAAAGCACATCGGTGCTTTGTTGTCCCTTTTAAGTTCCTTTCTCAGACCTCCCCTCCCGCATATATATATATATATATATATATATATATATATATATATATATATATATATATATATATATATATAAATTTTGTCACTGGCACCTTGATAGTGGTTTTGTAAATAACAAACAGATAACAGATATAATACAGTAGTGATATTATTTAGTAGCTAAGACATGCTGTTGTGTAAAAAAAATTAAAAAATATACACATGAGCTGTAGTGTGAAAGATAGGCAAACGTTCAAACCACTTCCATAAATTATTTCCCTTTTTCAAATAGCCAAGTAGGGGTGCTCAGAAGCTCCTTTTAATAGATGTGTAATAATCAAATTAAACAGCAATTACTTATCTTAATTATTATTTTTAAAAAAAATAAGTACTAAAGAATGGTATAGTAAAATAATGAAATGTAGTTAAAACTAATAATATAAATACAAAAAAACATAAAAATAAACATAACACGAGACACCATTACTTATACAAAGCTTTATGATTTATATACTTTTGACCAACTTAATGATTAGCGGTTAATAAGGCAAACATAAATGAAAACAGATTTTCAAAACAGACCAATGCACTCTACACATGACATGTTGTTGTGATTATATTTAATTGATTTTTTTTTCAAAACCCGATCAGGCCAGAAATGAGTATCCTATTTCCGTATTGTGTGTTTATATATAAATATATATATATATATATATATATATATATATATATGTATATGTATATGTATATATATATATATATATATATATATATATATATATATATATATATATATATATATATATATATATATATATATATATATGGGGGCCAAAAAAATTTTTTTGCGGGGTGGCCCATTTTTTCTAGTTCCGCCACTGCATCAACATGACCATTTCAACACAATTTAGGCACATTTATTGCAACCTAACAGTCAAAATGGTAAAATTACTGGCAAAATCCTACTAACAGTAACAGAATCTTTTAGTTACTACAAGCCTCAAGGTGGAAGCACATCTACAGCTGAGATGGAGCTAAAGTGGATTCCTAAATAGTTTTTAATTTTTTTTAGCTTATCATTAGCAAGTTGCGCAGCTTGCGCCGTGACCTTTGTTGCCATGGTAATCATGGCTGTACCTTGAACCTAAATTCCATGTTTCCGGTTGCCCATTGGTAATTAAGGCCATGTCACTTAAGGCGAAACCACAGCACACCTGATCTACGCATGACACAGAGCGCATCTTTGTTTTAACCTCAAGAGGATTTAGATTCAAAACCTATTTTAATTTTTGGATCTCGTTTATTATCTTACAGAGGAGCAATGTGCTGAAATATAAGGTAAGAGTCTATAAATAATAAAGTACTTAATATTTACATTGACATGCCCAAATGTTGACTAGACTAATAATTGGGTCTTCTAAAATTAACCTATATTTTAAAATTACGATTTCAATGGTCCGCAAGCCTAGGAAGGCTCACCGCGATAGAGCCTTAATTTCGCGCCAAATTTCCTGTGATTCTTACATTATTAAAATATCGCATTACTTGATTACTATTACCCCATAGTATTACTATAGGCCTACTAATATTAATAATTTAGTTTAAGTAGCCTACATTACATTTACTAAATTATTACGGTTGATTAGGACAATTAGGTCTAGATCTAGACTTTACATTAATTTAATTTTAAGATTTTTACACAAGTTGACTTAAATTTTGATCTAGATCTAGATTTTTCTAGATTTCTAGATCTAGACTCTAGAAAATATAAAATTTAGACTCTAGTATAGATCTAGTAGTCAATAGGCCTAGAATAGATCTAGATGATATTATTAATAAGATAGATAGCCTAATAGATTCTGGATTTAGAGAAACGAATCCAGATTACTAGCTCTATTGATCTATATTCTATATTCTATAGTTATTCTATAGTAACTAGATCTAGTCTAGATCAGATTAGATTTAGAATAGATCTAGATCTAGTAAAAAATAATCTTTAGGCCTAGATCTAGTTTAATTCTAGATCTAATTTAATCTATAGGCTAATAAAAAAAGTAATAGGGCCTACAAGCCTACACTAATCTAGATCTAGATTCTAGTAAGAAATAAAACTTTTAAGGTGCTAGTTAATTTTGATATAGATCTAGATCTAGATTCTAGATTTAGACCTAGATTTAGAATCTAGATAAGTTAATTAATTATATAAGTGTTCATCTAATTCTGCATTAAGTATTAAGTAGGACTAGACCTATATGATAGCCTATATCAATTCATTAATTAGCCTATTTATTTTAATTCAGTACATTTAGTAGATGAACACAATCATTTAATCATTATGTTTGATTAGGTCATACAAATTCTAGTCTAGATCTAGATTCTAGATCTTGTAAAAATAGTGAGACATTGTTAAATGGTTAAGAATAGATTTAGACTAGTGCAGGTATAATTCTCCATCAAGTAGGCCTATATATTTAAATTAATGTAGGCCTATGTATATATCCATAATTAGGCCTATTAAGGACAATTTTAATACTTGATAATGTTATTAATATTAATTTAATTCTAGACTTGTGTGCCTAGAACTTGGGTCAGTTTGTTTTCTTTGTACATCTTATTTGCTTATATTATAGGCAAGACCAACAAGGTGTAAGAAGGATTGCTAATGTAATCAGAAACTTGATGGCTGAGATAAAGCGGCTGAGGAGAACAGGCTTGTGACTGGGAATAGGTTGGTGGAACTTGTGTACAGCCCTTTCTATGTTCAACCCATGTCTCAGGTGGAAGTACATTCAGTAAGTATGGAGACTGAATTTATTTCTAATGTTTATATTTATTTTATATAGTTTGCAATATGTTGTGCTAGATATATATTTTGTGAAATGGTCTGCTAAATTCTAATTCCATTTGCCCTTCTCTTTTCAGGTACAGTTTTCATGGAGATCCAGCTTTATTCAAGGCTCATCTTAAAGAGAATGATGTGGCTGCTGGGACATAACTTAAGTCTACATACAACTGCTTGCAGATCTCAAGAAGCCTGGGGTTCTCATGCAGCACCGCAAGCACTCAGGCTGATTGGGAAGTTAATTTCTGGTCCTTTGATAAAGTTGATTTACAAGAACGCAATGTGGCGATCAGTTGTACTCTGTTTCTTAAAGTCATGGAAGCGTTGTTGACTTCTACTGAGCCTTTCTTGGTGCGACAGCTGGAGAGGTATCTGATGGGAAATCTGATTGGTGTTCAGCTGGTGGGAGCAAGGTGATCAGGGTGTGTCGCAATACAGTGGAAGGACTATTAAAAGACTGCCAGCAACAAAACAAAAGTCAGCTCTTTACACCATAAGCTACTGGGCAGAGGATGAGGATAATGCGGGATTTCAGTCATCGGGCAGAATCATGGTGGTTGACTTTATAGGAATCTTGTTTTTCTTTCTGAATAATAGCTAATCAGAATTTCAGAGTACTTCTTTCATTTTTAGTATAAAAATGAACTTTATTTTTTAAACATTAGTGTTTTTGTAAATTGTTACTGAAAAAATGATTGCTGTGAATTGTAAACTTATTTTGAAAACTAATACTAACAATGTTTATAATTAAGTTTAGTGTTCATAGTGTAAAAAAAAATTACATTTTAATTAATTACTTAACTTATTTTTCATGGTAATTGAAATCAGCTAGATAATCCTAGAATCAGTAGTCAATGTGCTTCTTTTCCTTAGATGTGCTAATTGTATCTAAAGATTAATTATAATTGATACTTTAGAAAATTGTTTTAACACTAAAGAGACTAAAGTGGTCCAAGAAATTTTTCGTCACCTATTTTTTTTCCAGCATACATTCAATAAATGGGTTAGATCTACATCTACTAGTAATTATACTTTAAACCAATATTTTAATGTTTATTCCTTGATAATTAATACTACTTTTCTTCTTAAAAGGGATCGTAATGAGAAGAGGCTAATTTCTTGATTATGTAACTGTTTTACAGTACTGTGTTGATCGTAGATTATACAAGGGCTAAATTTAGGTTGTCACTATGTAATTTATTTCTTTGCTCTTATAAACATATTTTTAAATTATTGCAAAAAATCTTTTTTTTTACTTTGCCATTCTCCTAAATGTTTCTATTTTATTAGACAAAATTAAAATTCATGTGGTAATCTGATTACTGTATTTTAATAATTTATATTTCTTTTAGCAAACATTGAAATGTCAGTATGCATAGTTCAGTAGTAATAAACACTGGTACACACTTTGACAGCTGTTTTCTTTTTATTTTGTTCTATAATTTTATTATGGCCTCCTGATATAGACATTGAATATCAAGGGGGGGGGGGTTGAGAAGGTATCGTAAAGGCAACCAGTTGCTACTTCCATTTTCCATGTGGTGTGTGTGTAGGTCTACTCTACTTCATCTACCCAAGTAGTATCGTTCATTACAATTACATTAAAGAACTTGTGAAGTAGTATGTGCTTATGCATTTCTATTATATAATAGAAGTAACAGTATTAAATATTAATAAATCGATTTACAATAACTAGATCTAGTTTATTTTAAACCTACATTAATTTTTTTACACGGAGTAATAAGTCAATAATAATATATGAATCATGAATGGCATTAAATTACTCAATCATATCCAGTCCAGTATAACTTAGGCTTTAAGCTTGATTATAATTTTTTAGTTTAAAAAAATGCGAATCCCGGATGATGCAATAAAATTATAATTTTTTAATTTTTCGAAAAATGCGAATCCGTGATGATGCAATTAAAAAACCATCGGTGCCAACTTTTTTTCTTGCGTAACATAGACTTGAATGACGAAGGTCTAAGCTGTTTAAGCCACGCCCACAAATTTTTAAAAGGCCATATCTTAGCTCCTAATTAAGCTAGAGACACAAAATTGGTATCAATGTGTAGGGAAAAAAATCCTGTTTGTTTGTGGTATAATTTTACTTGAAATTAGTGGAGTTTAAAAATTACGAGCAACAGCCTATTATCATTGGGGAGCTCACTAGGGACTAAATGCATTTAAAAAAATTCAAAACACCAGTAGACAAGAAGCAAAGCTGTGATGGTGACAGACACATTTTTTTTGGTTCATTGAGCAGACAAAGGATAAAACAGCAACAAAAATCAAGCAAAGGATAATACACCAATAAAATTAAGTTTTAATAAAAAGAACAAGCACTACTTTTTCGAAACCTAAGCAAATTAGCAATGTTTTGCAAGACAAATAGATATATTTCATTGGATTACTTTAATAAGACAAATAGATATATTTAATGGGATTACTTTAATATACTATCGGTGCTTGAATAAACATGGGGTCGTGGATATGATGTTATCAAACCTAATTTACCCCTCTTTCTTCATTCATATAAATTCATGTGATTGCTGCGAGCCTGCTGTCAACAGATGCTTGACTATAGAACATAGTTGTCCCAACAGAGGATTTCAAAATTGCATTACGCTCCCACCATTCAATTGCACAGTAAGATCACTAAGTAACTAGTTTGCGATTTGGGAGTCCAGAAGCAGTGGCAATAGGGGAGACTTATTCTTTGTTAATTCATGCATTACAAGTTAACTTAGTAGTGTGGTTATTAAGTTTGGTAATCTATCGTTTTAGTTGCGTAAAATTGTCCGAGGCTAGTTATGTGAGAAAAAGTTGCCTCATTGTTCAGGCTTTTATAGAAGTATATTGTGATATATTTGTGTCAAATATTATAGATAACTGAATATTAAACCAAAATCAATGGCTAAATATATCAATATAGGCCAGAAATTAAACAGCAGTGGTTGTGAGCAAGATTTGCTATATAAACAGAGGCCAACAGTTTCCCCCAAATCTCTAACTATAATTTTACAAAAAAAAAAAACTTTAACAAGATGGCTGCTAAAATAAATGAGCTTGGTTGCATCTGATGAAAACATCGCTAGTCTTTATTTATTACTGAAAAGTTTTGACACGGTTGTTTAAAAACAGGTACATTAATGAAATTTTGAAACATTTTTGTAACTTTCAAAACATAAATCCTCCTAAAATGTGAAATAATTACTAAAATTTAATGAGTCATCCTTTTTTCACATTAGTAGCCTCGACAGATTTTATGTATCAAAAACGATACATTTAAATTTAATTACCGTAAGTTCATACCTTTGTGTCATTATACTCTGTGGCTGATTCTGATTATCTTTCAATTTTCTTGAAGATTTGTTGTTTGTTGACAGCCCTGCTGTTACCATGTTGATTTTTGATGATTTATTTTTTACTGATGACTTTTGGGAAGTCTGGGGTATCACTACTTCTGCTGTTCTAGCAATGTTTTGGACGTAGTCTTCAGCAGTGGAGGATTGTACCTCCGCCTCCATCTCTACACTACTAGATCTAGATCTAGTACTAGATCTAGATCTAGATTCACTTGTAAACTTCTTACTTTTACTTTCATCAACTTGGTGTTGCTTTGCAACAACAGGAATGCCACTTTTATTTTTTTTTATAGTATGTGAATGTGAGTTTAAGTTATTTGACATTTTTAAAAAGAATAATAATAGGAGTCTATCCTTTATCAATAAACTTGAATAATCTACTCTTACTCTAAATCTAAGACTAACTCTAAGTCCTAACTAGTCGATCTAGAACTCTAGAGATCTATATAATATAACTAAGTCAAGTGTGTTAGTGTAGTTAAAGAACTTGCTACGAGGCGAGGGTTAGATTCTAGAGATCTAGATCTAGATCTAGATCTAGATCTACTTCTACTTTCTAGTCTAGAAGTTCTAGATCTAGAGTCTAGTGGTACTTGGATCTACAGTCTAGCTAGGTCTAGATTAGAGAGAATCTAGATTTATAAATCTATGGAGAGTCTAGGAATCTATCTCAAATGTATTATTTGCTGCTGTTTCCAGTGAACTGCTTTAAGTTCAAAATCAAATTTTAATAGGCCTATTTATCTTAATTCTGCGCGCAGCAACCAAACAACGTAAAAGTTAGAATTGACTCATTCGTAACAAAACAATTTTTTTATGTAGGCTATTAAATTAGATTTATTACCTATTTGATTTAGTAATAAGGCCTAGATCTAGTTATTTTTAATAAAATAACTTAAAAACGTAATTGAAACCTAATCTACCTTTATCTACTGTTGTAAATATAATTAATTAGACTCTGTTATGTGTCTTACATATAGGATTATAGAGTATAGAGTTTGATTTAGATGTAAAAGGCGAATGAAAAAATGAAAATTATTAGCTTTGGCTAGCGTCCTAGGATTCAAGATGGACGACTGCACTTTAGCAACGTTGACCGTGAAATCATGGACCTTGATACCACTATTTAAAAAAGATATTACTGAGTATAGTACTACTGTTCCTAGTGGCGTAGATAAAATAACATTTGATTTAAGCACTAGTGATAAAGGTGCTTCTTTTTCTATTTCAGTAAGTTTTTTTTCAGATGGCCTCTACACTCTCTTAAGTTAAGAGTCTTAACACTCTTCTATAAGTATAGTATCTATAGTATAGATCTAGTACTAGATCTATCTACTCAGACTACTCTACAGTCTACACTTTACCTACACTCTAGGACAGGGGTCTCCAAACTTTTCAGTCCGAGGGCCGCATTAAGTATCATATTTCAGTTCGGGGGCCAGTTTCTTCCAGGCATGTCTTTGATTTTTATGAGCAAAGTTCCTCAGCTATCACCAACAAACGTATTTTTCCGTGGACAAAAAGATCTACGCGGGCCATAGTTTGGAGACCCCTGCTTAACTACACTAAACTAAATAGTGACTAATACTAATTTAATAAAAGAAAATTAGATTTTAACTTAGATCTAATACTAATTTTTTTCAGCCTACTACTACTAGGCCCAATTATTAATTTTAAAGATTTATAAGTAAATTATTAGGCCCTAATATTATTTTTTTTAAATAGTTTAACTTAATAAAATAAACCTGGCCTAACTAAATTATTCTTTAGATGATTTTTTATTAGTAGAACTATTCATTATACATTAGTTAGGCCCAATCCTAGGCCGTAATCATTTATTTATAAGTTTTAGTTTAGCATTCAGTCAGATGAAGTGTAGCATTCAGTCAGATGAAGTGTAGCACTGGTAGCATTCAGTCAGAGAAAGTGTAGCATTCAGTCAGAGAAAGTGTAGCATTCAGTCAGATAAAGTGTAGCATTCAGTCAGATGAAGTGTAGCATTCAGTCAGATGAAGTGTAGCATTCAGTCAGATGAAGTGTAGCATTCAGTCAGAGAAAGTGTAGCATTCAGTCAGATGAAGTGTAGCATTCAGTCAGATGAGGTGTATCAGGCTAAAACAACTATCTGCTCTAGTAATACCATGAGCCCTAAAAATGCCTCAATGCTGTGCTCTAGTAATACCATGAGCCCTAAAAATGCCTCAATGCTGTGCTCTAGTAATACCATGAGCCCTAAAAATGACTCAATGCTGTGCTCTAGTAATACCATGAGCCCTAAAAATGCCTCAATGCTGTGCTCTAGTAATACCATGAGCCCTAAAAATGCCTCAATGCTGTGCTCTAGTAATACCATGAGCCCTAAAAATGCCTTAATGCTGTGCTCTAGTAATACCATGAGCCCTAAAAATGCCTCAATGCTGTGCTCTAGTAATACCATGAGCCCTAAAAATGCCTCAATGCTGTGCTCTAGTATTACCATGAGCCCTAAAAATGACTCAATGCTGTGCTCTAGTAATACCATGAGCCCTAAAAATGACTCAATGCTGTGCTCTAGTAATACCATGAGCCCTAAAAATGCCTCAATGCTGTGCTCTAGTAATACCATGAGCCCTAAAAATGACTCAATGCTGTGCTCTAGTAATACCATGAGCCCTAAAAATGCCTCAATGCTGTGCTCTAGTAATACCATGAGCCCTAAAAATGCCTCAATGCTGTGCTCTAGTATTACCATGAGCCCTAAAAATGCCTCAATGCTGTGCTCTAGTATTACCATGAGCCCTAAAAATGCCTCAATGCTGTGCTCTAGTAATACCATGAGCCCTAAAAATGCCTCAATGCTGTGCTCTAGTATTACCATGAGCCCTAAAAATGCCTCAATGCTGTGCTCTAGTAATACCATGAGCCCTAAAAATGCCTCAATGCTGTGCTCTAGTATTACCATGAGCCCTAAAAATGCCTCAATGCTGTGCTCTAGTATTACCATGAGCCCTAAAAATGCCTCAATGCTGTGCTCTAGTAATACCATGAGCCCTAAAAATGCCTCAATGCTGTGCTCTAGTATTACCATGAGCCCTAAAAATGCCTCAATGCTGTGCTCTAGTATTACCATGAGCCCTAAAAATGCCTCAATGCTGTGCTCTAGTAATACCATGAGCCCTAAAAATGCCTCAATGCTGTGCTCTAGTATTACCATGAGCCCTAAAAATGCCTCAATGCTGTGCTCTAGTATTACCATGAGCCCTAAAAATGCCTCAATGCTGTGCTCTAGTATTACCATGAGCCCTAAAAATGCCTCAATGCTGTGCTCTAGTAATACCATGAGCCCTAAAAATGACTCAATGCTGTGCTCTAGTAATACCATGAGCCCTAAAAATGACTCAATGCTGTGCTCTAGTAATACCATGAGCCCTAAAAATGACTCAATGCTGTGCTCTAGTAATACCATGAGCCCTAAAAATGCCTCAATGCTGTGCTCTAGTATTACCATGAGCCCTAAAAATGCCTCAATGCTGTGCTCTAGTAATACCATGAGCCCTAAAAATGCCTCAATGCTGTGCCCTAGTAATACCATGAGCCCTAAAAATGCCTCAATGCTGCAACTGCTTTTGTTCTTTCATCCCAACAGGGCAGCAATGGTTCTCGCGATGTGCCATTGACTGAAGGGGCAATAACTCAGATCAAAATAGAAGTGACATCAGAAGATGGTCATACAAAATATTATTTTGTTCATGCCAAACGTCTGTCTTCAAAAGATGCCAATTTGTCTGAACTCTGTATCCAGGATGGGAGCCTCGACCCTGAGTTTAACCACAACCAAACTCAATACTATTGTAAGCTTGTTTTTGATTGGTCAGTTAACACTAGCAGCAACTGAATATCCTAACTATCCAGAGTAAACATCTGTTTCAGGTCTGCTGCCATCCAACACAGTTATGGCCTCAGTGAAAGCCCTGGCTCCAGATCCTAAAAATGTTGTTCTGGTGTGTGGTGGCCCTTCCACTGCTCCACTGCCACTCAATCCTGGGCTGACTATCATTGACATTGAAATCACATCAGCTGATGGCTCTAATAAAAAGGTAGGTTGAAATCACATCAACTGATGGCTCTAATAAAAAGGTAGGTTGAAATCACATCAACTAATGGCTCTAATAAAATCACATCAGCTGATGGTTCTAATAAAATCACATCAACTGATGGCTCTAATAAAAAGGTAGGTTGAAATCACATCAGCTGATGGCTCTAATAAAAAGGTAGGTTGCAATCACATCAACTGATGGTTCTAATAAAAAGGTAGGTTGAAATCACATCAACTGATGGTTCTAATAAAAAGGTAGGTTGAAATCACATCAACTAATGGCTCTAATAAAATCACATCAGCTGATGGTTCTAATAAAATCACATCAACTGATGGTTCTAATAAAATCACATCAACTGATGGCTCTAATAAAATCACATCAACTGATGGTTCTAATAAAATCACATCAACTGATGGTTCTAATAAAATCACATCAACTGATGGTTCTAATAAAATCACATCAACTGATGGCTCTAAAAAAATGTAGGTTGAAATCACATCAACTGATGGCTCTTATAAAATCACATCAACTGATGGTTCTAATAAAAAGGTAGGTTGAAATCACATCAACTGATGGCTCTAATAAAAAGGTAGGTTGAAATCACATCAACTAATGGCTCTAATAAAATCACATCAACTAATGGCTCTAATAAAATCACATCAACTGATGGTTCTAATAAAATCACATCAACTAATGGCTCTAATAAAATCACATCAACTGATGGTTCTAATAAAATCACATCAGCTCATGGCTCTAATAAAATCACATCAACTGATGGCTCTAATAAAATCACATCAACTGATGGTTCTAATAAAATCACATCAACTGATGGTTATAATAAAAAGATGAAATCACATCTTAAGTTAGTGGTACTTCACTCTGTTTCCATGAGAACATGATATTTCTAAGATCTTTTACATGGATTTTTGAGTGATCTTACTTTACTCTGTTTCCAAAAGTTTTATAATCTGCAGATGCAATTTGCTGAATGTGTCTATTATGGTAGTACTAAAACTAAAATGCATGGGCCATAAAATGAATGGCAGCATAGTTGAGCTTGCTTTTCTGTTTGTGTTTTGGCCAAAAATAACCCTTGTGTGGAAGGCAAAAGCACCAAAATTGTAGATGTTATGTAACTTTATCATTGGACATCATTTTGTTTTTGAATAGGTTTTTTTTTTACCAAAAGGTCATACATTTTAAAAAAGTAACTTAATCAGTTGTTTAATTGACTTTTTAAAAATGAATCAGTTTCCTATATAAAGTACTAATTTTTCGATCAATTATGCACACATTGCTTATATTCATTAGGCGCACAATTATTTTTTCCATATGATTTTTTGCTATTTTTAAAATGTAAGTATTAAAAATATTAATAAAAGTCATTTCTATAGCTTGATTGCACTGACCAGCAGAGAGGACTGTACTTAAATGTCATCATGTAGTAACCAAAAGAGGACCGTACTTAAATGTCATCTACTGACCAACATAGTACCCTACTTAAATGTCAGCTACTGAACCCTACTTATATGTCATTATATAGTGACTAGCATAGGACTCTTTATATATATTAAAGGTTTATTCAACTGTTGATGTTTTCATGTGCTGAAGACTTACACAGTTGAGTCAACTGTTGATGTTTTCATGTGCTGAAGACTTACACAGTTGAGTCAACTGTTGATGTTTTCATGTGCTGAAGACTTACACAGTTGAGTCAACTGTTGATGTTTTCATGTGCTGAAGACTTACACAGTTGAGGCCGTGAGGAAGCAGATACCAAGATTTGTCAAGCTTGTTGACTCTAAGGCTGCAGCAGAGTTTGAGTGCCCTATTTCTCTAAGTCCAGTTTACTGCCCAGTCACAGTACGAGGCAGTGAGCCTAGACGCACCTATTCTGGCCCATCTATGAATGAGCTGACCAAAACATCCAAAGTTGACCCTCTGACTGGACACTCACTGCAGTCTGGATGGAAAATTCAAGATGTCAGCCTCGACCAAAAGCTGGCAGGTCAAACAGCTGTCATTCCTTTAGTTTATTCAGGTTAGTATACAGGTTTTATTTAGGTTAGCGTACAGGTTTTATTTAGGTTAGCATACAGGATACCTGTAAAAAAAATAGTAATAACAATTTAACAATTTAAAAAAATCTTTTTCCAGCTCAACTAATATATAAAGCAAAGAAAATTTGCTTAAAAAAATGAAAAAAAAAAACAAAAAAACTTGTGATTTAATTTTTAAGGGGGGGGGGGGGGGTGATCTGATTTTTTGTGATGGTGGCATGGTAGGTAAAATAATCCTGAAAAATGTGTGACAGCGTTTATGAATAACCCTAATGTTGTAATCCTGATATAGAGTGTTATTCTTCTAAAGTTACCCCAAACAAAAATCATAATTTTTTAGAAAATGAATATAACTTACAATAATTTTGGTGGCATCACTTGATGTTAATTATAGGCAATGTTTCTTTTGTTTAAAATTCTGAGTCTATTTTTCTTCAAGATTCTATTTGACTATTTTTCTTTTAAACTTTTCCCCTTCCAATGGCAGGTTCATCATCAGCCAAGCCAGTGAATGAACTGGCGGGGATTCTGGCAGAGTGCAGCAGACCCCTGCCACTTCAGGTGCCCACATTTCTTTCTCATCTGTCTTAAGGTTTTACATCACATTTCTTTCTCATCTGTCTTAAGGTTTTACATCACATTTCTTTCTCATCTGTCTTAAGGTTTTACACCACATTTCTTTCTCATCTGTCTTAAGGTTTTACATCACATTTCTTTCTCATCTGTCTTAAGGTTTTACATCACATTTCTTTCTCATCTGTCTTAAGGTTTTACATCACATTTCTTTCTCATCTGTCTTAAGGTTTTACATCACATTTCTTTCTCATCTGTCTTAAGGTTTTACATCACATTTCTTTCTCATCTGTCTTAAGGTTTTACATCACATTTCTTTCTCATCTGTCTTAAGGTTTTACATCACATTTCTTTCTCATCTGTCTTAAGGTTTTACATCACATTTCTTTCTCATCTGTCTTAAGGTTTTACATCACATTTCTTTCTCATCTGTCTTAAGGTTTTACATCACATTTCTTTCTCATCTGTCTTAAGGTTTTACATCACATTTCTTTCTCATCTGTCTTAAGGTTTTACATCACATTTCTTTCTCATCTGTCTTAAGGTTTTACATCACATTTCTTTCTCATCTGTCTTAAGGTTTTACATCACATTTCTTTCTCATCTGTCTTAAGGTTTTACATCACATTTCTTTCTCATCTGTCTTAAGGTTTTACATCACATTTCTTTCTCATCTGTCTTAAGGTTTTACATCACATTTCTTTCTCATCTGTCTTAAGGTTTTACATCACATTTCTTTCTCATCTGTCTTAAGGTTTTACATCACATTTCTTTCTCATCTGTCTTAAGGTTTTACATCACATTTCTTTCTCATCTGTCTTAAGGTTTTACATCACATTTCTTTCTCATCTGTCTTAAGGTTTTACATCACATTTCTTTCTCATCTGTCTTAAGGTTTTACATCACATTTCTTTCTCATCTGTCTTAAGGTTTTACATCACATTTCTTTCTCATCTGTCTTAAGGTTTTACACCACATTTCTTTCTCATCTGTCTTAAGGTTTTACATCACATTTCTTTCTCATCTGTCTTAAGGTTTTACATCACATTTCTTTCTCATCTGTCTTAAGGTTTTATATCATGTAAGTTCTTTTATAAGTAGATTAATTTATAAGAGTAACATCAGCCACATAATTCCATGTTAAGTAACTAGTGCTAACATTTTGTTACTAACTATTTTTTAGGATTTATCTGGGTCTTTCAATAACTCAAGTTTGACTCTTGGTAGAAGTCTACAGGTAATTGCAATTAAAAAGCTTTTATTTCACTAATTCTTTTGTCTTAATACTCTGTTCATCATGGGTCGAATTTGCAAAGCAAAATTTCAATCATCTTCAAACTTGTCTTTTTTCAACTGTATTATACACAAAGTGTTTTAATGCTTTTAAGCTATGTGGTTTTATTCTGTTAAAATTTTAAAAGTATTCTTAAAAATAAATGAAATAAACTGTATGGCAATAATCTGAACACAAAAAAAAACAGGTAAATAAATATTTTTTAAAAATATGTACTAAAGCGACTCACTCGATATTAATTTTTGCACTGCTGTATTTTATATAAAATACCTTTACTCAATTTTTAAAAGTGATTCTTTAATATGTATATTTAAAAACCATTTTATATTCTTCTTTCTAGTATATATTAAAAGCTTGTTATCAAAAAAATAATTAATACATTTTTGAATAATATTAAATGATTCTGGAGTTACTGAACTTTAACATCTCTGGCCACAGAGTTAAACCCACGTAGATGCATAGTATATTGTTTAACATCTCTGGCCCTCTATATTGTCTGTTTAACATCTCTGGCCCTCAAATTGTCTGTTTAACATCTCTGGCCCTCTATATTGTCTGTTTAACATCTCTGGCCCTCTATATTGTCTGTTTAACATCTCTGGCCCTCTTTATTGTCTGTTTAACATCTCTGGCCCTCTATATTGTCTGTTTAACATCTCTGGCCCTCTATATTGCAAGGAACACAAGTGGGAGAAAGCCCTCCAGCAGATTTTTGACGAGACCAACGCTGACCAGCTGTTGAAATCAGCAGAAACACATCTGACAGAGTATTACAAGAAGATACCAAAGCCAGGTGATATTTTTATCATTGCTGGCTTATTGTTGTCACAGGAAGCCATGCTGACTATGCTAAATAAAAAACATTAAACAGGAGGGTGTAGCAGTCTGTGTAAATGGCTAAGGAATTTTTGGCTTGAGAAAAAAAAAAAAAAAAAAAAAAAAAAAGCATCAAACAGGAGGGTGTAGCAGTCTGTGTGAATGGCTAAGGAATTTTCGGCTTGAGCAAATAAAAAAACATTAAACAGGAGGGTCTAGCAGTCTGTGTGAATGGCTAAGGAATTTTTGGCTTGAGCAAAAAAAAACACATTAAACAGGAGGGTCTAGCAGTCTGAGTGAATGGCTAAGGAATTTTTGGCTTGAGCAAAAAAAAAACATTAAACAGGAGGGTCTAGCAGTCTGAGTGAATGGCTAAGGAATTTTTGGCTTGAGCAAATTAAAAAAAACCCATCTGATAATGGACACTGACCTAACCCCGTCTGATAATGGACACTGACCTAATGACCTAACCCCACCTGATAATGGACACTGACCTAACCCCATCTGATAATGGACATTGACCTAACCCCATCTGATAATGGACATTGACCTAACCCCGTCTGATAATGGACACTGACCTAATGACCTAACCCCACCTGATAATGGACACTGACCTAACCCCATCAGATAATGGACATTGACCTAACCCCATCTGATAATGGACACTGACCTAATGACCTAACCCCACCTGATAATGGACACTGACCTAACCCCATCTGATAATGGACATTGACCTAACCCCATCTGATAATGGACATTGACCTAACCCCATCTGATAATGAACAATGTCCTAATGACCTAACCCCACCTGATAATGGACACTGACCTAACCCCATCTGATAATGGACACTGACCTAATGACCTAACCCCATCTGATAATGGACACTGACCTAACCCCATCTGATAATGGACATTGACCTAACCCCACCTGATAATGGACACTGACCTCACCCCACCTGATAATGGACACTGACCTAATGACCTAACCCCATCAGATAATGGACATTGACCTAACCCCATCTGATAATGGACACTGACCTAACCCCATCTGATAATGGACACTGACCTAATGACCTAACCCCATCTGATAATGGACACTGACCTAACCCCATCTGTTAATGGACACTGACCTAACCCCATCTGATAATGGACACTGACCTAATGACCTAACCCCATCTGATAATGGACATTGACCTAACCCCACCTGATAATGGACACTGACCTCACCCCACCTGATAATGGACACTGACCTAATGACCTAACCCCATCAGATAATGGACATTGACCTAACCCCATCTGATATTGGACACTGACCTAACCCCATCTGATAATGGACACTGACCTAATGACCTAACCCCATCTGATAATGGACACTGACCTAACCCCATCTGTTAATGGACACTGACCTAACCCCATCTGATAATGGACACTGACCTAATGACCTAACCCCATCTGATAATGGACACTGACCTAACCCCATCTGATAATGGGCACTGACCTAACCCCATCTGGTAATGGACACTGACCTAACCCCATCTGATAATGGACATTGACCTAACCCCATCTGATAATGGACATTGACCTAACCCCATCTGATAATGAACATTGACCTAACCCGATCTGATAATGGACACTGACCTAACCCCATCTGATAATGGACATTGACCTAACCCCACCTGATAATGGACATTGACCTAACCCCATCAGATAATGGACACTGACCTAATGACCTAACCCCATCAGATAATGGACACTGACCTAACCCCATCTGATAATGGACATTGACCTAATGACCTAACCCCACCTGATAATGGACATTGACCTAACCCCATCTGATAATGGACATTGACCTAACCCCATCTGATAATGAACATTGACCTAACCCCACCTGATAATGGACATTGACCTAACCCCATCTGATAATGGACACTGACCTAACCCCACCTGATAATGGACATTGACCTAACCCCATCTGATAATGGACACTGACCTAATGACCTAACCCCATCAGATAATGGACACTGACCTAACCCCACCTGATAATGGACATTGACCTAACCCCATCTGATAATGGACACTGACCTAACCCCATCTGATAATGGACATTGACCTAATGACCTAACCCCACCTGATAATGGACATTGACCTAACCCCATCTGATAATGGACATTGACCTAACCCCACCTGATAATGGACACTGACCTAACCCCACCTGATAATGGACATTGACCTAACCCCATCTGATAATGGACACTGACCTAACCCCACCTGATAATGGACATTGACCTAACCCCATCTGATAATGGTCACTGACCTAATGACCTAACCCCATCAGATAATGGACACTGACCTAACCCCACCTGATAATGGACATTGACCTAACCCCATCTGATAATGGACACTGACCTAACCCCACCTGATAATGGACACTGACCTAACCCCACCTGATAATGGACACTGACCTCACCCCACCTGATAATGGACACTGACCTAACCCCACCTGATAATGGACACTGACCTAACCCCATCTGATAATGGACATTGACCTAACCCCATCTGATAATGGACATTGACCTAATGACCTAACCCCACCTGATAATGGACATTGACCTAACCCCATCTGATAATGGACACTGACCTAACCCCATCTGATAATGGACATTGACCTAACCCCATCTGATAATGGACATTGACCTAATGACCTAACCCCACCTGATAATGGACACTGACCTAACCCCATGAACTCTCAGGTCAGTTCCAGCAGCAGTACAATGAAGGGGAATCCCCTATTGTTGCTCTACAAAATGCCATCTACTGCCTGGCCACTGCCCTCAAGTACAAGCCCAAGGTCGCAGACATTCACCTACGCCTGGCCATGGCCTTGGAGGAAAAATATTATGCTGAAGACATGTTTGGTCTTAAGACAGTGGTAAGCATGGGGTGGGGGGGGGGGGGCAAGGATGTTTAAGGGACAATTTGCTTAGAATTCCAGAACAAACCACAAATCCCGTGACTAATTCATGTCTTGTAAATGAACAGGATAAATATGATGCACCATCTTTAAATCTTCAAGCAAAGGAGAGCTCCAAGAAGGAGGAGGTCTTGGCTATTTGTAAACTGAAAGGTGTTGAGGGCTCAGCTCCAGTCAGTCACCAGCTGAAAGCTCTGGACAGTGAATATCACCACCTGATTGACAGCGGTCAGAGTGCTAAAGCTGACCATGTCATGGCTCTGTTTGCCTGGTACAGTAAGAAGGTTTCACAGGTCAGTTGCTGGTTGGCTGGTCAGTTAATGGTGGGCTGGTCAGTTGATGGTGGGCTGGTCAGTTGCAGGTGGGCTGGTCAGTTGATGGTGGGCTGGTCAGTTGATGGTGGGCTGGTCAGTTGATTGTGGGCTGGTCACTTGCTGGTGGGCTGGTCATTTAATTGTGGGCTGGTCAGTTAATGGTGGGCTGGTCAGTTAATGGTGGGCTGGTCAGTTGATTGTGGGCTGGTCAGTTAATTGTGGGCTGGTCAGTTGATTGTGGGCTGGTCAGTTAATTGTGGGCTGGTCAGTTGATTGTGGGCTGGTCACTTGCTGGTGGGCTGGTCATTTAATTGTGGGCTGGTCAGTTAATGGTGGGCTGGTCAGTTGATTGTGGGCTAGTCAGTTGATGGTGGGCTGGTCAGTTAATTGTGGGCTGGTCAGTTAATGGTGGGCTGGTCACTTGCTGGTCAGTTGCTGGTGGGCTGGTCAGTTAATTGTGGGCTGGTCAGTTAATGGTGGGCTGGTCAGTTGATGGTGGGCTGGTCAGTTGATCGTGGGCTGGTCACTTGCTGGTCAGTTGATGGTGGGCTGGTCAGTTGATTGTGGGCTCGTCAATTGCTGGTGGGCTGGTCAGTTGATTGTGGGCTGGTCAGTTAATGGTGGGCTGGTCAGTTAATGGTGGGCTGGTCAGTTGCTGGTGGGCTGGTCAGTTGATGGTGGGCTGGTCCGTTAATTGTGGGCTCATCAGTTGATGGTGGGCTGGTCAGTTGATTGTGGGCTGGTCATTTAATTGTGGGCTGGTCAGTTAATTGTGGGCTCATCAGTTGATGGTGGGCTGGTCTATTGCTGGTCAGTTGATGGTGGGCTGGTCAGTTAATGGTGGGCTGGTCAGTTAATGTTGGGTTGGTCAGTTGCTGGTGGGCTGGTCAGTTAATGGTGGGCTGGTCAGTTGATGGTGGGCTGGTCAGTTGCTGGTGGGCTGGTCAGTTGCTGGTGGGCTGGTCAGTTAATGGTGGGCTGGTCAGTTAATGGTGGGCTGGTCAGTTGATTGTGGGCTGGTCAGTTGATGGTTGGCTGGTCAGTTGCTGGTGGGCTGGTCAGTTGATGGTGGGCTGGTCAGTTAATGGTGGGCTGGTCAGTTGATTGTGGGCTGGTCAGTTGATGGTGGGCTGGTCAGTTAATTGTGGGCTGGTCAGTTAATTGTGGGCTGGTCAGTTGATGGTGGGCTGGTCAGTTAATGGTGGGCTGGTCAGTTGATGGTGGGCTGGTCAGTTGCTGGTGGGCTGGTCAGTTAATTGTGGGCTGGTCAGTTAATGGTGGGCTGGTTAGTTGCTAGTGGGCCATGATGATGAGAGATGTCTTGCAGGAGGGTGACGCTGCCCACAAGGCTGAGGACCACGAATCCCCCTTGGGTCAGGCCTACCAGAAATACTTGGACGCCCTGTGTCTTGACGAGACAAAAGCTGTCTACAACTTCCATGTGGGCAGGCTGCTGGTGACCATGGGGGAGTACCAGGATGCCATCAGGAGACTGGAAGCTGCTCTGTGCTGGAACTCTTCACATGAAATGTCCAGGTACTCTAACTCTCCCATCAAATGTCCAGGTACTCTAACTCTCCCATCAAATGTCCAGGTACTCTAACTCTTCCCATCAAATGTCCAGGTACTCTAACTCTTCCCATCAAATGTCCAGGTACTCTAACTCTCCCATCAAATGTCCAGGTACTCTAACTCTCCCATGAAATGTCCAGGTACTCTAACTCTCCCATCAAATGTCCAGGTACTCTAACTCTCCCATCAAATGTCCAGGTACTCTAACTCTCCCATGAAATGTCCAGGTACTATAACTCTCCCATCAAATGTCCAGGTACTCTAACTCTCCCATCAAATGTCCAGGTACTCTAACTCTCCCATCAAATGTCCAGGTACTCTAACTCTCCCATGAAATGTCCAGGTACTCTAACTCTTCCCATCAAATGTCCAGGTACTCTAACTCTCCCATCAAATGTCCAGGTACTCTAACTCTCCCATGAAATGTCCAGGTACTCTAACTCTTCCCATCAAATGTCCAGGTACTCTAACTCTCCCATCAAATGTCCAGGTACTCTAACTCTCCCATGAAATGTCCAGGTACTCTAACTCTCCCATGAAATGTCCAGGTACTCTAACTCTCCCATCAAATGTCCAGGTACTCTAACTCTCCCATCAAATGTCCAGGTACTCTAACTCTTCCCATCAAATGTCCAGGTACTCTAACTCTCCCATCAAATGTCCAGGTACTCTAACTCTCCCATGAAATGTCCAGGTACTCTAACTCTCCCATCAAATGTCCAGGTACTCTAACTCTTCCCATCAAATGTCCAGGTACTCTAACTCTCCCATGAAATGTCCAGGTACTCTAACTCTCCCATGAAATGTCCAGGTACTCTAACTCTCCCATCAAATGTCCAGGTACTCTAACTCTCCCATGAAATGTCCAGGTACTCTAACTCTTCCCATCAAATGTCCAGGTACTCTAACTCTCCCATGAAATGTCCAGGTACTCTAACTCTCCCATCAAATGTCCAGGTACTCTAACTCTCCCATGAAATGTCCAGGTACTCTAACTCTCCCATCAAATGTCCAGGTACTCTAACTCTCCCATCAAATGTCCAGGTACTCTAACTCTCCCATCAAATGTCCAGGTACTCTAACTCTCCCATCAAATGTCCAGGTACTCTAACTCTCCCATGAAATGTCCAGGTACTCTAACTCTCCCATCAAATGTCCAGGTACTCTAACTCTTCCATCAAATGTCCAGGTACTCTAACTCTCCCATCAAATGTCCAGGTACTCTAACTCTCCCATGAAATGTCCAGGTACTCTAACTCTCCCATCAAATGTCCAGGTACTCTAACTCTCCCATCAAATGTCCAGGTACTCTATAAGCTCTATATCAACCTCTACCTCCCTCTTATCACCCTGTTACCATTTAACCTCCCCCCCTGCCCCCCTCACACCACCCTGTTCAACCTCCCCCACATTATCCTGTAAACACACTCACCCATACACACACCCCTGTAAAATCTCCACCACATGACCCCTACTTCCCCACAAGACCCCCACACAACCCTGTAGCCCCCCCCCCCCCTGACCTCTGAACCTTGCTGTGACAGGTTGTACCTGGGACTGGCCATCATAACCAACCCCCCCCCCCCCCTGACCTTTGAACCTTGCTGTGACAGGTTGTACCTGGGACTGGCCATCATAACCCCCCCCCCCCCCCCGACCTTTGAACCTTGCTGTGACAGGTTGTACCTGGGACTGGCCATCATAACCAACCCCCCCCCCCCTGACCTTTGAACCTTGCTGTGACAGGTTGTACCTGGAACTGGCCATCATAACCAACCCCCCCCCCCTGACCTTTGAACCTTGCTGTGACAGGTTGTACCTGGAACTGGCCATCATAACCCCCCCCCCCTGACCTTTGAACCTTGCTGTGACAGGTTGTACCTGGAACTGGCCATCATAAACCCCCCCCCTGACCTTTGAACCTTGCTGTGACAGGTTGTACCTGGAACTGGCCATCATAAACCCCCCCCCCCCCCTGACCTTTGAACCTTGCTGTGACAGGTTGTACCTGGAACTGGCCATCATAACCCCCCCTGACCTTTGAACCTTGCTGTGACAGGTTGTACCTGGGACTGGCCATCATAACCAACCCCCCCCCCCCCTGACCTTTGAACCTTGCTGTGACAGGTTGTACCTGGGACTGGCCATCATAACCCCCCCCCCCTTGACCTTTGAACCTTGCTGTGACAGGTTGTACCTGGGACTGGCCATCATAACCCCCCCCCCTTGACCTTTGAACCTTGCTGTGACAGGTTGTACCTGGGACTGGCCATCATAACCCCCCCCCTTGACCTTTGAACCTTGCTGTGACAGGTTGTACCTGGGACTGGCCATCATAACCCCCCCTTGACCTTTGAACTTTGCTGTGACAGGTTGTACCTGGGACTGGCCATCATAACCCCCCCTTGACCTTTGAACCTTGCTGTGACAGGTTGTACCTGGAACTGGCCATCATAACCCCCCCCCCCCCCTGACCTCTGAACCTTGCTGTGACAGGTTGTACCTGGAACTGGCCATCATAACCCCCCCCCCTGACCTTTGAACCTTGCTGTGACAGGTTGTACCTGGAACTGGCCATCATAACCCCCCCCCCCCCCTGACCTCTTAACCTTGCTGTGACAGGTTGTACCTGGGACTGGCCATCAGCCTCAGCAAGGAGAAGACAAGAGACCAGGAGGCCGTCCAGTTTTTACTGATGGGAATGGAACTGCTTTTAGCTGAGCTCTCACAGCAAGCACTCAGCACAGAGGACACAGTGTAAGATCAGCCTTAGAAGTCCCCATTGCCATAGTTGATGTTTTAGATGGTCCCCATTGCCATAGTTGATTTAGATGGTCCCCATTGCCATAGTTGATGTTTTAGATGGTCCCCATTGCCATAGTTGATATTTTAGATGGTCCCCATTGCCATAGTTGATTTAGTTGGTCCCCATTGCCATAGTTGATGTTTTAGTTGGTCCCCATTGCCATAGTTGATGTTTTAGATGGTCCCCATTGCCATAGTTGATGTTTTAGATGGTCCCCATTGCCATAGTTGATGTTTTAGTTGGTCTCCATTGCCATAGTTGATGTTTTAGATGGTCCCCATTGCCATAGTTGATGTTTTAGATGGTCCCCATTGCCATAGTTGTTTTAGTTGGTCCCCATTGCCATAGTTGATTTAGATGGTCCCCATTGCCATAGTTGATGTTTTAGATGGTCCCCATTGCCATAGTTGATGTTTTAGATGGTCCCCATTGCCATAGTTGATGTTTTAGATGGTCCCCATTGCCATAGTTGATTTAGATGGTCCCCATTGCCATAGTTGATGTTTTAGTTGGTCCCCATTGCCATAGTTGATGTTTTAGATGGTCCCCATTGTCATAGTTGATGTTTTAGATGGTCCCCATTGCCATAGTTGATTTAGTTGGTCCCCATTGCCATAGTTGATTTAGTTGGTCCCCATTGCAATAGTTGATGTTTTAGATGGTCCCCATTGCCATAGTTGATTTAGATGGTCCCCATTGCCATAGTTGATGTTTTGGATGATCCCCATTGCCATAGTTGATGTTTTGGATGATCCCCATTGCCATAGTTGATGTTTTGGATGGTCCCCATTGCCATAGTTGATGTTTTGGATGGTCCCGATTGCCATAGTTGATGTTTTAGATGGTCCCCATTGTCATAGTTGATGTTTTAGATGGTCCCCATTGCAATAGTTGATGTTTTAGATGGTCCCCATTGCCATAGTTGATGTTTTGGATGGTCCCCATTGCCATAGTTGATGTTTTAGATGGTCCCCATTGTCATAGTTGATGTTTTAGATGGTCCCCATTGCCATAGTTGATTTAGATGGTCCCCATTGCCATAGTTGATGTTTTAGTTGGTCCCCATTGCCATAGTTGATGTTTTGGATGGTCCCCATTGACATAGTTGATTTAGATGGTCCCCATTGCCATAGTTGATGTTTTGGATGGTCCCCATTGCCATAGTTGATTTAGATGGTCCCCATTGCCATAGTTGATGTTTTAGATGGTCCCCATTGTCATAGTTGATGTTTTGGATGATCCCCATTGCCATAGTTGATGTTTTAGATGGTCCCCATTGCCATAGTTGATGTTTTAGATGGTCCCCATTGCCATAGTTGATGTTTTAGATGGTCCCCATTGCCATAGTTGATGTTTTAGATGGTCCCCATTGCCATAGTTGATTTAGATGGTCCCCATTGCCATAGTTGATGTTTTGGATGGTCCCCATTGCCATAGTTGATGTTTTAGATGGTCCCCATTGCCATAGTTGATTTAGATGGTCTCCATTGCCATAGTTGATTTAGTTGGTCCCCATTGCCATAGTTGATTTAGATGGTCCCCATTGCCATAGTTGATGTTTTGGATGGTCCCCATTGCCATAGTTGATTTAGATGGTCCCCATTGCCATAGTTGATATTTTAGATGGTCCCCATTGTCATAGTTGATGTTTTAGATGGTCCCCATTGACATAGTTGATTTAGATGGTCCCCATTGCCATAGTTGATGTTTTATTTGGTCCCCATTGCCATAGTTGATGTTTTAGATGGTCCCCATTGTCATAGTTGATGTTTTAGATGGTCCCCATTGACATAGTTGATTTAGATGGTCCCCATTGCCATAGTTGATGTTTTATTTGGTCCCCATTGCCATAGTTGATGTTTTAGATGGTCCCCATTGCCATAGTTGATTTAGATGGTCCCCATTGTCATAGTTGATGTTTTAGATGGTCCCCATTGCCATAGTTGATGTTTTAGATGGTCCCCATTGCCATAGTTGATGTTTTATTTGGTCCCCATTGCCATAGTTGATGTTTTAGTTGGTCCCCATTGCAATAGTTGATGTTTTATTTGGTCCCCATTGCCATAGTTGATGTTTTAGATGGTCCCCATTGCCATAGTTGATGTTTTAGATGGTCCCCATTGTCATAGTTGATGTTTTAGATGGTCCCCATTGCCATAGTTGATGTTTTAGTTGGTCTCCATTGCCATAGTTGATTTAGTTGGTCCCCATTGCCATAGTTGATGTTTTAGATGGTCCCCATTGCCATAGTTGATGTTTTAGATGGTCCCCATTGTCATAGTTGATGTTTTAGATGGTCCCCATTGCCATAGTTGATTTAGTTGGTCCCCATTGCCATAGTTGATGTTTTAGTTGGTCCCCATTGTCATAGTTGATGTTTTGGATGGTCCCCATTGCCATAGTTGATGTTTTAGATGGTCCCCATTGCCATAGTTGATGTTTTAGATGGTCCCCATTGCCATAGTTGATGTTTTAGATGGTCCCCATTGCCATAGTTGATGTTTTAGATGGTCCCCATTGCCATAGTTGATGTTTTAGTTGGTCTCCATTGCCATAGTTGATTTAGTTGGTCCCCATTGCCATAGTTGATTTAGTTGGTCCCCATTGCCATAGTTGATGTTTTAGATGGTCCCCATTGCCATAGTTGATGTTTTAGATGGTCCCCATTGTCATAGTTGATTTAGTTGGTCCCCATTGCCATAGTTGATGTTTTAGATGGTCCCCATTGCCATAGTTGATGTTTTGGATGGTCCCCATTGCCATAGTTGATTTAGATGGTCCCCATTGCCATAGTTGATGTTTTAGATGGTCCCCATTGCCATAGTTGATATTTTAGATGGTCCCCATTGCCATAGTTGATTTAGTTGGTCCCTATTGCCATAGTTGATGTTTTAGATGGTCCCCATTGCCATAGTTGATGTTTTAGTTGGTCCCCATTGCCATAGTTGATGTTTTAGATGGTCCCCATTGCCATAGTTGATGTTTTAGATGGTCCCCATTGCCATAGTTGATGTTTTAGATGGTCCCCATTGCCATAGTTGATGTTTTAGATGGTCCCCATTGCCATAGTTGATGTTTTAGATGGTCCCCATTGCCATAGTTGATTTAGTTGGTACCCATTGCCATAGTTGATGTTTTAGATGGTCCCCATTGTCATAGTTGATGTTTTAGATGGTCCCCATTGCCATAGTTGATGTTTTAGATGGTCCCCATTGTCATAGTTGATATTTTAGATGGTCCCCATTGCCATAGTTGATGTTTTAGTTGGTCTCCATTGCCATAGTTGATTTAGATGGTCCCCATTGCCATAGTTGATTTAGATGGTCCCCATTGCCATAGTTGATTTAGATGGTCCCCATTGCCATAGTTGATTTAGTTGGTCCCCATTGCCATAGTTGATGTTTTAGTTGGTCCCCATTGCCATAGTTGATGTTTTAGTTGGTCCCCATTGTCATAGTTGATGTTTTAGATGGTCCCCATTGACATAGTTGATTTAGATGGTCCCCATTGCCATAGTTGATGTTTTAGATGGTCCCCATTGCCATAGTTGATGTTTTAGATGGTCCCCATTGCCATAGTTGATGTTTTAGTTGGTCCCCATTGCCATAGTTGATGTTTTAGATGGTCCCCATTGCCATAGTTGATTTAGATGGTCCCCATTGCCATAGTTGATGTTTTAGATGGTCCCCATTGTCATAGTTGATGTTTTAGATGGTCCCCATTGCCATAGTTGATGTTTTGGATGATCCCCATTGCCATAGTTGATTTAGATGGTCCCCATTGCCATAGTTGATGTTTTGGATGGTCCCCATTGCCATAGTTGATGTTTTAGATGGTCCCCATTGCCATAGTTGATGTTTTAGATGGTCCCCATTGCCATAGTTGATGTTTTAGTTGGTCCCCATTGCAATAGTTGATGTTTTGGATGGTCCCCATTGCCATAGTTGATGATTTAGATGGTCCCCATTGCCATAGTTGATGTTTTAGATGGTCCCCATTGCCATAGTTGATATTTTAGATGGTCCCCATTGCCATAGTTGATATTTTAGATGGTCCCCATTGCCATAGTTGATTTAGATGGTCCCCATTGCCATAGTTGATTTAGATGGTCCCCATTGCCATAGTTGATGTTTTAGATGGTCCCCATTGCCATAGTTGATGTTTTAGATGGTCCCCATTGCCATAGTTGATGTTTTAGTTGGTCCCCATTGTCATAGTTGATGTTTTAGATGGTCCCCATTGCCATAGTTGATGTTTTAGATGGTCCCCATTGCCATAGTTGATTTAGATGGTCCCCATTGCCATAGTTGATGTTTTAGATGGTCCCCATTGTCATAGTTGATGTTTTAGATGGTCCCCATTGCCATAGTTGATTTAGATGGTCCCCATTGCCATAGTTGATGTTTTAGTTGGTCCCCATTGTCATAGTTGATGTTTTAGATGGTCCCCATTGCCATAGTTGATGTTTTAGATGGTCCCCATTGCCATAGTTGATTTAGATGGTCCCCATTGCCATAGTTGATGTTTTAGATGGTCCCCATTGCCATAGTTGATGTTTTAGATGGTCCCCATTGCCATAGTTGATGTTTTAGATGGTCCCCATTGCCATAGTTGATGTTTTGGATGGTCCCCATTGCCATAGTTGATTTAGATGGTCCCCATTGCCATAGTTGATGTTTTAGATGGTCCCCATTGCCATAGTTGATGTTTTAGATGGTCCCCATTGCCATAGTTGATTTAGTTGGTCCCCATTGCCATAGTTGATTTAGATGGTCCCCATTGTCATAGTTGATTTAGATGGTCCCCATTGCCATAGTTGATGTTTTAGTTGGTCCCCATTGCCATAGTTGATGTTTTAGATGGTCCCCATTGCCATAGTTGATTTAGATGGTTCCCATTGCCATAGTTGATGTTTTAGATGGTCCCCATTGCCATAGTTGATGTTTTAGATGGTCCCCATTGCCATAGTTGATTTAGATGGTCCCCATTGCCATAGTTGATGTTTTAGATGGTCCCCATTGTCATAGTTGATTTAGATGGTCCCCATTGCCATAGTTGATTTAGATGGTCCCCATTGCCATAGTTGATTTAGATGGTCCCCATTGCCATAGTTGATTTAGATGGTCCCCATTGCCATAGTTGATGTTTTAGATGGTCCCCATTGCCATAGTTGATGTTTTAGTTGGTCCCCATTGTCATAGTTGATGTTTTAGTTGGTCCCCATTGCAATAGTTGATGTTTTAGATGGTCCCCATTGCCATAGTTTCTTGAGGTCGAATGAGATCTGACTTGTTTCTTAGAGTCAAGTCAAAACTTTTTGCTGAAGATCTCCTGCGCTCAAGCAACGTGTACATCCTGAGGGGCTTGGTCCAGCTGGGCCTCCTGCTGACACGGACTCCAGTCAAAGATGCCATGGCACCAGCCCACGTCTTTCACACGTAAGATGTCTTTCACACATAAGATGTCTTTCACACATAAGATGTCTTTCACACGTAAGATGTGTACACGTGTGAGTGATTACGTCTTTTGTGAGTGAGAGAGTGCAAGAGGAGTGTTCGAGAGACATTATGGTTTCAGTGCTGCCCTCTTGTCTTGATGACTTCAGTGCTGCCCTCTTGTCTTGATGACTTCAGTGCTGCCCTCTTGTCCTGATGACTTCAGTGCTGCCCTCTTGTCCTGATGACTTCAGTGCTGCCCTCTTGTCCTGATGACTTCGGTGCTGCCCTCTTGTCCTGATGACTTCAGTGCTGCCCTCTTCTCTTGATGACTTCAGTGCTGCCCTCTTGTCCTGATGACTTCAGTGCTGCCCTCTTGTCCTGATGACTTCAGTGCTGCCCTCTTGTCTTGATGACTTCAGTGCTGCCCTCTTGTCTTGATGACTTCAGTGCTGCCCTCTTGTCCTGATGTGCTGCCCTCTTGTCCTGATGTGCTGCCCTCTTGTCCTGATGACTTCAGTGCTGCCCTCTTGTCCTGATGACTTCAGTGCTGCCCTCTTGTCCTGATGACTTCAGTGCTGCCCTCTTGTCCTGATGACTTCGGTGCTGCCCTCTTGTCCTGATGACTTCAGTGCTGCCCTCTTCTCCTGATGACTTCGGTGCTGCCCTCTTGTCCTGATGACTTCAGTGCTGCCCTCTTGTCTTGATGACTTCAGTGCTGCCCTCTTGTCCTGATGACTTCAGTGCTGCCCTCTTGTCCTGATGTGGTGCACTCTTGTCCTGATGTGCTGCCCTCTTGTCCTGATGACTTCAGTGCTGCCCTCTTGTCCTGATGACTTCAGTGCTGCCCTCTTGTCCTGATGTGGTGCCCTCTTGTCCTGATGACTTCAGTGCTGCCCTCTTGTCCTGATGACTTCAGTGCTGCCCTCTTGTCCTGATGAATTCAGTGCTGCCCTCTTGTCCTGATGACTTCAGTGCTGCCCTCTTGTCCTGATGTGCTGCCCTCTTGTCCTGATGACTTCAGTGCTGCCCTCTTGTCTTGATGACTTCAGTGCTGCCCTCTTGTCCTGATGACTTCAGTGCTGCCCTCTTGTCCTGATGTGCTGCCCTCTTGTCCTGATGTGCTGCCCTCTTGTCCTGATATGCTGCCCTCTTGTCCTGATGATTTTAGTGCTGCCCTCTTGTCCTGATGTGCTGCCCTCTTGTCCTGATGTGCTGCCCTCTTGTCCTGATGAATTCGGTGCTGCCCTCTTGTCCTGATGTGCTGCCCTCTTGTCCTGATGTGCTGCCCTCTTGTCCTGATGACTTCAGTGCTGCCCTCTTGTCCTGATGATTTTAGTGCTGCCCTCTTGTCCTGATGGGCTGCCCTCTTGTCCTGATGATTTTAGTGCTGCCCTCTTGTCCTGATGTGCTGCCCTCTTGTCCTGATGTGCTGCCCTCTTGTCCTGATGAATTCAGTGCTGCCCTCTTGTCCTGATGTGCTGCCCTCTTGTCCTGATGTGCTGCCCTCTTGTCCTGATGACTTCAGTGCTGCCCTCTTGTCCTGATGACTTCAGTGCTGCCCTCTTGTCCTGATGTGCTGCCCTCTTGTCCTGATGATTTTAGTGCTGCCCTCTTGTCCTGATGTGCTGCCCTCTTGTACTGATGTGCTGCCCTCTTGTCCTGATGAATTCAGTGCTGCCCTCTTGTCCTGATGACTTCGGTGCTGCCCTCTTGTCCTGATGACTTCAGTGCTGCCCTCTTCTCCTGATGACTTCGGTGCTGCCCTCTTGTCCTGATGACTTCAGTGCTGCCCTCTTGTCTTGATGACTTCAGTGCTGCCCTCTTGTCCTGATGACTTCAGTGCTGCCCTCTTGTCCTGATGTGGTGCACTCTTGTCCTGATGTGCTGCCCTCTTGTCCTGATGACTTCGGTGCTGCCCTCTTGTCCTGATGACTTCAGTGCTGCCCTCTTGTCTTGATGACTTCAGTGCTGCCCTCTTGTCCTGATGACTTCAGTGCTGCCCTCTTGTCCTGATGTGGTGCACTCTTGTCCTGATGTGCTGCCCTCTTGTCCTGATGACTTCAGTGCTGCCCTCTTGTCCTGATGACTTCAGTGCTGCCCTCTTGTCCTGATGTGCTGCCCTCTTGTCCTGATGACTTCAGTGCTGCCCTCTTGTCCTGATGACTTCAGTGCTGCCCTCTTGTCCTGATGACTTCAGTGCTGCCCTCTTGTCCTGATGTGGTGCCCTCTTGTCCTGATGACTTCAGTGCTGCCCTCTTGTCCTGATGACTTCAGTGCTGCCCTCTTGTCCTGATGACTTCAGTGCTGCCCTCTTGTCCTGATGTGGTGCCCTCTTGTCCTGATGACTTCAGTGCTGCCCTCTTGTCCTGATGACTTCAGTGCTGCCCTCTTGTCCTGATGTGGTGCCCTCTTGTCCTGATGACTTCAGTGCTGCCCTCTTGTCCTGATGTGGTGCCCTCTTGTCCTGATGACTTCAGTGCTGCCCTCTTGTCCTGATGTGCTGCCCTCTTGTCCTGATGTGCTGCCCTTTTGTCCTGATGACTTCAGTGCTGCCCTCTTGTCCTGATGATTTTAGTGCTGCCCTCTTGTCCTGATGATTTTAGTGCTGCCCTACTGGCCTCCCAAGTCCTGCCCACCCTATGTCGCGGTGACCTGTACAAGCAAGTAGAATGGGTGCTGCTTGATGCCCACCAACATCTGCTGGAGCTACTGATGCAGCAGAAAGAAGGAGATAAAGTCCTGATCGCAGCACGATGTCAAAGATTATCTGCTCTCATTTTTAATTCTACTATATCTGGCAACTCCAAACTTCTAGAACTCCAAGAAAAGGTAAGGTAGACATTTATCTGGCAGCTATAGTCCTAGACATTTATCTGGCAACTATAGCCCTAGACATTTATCTGGCAGCTATAGCCCTAGACATTTATCTGGCAGCTATAGCCCTAGCCTAGACATTTATCTGGCAGCTATAGCCCTAGACATTTATCTGGCAGCTATAGCCCTAGACATTTATCTGGCAGCTATAGCCCTAGACATTTATCTGGCAGCTATAGCCCTAGACATTTATCTGGCAGCTATAGCCCTAGACATTTATCTGGCAGCTATAGCCCTAGACATTTATCTGGCAGCTATAGCCCTAGCCTAGACATTTATTTGGCAGCTATAGCCCTAGACATTTATCTGGCAGCTATAGCCCTAGACATTTATCTGGCAGCTATAGCCCTAGCCTAGACATTTATTTGGCAGCTATAGCCCTAGACATTTATCTGGCAGCTGTAGCCCTAGACATTTATTTGGCAGCTATAGCCCTAGACATTTATCTGGCAACTAAAAGGTGTGTATTTTTAGAGCTGCCAAAATCTGGTTTGGATCCAGCCTTGTGTCAGCTACTCGTTGTTTTTGCTTGGCTCAGCCCAATTTGCCCTGTATGAAAACACACCAGATGAGGCTTCTGCTAAAGAGATTTTACAAGATGCCAAAGCTTCATTCCAAGCCAGCATTGAGCTTGAGGGGAAGATGAGCAGTGGGGAGGCGCCAGCGCTTCTAACAGGTACAAATTTACTAAGATACTCATTTCAAAATGGATTGTGTCCCTTGTTATTATATATTTCATGGTTACACCCCTTGAATGTTCACTGTGTTATGTGTAGCCAGTTGCTTGACCTACTTTACCATCATCGTGGTAATGATGGCTGCCGAAAATGACAATAACGTAATTCCGTTTTTTTTAACAATGTTTCATGGCCATATCAGAAATATATACTTAAAATCGTTATTTTTGCATATTATTCAACGATACCAGTCTAGTTTTAACAATGGACGATTAGTGTTTGATGCAAACTAAAAATAAAATGAGACAATGATTTCATGAACATTGCCCGAAATCTCCACCCCCGACCTGCTATGTAATTTAAATCAGCCCATGGAGAGCCCTCCCCATGGAGATCCCTCCCCATGGAGAGCCCTCCCCATGGAGAGCCCTCCCCATGGAGAGCCCTCCCCATGGAGAGCCCTCCCCATGGAGAGCCCTCCCCATGGAGAGCCCTCCCCATGCATGAAATTCCACCACATCGACAAAGACAAAGTGTCCATACCGATGACAGAAAGGTGGAAGGAAGGACTGACACACTACATTGTGTCTGATATATTATAAATATGTATATATATATATATATATATATATATATATATATATATATATATATATATATATATATATATATATATATATATATATATATATATATATATATATATATATATATATATATATATATATATATATATAATATAATATATATATATATATATATATATATATATATATATATATATATATATATATATATATATATAATATAATATAATATATATATATATATATATATATATATAATATAATATATATATATATATATATATATATATATATATATATATATAATATATATATATATATAAAGCTCAATTCTGTATGTAACATGTAATAAGTTTGTTTGTTGTTGACATACTTCGATGGATTTAAGTGTTAGACTATTACCGTGCTCATAGTCTAAATTTATGACCATTACCTGTGTGTTTAGTAATCATCATAAACCCGGCATTGCCCACCCAAACCACAACCAACCAAAACAACAAAACGCAAACATAACGCTAACACAATTACAAATACAAACGAAAACAAAAACCTAACAACAAACCCAACCACAACCGCTGGTCTTTTGCCCAGATCCCGTCGAATAGTACAAGTTACATACTTTTTAAATATTGTATATCATTTTTCACTTTTGATCTGAGGTAAGGTATCAAATACTGCTTTATCGGTACTTCTGGGCATGGAGATTAAAGACAAGAACCGAAAAAGCTGTATCTCTGGTTCAAAGGGTTAAAATCAATATTGTTTGTTTTTTGTTTGTCTGTAGACTTAGAGTTAGGGACAAGAAGTTGTGATTACATTAAGGACTTCTTATTTTTAGTTATAGATCTGAGTATTTTTCATTCTGTTAGATGTTGTGGGGGCTTTGTGTTAGGTGTTGTAATTTTTTCAAGGCATTAAAGTGTAAGAAATCGTCGTAATTGTGTTATTTCCTATTGTTCTGTGTCTTGTTTATGAATCCCGGCCAAGATATAGATGTATTTTAATATATTGTATGTATATATATATATATATATATATATATATATATATATATATATATATATATATATATATATATATATATATATATATATATTTATTTATATATTTATATATATATATATATATATAGATAGATATATAGATAGATATAGATATTAAGATATTTATATAGTAGATATTTAATTAGATAGATATTAAAATAGATGTTTAGATACTTTAATATTAAGATATTGATATATTGATATAGATTACATATACAAAATGTGTAGGTTTAAAATAATTATGGGATAAGATCTGAGATATTAAAACAAAGTGGAGGTGGAAAACTAAATTCTCTGGAAAATAAATCCAGTAGTAAAGAGTTAATAGTAAGAAAATATTCTAATAAACAAGTGATGCAATCTAAAACAGGACAAAAATGGTGGCAGGAGCACAAAAAGAGTTTGGAGCCAGCCAAGACAGCTGAGCCAGCCAAGACAGCTGAGCCAGCCAAGACAGCTGGGCCAGCCAAGACAGCTGGGCCAGCCAAGACAGCTGGGCCAGCCAAAAAAAGTCCACCACTAGCTGCTGGTCAAGCAGGGCGTGGTCGTGGAGTCGAACCTTCCGCATCCAGCAACCAATCAAAAGGAGGTAAGTCCAGAAATGTTTAAGGGCTACAACAATCCAGCATTTGGCTCTAATGGATGAGGGCAGTGATCTCACAACTAGGGCAGTGACCTTTCAACTGGGGCAGTTGCCCCACTTATAGCCCCACTATGATTTCTCCCTTCTAGGCTTAGAAGGGGTTTAGAATGTAGTCTTACAATTATTTGTCTATAGTGTTGTCAGTGAATAGTTCCTGGGCTTAGTTTAATACACCAGCTAACCAACTGATGAAGATATAGTTTAATACACCAGCTAACCAACTGATGAAGATATAGTTTAATACACCAGCTAACCAACTGATGAAGATATAGTTTAATACACCAGCTAACCAACTGATGAAGATATAGTTTAATACACCAGCTAACCAACTGATGAAGATATAGTTTAATACACCAGCTAACCAACTGATGAAGATATAGTTTAATACACCAGCTAACCAACTGATGAAGATATAGTTTTATACACCAGCTAACCAACTGATGAAGATATAGTTTTATACACCAGCTAACCAACTGATGAAGATATTTATTTTGGTAAACGGAAAAAAAGTCACAGGAAAAAAAAACACAGAAAAAAAGTCACAGTTTTTGCAAGGAAAAAAGTCACAGAAAAAAAGTCACAGTGGAAAAATTTTATCGGAAAAAAAGTCACAGAAATAAAGTCACAGAAAAAAGTCACAAAAATATTTTTAGAAATATTTTTATTTGTTTAGAATTGTAAAATTTTGTATGTTTATTGTTGTGGGTTGTATTTTTTATTGCATAAATTATTTATAGACGTTAAAAGCATTATGGTTTATAACAATTGTAAGTAAAAATATTCTAATATAATTTACACAACAATCTCAACATTTGTTACGTATTTAGTTAAAAACGCGGTAGAAAATTTAATTATAAAAGAAATTTAGGCAAATTTTGCCGTAGTCTATTCTCTGGTCGGCCTCTCCACAGTAGGCATTGTCCGAACATATTTTGTGTTGTTGACGTTATGCGTCAATGACAGCCTTTGAACCTTGTCGGCTTTCTGTTTTGATCCTAAGTTTTGTTATGTAATGAGCGTGATAAATGTGGGTAGTAAAGGTGGTTGAACTAAACATCTAAACATAACTATTGTTGCCATGAGTTGAGGGCAGCAAGTCAGATGAACTTACCATTTCACGGTAATTTAATGTTGGCATTTTTAAAAAAACAGGATTAAAACCGTGGACTTTGTAGCATTCTATTAAACACTACTAATCTTAGGTTTAACATAATTACAATCTACATACTTCATACTAAATATTTTTAGATGAATTATAAAAATTACTATGCGTATACAGCCTACACCCATTACATTTAATTAATCCTAAGTTAATTTGCACTCTCTAAATATTTAATATACATAAAAGTATTAACAAGTATCATGCAAATATATATTTGTGACTTTTTTTCCTGTGACTTTTTTTCCTGTGACTTTTTTTCCTGTGACTTTTTTTCTGTTTTTTTTTTTCCTGTGTTTTTTTTTCCTGTGTTTTTTTTTCCTGTGACTTTTTTTCCTACAATCATTTATTTTAAGCTTTCCCTTCTCCAGCTGCCACACGTGGTGGAGTTGTTTCAAGAGGTGGTCCAGCTAGAGTAAGTATTATCTGGGAAACAGATTGTTGCCTTTTGTTCATAAATAACTTTTAGCTGCATTTGTTGGTAGTTTTCAGGGAGTTAGGCTCCGATAAAAAATGTGTTTAATACTAGGGTAAAAAATGTTTTTAATACTAGAGAGCAAGCAATTTTTTCTCTTCAGCTTTTTAAATGTATATTCGCATATGTGGGTCCATTAAAAACACAAAATTTAAGACCCAAAAATTTCTCAAAATTTAGTGTTTTACCTGATTCAAAATTTGAAAATTCATAATAAATTAGTTGAAGGTCTACACTTAAAATTTTTAGCTGAGTGCCTAAAAAGATTCTAAATTCATTCTTTATTGGGCCTAAAATATAATAGTTTATGAGAGGTGCAAATCTACGAATAGATTCATTTTTCAAGATGGCAGCCATTGTCATAGTTACCAAGATATTCCCACCAATTTTTAAAATGAAAACACATATGGGGATGTACCTTAAAACAGCTATAGAGAAATCGAATCGAATTGTTATCTAACGAGGATTAAAAAAGTTTGTTTACCTGCACCTACCCCCTTAAAATTATTTTTAGAATTTACTGTTTTCTCTTCAGGGTGGTAAGGTACAAACTCCAGTTGCACCCGCTGCCCCGCCTGCACCGGCTGCTCAGACTGCACCCGCTGCTACAGAATTTCCATCTGGATCTAGTGAGTAAAATAAAATACCAAAATAAAAAAAAAATAGGAACCCTGTATTTAGTGGTATGTTTGAAACTACTGAAAAGTAAAAATAGTTTCATCTTCAAAACACAGCAAACATAATTAGGACTAACTAGAGTGGCAAGGTGATTAAATTACATATTTTAATGTACAATGTTCTTAGTGCTATTTCCTCAAAATACAATTTTAAAAACCTTTTAATTAAACCTTATCATTTTTCCATCATTGATAAACATTTGATATCTTAATGTTTAAATTTTTTCTAGGTAACTAAGAATTTTTAAATACCTCATTATTACGGAGTATTTGATATTTACAAACAGAAAAAAAGATAATAAATATTAATATATAAATAAATAGTTTTAATTTTATATTTATGTATTTTATATTATACTAGCTGCATACCCATGCTTCGCCACGGTGAATCTTTTTTAAATGTACCAATGGAAAAAAACCAACACAAATATGAAGGAAAACAAACGCAAACAAAAACGCAAACACAAACACAAACCCAACACAAACCAACACAAATACAAACGCAAACGAAAACACAAACCCAACACAAACGCAAACTCAAACAAAATTGAAAACACAACTCAAACACAAAAGAAAACACAGACACAATGCAACATGCAAACATAAATACAGAACACAAACGTAACACAAATATCAACACAAAAGAAAACAAATGCAAGCAAACGCAAACAAACAAAAAAAGTATGAAAAGGAGTAAAAACTTTGTCAAAAAAAAAAAAAATTAAGTTACATAAATAGATCCTACTCCATAACTTACAATAAGACAATACAATGAAAGTAAATGTACAGCAAGTGGTGTTTACTTTTATGGTTCTAAGGCAGGGGTCTCCAAACTTTTCAGCTCGAGGGCCGCATTTACTTTCAAATATCAGTTCGGGGGCTAGAGTGACGCCCCTCCCCCCGTAGAACGCCTACCCCCCCCCCAATGAAATATAATTCATATTGAAATATATACAAAGTTCAAGTGTCCAGTCCCCCCCCCCCCCCCCCAATGAAATATAATTCATATTGAAATATATACAAAGTTCAAGTGTCCAGTCCCGTCCCGTCCCCCAATGAAATATAATTCATATTGAAATATATACAAAGTTCAAGTGTCCAGTTCCCCCCCCCCCCCCCCCAATGAAATATAATTCATATTGAAATATATACAAAGTTCAAGTGTCCAGTCCCCCCCCCCCCCAATGAAATATAATTCATATTGAAATATATACAAAGTTCAAGTGTCCAGTCCCCCCCCCCCCCCCCCCCCGGAAGAAAGAAACACTGTCGGGAGCCAATAACGCACTCGAGGCCCACGTTAGCTCTCAAATTATTCTTCACGTATTCCATTCTTGAAAATGTTTGTTCACACAGGTATGTTGTTCCAAAATTTGAAAGGTACCTTGATGATTTAATATTAGAAAAGTCTTCCTTGTGCAAAAACTTTTAAAAACCCACCAGCCCTTCTTTTAACTTGTCTCTAATGACCTCCTGCTGCAGTTCATCTTTGCAACTGGCCATATTTACTTCAAATGGGTTTTGAAACAGTCTCACTTCTGCCTTTGAATCCAAGTCAGAAAACGGCTACTGAAACTGCAGCTGGAGGTCTTTGATGACCTCGCATGCAAATGACGTGAAGAACTCAGTGGTTGCTTCAGCCGTAAAGACTGCTGAGAGTGCGTCAAGTTGTTGGCCTGTACTTGTTACAAAAACATGACAAGTTTGGATCTGAAGGCCTTTAGGTGGGTGTATAGATCAGAAACTAGATTTCCCTCTCTTGTAGTTTTAGGTTCAGAAAATTTAATGACTAGTTATGTCTGCAGCAGAGACCAGTTTCTATACCCACTCTTGCCTTTACTTTCCAGGAAGTCACCTATTTCCTTTCTTAACTTAAATACTCTGCTCAGAACTTTCTAGCAATTTAGCCATCTTACTGCTGTGAAATATGCAGGTGGAACAGCTGTCCAGCGATTCATCCATTGCAATTGAAAAATGGCGAAGCTTGCTTGCATTTTTTGCTATTTGAGTCACAATGTTTTCACCAATGTCTGCAACACGGAAGGCAATGGTATAAGCACCCAAAGCTACTTTTTCAAATTGTTTTGAATTTTCTGGACAGAGTTACTCAGCCACCTCTAACAAACATTTATTCGGTGGACAAAAAATAGCAGCGGGCCGGATGAGAGGACCTCGGGGGCCGCATCCGGCCCGCGGGCTGTAGTTTGGGGACCCCTGTTCTAAGGAAACACATTGGCAATGTACTTAGAAAAACATGCTTTCCTAGGCATCCTCGCCCAGAGAGAGCCTTTCCAGCATTCTCTAAAAGTCTAATTTCACCATCCGTTTTAATAACACAGAAAAACAAAAACAGAAAATAGTGATTTGGAGAGATCATAGACTAATTAGAAAATAAAATAAATAATCTTAACATTTTTCTATTTTAATTATGAGCCAAAACATAAAATAATCAATGCGGTAGTAATTAAAAAAAAATAACTTACATTATTGAGAGTGAGTTGAATTTATTTTTAAATTACCTCCCCTGGCATAACTATTAAAAGATTTTAATTAATTAGTTTTTTCTATACTACTGTTATTAAAATGTATCCACTTTTTCTAAGAATCTAAGCAAAAGTATTATTTGACATTGATCCGTTTAGTATGTTTTAGCAATTTGCGTGTATTTAATATTTTCTTTACTGTGTGCAAAAGATAAAAACTGTAGCAACTATAAAAAAAAAAATTACGTCATTATATAAACAAACCCTACCCTATCACTTATAATAAGACAATGCGATGCAATGTAAAAGCACTGCATGGTGTGATTTTAACTTTTAAGGTTCTAAAATCTATAGCTCTGGAACTCTGTGCGCCAAACCGTGTATTGATGAAATGCACCCTCCATGGCGCCACCCATAAGAAATTTTAATTTTTTTTGCAGAAATATTCTCAGAGTATTCTCATTTATTCCCCAAAGTTTCATGGCACTTGGATGAATGGTGTCGAACCTCATCCTACTATATTTTTCATATACTGTATATAGAGAAAAATCGCACCCTCCCAGGGTGCCACCCCTGCGAAAATAAAATAGCTTTTATTTGCAGAACCCTTCCCTGTAGTGTTCTAATCAAAACTCCCCAAAGTTTCATGTTGATCGGATGAACGGTGTCAAACAGCAATCACTTTTATTTGTTTATCACATCCTCCTGGGCTGCCGCCCTTGCAAAATTAAAAAATATTTTTTTGCATTTTTCAGAAACCTTCTCAAGAGTATTTTGATCAATTCCCCAAAGTTTCATGGCACTCAGATGAACAGTGTAGAAAAAAGCATCCTACTTTTATATTTTATATAAATATAAATAAAAATTGCACCCTCCCGGGGTGCCGCCCTTAAGAAATTAAAAAACAGAGAAACCTCCCCAGGAGTTTTTAATCAACTCCCTGAAGTTTCATGCTGATCAGATGAACGGTGTCAAACCACAAAAGACTTAAATTTTTTATAAACCGTATATAGAGAAAAATCGAATCTTCCCCTGCCAGGGCACCACCCCTGCAAATTTGAAATTTTTTTTTCGCAGGAACCTCCCTAGGAGTATTCTTAAAAACTTCCCAATGTTTCATGGCGATGGGATGAAAGGTGTAGTAATACCTAAAAGACAGACAGACACACATACATTGCTTTATATATATATAAATATAGCTTAGTAGCTGGTTTATACTTGAGTGCTCAAACTGTGGTTTGGTTCAGTTACAAATTGGATTTTAGATTAATATTGAAAGGATTTTTTTATTTTGTTGGGGTAAAATTATTATTAAATTTTAAAATTCATATTTTTATACTTTTTTGTAAGCTTTTTAATTTACAACCATAAATAACCAAATTAAAATGTATAGGCTACTTGAAACTGTTAATCATCATACTTGGATTTCTCAAAAGATATTAGACTCATCATAGCATCTATTTGTACTTTAATACTCACCTCATACATAGGAGTAATCAAATTTCTTTCTAAAGCATTTTAAAATAATGTTTAGGATGGTTCTAGAGTTAAGGACTCATTTTTGGTTAAGTTAAAAAAAATTATATTTTTCAATTTAATATTCATCAAAGACAAACCATTTTCCAATGAAAAACAGGTTTTCTATTATTTGTAGAAAAGTTTCTCTATTCTATCTGTAGTTCACTAAAAATTGTGCTGGTAACTAGTTTCACCACATACTGTAAAATTGGTTGGTCTGTTTTGTGGAAAGGTATGACTGACACAAACACAAATAATTTCATTTCAATGTTATACTGGATGGAAGAGAAAATACAAACATCAGTCATGATGGGTTTTGTTTTCCTTAACCAGGTGTTTTAATAATATATGGTAAATGATTATAAGTATAATTAGAAGAACATACAATACTTTTTACTCATAATACACTTTTCATTTTATTTAATTGGCCATACAATTTTTTTTTAAATTCTGATAAACATATTTGCAAAGAAAAAGTGGACAATAATAATTTTTGTACTAAAATATCCCATGTAGAGAATGAAGTGATACTTTTTGTCATTTTGCCTTCCAGAAGCTGAGACTGCAAGCCTCCAGTTGGTAAAGAATGTCAAATCTTATCAGGCACGTCTTGGCCTGGCCAGGGTTCTCAGGGCGGCCAACGAGCCAAATGAGGCCAAAAAGTTGTATGCTGAGGTCATGGACATGGCACCAGAGGTGTGTTCCCCACAATCTGTGGTATATGTGTGCAGGTATATCTGTGCAGGTATATCTGGGCTGGTATATCTGTGCAGGTATATCTGTGCAGGCATATCTGTGCAGGTTATCTGTGCAGGTATATCTGTGCTGGTATATCTGTGCTGGTTATCTGTGCTGGTATATCTGTGCAGGTTATCTGTGCAGGTATATCTGTGCAGGTATATCTGTGCTGGTTATCTGTGCTGGTATATCTGTGCAGGTTATCTGTGCAGGTATATGTGTGCAGGTATATCTGTGCAGGTATATCTGGGCTGGTATATCTGTGCAGGTATATGTGTGCAGGTATATATGTGCTGGTATATATGTGCTGGTACATCTGTGCTGGTATATCTTGGCTGGTATATCTGTGCAGGTATATATGTGCTGGTATATCTGTGCTGGTATATATGTGCTGGTTATCTGTGCAGGTATATGTGTGCAGGTATATCTGTGCTGGTATATCTGGGCTGGTATATCTGTGCAGGTATATCTGTGCTGGTATATCTGTGCTGGTATATCTGTGCTGGTATATCTGTGCTGGTATATCTGTGCTGGTTATCTGTGCAGGTATATCTGTGCTGGTACATCTGTGCAGGTATATTTGTGTGTGTATATCTATGCTGGTATATCTGTGCTGGTATATCTGTGCATGTATATCTATGCTGGTATATCTGCTGGTACATCTGTGCAAGTATATATGTGCTGGTATATCTGTGCTGGTATATATGTGCTGGTATATCTGTGCAGGTATATGTGTGCGGGTATATCTGTGCAGGTATATCTGTGCTGGTATATCTGTGCAGGTTATCTGTGCAGGTATATCTGTGCAGGTATATATGTGCAGGTATATCTGTGCAGGTATATCTGTGCTGGTACATCTGTGCAGGTATATCTGTGCAGGTTATCTGTGCAGGTATATCTGTGCAGGTATATGTGTGCAGGTTATCTGTGCAGGTATATCTGTGCAGGTATATCTGTGCAGGTATATCTGTGCTGGTATATCTATGCTGAAATATATATATGTGCTGGTATATGTGCTGGTACATCTGTGCAGGTATATGTGTGCAGGTATATCTGTGCAGGTATATCTGTGCTGGTATATCTGTGCTGGTATATCTGTGCAGGTATATCTATGCTGAAATATATATATGTGCTGGTATATGTGCTAGTATATCTGTGCAGGTATCTTTGTGCAGGTATATGTGTGCAGGTTAATCTGTGCAGGTATATCTGTGCAGGTTAATCTGTGCTTACATTGTTTGTTAGATACATGACGCTTACATTGTTTGTTAGATACATGACGCTTACATTGTTTGTTAGATACATAATGCTTACATTGTTTGATACATGACGCTTACATTGTTTGTTAGATACATAACGCTTACATTGTTTGTTAGATACATGATGCTTACATTGTTTGTTAGATACATAATGCTTACATAGTCTGCTGAATACATGACGCTTACATTGTTTGCTAGATACATTACGCTTACATTGTCTGCTGAATACATGACGCTTACATTGTTTGCTAGATACATGACGCTTACATTGTTTGCTAGATACATGACGCTTATATTGAAAGTGCTGAGATGCTAACCAAGAGCAGTCCACTGGATGCCGTTGATGTTTACTCCAGGTTTCCTGTCTCAGAAAATCCGACGTTCGACGACGCTTTTATTTTTGGAGAAATCGTGGGCATCTTGATGAAAGCTGAGAAGTTTGAAGATGAGAGGCTGGCCAAAAATATGATAGCATATGCCAAAGTGCTGGGCGTAGGTCCGTTTTTTTTTTAATTATATTTTTTCTTTACTTATTATCTGTTCTAGACAAGCTGATGTACTGAGATGTCTGTCTGCAGGTGTTTTAGACAAGTACACCAAGATTTTGGAGGAGAAAAACAAGAGCCAGCTGCTCAAGACTGTGTATGCAGGGATACACAACAAGCCAGTGGACCATCCAGATATGCAAGCTTTTTTCAAATTTAAATTTTGGATTTGATTGGCTGCACATTTGTGCTTACAAAATAGAGAATAGCTCTAGATGGGCTGCCTTAAATTAAACCTTGATGATTTGCCAGTGTAAATAAAGTTTTTTCACTAGAAAAAGTTTGGGATGATAGAAGAGATAAGGATTGATGGATTTGACATCTGCTGTGTGTGAGGACTAGTGTTTTGTGTATTTTTCTTTGTTTGAGTGATTACAATATACTTTGTAATAAAATATTTTTGCTGTTTTTTATTGAATCTTTCCTACCAAAATACTTACCAGTTTTTTGCATAATTTTATTCAACATCCACTAATACTTACATTCACATATACTTGCATCCAAAATACACAAATATTACACCATTCACCTATTTAACACACCATTCCCTTATTCAACACACAATTCACATATTTAACACACCATTCACCTATTTAACACACCATACACTTATTTAACACACCATTCACCTATTTAACACACCATACACTTATTTAACACACCATTCACCTATTTAACACACACCATTCACCTATTTAACACACACCATACTGAGCAGCAAGGTCAGGCTGGAGACTCCCTAAGTTTGTATCACCAGACACATGAGCTGGTGACAACTTGGGGAGACAGTCATGTCAATGCTGCCTTGTAGTTAGATCTTGGATGGACAAAAGCTATGGAAGCAAATCCAGAAATAAAAGCAGGCTGATATCTGAGTCAGGTGGCCATAAATCTGAGTCAGATGGCCATAAATCCGAGTCAGGTGGCCGTAAATCCGAGTCAGGTGGCCGTAAATCTGAGTCAGGTGGCCATAAATCTGAGCCAGGTTGCCATAAATCTGAGTCAGATGGCCATAAATCCGAGTCAGGTTGCTGTAAATCTGAGTCAGGTGGCCATAAATCTGAGTCAGGTGGCGCATGTGTTGGTGAAAACCCACTAGAACAATACAAGGAAGGATATTCAAATAGCATGGTACAACATTCACAGAGGATGGGCTTGGATAGTGTTGGTGGATGATGTGGTTCGTGGTGGATGATGTAGGTGGATGGAAAAGATGGTATAGTGTAACACCAAGTTAAAAAAAAATTCAAATATTTTCTTTACATCTTAAATTTAATTCGGCACAAAATCATTTTTTTTTAAAAATGTTTAATAGATACATACAAGAAATGTAAAAAATGATATAACAAGATCTTTTTACTTAAAAAAAAATATTTTGTGAGTGTGGATAACATTTAACATTCCTCTTGGCCAGACCTTCCAATTATCTTAATCATCCCTTTAATCCTTCCAAATTTGTAAATCATCCAAAACTTTGATTCTCCAGCTTTCCTCCACTTCTGCACATGAGCCAACACAGTTTGACTAGAGTTACTCCTCCTCCTCCTGTCTGACTATTGGTACACCTGAAACAAAATAGTGCAGCTACTTACCATCTAACTCCTTGGGTAAATTTGTCTTACCATCTAAATCCTTGAGTAAATTTGTCTTACCATCTAACTCCTTGAGTAAATTTGTCTTACCATCTAAATCCTTGAGTAAATTTGTCTTACCATCTAACTCCTTGAGTAAATTTGTCTTACCATCTAACTTCTTGAGTAAATTTGTCTTACCATCTAACTCCTTGAGTAAATTTGTCTTACCATCTAACTCCTTGAGTAAATTTGTCTTACCATCTAAATCCTTGAGTAAATTTGTCTTACCATCTAACTCCTTGAGTAAATTTGTCTTACCATCTAAATCCTTGAGTAAATTTGTCTTACCATCTAAATCCTTGAGTAAATTTGTCTTACCATCTAACTCCTTGAGTAAATTTGTCTTACCATCTAAATCCTTGAGTAAATTTGTCTTACCATCTAACTCCTTGAGTAAATTTGTCTTACCATCTAAATCCTTGAGTAAATTTGTCTTACCATCTAAATCCTTAAGTAAATTTGTCTTACCATCTAAATCCTTGAGTAAATTTGTCTTACCATCTAACTCCTTGAGTAAATTTGTCTTACCATCTAACTCCTTGAGTAAATTTGTCTTACCATCTAAATCCTTGAGTAAATTTGTCTTACCATCTAAATCCTTGAGTAAATTTGTCTTACCAATACCATCTAAATCCTTGAGTAAATTTGTCTTACCATCTAACTCCTTGAGTAAATTTGTCTTACCATCTAACTCCTTGAGTAAATTTGTCTTACCATCTAAATCCTTGAGTAAATTTGTCTTACCATCTAACTCCTTGAGTAAATTTGTCTTACCATCTAACTCCTTGAGTAAATTTGTCTTACCATCTAACTTCTTGAGTAAATTTGTCTTACCATCTAAATCCTTGAGTAAATTTGTCTTACCAATACCATCTAAATCCTTGAGTAAATTTGTCCTACCATCTAACTCCTTGAGTAAATTTGTCTTACCATCTAAATCCTTGAGTAAATTTGTCTTACCATCTAACTCCTTGAGTAAATTTGTCTTACCATCTAAATCCTTGAGTAAATTTGTCTTACCATCTAAATCCTTGAGTAAATTTGTCCTACCATCTAACTCCTTGAGTAAATTTGTCTTACCATCTAAATCCTTGAGTAAATTTGTCTTACCATCTAACTCCTTGAGTAAATTTGTTTTACCATCTAACTCCTTGAGTAAATTTGTCTTACCATCTAACTTCTTGAGTAAATTTGTCTTACCATCTAACTCCTTGAGTAAATTTGTCTTACCAATACCATCTAACTCCTTGAGTAAATTTGTCTTACCATCTAAATCCTTGAGTAAATTTGTCTTACCAATACCATCTAACTTCTTGAGTAAATTTGTCTTACCATCTAACTCCTTAAGTAAATTTGTCTTACCATCTAACTCCTTGAGTAAATTTGTTTTACCATCTAACTCCTTGAGTAAATTTGTTTTACCATCTAACTCCTTGAGTAAATTTGTCTTACCATCTAACTCCTTGAGTAAATTTGTCTTACCATCTAACTTCTTGAGTAAATTTGTCTTACCATCTAAATCCTTGAGTAAATTTGTCTTACCATCTAACTCCTTGAGTAAATTTGTCTTACCATCTAAATCCTTGAGTAAATTTGTCTTACCATCTAAATCCTTGAGTAAATTTGTCTTACCATCTAAATCCTTGAGTAAATTTGTCTTACCATCTAAATCCTTGAGTAAATTTGTCTTACCATCTAAATCCTTGAGTAAATTTGTCTTACCATCTAAATCCTTGAGTAAATTTGTCTTACCATCTAAATCCTTGAGTAAATTTGTCTTACCATCTAACTTCTTGAGTAAATTTGTCTTACCATCTAATCCTTGAGTAAATTTGTCTTACCATCTAAATCCTTGAGTAAATTTGTCTTACCATCTAACTTCTTGAGTAAATTTGTCTTACTATCTAATCCTTGAGTAAATTTGTCTTACCATCTAAATCCTTGAGTAAATTTGTCTTACCATCTAACTTCTTGAGTAAATTTGTCTTACCATCTAATCCTTGAGTAAATTTGTCTTACCATCTAAATCCTTGAGTAAATTTGTCTTACCATCTAACTTCTTGAGTAAATTTGTCTTACTATCTAATCCTTGAGTAAATTTGTCTTACCATCTAAATCCTTGAGTAAATTTGTCTTACCATCTAATCCTTGAGTAAATTTGTCTTACCATCTAACTTCTTGAGTAAATTTGTCTTACTATCTAATCCTTGAGTAAATTTGTCTTACCATCTAAATCCTTGAGTAAATTTGTCTTACCATCTAATCCTTGAGTAAATTTGTCTTACCATCTAATCCTTGAGTAAATTTGTCTTACCATCTAAATCCTTGAGTAAATTTGTCTTACCATCTAAATCCTTGAGTAAATTTGTCTTACCATCTAAATCCTTGAGTAAATTTGTCTTACCATCTAATCCTTGAGTAAATTTGTCTTACCATCTAAATCCTTGAGTAAATTTGTCTTACCATCTAAATCCTTGAGTAAATTTGTCTTACCATCTAACTTCTTGAGTAAATTTGTCTTACTATCTAATCCTTGAGTAAATTTGTCTTACCATCTAACTTCTTGAGTAAATTTGTCTTACCATCTAACTTCTTGAGTAAATTTGTCTTACTATCTAATCCTTGAGTAAATTTGTCTTACCATCTAAATCCTTGAGTAAATTTGTCTTACCATCTAATCCTTGAGTAAATTTGTCTTACCATCTAACTTCTTGAGTAAATTTGTCTTACTATCTAATCCTTGAGTAAATTTGTCTTACCATCTAAATCCTTGAGTAAATTTGTCTTACCATCTAATCCTTGAGTAAATTTGTCTTACCATCTAATCCTTGAGTAAATTTGTCTTACCATCTAAATCCTTGAGTAAATTTGTCTTACCATCTAAATCCTTGAGTAAATTTGTCTTACCATCTAAATCCTTGAGTAAATTTGTCTTACCATCTAATCCTTGAGTAAATTTGTCTTACCATCTAAATCCTTGAGTAAATTTGTCTTACCATCTAAATCCTTGAGTAAATTTGTCTTACCATCTAAATCCTTGAGTAAATTTGTCTTACCATCTAAATCCTTGAGTAAATTTGTCTTACCATCTAACTTCTTGAGCTTGGGTAACTTTTTCGCTACTTCATCTTTCCATGTGCCGTCAGACGAGTGCTTCTCCTCCAAAGGATTCCCTGCACAAGTAATCAACAAGATGACTTAAGTACTTGCTAGCCAACAAGATGACTTAAGTACTTGCTAGCCAACAAGATGACTTGAGTACTTGCTAGCCAACAAGATGACTTGAGTACTTGCTAGCCAACAAGATGACTTAAGTACTTGCTAGCCAACAAGATGACTTGAGTACTTGCTAGCCAACAAGATGACTTAAGTACTTGCTAGCCACCAAGATGACTTGAGTACTTGCTAGCCAACAAGATGACTTAAGTACTTGCTAGCCAACAAGATGACTTAAGTACTCGCTAGCAACCAAGATGACTTGAGTACTTGCTAGCCACCAAGGTGACTTAAGTACTTGTTAGCCAACAAGATGACTTAAGTACTTGCAACCAGAGTTTCTTCCAGGCATGTCATCTGCCCCTCCGAAGAAAATCTACCCCCCCCCCCTGAATGAAATGGAAATTATATAGAAAATATATACATTTAACAGTGTCCACCCCCCCCCCCCCCCCAAAGTCTACCTCCCCCCCCCCCGGAAAAAAATTCAAGTGCCCCCCCCCCCCCCCCTGGAGAAATAAGTCTGGAAGAAACACTGCTTTCAACAATATGACTTAAAATAAATAGGCTACTTTCTAGCTAATAGACGACTTATATATTTGTACTTAATTAACTTTTGGTTGTTATTACATACTTGTATTTAATTAACTTTACGGTTGTTAGTCTAAACTTACCAACAAAAAGTAAATCTTCAAGACATGGCATCTCAGTCTGAAAATGAATATTTCAAAGTTTGCTGGTACATGTGAAAGTCTCAGATGATTTCAATAAGCATGATAGTTATTAATAGATTGTAAAATTTAACATAAGGCTCAAACTCCATTTAAACTCGACAGCAACAAAACTAAATAAAATCACCAACTTGTCATTTTACTATTTTAGACTATTTTTAGACAGTGCCTACTAAAAATAGACCAAATGTGCATACATATAGTCAGATGGCCACAATCATCATGTGTCCACTTCAGATGGCCACCCACTTCAGATGGCCACCCACTTCAGATGGCCACCCACTTCAGATGGCCACCCACTTCAGATGGCCACCCACTTCATATGGCCACCCACTTCATATGGCCACCCACTTCAGATGGCCACCACTTCAGATGGCCACCCACTTTATATGGCCACCCACTTCAGATGGCCACCCACTTCATATGGCCACAAAGTGACCATTTCAGATGGCCACCCACTTCAGATGGCCACCCACTTCAGATGGCTACTCACTTCAGATGGCCACTCACTTCAGATGGCCACTCACTTCAGATGGCCACCCACTTCAGATGGCCACTCACTTCAGATGGCCACCCACTTCAGATGTCCACTCACTTCAGATGGCCACTCACTTCAGATGGCCACCCATTTTAGATGGCCACCCACTTCAGATGGCCACTCACTTCAGATGGCCACCCATTTCAGATGGCCAATTACTTCAGATGGCCACCCACTTCAGTTGGCCACCCACTTCAGATGGCCACAAAGTGACCATTTCAGATGGCCACCCACTTCAGATGGCCACCCACTTCATATGGCCAATCACTTCAGATGGCCACCCATTTCAGATGGCCACTCACTTCAGTTGGCCACCCACTTCAGATGGCCACAAAGTGACCATTTCAGATGGCCACTCACTTCAGATGGCCACCCACTTCAGATGGCCACCCACTTCAGATGGCCACAAAGTGACCATTTCAGATGGCCACCCACTTCAGATGGCCACCCACTTCAGATGGCCACCCACTTCAGATGGCCACTCACTTCAGATGGCCACCCACTTCAGATGGCCACTCACTTCAGATGGCCACCCACTTCAGATGTCCACTCACTTCAGTTGGCCACTCCTTTCAGATGGCCACCCATTTCAGATGGCCACCCACTTCAGATGGCCACTCACTTCAGATGGCCACAAATTGACCATTTCAGATGGCCACCCACTTCAGATGGCCACCCACTTCAGATGGCCACCCACTTCAGATGGCCACCCACTTCAGATGGCCACCCACTTCAGATGGCCACTCACTTCAGATGGCCACCCACTTCAGATGGCCACTCACTTCAGATGGCCACCCATTTCAAATGGCCACCCACTTCAGATGGCTACTCACTTCAGATGGCCACAAATTGACCATTTCAGATGGCCACCCACTTCAGATGGCCACCCACTTCAGATGGCCACCCACTTCAGATGGCCACTCACTTCAGATGGCCACCCACTTCAGATGGCCACTCACTTCAGATGGCCACCCACTTCAGATGGCCACCCACTTCATATGGCCACAAAGTGACCATTTCAGATGGCCACCCACTTCAGATGGCCACCCACTTCAGATGGCCACCCACTTCAGATGGCCACCCACTTAAGATGGCCACCCACTTCATATGGCCACCCACTTCAGATGGCCACTCACTTCAGATGGCCACAAATTGACCATTTCAGATGGCCACCCACTTCAGATGGCCACCCATTTCAGATGGCCACCCACTTCAGATGGCCACTCACTTCAGATGGCCACAAATTGACCATTTCAGATGGCCACTCACTTCAGATGGCCACCCATTTCAGATGGCCACCCACTTCAGATGGCCACTCACTTCAGATGGCCACCCACTTCAGATGGCCACCCACTTCAGATGGCCACTCACTTCAGATGGCCACCCATTTCAGATGGCCACCCACTTCAGATGGCCACTCACTTCAGATGGCCACCCACAATGGTGTTGTGGCACATGCACAACATGTGAACAAAATAATTAATTACAATCAAACTACTGGAGACAAATCTTACCAGTTTATTAAACTCTCCCCAGTCTGCCACTTTATTGTTGGACATCCAGAGTATCTAAACAACATGTTAAATAGGTATTATTCAGGCCAGAGTATCTAAACAACAGGTTAAATAGGTATTATTCAGGCCAAAGTATCTAAACAACATGTTAAATAGGTATTATTCAGGCCAAAGTATCTAAACAACATGTTAAATAGGTATTATTCAGGCCAAAGTATCTAAACAACATGTTAAATAGGTATTATTCAGGCCAAAGTATCTAAACAACATGTTAAATAGGTATTATTCAGGCCAGAGTATCTAAACATGTTAAATAGGTATTATTCAGGCCAGAGTATCTAAACAACATGTTAAATAGGTATTATTCAGGCCAGAGTATCTAAACAACATGTTAAATAGGTATTATTCAGGCCAGAGTATCTAAACAACATGTTAAATAGGTATTATTCAGGCCAGAGTATCTAAACATGTTAAATAGGTATTATTCAGGCCAGAGTATCTAAACATGTTAAATAGGTATTATTCAGGCCAAAGTATCTAAACAACATGTTAAATAGGTATTATTCAGGCCAGAGTATCTAAACAACATGTTAAATAGGTATTATTCAGGCCAGAGTATCTAAACAACATGTTAAATAGGTATTATTCAGGCCAGAGTATCTAAACAACATGTTAAATAGGTATTATTCAGGCCAGAGTATCTAAACATGTTAAATAGGTATTATTCAGGCCAAAGTATCTAAACAACATGTTAAATAGGTATTATTCAGGCCAAAGTATCTAAACAACATGTTAAATAGGTATTATTCAGGCCAAAGTATCTAAACAACATGTTAAATAGGTATTATTCAGGCCAGAGTATCTAAACAACATGTTAAATAGGTTTTATTCAGGCCAAAGTATCTAAACATGTTAAACAGGTATTATTCAGGCCAAAGTATTTAAACAACATGTTAAATAGGTATTATTCAGGCCAAAGTATCTAAACAACATGTTAAATAGGTATTATTCAGGCCAAAGTATCTAAACAACATGTTAATTAGGTATTATTCAGGCCAAAGTATCTAAACAACATGTTAATTAGGTATTATTTAGGCCAAAGTATCTAAACAATGTCTTATATAGGCATTGTATGTAGGACAGTGTATCTAAACAACGTGTCAAATAGTTATTATATGGAGGCCATATTGCAAGCTTTAATTGAACAACTAATTATAGATCTAATCCTGCAGGGGTAGATTGGGTCACTGTGAAAATTATCAGGTCAGACTTGGGTCACAAGGAAAAATACCTGGGTCAGCCTTGGGTCACTAGGAAAAATACCTGGGTCAGACTTGGGTCACAAGGAAAAATACCTGGGTCAGCCTTGGGTCACTAGGAAAAATACCTGGGTCAGACTTGGGTCACTAGGAAAAATACCTGGGTCAGACTTGGGTCACAAGGAAAAATACTTGGGTCACTAGAAAAAATACCTGGGTCAGACTTGGGTCACAAGGAAAAATACTTGGGTCACTAGAAAAAATACCTGGGTCAGGCTTGGGTCACTAGGAAAAATACCCGGGTCAGCCAGAGTAGTGCTGTGGTGGGCATGTAAGTGCTTTCATTTTTTTTTTTTAACCTTTGCAATTTTTTTTGTTATATATATATATATATATATATATATATATATATAAAACAAAAAAAATTGCATTTATATATATATTGCATTTATATTTATATATATATATATATATATATATATATATATATATATATATATATATATATATATATATATATATATATATATATATATATATATATATATATATATATATATATATATATATATATATATATATATATATATATATATATATATATATATATATATATATATATATATATATATATATATATATATATATATATATATATATATATATATATATATATATATATATATATATATATATATATATATATGCAAGTATTTTAGTGAGTATTTTTTTCACTAGTGGGTGGGTTAGTCTGCCTTTTATACATTACTGCACATTTCTTCCAATTGCCAACTTTGGGAGGTTGATGAGAAAACTACTGGGAAGGCAGGGGGTGGGATGGGGAGCCTAGAGTTCCCTTGTGGCCATCTTATCAGCACTGTGATCTGTGGGGGTCAGAGGTGCATCCACTGTGATGTGTGGGGGTCAGAGGTGCATCCACTGTGATCTGTGGGGGTCAGAGGTGCATCCACTGTGATCTGTGGGGTCAGAGGTGCATCCACTGGTGTCCGGCAGTCAGCTGACCTACAGCACCCCGGCTCCCCCATGAGCAGTGCGGCGCCTACATTTGTTTTAAAGAGCACCCTACAACAGGGACATGGCACACAACATTCCATGACAAAACCAGGGGGTGACCTGGCACACCTGCCAGTGGCCCCTGAGAGCAACACCCCGACATATGCCCCAGGGTGACCTGGTTGTGTTCTAGCTCACAATTACAGAGGGTGATTCACATACACTTAAAGCTTCATACAGCATGCCTTTTGGCATCATGCTGGTAGTGTGGACAAACCTTGCCTAACTACTAAGATCTGAGAAAGATAGTGCCAGCATTGTTTACATTTCAATCATTCAGTTTTAGAGAACAAGGTCACACATCTAAAATACACGGCTGGTCATGCATTGATGAAACCTTTATAAAATACTGACATGTAGGACTTTGTTGAATAAATGTTTACAAGCATAAGTTTAAAAATGAAGAAAGTGTTTGTAAGTAACCTTTAGCTTCTTTAAGACGTTGATTCCTTTCAGTTTCTCAATCAAATTGTAAGAAATCCACAGCTGCTCCAGGGTGTCACCAACTGCTTCCTGTCATTCAAATATCTCAAGGTCAAACAAACATCTAATTTGTACCAGTCATACTACTTCCTGTCATTCAAATATCTCAAGGTCATTCAAATATCTCAAGGTCAAACAAACATCTAATTTGTACCAGTCAAAATTATGTATGCTACAGTTCTAACCACACAGCACACACATTTAAAGCAGTTTAAAATTTCTCCTTACCAATCCTGTCAAACTTTTAATATTGTTTCTGCCCAGGGACAAAATTTTTAGATTTTCTGTAAAGAAACCAGTAATCTTAGAATCAAGTCACCAGCTTAAAAAATTCATAATTAACAAAAGGCAGAAAAACTAAAACAAACTTGTTTTCTTTTGTTAAAGCATTGGTCTCTCATGAATATATTTTAGAGACTAGTTAGTTTCCACTGTTTTTAAATGTTTAATATTATAATTGCTTTACTAAATGTTAGATAACATTAACCTGACTAGTGTGAAAAAAGTAAAAGAAAATCTTGAACTACCCATCAGAAATGACAACATCTTCCAGCTACTGATCAACTAGAGTACCTGCCCTTAACTTTGAGTGTTCCTAGTTATTTTTTCATTTCATCCCCAAAAACCAAATGAGCCAGTCTTAACTTGCAGTGTGTGTATAACATTAATGAACCATTGGAATTTATATATTGTTTTCCCACAAAAATAAAGTACCACTACCTATAACAAAAAAATTTTGAAAAGTTGAAAGGTACCTGCACATACAATATAATGCTCAAATTTAAATGTGAAATTTCATTTACCTAAGTTATCAGCTTTGAAAAAAAAACAGAAATAGATTAAAAACCGCTCGGGTTACCAGAAATTGGTCAAAAGATAGAAAACTAAAAATTTGATAAAATGCTTATATATGAAATTTGGCCAACATAAAATCACATTCCCAGACAGACATTACAAAATTATTTTTTTCAAGGAGGTGTAAAATGTTGGGATTTATCAAAATATGAATTTTAATTATTTGCACCATTAGAATACTTCCTCTAAACTTGGTTTACAAGAAACTAAAAAGGAAAGCAACACGATAGGTCATGTGTGCAATTTATTATTAAAAAGCTGTAGGCAATAAACTATTTAAGATCAAGGGCAAATACATTTCTTCTTTATGCAAGGGGGATATTATTGAAAAACAATTATCATGTTTTCTTAATAATTCCTGGGTGTAAATTTCTTCAATATAATATTGGCATATGAATTTAAGAATAAACAAGTAGGTCTTTCATTAACACTTTATTTTTCTTCTTTCAATGGTATTTCATATGCAACACAAGTCAGAAAATGTTGGATGTTACATTTCTTCACCTCTTGGGGCAAAACTATTTGGCCTTCAATCAACTTACAATATGGAAGATATTCCCTTTTACACAAATTAAGTATATGTGCCAACTTGTTATGTGCCATTTGGAAGATATTCCTTCCAACACAAATTAATTATATGTGTCAACTTGTTATGTGCCATATGGAAGATATTCCCTTTTACACAAATTAAGTATAGGCCGTTGACTGCAAGAAAAACATTATTTATAAAAAGAAAATTCATTGTTTTTTGGTCAGAATTGAACCTCCTAAACGTCCCGTCCCCCCGCATTGCATGGTCTGGCGGTTCAGCCCCTGAAGATACCCAAAGCTTAAAGCTATAATAAAATATTTGTATTTCTTTTGGGCAGGCACCCTAGTTGCTAAATTACAAAAGATCACACTAAATTACACAACTAAGTTAAAATGATTTTAAAGAGCCAGGTTGACTTACTTAGGCCATTTAGATTTGCTATTTTCTCAATTGCATTGGTTGATAAAGAAAGTCTCCTAAAATAAAAAAAATCATTTGCCAAGTTAAATTCATGTAAATACTCTCTTAATCTTGAAAGGCAAACATGTGAACTAAGTTAGCAATAGAACACTTGCTTTTTGACATTAGTCATGAGCAGTGCCTGCGCCAGGTTATTTAGCGCCCTAGGCAAAACTTATTAAAAGCGCCCCCCCCCCCCGCAATTTTTTTTGTGTCCTCAGGGACAAACTTTCGATTTCCACCCCCCACCCCCCTCCCCTCAAACTTTCAATTTGTTTTTCCGACCATTTTGGCGCCCCCCTTAGACCGCCTAGTTCATCTTAAAGGTAGCACCAGCCCTGGTCATGAAGTCTATGCACTGCTAGTCTAACCCACCAGACACCCACCAGACACCCACCAGACACCACCAGACAGACACCAGACAGCACCAGACACCACCAGACACCCACCAGACACCCACCAGACACCCACCAGACACCCACCAGACACCCACCAGACACCCACCAGACACCCACCAGACACCCACCAGACACCCACCAGACACCCACCAGACACCACCAGACAGCAGACACCACCAGACACCCACCAGACACCACCAGACAGACACCAGACAGCACCAGACACCACCAGACACCCACCAGACACCCACCAGACACCCACCAGACACCCACCAGACACCACCAGACAGCAGACACCACCAGACACCACCAGACAGCAGACACCACCAGACACCACCAGACAGCAGACACCACCAGACACCAGACACCACCAGACACCACCAGACACCCACCAGACACCACCAGACAGCAGACACCACCAGACACCACCAGACACCACCAGACACCACCAGACAGCAGACACCACCAGACACCACCAGACAGCAGACACCACCAGACACCAGACACCACCAGACACCAGACACCACCAGACACCAGACACCACCAGACAGCAGACACCACCAGACACCACCAGACACCACCAGACACCACCAGACAGCAGACACCACCAGACAGCAGACACCACCAGACAGCAGACACCACCAGACACCACCAGACACCACCAGACACCCACCAGACACCCACCAGACACCCACCAGACACCACCAGACAGCAGACACCACCAGACACCACCAGACAGCAGACACCACCAGACAGCAGACACCACCAGACACCACCAGACAGCAGACACCACCAGACACCAGACACCACCAGACACCAGACACCACCAGACAGCAGACACCACCAGACACCACCAGACACCACCAGACAGCAGACACCACCAGACAGCAGACACCACCAGACAGCAGACACCACCAGACACCACCAGACACCACCAGACACCCACCAGACACCCACCAGACACCCACCAGACACCCACCAGACACCACCAGACAGCAGACACCACCAGACACCACCAGACAGCAGACACCACCAGACACCACCAGACAGCAGACACCACCAGACACCACCAGACAGCAGACACCACCAGACACCACCAGACACCAGACACCACCAGACACCAGACACCACCAGACACCAGACACCACCAGACAGCAGACACCACCAGACACCACCAGACACCACCAGACACCACCAGACAGCAGACACCACCAGACAGCAGACACCACCAGACAGCAGACACCACCAGACACCACCAGACACCACCAGACACCCACCAGACACCCACCAGACACCCACCAGACACCACCAGACAGCAGACACCACCAGACACCACCAGACAGCAGACACCACCAGACAGCAGACACCACCAGACACCACCAGACAGACACCAGACAGCACCAGACACCACCAGACACCCACCAGACACCCACCAGACACCACCAGACAGCAGACACCACCAGACACCACCAGACAGCAGACACCACCAGACACCACCAGACACCAGACACCACCAGACACCAGACACCACCAGACACCAGACACCACCAGACAGCAGACACCACCAGACACCACCAGACACCACCAGACACCACCAGACAGCAGACACCACCAGACAGCAGACACCACCAGACAGCAGACACCACCAGACACCACCAGACACCCACCAGACACCCACCAGACACCCACCAGACACCCACCAGACACCACCAGACAGCAGACACCACCAGACACCACCAGACAGCAGACACCACCAGACAGCAGACACCACCAGACACCACCAGACAGACACCAGACAGCACCAGACACCACCAGACACCCACCAGACACCCACCAGACACCCACCAGACACCACCAGACAGCAGACACCACCAGACACCACCAGACAGCAGACACCACCAGACACCACCAGACAGCAGACACCACCAGACACCAGACACCAGACACCACCAGACAGCAGACACCACCAGACACCACCAGACACCACCAGACACCACCAGACAGCAGACACCACCAGACAGCAGACACCACCAGACAGCAGACACCACCAGACAGCAGACACCACCAGACACCACCAGACACCACCAGACACCCACCAGACACCCACCAGACACCCACCAGACACCCACCAGACACCACCAGACAGCAGACACCACCAGACACCACCAGACAGCAGACACCACCAGACACCACCAGACAGCAGACACCACCAGACACCACCAGACAGCAGACACCACCAGACACCACCAGACACCAGACACCACCAGACACCAGACACCACCAGACACCAGACACCACCAGACAGCAGACACCACCAGACACCACCAGACACCACCAGACACCACCAGACAGCAGACACCACCAGACAGCAGACACCACCAGACAGCAGACACCACCAGACACCACCAGACACCACCAGACACCCACCAGACACCCACCAGACACCCACCAGACACCCACCAGACACCACCAGACAGCAGACACCACCAGACACCACCAGACAGCAGACACCACCAGACAGCAGACACCACCAGACACCACCAGACAGACACCAGACAGCACCAGACACCACCAGACACCCACCAGACACCCACCAGACACCCACCAGACACCACCAGACAGCAGACACCACCAGACACCACCAGACAGCAGACACCACCAGACACCACCAGACAGCAGACACCACCAGACACCAGACACCAGACACCACCAGACAGCAGACACCACCAGACACCACCAGACACCACCAGACACCACCAGACAGCAGACACCACCAGACAGCAGACACCACCAGACAGCAGACACCACCAGACAGCAGACACCACCAGACACCACCAGACACCACCAGACACCCACCAGACACCCACCAGACACCCACCAGACACCCACCAGACACCACCAGACAGCAGACACCACCAGACACCACCAGACAGCAGACACCACCAGACACCACCAGACAGCAGACACCACCAGACAGCAGACACCACCAGACACCACCAGACAGCAGACACCACCAGACACCAGACACCACCAGACACCAGACACCACCAGACAGCAGACACCACCAGACACCACCAGACACCACCAGACAGCAGACACCACCAGACAGCAGACACCACCAGACAGCAGACACCACCAGACACCACCAGACACCACCAGACACCCACCAGACACCCATCAGACACCCACCAGACACCCACCAGACACCACCAGACAGCAGACACCACCAGACACCACCAGACAGCAGACACCACCAGACAGCAGACACCACCAGACACCAGACACCACCAGACACCAGACACCACCAGACACCACCAGACAGCAGACACCACCAGACACCACCAGACACCCACCAGACACCCACCAGACACCACCAGACACCACCAGACAGCAGACACCACCAGACAGCAGACACCACCAGACACCCACCAGACACCCACCAGACACCACCAGACACCAGACACCCACCAGACACCACCAGACAGCAGACACCACCAGACACCACCAGACAGCAGACACCACCAGACAGCAGACACCACCAGACAGCAGACACCACCAGACACCACCAGACAGCAGACACCACCAGACACCAGACACCACCAGACACCACCAGACACCACCAGACACCACCAGACACCAGACACCAGACACCACCAGACAGCAGACACCACCAGTCACCACCAGACAGCAGACACCACCAGACAGCAGACACCACCAGACAGCAGACACCACCAGACACCACCAGACAGCAGACACCACAAGACACCAGACACCACCAGACACCAGACACCACCAGACACCAGACACCACCAGACAACACCAGACACCACCAGACAGCAGACACCACCAGACACCACCAGACAGCAGACACCACCAGACACCACCAGACACCAGACACCACCAGACACCACCAGACACCCACCAGACACCACCAGACACCACCAGACACCAGACACCACCAGACACCCACCAGACACCACCAGACACCACCAGACACCACCAGACACCAGACACCACCAGAAAGACACCAGACAGCAGACACCACCAGACACCAGACACCCACCAGACACCACCAGACACCACCAGACACCAGACACCACCAGAAAGAAACCAGACAGCAGACACCACCAGACACCCACCAGACACCAGACACCACCAGACACCAGACACCACCAGACACCACCAGACACCACCAGACACCACCAGACACCACCAGACACCACCAGACACCAGACACCACCAGACACCACCAGACACCACCAGACACCAGACACCACCAGACACCAGACACCACCAGACAGCAGACACCACCAGACACCACCAGACACCAGACACCACCAGACACCAGACACCACCAGACACCCACCAGACACCACCAGACACCAGACACCACCAGACACCACCAGACACCACCAGACACCACCAGACACCACAAGACACCAGACACCACCAGACACCACCAGACACCACCAGACACCACCAGACAGCAGACACCACCAGACACCACCAGACACCACCAGACACCAGACACCACCAGACACCACCAGACAACACCAGACACCACCAGACACCACCAGACACCAGACACCACCAGACAGCAGACACCACCAGACACCACCAGACAGCAGACACCACCAGACACCACCAGACACCAGACACCACCAGACACCACCAGACACCCACCAGACACCACCAGACACCACCAGACACCACCAGACACCAGACACCACCAGAAAGACACCAGACAGCAGACACCACCAGACACCACCAGACACCACCAGACACCCACCAGACACCACCAGACACCAGACACCACCAGACACCACCAGACACCACCAGACAGCAGACACCACCAGACACCACCAGACAGCAGACACCACCAGACACCACCAGACACCAGACACCACCAGACACCACCAGACACCACCAGACACCAGACACCACCAGACACCACCAGACACCACCAGACAGCAGACACCACCAGACAGCAGACACCACCAGACACCACCAGACAGCAGACACCACCAGACAGCAGACACCACCAGACACCACCAGACACCAGACACCACCAGACACCACCAGACACCACCAGACAGCAGACACCACCAGACACCAGACACCACCAGACACCACCAGACACCACCAGACAGCAGACACCACCAGACACCACCAGACAGCAGACACCACCAGACAGCAGACACCACCAGACAGCAGACACCACCAGACAGCAGACACCACCAGACAGCAGACACCACCAGACACCACCAGACACCACCAGACAGCAGACACCACCAGACAGCAGACACCACCAGACAGCAGACACCACCAGACAGCAGACACCACCAGACAGCAGACACCACCAGACACCAGACACCACCAGACACCACCAGACACCAGACACCACCAGACAGCAGACACCACCAGACACCACCAGACAGCAGACACCACCAGACAGCAGACACCACCAGACAGCAGACACCACCAGACAGCAGACACCACCAGACACCACCAGACACCACCAGACAGCAGACACCACCAGACACCACCAGACACCAGACACCACCAGACAACACCAGACACCACCAGACAGCAGACACCACCAGACACCACCAGACAGCAGACACCACCAGACAGCAGACACCACCAGACACCACCAGACAGCAGACACCACCAGACAGCAGACACCACCAGACAGCAGACACCACCAGACACCACCAGACACCAGACACCACCAGACACCACCAGACAGCAGACACCACCAGACAGCAGACACCACCAGACAGCAGACACCACCAGACAGCAGACACCACCAGACAGCAGACACCACCAGACACCAGACACCACCAGACACCACCAGACAGCAGACACCACCAGACAGCAGACACCACCAGACACCACCAGACAGCAGACACCACCAGACAGCAGACACCACCAGACAGCAGACACCACCAGACAGCAGACACCACCAGACAGCAGACACCACCAGACACCACCAGACACCACCAGACACCACCAGAAAGACACCAGACAGCAGACATCCACCAATACCTACTCGCAGTTCGTTAGTGTTGACAGTGATGCATCCATTTTTTCTATTGGTGGACAAATTCCAATCAGTTTTACTTCTTTGCATTCACTGGCTTTACCATTTTTTTCTTCCTGATTAAAGAAATCAATTGCAGTGCCTGTTATCAAACAGTTGTTGAAAGTAAAGGTAAACTTGTCTAGCTTGTGAAGCACTCAATTTGACAAAGTAAAGGTAAACTTGTCTAGCTTGTGAAGCACTAAATTTGACAAAGTAAAGGTAAACTTGTCTAGCTTGTGAAGCACTCAATTTGACAAAGTAAAGGTAAACTTGTCTAGCTTGTGAAGCACTAAATTTGACAAAGTAAAGGTAAACTTGTCTAGCTTGTGAAGCACTCAATTTGACAAAGTAAAGGTAAACTTGTCTAGCTTGTGAAGCACTCAATTTGACAAAGTAAAGGTAAACTTGTCTAGCTTGTGAAGCACTCAATTTGACAAAGTAAAGGTAAACTTGTCTAGCTTGTGAAGCACTAAATTTGACAAAGTAAAGGTAAACTTGTCTAGCTTGTGAAGCACTCAATTTGACAAAGTAAAGGTAAACTTGTCTAGCTTGTGAAGCACTCAATTTGACAAAGTAAAGGTAAACTTGTCTAGCTTGTGAAGCACTAAATTTGACAAAGTAAAGGTAAACTTGTCTAGCTTGTGAAGCACTCAATTTGACAAAGTAAAGGTAAACTTGTCTAGCTTGTGAAGCACTCAATTTGACAAAGTAAAGGTAAACTTGTCTAGCTTGTGAAGCACTCAATTTGACAAAGTAAAGGTAAACTTGTCTAGCTTGTGAAGCACTCAATTTGACAAAGTAAAGGTAAACTTGTCTAGCTTGTGAAGCACTCAATTTGACAAAGTAAAGGTAAACTTGTCTAGCTTGTGAAGCACTCAATTTGACAAAGTAAAGGTAAACTTGTCTAGCTTGTGAAGCACTCAATTTGACAAAGTAAAGGTAAACTTGTCTAGCTTGTGAAGCACTCAATTTGACAAAGTAAAGGTAAACTTGTCTAGCTTGTGAAGCACTAAATTTGACAAAGTAAAGGTAAACTTGTCTAGCTTGTGAAGCACTCAATTTGACAAAGTAAAGGTAAACTTGTCTAGCTTGTGAAGCACTCCAATTTGACAAAGTAAAGGTAAACTTGTCTAGCTTGTGAAGCACTCCAATTTGACAAAGTAAAGGTAAACTTGTCTAGCTTGTGAAGCACTAAATTTGACAAAGTAAAGGTAAACTTGTCTAGCTTGTGAAGCACTCAATTTGACAAAGTAAAGGTAAACTTGTCTAGCTTGTGAAGCACTCCAATTTGACAAAGTAAAGGTAAACTTGTCTAGCTTGTGAAGCACTCCAATTTGACAAAGTAAAGGTAAACTTGTCTAGCTTGTGAAGCACTCCAATTTGACAAAGTAAAGGTAAACTTGTCTAGCTTGTGAAGCACTCCAATTTGACAAAATAAAGGTAAACTTGTCTAGCTTGTGAAGCACTCCAATTTGACAAAGTAAAGGTAAACTTGTCTAGCTTGTGAAGCACTCAATTTGACAAAGTAAAGGTAAACTTGTCTAGCTTGTGAAGCACTCAATTTGACAAAGTAAAGGTAAACTTGTCTAGCTTGTGAAGCACTCCAATTTTACCATATGATGTGTACTCTGGATCTTGGACATTACGACATTAACCCCTCCCCCCCCCCCCTGTCAATTACACCCTGGAGATATTACCCCCTTGTCAATTAGCCTACACTAACCTTAACACTACTAGATGGGGGGGGGATTGACTGAGGGAGTGCTCCTGATTACTCTAGTGTGTAGGAATATTAAAGTTTCGAGTAGGTACTTACAAATTTGGCCAGAGCTTCCTTAATTGTTGTACCTTTAGACTGGAAGTGGAATGTGAACAGATGTAGCAGAGGTTTAAGTGGCATAAAACACAAATTTGTCTTTACAATAACAAAAAAAATTCATAAAAATGTTTTAATAACAAGCTTTTATGTAATAATGCACTAAAAAGTAGAAAATAAATTATTTTCTTTAAATATATAATAATACATTACTATTTAAATTTTATAAAGAAAAGTGTGGGTCACTTTATTATCTATTGGACACCATTACTAATATTTAGGAAGAGACTCATGCTTTTCTTTATAGTTATTTAAATAGTGCTCCACTTCTTAGTGTATTATTACATAAACGCTTGTTATTAAGATTGTAGGAAAAAAGTCACAAATGGAATTTGTTTATACTTATGTGTATTATGCAAAAAAACTTACGATTGATTATATAACACACATAAAAGATTTTTAGTATAAGGTTTGTAAGATTTAATTGTAATTCCGTTTAATATATAATATTTAATATAATTTAATAAAATGTTCGAACCTTCTCGATTTCAAACGTGTTTGTTAAATACTAACTTTAAATTAGCGTGATACTGCATAAAGATGTAGTTTATGTGACTTGCTGCCCTCAACGCATCACAACAATAGTTCAACCACCTTTATCATGCTAATTACGGAACAAAGCATGGGATAAAAACAGAAAGCAGACAAAGTACAAAGGCTGTCTCTGACGCAAAATGTCAACAACACACAATATGGATGGACAAAGCCGACAGAGATAAGGTACAATGACGAGCCTAAATTCATTTTATAATAATTTTCCACTGTTTATTTAACTAAATACGTAACAAAATTTTAGGTTGCTATGTACATTATCTTACTGTATTTTAACATATTATTGTTGTAAACCATAATGCTTTTAAAGTTTACAGATATGCTACCCAAGAAATTACCACGCACATTAATAAGCATGCACATTTTACAACTATCAACAATTATATCAAAATATTTCTTAGAATATTTTTGTGACTTTTTTCTGTGACTTAATTTCTCTGACTTTTTTTCTGATAAAATTTTTCCTTTGTGACTTTTTTTCCCACGTTTTCTTTAACTTGCTTTCGCGTCTGTTTGTTTGTTTGTTTGTTTGGTTCTCCAATCAAATCTTGCGATCGAAATTTCGGGCACTTTCCAGTTAGCTAGCGCGCTGAAATTTTCAGGGAAGCTTTGTTTCCGATGACAATAGAATATTCAAATGTTATTATTACTAAATTGATCCATGGAAACATTTTATTGATCATTTTAGACCACTATATATTTGTAAATAAAACGTGGGAAAAGGGGACATAACCCAGTAATTGTAATTTGATGAAAACAAGGTTCGGTACTCTCCCTCTTTTGGCTTACTGAGTAGTGGTCACGCGGTGTTTGTGTACAAACAACCGGAACGTAACAACTGGTGGCCAGTATGGGGGAGACGATATGGTCGAGTGGTTGGGCACACGATTGCTAACCCACTCGACACGGGTTCAAGGCACGTGTTTTTTACAAGTTGTCTTCGTTTACCCAAAAAAAAGTGAATGCGAAAAGATAAAATCGATAGCAAGATTTTAATGCAAACAAACAGACAAAGACTAAAAAATAGAAAATAATTATCATTAAAAAAGTTTAAAAAAACCCACTTTATCTGATTGAACTAAAAAGTAGAAAATAAATGCTATACACCACAATAATGCAAGCGATCACTCTACTATAAGTGATGAAAAACGTGGGGCACCGTGATTTTCTTACAGTTTCTAATACTGTTGACTCTCTCCCTAATAAAAGTCAATAGTATTATCTAATCAATAGTAATATAACTTTTACATCTTATATTAACAATGACCGATAAAAAACTTTTACTTCGGCGCCCCACGTTTTTCATCGCTTATAGTAGAGTGATCGCTTGCATTATTGTGATGTATAGCATCTATTTTCTACTTTTTAGTTCAATCAGAAAACGTGGGTATTTTAAAACTTTTTTAATGATAATTATTCTGTGAATTTTTTCCTAGCAAAAACTGGGGCTTTTTTTTCTGTTTTTTTTTTTTTTTGTGTGACTTTTTTTCAGTTCATCGTTATTAAAATGCTTTTATGAATTTTTTTTCAGTACTTTAAAATTTTTATTTACAATAGAGTTGGATGACCAAAAACTATTGATAGCATGAGACCTCACACAAGAGTGTAACAGACCCCACACACCGTGTGACTGTGGGGGTAGATGAGGTGTGGGACTGTGCGGGTAGATGAGGTGTGGGACTGTGGGGGTAGATGAGGTGTGGGACTGTGGGGGTAGATGAGGTGTGGGACTGTGGGGGTATATAATTTGACTGTGTATATATATATAAGGTGTGGGACTGTGGGGGTAGATGAGGTGTGTGACTGTGGGGGTAGATGAGGTGTGTGACTGTGGGGGTAGATGAGGTGTGTGACTGTGGGGGTAGATGAGGTGTTTGACTGTGGGGGTAGATGAGGAGTGTGACTGTGGGGGTAGATGAGGTGTGGGACTGTGGGGGTAGATGAGGAGTGTGACTGTGGGGGTAGATGAGGTGTGGGACTGTGGGGGTATATAATTTGACTGTGTATATATATATAAGGTGTGGGACTGTGGGGGTAGATGAGGTGTGTGACTGTGGGGGTAGATGAGGTGTTTGACTGTGGGGGTAGATGAGGTGTTTGACTGTGGGGGTAGATGAGGAGTGTGACTGTGGGGGTAGATGAGGTGTGTGACTGTGGGGGTAGATGAGGTGTGTGACTGGGAAGGTATATAAGGGGACATCCATAAATGATGTCACACTTTTTTGACGATTTTTACCTCTCCCCTCCATCACACATCGTCACAAAAAGCCAGACCCCCCCCCCCTAAAATGACGTCACACCTCAGCCTAGAACCCCCCTCAAAATTGCAGTTGAATTTTTTTTTTAAAACATCGATATTTTTCCGAACTCTTGTCTGAAATCTGTCAAAATAGAGTATTTTAATCAATTCCTATTACAATTTATTAAAACAGTTTTCTAAAACCCAAAATAACGTCTAAAATTCGTTATCTAACATTGCTTTTTTATAATGAAAAAAGTGTGATGTCGCACCATCTGAACCCCCCTCCCACTCATCACACATCATCACAAAATTACCGACCCCCCCCTCCCACCACAGAGTGTGACGTCATTTATGGACGACCCCTAAGGTGTGTGGTTCTAAAGACTAATGACAGGGGGGGAGGGGGTGCGGACCGCACAGGTGACACCATTTAGGGGAGGGGGGGTGACACCATGGCAAAAAATAGCAAAATATATAGAGAAAAATGATAATTCCACTTAATTAAGTGATTAATTCGAGTGTTAAAAAGTCTTTTAAGAGCAAAATTGAGAAATCCCGACAAGGGTGGAGGGGGGAGGTGCAAATTGAAACTTGAAAGTTTGTCCCTGGGCGCCGGGAAGGGTCGCTACGCCTCTGGGTGGTGACACCATTAAGTGCAGCACCGGGTGACACCCGACCTCGCTACGCCACTGCATGTTGGCATTGTAAATGTTAACCCCTGCACTGTTGTGAACTTGATTTAAGTTAAATTACTTCATAATAGGGCCTAATATAATAATATTAGTAGCCCTATTACAGTATTAGTAAGTACTCTTAACTTAAGAATAAGAAGTCTTAATTACTTATGACTTAAGCTGTAGTAAAATATGTTGGAGGCATATACATACATTAAGATTGATTATAAAATAATTTTAAATAAATATATATATATATATAGGCCTATATATATATATATATTTATATTATAGACCTATATATATATTATAGGCCTATATATATTATAATTATAGGTTATCTATCTCTATAGCATAGGCCTATATATAGTATATAGTATATACTAGGCCTAGATAAATATATTAAAAATATTTATTATATATTTCTAGTGTTCATTAAACTAGGCCTAACAGTTACATACCATATTCCTTGTTTGTTTTCAGTTGCGTAGGATTCTCACCTCGCTAAACTTATAGATATCTAGGCTAATTAATATCTAGATTATAGGCTTCACTAAATAGTTAACATTGGTATTGTGTATGGAGTTGCTATGGTATAATTTGTGCGGTCCAACTACCGATAAATTACCGGAATAGATTATACACACATTTTTAAAAAGAATATTTTCATGCCGGTATACATTTTTTTTCTTTTTATTTCTTTTATTTCTTATTTCTAACACTAGTGAATAGGGGGGGGGGGCGTATACAAATGACGTCACACTTATAGAGGAAAGTGTGTCGCAATTTGGTGACGATGTGTGTGAAGGGGAGTGAACAGCCGGGGACCTGACTAAAAGGAAGGCTTTTGGTTAATGCTCCACAAGCATTAGATAAGCTCAAGTCAAAGTAAATATGTCAAGACACAACAATAGCAGTTTCATTGAAAAAAATATTAGAAATTACTGGAGTTTAGTTACTTAATCTTTTGCGGAAGCTTACACAATCGAAGCCTAGAACTAATAACACAGCTCTTTAGAAAAATGCAAAAGGGTGTCGGTACGCTTTCTGAAGAGATGCCCAAAAGAAGATATACAAGAAGGTAGTATGCTGTTTGGAGATACGATTTTCCCATAAGCTACATAAGCACCTGGGTTTCGCTGATATGGAGTCTTGTACAGGGGGCAAGGGTGCAAACTGCACCAGGGTGTCCTTCAGCATCCAAGAGGTCATGGGTGCATTTCGTCACCTACATTGGTTTTAAAGAGCGCACTGCGACGCTACTCCTGACAGCTGGACGGTCGTTGTGGTGTTGTTCTATCTCACCGTTGCGGAGGATGATCAACGTATATATATATATATATATATATATATATATATATATATATATATATATATATATCATTGTATTTGTAATAAATTATTTCATTTGGTGTCACCCCCCCCCCTTCTCCCCACCTCAGACGTGGCTTGACGTGTCACTAATTACAATGCTCAAGCAGAGGCGTAGCGACCCTTCCCGGCGCCCGGGGACATACTTTCAATTTGGCGCCCCCTTGGGAGCAAATTTTCGATTTGCACCCCCCCTCGAACTTTTCATTTGCACCCCCCCCCCCCCCTCAAACTTTCAATTTGGCGCCCCCCCCCCCCTAAGGTCGGCGCCCGGGGACATATGTCCCCCCCCCCCCTCGCTACGCTACTGTGCTCAAGAAAACCTGTTTCCTCATGCAGCTTTTAGTTGGTGTCACATCCCCCCTCCACCCTATTGTATCATTTATTTAGCTGGATCGTTGTTTTTTTAATCTATATTTTGCTATGTTTGATTTGGGTCACACACCACCCCAGGTAAAAGTATATATATGACTGGAAGAAACTTTTCTAAGGAAGTCTTTGTAAATCCAATTTTAAGAAACTGAAATTCTAAGGCAGTCTGTATGACTATCATGTATGAAGTAATAAAGCTGGTTCAGAAACAAGTAGATCTAGAGGACTAGATCTAGTAGTAGTAGTAGAGTTGTTTTTGTTGTCTCTCCAGGTCAGCCCATCGTAAACGCACTACACCTCTGTTGGTGACCATCACACCTGATCACTACTGAGGCAGAGTTACATATAGATCTAGATCTAAGTCGAGCCTCCCCCGAGTGCACAAAATACTTGAAAATATGCATAGAATTCTAGATCTATATAAATCTAGTCTGGATCTAGCCGCGTTTTTCTTTTGCACACTTGACATTTATTATTCTGTTAAGTAGTCCTAGCCTTGCCCGCCAAAATTAGTTTTATTCAATTTAGGCCTAGATCTAGATTCTAGATCTAGAAATCTAGATCTAATCTAGATCTAACTAAATAGAATTAGACGAGATCTAGTCTAGATTTAGAATTTAGATATACTCTGGTCTACTCTGATGAAGATTGCTAGATCTAGAAAATCTAGTAGAATCTAGATCTCATCCTATGTCCTCTATACTAATACTAGATCTATAGTCTACTAGTACTAGTAGACTAGACTGACTAGAGTAGATAGTAGTTAAGTATAGTATTAGTTAGTAGTAGACTAGATGAGATCTTGATTTAGTTATAAATTCTAGTAAATGAGTAGACTGGTCTAGAGAGAAACAAGTAGAAATTTAGATCAAGAACAATTTCAGATCTAGTAGAAAGATTATCAGTGGTCTGACAGTGTCAGTGAAACTTGTAAAAAGTGTCCATAGGCATTAGTCAATGATAAGTCTGTTAAGTCAAGATGAGACAATCACATGCATCATCATTTTCAAGAGTTACCATTAGGTAGAATATCATTTCTCTAATTTCAACCCAAGTCTATTGCTAGATCTAGGCCTAACAGAAACATTATATTCATAATGTATTGTATAGGCCTAGATCTAGATCTATTTTATTTTTGCAAGTTTTTTCTTCAATTCCATCAGCACAATTCATTCAATCATGATTATCAAATGCCTCAATTGTGTTGAAAACTCAGTTTAATTTTTTAACATTGAGCCCAATTTTGACCCATTTCATATGTTGATTAGGTCTTCGTTTTTTATAGTTTGCTAATAGAGTTCTAATTGTATTTGTAAATTAGGCTAGTCTATAAAAGAATTTTAATTTTGGCCTAAAGATTGGAATCAAAGCCTGAGTACTTTTACTAACCCACTTAATGATGATAATTTAAATAACAAGGGGGAATGGCAAGTTTTAAATAATAGGGCTCCTTCTCCAAACTTAGAAAATAGATTCTGAAAATAATTCAAAATAGGCCTATAGTTTTGCCTGTCAACACAACACTATAGTCTATAGGCCTACATTTAAAAAAAAAATCTTTCTTTTTATCTACATTCTCAATAGGCTATATAATAATTGAATTAAAAGTGTGACAAGGGACCTAACTCAGTTGTTTCATAGTTGTTGGGGTACGGGTTTGTCCACTCTACTGCCCAGACACCCTTGTATTAAAACCTTGAGTGTAAGTTAATCACCCTTCAGAAAAGTGAAGTAGAACACACCTAAGCAACCGCCCAGGTGTCAAGAGCATCACTGGGTGCTCTCAAGAGCCACCAGTTACACTTTGGTAGGGTACAGCCCCATGTTTAGTTTAGCCATCAAACTGTGCCACCTGGTCCCCAAGGTATGGTGTTCTTTAACTAATGTAGGCGCCATAGTACTCATGGGACACCCCGGGGCACCAAATTGCCCCAGCCGGAGGACGGGCCTTTTTTTATTTAGTAAACGATTATAGTAGCCCATCTTATCTTTAGTGTATCGCACTATTTGAAAAAAACATAGGGATCATCACTGGGGAGCCCAGGGAGCACCTAATATAAATGTTGGGTGTATGACTCTACAGTTTAGTCAACAGTAGCCCACTGTAGCCATAGTGTATGACAACGATTACAGTAGCCCACTGTAGCCCTAGTGTATGACACTCTACAGTTTAGTCAACAGTAGCCCACTGTAGCCATAGTGTATGACAATGATTACAGTAGCCCACTGTAGCCATAGTGTATGACAACGATTACAGTAGCCCACTGTAGCCATAGTGTATAACACTCTACAGTTTAGTCAACAGTAGCCCACTGTAGCCATAGTGTATGACAACGATTACAGTAGCCCACTGTAGCCATAGTGTATAACACTCTACAGTTTAGTCAACAGTAGCCCACTGTAGCCATAGTGTATGACAACGATTACAGTAGCCCACTGTAGCCATAGTGTATAACACTCTACAGTTTAGTCAACAGTAGCCCACTGTAGCCATAGTGTATGACAACGATTACAGTAGCCCACTGTAGCCATAGTGTATAACACTCTACAGTTTAGTCAACAGTAGCCCACTGTAGCCATAGTGTATGACAACGATTACAGTAGCCCACTGTAGCCATAGTGTATAACACTCTACAGTTTAGTCAACAGTAGCCCACTGTAGCCCTAGTGTATGACAATGATTACTGTAGCCCTAGTGTATGACAACGATTATAGTAGCCCACTGTAGCCCTAGTGTATGACACTCTATAACATGAACGTAAGTGTCAAGCTGCTCATGGCGGAGCTCGTCGCACACCAAGTCATACCACCGCCAGCACGCCCCTTGTTCAATTTATCTATGGGACATACAGACAGACATAATTTTAATTTTTATATAAAGACTAGTGTGCCTGTCCCAGTGCGTTGCAGCTGTCCCAGTGTGTTGCAGCTGTCCCAGTGTGTTGCAGCTGTCTCACTAGTCAGAGGATAGCCTGGGGCAAAAAAGAGCACCCTGATTATAACGAACGTAGGCGCCATTTGGCTCACAGGAAAGCCCAGGGCACCAAATCGCAACCTGCAGGGGCGCCGGAGGACGCACCTGTTTTGATATAGTAACAATTATTGTTGCCCATTATGTCTTTAGTGTATAGCCTTTTTTTTAAATGAACACAAGCACCACAGTACTCACAGGGGAGCCCTGGGCGCGTCAGGTCACACAATAGCCAAGATGCTGACCCCTGCAAGTTTGAATATTTTTTTTGTAAATATCTCCCCAGGAGTATTCTTAACAACTTCCAAAAGTTTCATGGTGATCGGATGAAAGGTGTAGTAGACACACACACACACACATACATACATTGCTTTTTATAGGTATAGATAGATAGATAGATGGGTATTTTTTAAATTCTATTGTTTCCACAATTTAGTGCTGATTAAGATGGGTATTTTTTAAATTCTATTGTTTCCACAATTTAGTGCTAATTAATGATGGGTACTTTTGATTCTATTGTTTCCACAATTTAGTGCTGATTAAGATGGGTATTTTTTAAATTCTATTGTTTCCACAATTTAGTGCTAATTAATGATGGGTACTTTTGATTCTATTGTTTCCACAATTTAGTGCTGATTAAGATGGGTATTTTTTAAATTCTATTGTTTCCACAATTTAGTGCTAATTAATGATGGGTACTTTTGATTCTATTGTTTCCACAATTTAGTGCTGATTAAGATGGGTATTTTTTAAATTCTATTGTTTCCACAATTTAGTGCTAATTAATGATGGGTACTTTTGATTCTATTGTTTCCACAATTAAGTGCTGATTAAGATGGGTACTTTACTTTTCTTCATCTTCGTTCTTAATTTTTAGTGTTGGAAGGGATCAAGCCTTATCTGCCAGTGGGTTTGAACTCGAGACTTTTTTCAAATTTATCAACCATGAGCTTTTGCCGACTCTACCACGCCTCCAACACAATTAAGGATACGTGTCAACTGGTTATGCGCCATTGAGACCATTGACTCCAATTTCAGCTTGCTTTTCTTTTTGGATTTGCTTCCATAGCCTTTGTCCAACCAAGAACAAACTACAAGGCAGAAGTTGTTTGATTTTGGAGTTGTCTCTCCTAGAAGAGTGGCTGTCCCCAGCTAACGAGCCTCATCTGCCCGAGGGTTCGAACTCGAGACTTTTCGGTTCAGCAACCATGAGCTTTACCGACTCGACCACGCCGACCCCCATGGGTACTTTTGATTCTATTGTTTGGATCTTGGGTCTGTGTCCTGTGTATATCACATATACAATATTAATATTACTGCCAGATTAAATCAGGCAGTAAGGTTAGATTATAGATTCAACATTTGTAGGCTACCAGAAGCAACAAGCATGTTCAGACTTTGAAAATATTCACCATTTGTAGAATTCTCTTTATTTCATGTACCAGGAGCAAGAACGAGAACATTAGAGTGGCCAGCCAACAGATCCTTGCTAAAGTGAGTGGTGGATTGGAATTACTCTACAAACACATACAGGATGGGGACAGAGAGAACTGCTCACTTGAAGGTCATTTCCTTTCTGTACATGCTCACTTGAAGGTCATTTCCTTTCTGTACATGCTCACTTGAAGGTCATTTCCTTTCTGTACATTAGGTGATGTCAACAAATGATAGACGGGTCAAAAGTGGTTAGCCCATCTGGGGATAGACGGGTCAAAAGTGGTTAGCCCATCTGGGGATAGACGGGTCAAAAGTGGTTAGCCCATCTGGGGATAGACGGGTCAAAAGTGGTTAGCCCATCTGGGGATAGACGGGTCAAAAGTGGTTAGCCCATCTGGGGATAGACGGGTCAAAAGTGGTTAGCCCATCTGGGGATAGACGGGTCAAAAGTGGTTAGCCCATCTGGGGATAGACGGGTCAAAAGTGGTTAGCCCATCTGGGGATAGACGGGTCAAAAGTGGTTAGCCCATCTGGGGATAGACGGGTCAAAAGTGGTTAGCCCATCTGGGGATAGACGGGTCAAAAGTGGTTAGCCCATCTGGGGATAGACGGGTCAAAAGTGGTTAGCCCATCTGGGGATAGACGGGTCAAAAGTGGTTAGCCCATCTGGGGATAGACGGGTCAAAAGTGGTTAGCCCATCTGGAGATAGACATGCCAAAAGTGGTTAGCCCATCTGGAGATAGACATGCCAAAAGTGGTTAGCCATGAAATATTTTTCTACTTTGTCTTGCAGAGAAAAAGTCCACAAATGAGGATGGACATTTCATTCCAGAGGTGAATGAATTATTGGCTGAACGCTACCAAGTTGGCTCTCACATCACAAGCAATGGTCAGTCAGCTGTTCTGGTCAGGGCAAAGGTCAGCTCTAAAATTGCTCCTTCTCAGATGTTTAGATATTTCATCTACCATTGTTTTTTAACTTGGGTTGGGGATTAATTATCTATGGAGGTAATGACAACCAGTGGTCCAAGCCAGTGGTCAGTGTGTTTTTCTAAAATGTTCTGCAACATGTTCTGTTTACGAGAACATGGGGAAAATGTTGCCAGAAAAATTGGTTCCATTTCTTACAATGGGAAAATTAGTAAATTACTTCATTATGATTTTAGTAATTTAATGATTTCCATTCTTTTGGGAGTGGGGTGGTTAAGCAGCCTTTAAAAAGTTATTTTTGTATGAGAAATGAAATATTAACATTGCTTCGTAGACTTAAATAAATGTCATTATACTGTTGGTCTGGAATTTTCATAAAAGTCTGATAATGTCTGGAAAAAGTCTGGAATTTCATTTTTGAAAAGTTGTAGCCTACAAACCCTGCACCCCAGGCACTTTTTAAAAAGAGGAAACTCTGAAAGGAAGCTTCTAAATTCAGGAATTTAAAAAAACAAAACAGTTCCTCATAAGAATATGAACTCATTATAAATAAGAATGTAAGAAGTTGTACCTGAGTAGTCTAGAGTACAGAGGTTGTCTGCCCACAGGATCTCTACCACAGCCTGCTGCCTGTCGTGGTTAAAGTCATCCACTGCACCTACTTTGCTGTTGGCCTCAAAGAAATTCAAATGTTAAGGAAATTAAAGAAGGCCGACCCAAGTTGTGTATCTCATACAGTCCAGCTTCTGGTAAGACCTCAACCATTCCTTGGTGTCTGTATCTCATACAGTCCAGGTAAGACCACAACCATTCCTTGGTGTCTGTATCTCATACAGTCCTGGTAAGACCTCAACCATTCCTTGGTGTCTGTATCTCATACAGTCCAGGTAAGACCACAACCATTCCTTGGTGTCTGTATCTCATACAGTCCAGCTTCTGGTAAGACCTCAACCATACCTTGGTGTCTGTATCTCATACAGTCCAGGTAAGACCACAACCATTCCTTGGTGTCTGTATCTCATACAGTCCAGCTTCTGGTAAGACCTCAACCATTCCTTGGTGTCTGTATCTCATACAGTCCAGCTTCTGGTAAGACCTCAACCATTCCTTGGTGTCTGTATCTCATACAGTCCAGCTTCTGGTAAGACCTCAACCATTCCTTGGTGTCTGTATCTCATACAGTCCAGGTAAGACCTCAACCATTCCTTGGTGTCTGTATCTCATACAGTCCAGGTAAGACCTCAACCATTCCTTGGTGTCTGTATCTCATACAGTCCAGCTTCTGGTAAGACCTCAACCATTCCTTGGTGTCTGTATCTCATACAGTCCAGGTAAGACCTCAACCATTCCTTGGTGTCTGTATCTCATACAGTCCAGCTTCTGGTAAGACCTCAACCATTCCTTGGTGTATGTATCTCATACAGTCCTGGTAAGACCTCAACCATTCCTTGGTGTCTGTATCTCATACAGTCCAGGTAAGACCACAACCATTCCTTGGTGTCTGTATCTCATACAGTCCAGCTTCTGGTAAGACCTCAACCATTCCTTGGTGTCTGTATCTCATACAGTCCAGGTAAGACCACAACCATTCCTTGGTGTCTGTATCTCATACAGTCCAGCTTCTGGTAAGACCTCAACCATTCCTTGGTGTCTGTATCTCATACAGTCCAGGTAAGACCTCAACCATTCCTTGGTGTCTGTATCTCATACAGTCCAGGTAAGACCTCAACCATTCCTTGGTGTCTATCTCATACAGTCCAGGTAAGACCTCAACCATTCCTTGGTGTCTGTATCTCATACAGTCCTGGTAAGACCTCAACCATTCCTTCGACCAGTGACAGCTTCACAACTTTATTTTCTATACAGTTGATCTAAACCCCACAACACTCCTGCATTGAGTTCAGTTTTAATTGTAACTAGAATACCCGTCATCCGTTGGATAACTGTGGGCTTCGGGGGTCATCCATCAAAAAACATCACGTCTGTCACTCAGAGGCATAGCGACCCTTCCCGGCGCCCGGGGACAAACTTTTCGATTTGAACCCCCCCCCCCAAGATTTCGATTTTCAACCCCCCCCCCCTCAAACTTTTGATGTGCACCCCCCCCCACTCAAACTTTTCATTTGAACCCCCCTCAACCTTTCAATTTATTTTTCCAAACCATTTTAGCGCCCCAACATATGTCCCCCCCCTTCCCCTCCCCGCCTCCCCTTCCCCCCCCCCCCCGCCTCCCCTCCCCTCCCGCCCCCCCCCCCCTCCTCGCTACGCTACTGCAGTGTCACTTATCGTCACAAAAACAGACCCCACATTCAAAAATATGTTTTTTATCTTTTAAAAACACCGAAAACAACGATTTCGGACTATCCCTTCATATACTGACGTCACAGGTGACCTACTCAACTCTACTTCACCTGCCCAGTGTCCCGCCAAGTCTCAGACAACAAAAACTATTCCAGCCGAGCATGTCTCTGACCACACTATCCCTTAATTTGCTTAGGACAAAGAAACAGATGAACCCTACTTCACCTGCCCTGTGCCCCGCGAGGTCCTGATAGTCAACCTTATCATTCACATATAGGTCTTAAGAAAAAATAATTGAAAACGTAAAAAAAAAAAAAGTTCTATTAATGTTTATGACACTGACTTTAAAATTTAGCCTTCATTCTCCAAAGCAAATTTTAAAATGCTTTTCTGGCATATCTAGCCCTGGCCACCTATACAATGTTTAAATAATGTGAACACCCGCCATTTTGTTCGTGGTAAACATGGCCTAAAAATGATCGGCAGACATGCGTCCGGTCCGTACGCCATATTGTTGTTAGCAGCCGACCACGCCTCCAAGTTAGTGAGTAATCCTACTTTATCTAGATATAGAACGTAGATAACAAAAAAATCCCATGTATTCTCGAATTAGATGATCATTGAAGCTAAACAAAGATTTATATAAAATAATTAAGGCCCGAAATAGATTCTAGATGTAGAATTTACATTAATCTAGATCTAGAATTTACATTGAGTCTAGTGACCTAGATCTAGAATCTAGATCTAGGCCCTAGGCTAGATTCTAGATTCATAACTTTCCTTCGACAGCTGATCTTTAGATCTAGAGAAATTTATTGTAAAACTAAATGAAAAAGACAGTTGAAAATTGATATAAGTGTTGGGACGTAATAAATACAGCAAACGGACGTATTGTTAAAGTTAAAGCCGACAGAAAATTAGCTTTAGAACGCGTTAAACATTGGAATGGGAACACAATCTTCTTCGATAGGCCGCCATTATCGATGTAAAAAAATAAACACATCATGTGACGTCACTGTTTCCGTCGAGTCTAGTGGCTTTTCAAATATTTTTTAAAAAAATGGGTTACTCTGCCTATGAATAAATCAATTAATTAATTAACGTCTTTAAATAAATTTGTGATCAACAGTCTGTCTGCATTAAAAAATTATTCTCTACCTGCATACTATTTTACAGCTTTCCAGATAGAGTCGAACATATCACAATTTTCGATCGGACAAACAAATAAATATTCAAACATGTAAACAAACTTGACTTTTAGTAGTATATAGATGAATTGTATACATAAAACATGACTATCTAACCTGTGACTTGAAATAACACCCATTGAAACATACCTCTTACATTTGATTACAATGTGTTTTTGAATGGTGCAAAAGCTGGGGTCAAAATATGTTTCTATTCCGTTAGGGTTATAGCATCAAGGCTATCACTAGCTGGTTGGGTTAGGGTTATAGCATCAAGGCTATCACTAGCTGGTTGGGTTAGGGTTATAGCATCAAGGCTATCACTAGCTGGTTGGGTTAGGGTTATAGCATCAAGGCTATCACTAGCTGGTTTTTTTTTTTTTTGTGTCTTTTTTTTGTTAGCGATGAGAGGGAGTGAGCATCCTAGGTGTCTTAGTAAATCCTGTTTTTCTAGCTTGTTTTTGTCAGATTCTGTTTGTGTGTTTTTCATATTCAGCTCAGTTCTCCTAGTGCTGTCACTCAATAATAAAACAAGTAAACAATTTAAACAAGGTTATTTTGAGTTGAAAAAAACTTAAAACTCATGTTGGGAACTATTCCCTTCTTAATTAAACCTGACATTTCAAGTTGTAAAATATTTGAAAATACTATAGTGCTATATTTCGTCCATAAATGACATTAAGCCTTTGCAACCACAAATGTTTTTAGGAGAAAATGTGCCAATTATTAAAAAGCTTGCTACTGAAAGTTTTATAATTTATTCCTAGAATTCTTTCCTCCACCAAGGCCACATATGTATGGTGTTTCCCAGCTACGACAGCCGCTCAATCGCTCAAATCTTTTCACAAAAATACAGCAACAACCAGCCAGTAAGTCGTCCATTTCATATATCTAGTCTATGTTTGCTATATAAGGATGATTGTGTCTAAATGACTGGCTGATACCATCATGATTGTGTCTAAATGACTGGCTGATACCATCATGATTGTGTATAAATGACTGGCTGATACCATCATGATTGTGTCTAAATGACTGGCTGATACCATCATGATTGTGTATAAATGACTGGCTGATACCATCATGATTGTGTCTAAATGATACCATCATGATTGTGTCTAAATGACTGGCTGATACCATCATGATTGTGTCTAAATGCTTGCATGTTTCTACTTGACTAGTTGCTGCCAGCTATAAGAAGAGTCACAAGGCACCTACTATCTGCACTGGCCTTTCTAAAAACACAAAACATAATCCACGCTGATATCAAACCAGAGAACATTCTCTTACAAGGTAGGCTGGCCTCATATGTTAGGCTGGGCTCATATGTTAGGCTTATATGGTAGGCTGGGCTCATATGTTAGGCTCATATGGTAGGCTGGGCTCATATGTTAGGCTCATATGGTAGGCTGGGCTCATATGGTAGGCTGGGGTAAAATAGTTGTCACATTTAATGGTGAGACATCCTGGTTAACTTTGTTAAAGGTGAGGACTTAGACACAGTGACAATTCTAGACTTTGGAAACTCTCTGCATCACACACACTGTGAGCTGTCCCTCTACTATGACGACTTCGAGTTGCAGACATTGTCATACAGGGCTCCTGAGGTGAGTCTCTAGCCTACATATGCCATACAGGGCTCCTGAGGTCTCTAGCCTACATATGCCATACAGGGCTCCTGAGGTCTCTAGCCTACATATGCCATACAGGGCTCCTGAGGTCTCTAGCCTACATATGCCATACAGGGCTCCTGAGGTCTCTAGCCTACATATGCCATACAGGGCTCCTGAGGTCTCTAGCCTACATATGCCATACAGGGCTCCTGAGGTGAGTCTCTAGCCTACATATGCCATACAGGGCTCCTGAGGTGAGTCTCTAGCCTACATATGCCATACAGGGCTCCTGAGGTCTCTAGCCTACATATGCCATACAGGGCTCCTGAGGTCTCTAGCCTACATATGCCATACAGGGCTCCTGAGGTGAGTCTCTAGCCTACATATGCCATACAGGGCTCCTGAGGTGAGTCTCTAGCCTACATATGCCATACAGGGCTCCTGAGGTCTCTAGCCTACATATGCCATACAGGGCTCCTGAGGTGAGTCTCTAGCCTACATATGCCATACAGGGCTCCTGAGGTCTCTAGCCTACATATGCCATACAGGGCTCCTGAGGTCTCTAGCCTACATATGCCATACAGGGCTCCTGAGGTCTCTAGCCTACATATGCCATACAGGGCTCCTGAGGTCTCTAGCCTACATATGCCATACAGGGCTCCTGAGGTCTCTAGCCTACATATGCCATACAGGGCTCCTGAGGTGAGTCTCTAGCCTACATATGCCATACAGGGCTCCTGAGGTGAGTCTCTAGCCTACATATGCCATACAGGGCTCCTGAGGTCTCTAGCCTACATATGCCATACAGGGCTCCTGAGGTGAGTCTCTAGCCTACATATGCCATACAGGGCTCCTGAGGTGAGTCTCTAGCCTACATATGCCATACAGGGCTCCTGAGGTCTCTAGCCTACATATGCCATACAGGGCTCCTGAGGTGAGTCTCTAGCCTACATATGCCATACAGGGCTCCTGAGGTGAGTCTCTAGCCTACATATGCCATACAGGGCTCCTGAGGTCTCTAGCCTACATATGCCATACAGGGCTCCTAAGGTCTCTAGCCTACATATGCCATACAGGTTTGTAAACACGTTAACTTGAGTACCGTTAGAGCTAGGTTGATGAAATTTCATATACAAGTAAAAAACACATCTGAATTTATAAAGTACTAATAATATTTCACACCATTATACACATTTTGCTTGGTGTTCGCTTTGTGCGCAATTCTTTTTTCTAAGAGATTTTATTCTATTTTAAAAAGTTTCCGTATATTCGAGAAAGTTTAGGGGAGATCACTCCCGGTTTATTTGTTATTTGGCATGACTTTTAGTAGTGGTCAGTTTTTAGAGTAAGTTTTACCACTTCACTTGTTCATAGTAGAATGTATTTTAACCTTATCTAGTGATTTTAAAATGTATAGTATAGTGAAACCTTATCTAGTGATTTTAAAGTTTATAGTATAGTGACACCTTATCTAGTGATTTTAAAGTTTATAGTATTGTGACACCTTATCTAGTGATTTTAAAGTTTATAGTATTGTGATGTCTTATCTAGTGATTTTAAAATGTATAGTGTAGTGACACATTATCTAGTGAGAACATGAGATAAATTGAATGCCCTTGACCCTGCAGGTACTCCTTGGCAGCCATTTTGGTGTTGAAATAGACATGTGGTCTCTTGGATGTGTTTTATTGGAACTCTACACTGGTCATGTCATGTTCACTGGAACCCACAGGGCAAGCTTGTTGAAACAGGTCAGTCGACTGTTTGTCTTGGTTTTTTTAAACCAGTCAACAATGAAACTATAGTCGACTGTTTGTCTTGGTTTTTTTAAACCAGTCAACAATGAAACTATAGTCGACTGTTTGTCTTGGTTTTTTTAAACCAGTCAACAATGAAACTATAGTCGACTGTTTGTCTTGGTTTTTTTAAACCAGTCAACAATGAAACTATAGTCGACTGTTTGTCTTGGTTTTTTTAAACCAGTCAACAATGAAACTATAGTCGACTGTTTGTCTTGGTTTTTTTAAACCAGTCAACAATGAAACTAATGTCGACTGTTTGTCTTGGTTTTTTTTTTAAACCAGTCAACAATGAAACTAATGTCGACTGTTTGTCTTGGTTTTTTTTTTAAACCAGTCAACAATGAAACTATAGTCGACTGTTTGTCTTGGTTTTTTTAAACCAGTCAACAATGAAACTATAGTCGACTGTTTGTCTTGGTGTTTAAACCAGTCAACAATGAAACTATAGTCGACTGTTTGTCTTGGTGTTATACCAGTCAACAATGAAACTATAGTCGACTGTTTGTCTTGGTTTTTTTTTAAACCAGTCAACAATGAAACTATAGTCGACTGTTTGTCTTGGTTTTTTTTTAAACCAGTCAACAATGAAACTATAGTCGACTGTTTGTCTTGGTTTTTTTAAACCAGTCAACAATGAAACTATAGTCGACTGTTTGTCTTGGTTTTTTTAAACCAGTCAACAATGAAACTATAGTCGACTGTTTGTCTTGGTTTTTTTAAACCAGTCAACAATGAAACTAATGTCGACTGTTTGTCTTGGTTTTTTTTTTAAACCAGTCAACAATGAAACTAATGTCGACTGTTTGTCTTGGTTTTTTTTTTAAACCAGTCAACAATGAAACTATAGTCGACTGTTTGTCTTGGTTTTTTTAAACCAGTCAACAATGAAACTATAGTCGACTGTTTGTCTTGGTGTTTAAACCAGTCAACAATGAAACTATAGTCGACTGTTTGTCTTGGTGTTATACCAGTCAACAATGAAACTATAGTCGACTGTTTGTCTTGGTTTTTTTTTAAACCAGTCAACAATGAAACTATAGTCGACTGTTTGTCTTGGTTTTTTTTTAAACCAGTCAACAATGAAACTATAGTCGACTGTTTGTCTTGGTTTTTTTTTAAACCAGTCAACAATGAAACTATAGTCGACTGTCTTGGTCAGAGTTTCTTCCAGGCATCTCTTCGGGGGGGGGGGGGGGGGGGGGGCTTTGCCTTCTTAGCAGCTGTAAAAAAAAATAGATTAAAAAAAGCTTTAAAAAAAAAGTTAAGAATTATAAAAACTTTTTTATATAGAGAACTTGAAAATGTTTTTTTTTTTTTGTTTTTAAGGCTACATTTCTATTTATTTTTATCAAGCCTAAAGTAGAACCTGAAGTTTCACTATTGTCAGACAAGTTTTGATTGGATGTACAGAAACTCTTCTGAAAACACCTTTTTCTAGCCCTTTATAATCAAAACTTTGCAGATAAAATTTTTTAATAAAACTATACTTTTTAAAACCAGATGACCTAGTTATGCCATGTTTATATACAATGTCAGTCACTAAATGAAATAAACCGGGAGTGATCTCCCCTAAACTTTCTCGAATATTCTTATATAAAATAACAGGGGATGGAAACTCGGGCTATAGACATGATTTTTAATCCATTTTAAATACTTAAAGTTTTAAAAATAGAATAAAATCTCGTAGACAAATTAATTGCACACCAAGTGAACGCAAATAAAAAAAGCGCATAATAGTGCGCAATATTATTAGTACTTTTAAAATTTACATTAGTTTTTTGAGAAATCGGAAGTAGCTTAAATTACTACTTCCAGTCAACGGAAATTACTCAAAATTTAACAGAAGGTAGAGAATTAGATCTTTTACTTACATGTGAAATTTCATTTATCTATCTGAAATAGTACTCAAGTTATAGGCTTTTAAAACATTCAAAGTAGGAAAAGTACCACTTCCGGTTATCGGAAATCGCTCAAAAGTTGATACGGATCTACGATTTTGATAAAATACTTATATATGAAATTTCATCAACCTAGCTGTAACGGTACTCAAGTTATCGTGTTTACACACGGACAGACACACACACAGACAGACACACACACACACAGACATACGGACAAGATTGCAAAATTATGTTTTTCCGTATCAGTGAGGTGTAAAACGTCGAGATTTGTAAAAATCTCGATTGTTTTTTTTTGCACGATTACAATACTTTCTCTATACTACGTATATACGAGAAAGTAAAAACCAAATTGTTTTGGCTTTTTTTTTTAAATTAGTTTAGTTGCTGAAAATACTAAAACATTCAAGTCTTAACAAAAACCAAACTGTCAGGTTTTTATAACCATATTTATTTTAATAACATCATATGTGATTTCAACTAATTTTGAGACTATTCCTGTTAGTGTCCATTGATGCTAGATCTATCTTTGACATTTGGATGTTGACTTGTTCTAATAGGGCTGGAAAGTAGGTCACCAACCAGTTCTACAGCTCAATAAAACCTGCATGAGCCATAGAACTGGTTGGTGACCCACTTACCAGCCCTATTGACACTAGATCTGTATGTATATCTGTACTTGACATTTGGATGTTGACTTGTTTTCTGGGGCCAGATGATGACACTTCTCGGACCACTTCCAAGAGATATGATTTTTAGCGGCAAATTTTCATCCCAAGTGCCAAGTTTTTTTGCCTGTGTAAAACCTGGTTAGTTTTTTGCTTGAAGCAGACCTTTCTCATTTTTCTTTGTTGACTCAGGGTTGATAGGACACCCCTAAAGTATTTAGGTTCACTCATTTGCTTTTGTATATAAAATATTCCGTATGTTTAGTATGAATGTCAAATTAATAAAATGAACAAGTGTCCAAAGAACCTGTAGTGGTCCATACACATTTATGGGTTCCTCAGATGAATTTAAGAGACAATCTATGTGCTCTTTGACATGTAATCAGACATGACTTTTATTGGCACAATATTTGTATCCTGCAAATTGTGTTTTGTGTATGTTCATTTGAATCATCTAAAAAAAGGCCATAGAATGTACAAGCTAAAAAGGCCTGTATAATTATAGATTGTGTTTTATTTCAGGCCCCTTTGGTCTGATGTCATCTTTACCAAATCTAAGGGACTACAGCTTTGCCAGCTTCCTCTCTGGGTTGCTGACATACCAGCCAGGTTAGAACAGTTTCTTCTTTCTCATTCACAGGATCAGTGTTTCTTCCAGACTTTTTCTCCGGGGGGTGGGGGGGGGGGGGGGCGTAATTTCGTTCGGGGGGGGGGCCTGGAAGAAACTCTGCACAGGATCATTTTTTGTTGCAATCAACATCTTAACCCCATCTTACAGTGTGTTCTAGTGCTTTTATGTGTTCTAGTTCTGTCACAATGTGTGCCCTAGTAGTGTCATGTGTTCTAGTTCTGTCACAACGTGTGCCCTAGTAGTGTCATGTGTTCTAGTTCTGTCACAACGTGTGCCCTAGTAGTGTCATGTGTTCTAGTTCTGTCACAACGTGTGCCCTAGTAGTGTCATGTGTTCTAGTTCTGTCACAACGTGTGCCCTAGTAGTGTCATGTGTTCTAGTGCTGTCACAACGTGTGCCCTAGTAGTGTCATGTGTTCTAGTGCTGTCACAATGTGTGCCCTAGTAGTGTCATGTGTTCTAGTTCTGTCACAATGTGTGCCCTAGTAGTGTCATGTGTTCTAGTTCTGTCACAATGTGTGCCCTAGTAGTGTCATGTGTTCTAGTTCTGTCACAATGTGTGCCCTAGTAGTGTCATGTGTTCTAGTTCTGTCACAACGTGTGCCCTAGTAGTGTCATGTGTTCTAGTTCTGTCACAATGTGTGCCCTAGTAGTGTCATGTGTTCTAGTTCTGTCACAATGTGTGTCCTAGTAGTGTCATGTGTTCTAGTTCTGTCACAATGTGTGCCCTAGTAGTGTCATGTGTTCTAGTTCTGTCACAATGTGTGCCCTAGTAGTGTCATGTGTTCTAGTTCTGTCACAATGTGTGTCCTAGTAGTGTCATGTGTTCTAGTTCTGTCACAACGTGTGCACTAGTGCTGTCATGTGTCCTAGTGCTTTTATGTGTTCTAGTTCTGTCACAACGTGTGCCCTAGTAGTGTCATGTGTTCTAGTTCTGTCACAACGTGTGCCCTAGTAGTGTCATGTGTTCTAGTGCTGTCACAACGTGTGTCCTAGTAGTGTCATGTGTCCTAGTGCTTTTATGTGTTCTAGTTCTGTCACAATGTGTGTCCTAGTAGTGTCATGTGTTCTAGTTCTGTCACAACGTGTGCCCTAGTAGTGTCATGTGTTCTAGTTCTGTCACAATGTGTGCCCTAGTAGTGTCATGTGTTCTAGTTCTGTCACAATGTGTGCCCTAGTAGTGTCATGTGTTCTAGTTCTGTCACAATGTGTGTCCTAGTAGTGTCATGTGTTCTAGTTCTGTCACAACGTGTGCCCTAGTAGTGTCATGTGTTCTAGTTCTGTCACAATGTGTGCCCTAGTAGTGTCATGTGTTCTAGTTCTGTCACAATGTGTGTCCTAGTAGTGTCATGTGTTCTAGTTCTGTCACAACGTGTGCACTAGTGCTGTCATGTGTCCTAGTGCTTTTATGTGTTCTAGTTCTGTCACAACGTGTGCCCTAGTAGTGTCATGTGTTCTAGTTCTGTCACAACGTGTGCCCTAGTAGTGTCATGTGTTCTAGTTCTGTCACAACGTGTGCCCTAGTAGTGTCATGTGTTCTAGTTCTGTCACAACGTGTGCCCTAGTAGTGTCATGTGTTCTAGTTCTGTCACAACGTGTGCCCTAGTAGTGTCATGTGTTCTAGTTCTGTCACAACGTGTGCCCTAGTAGTGTCATGTGTTCTAGTTCTGTCACAATGTGTGTCCTAGTGCTGTCATGTGGTGCGTCCTAGTGCTGTCATGTGTCCTAGTGCTGTCATGTGTCCTAGTGCTGTCATGTGTCCTAGTGCTGTCATGTGTCCTAGTGCTGTCATGTGTCCTAGTGCTGTCATGTGTCCTAGTGCTGTCATGTGTCCTAGTGCTGTCACGTGTGTCCTAATTTTGTCTGTAAATGATCAAACTGTTTGAAACTTTTTCAGATGAAAGATTGACTCCATGGCAAGCATTACAGCATCCATTTATGGCTCAAGAGATTTGCATTGAGTTTTTTCTTGGAGGTTTTTTTTTTTAACTGATGTTTGTGTGTCTCACTACTGATGTGTGTGTGTCTCACTACTAATGTTTGTGTGTCTCACTACTAATGTTTGTGTGTCTCACTACTAATGTTTGTGTGTCTCACTACTGGTGTTTGTGTGTCTCACTACTGGTGTTTGTGTCTCACTACTGGTGTTTGTGTGTCTCACTACTGATGTGTGTGTCTCACTACTAATGTTTGTGTCTCACTACTGATGTGTGTCTCACTACTGATGTTTGTGTGTCTCACTACTGATGTGTGTGTGTCTCACTAATGGTGTTTTTGTGTCTCACTACTGGTGTTTGTGTGTCTCACTAATGGTGTGTGTCTCACTACTGGTGTTTGTGTGTCTCACTACTGATGTGTGTGTGTCTCACTAATGGTGTTTGTGTGTCTCACTAATGGTGTGTGTGTCTCACTACTGATGTTTGTGTGTCTCACTACTGATGTTTGTGTGTCTCACTAATGGTGTTTTTGTGTCTCACTAATGGTGTTTGTGTTTCTCACTAATGGTGTTTGTGTGTCTCACTACTGATGTTTGTGTGTCTCACTAATGGTGTTTTTGTGTCTCACTAATGGTGTTTTTGTGTCTCACTAATGGTGTTTGTGTTTCTCACTAATGGTGTTTGTCTTATTTGGTGAACATGAAGTGTTTGTTTATTCTTAGAGACTCCTGGCCATGGGTGTGTAATGAGTTTTGACTACAAGCACAAGCAAGACACCAGGACAATGTGCCCTTCTAGCACTAGGACAATGTGCCCCTATGTGCCCTCTAGCACCAGGAGAATGTGCCCCTCTACATTTGATCTACTGCGCTGTGGCACATCAGCAATGCCGCACATGTCTAATGTGGCCTATGTGGAGCCCCTCAACTCTGTGGCTAGGGAGGGACCAGTTTTGCTGGGTCAAGGGCATCCATCAAATGCTGTATGGCCGGGTGATAGCCCAGCTCATGGGCTGGTCAACGTGATGCAGTCAACATGCATCCAGTCGGAGAAAAAAGATACTCAAGTGAAATACGAACAGGAAACATTCCACCAACACGCCACATCTGACCAAATGGCCACATCTGACCAAATGGCCACATCTGACCAATTCCATTACAAAACAAGTGTTGGCTCTTTCAAGAAACATTCATTTCAAGTTGAGTCAAGAGACAAGGGCAGAGATGTCACCTTGACTCTACAAGACGAAGATTTAACAACAGTTAGTCCAAAAATAGCAGCCCCCCCTAGACTGGGGGTGTCCAGCTCTCCAAAGATGGAGGTAAGCGACAGGCCCACTGTGGACACTGGTCAGACCAGCAGCTGCAAGCCATGGTCCTTTACATCTGAGCCACAATCTTTTAATGACTTGCTTGCAATTAGGGACAAGAAAAAACATTTGGACACCTCGTACTCTGCTGGTAGTGGATCATACAACACCTCGTACCCTGCTGGTAGTGGATCGTACAACACCTCGTACCCTGCTGGTAGTGGATCATACAACACCTCGTACCCTGCTGGTAGTGGATCATACAACACCTCGTACCCTGCTGGTAGTGGATCGTACAACACCTCGTACCCTGCTGGTAGTGGATCATACAACACCTCGTACCCCGTAGAAGATCAATTTGCGTTTGTGGTTTCCCTACCTCAGCAGATTCAAGTTAAAAAAAAGCGTGCTTTTCCTCATGATACACTACTTGAAGCCAAAAAAATGAAGATCCCTCAGCAACACAAGAGGCAACCTTTTAGCCAACTAGAGCAGCTGGTGCCTGCCAAATCTACACAGTTAGGATTAAATTCCCAGAAAACTGCTGTGTTCCCCCAAAGAGTAAAAAACTGGAGCGCCCAGATGAAAAGTGCTGGAGGATCAGCAAGGTCTCACACTGCAACTGTAAGTTTAACTTGTGCATACTTTAGTATTTCCACAGCAACCCTTCGTCATGAATCTAAATGAATTTTTTTTTAAATATCTATATTTTTTAGGCAATTTAATATTCTCATTCACCTCTCTATAGTCATCTGATACATTCAAAGAATTCTCTCCAGTAAATTGACCCCAGGAGTCAGACCATGCTGAACTATTGTGGCTAAACTAACCTGTCTTTTAATTACAGAAACTTACAAACAGCCACAATGGCATAGAGCAACCTTTAGACAACAGCAGTGGCATAGAGCAACCTTTAGACAACAGCAGTGGCAAAGAGCAACCTTTAGACAACAGCAGTGGCAAAGAGCAACCCTTAGACAACAGCAGTGGCAAAGAGCAACCTTTAGACAACAGCAGTGGCAAAGAGCAACCTTTAGACAACAGCAGTGGCAAAGAGCAACCCTTAGACAACAGCAGTGGCAAAGAGCAACCTTTAGACAACAGCAGTGGCAAAGAGCAACCCTTAGACAACAGCAGTGGCAAAGAGCAACCCTTAGACAATAGCAGTGGCAAAGAGCAACCCTTAGACAACAGCAGTGGCAAAGAGCAACCCTTAGACAACAGCAGTGGCAAAGAGCAACCTCTAGCCCACACAGTTGGGCAGAAACACACAAATGAGGTGCTTACAATTAGGTCACTGTTGGATGATTTTATTTAACAGCAATATGATTATAGTTTATATCGCCAATGTGTACAGTATGTCAGTTCTAGTGGTTGCTATAATATACGCATGCGGGCAGGTAGTATTATAGAGCATATGTAAAATTACTTCTGATTTACCTATTCCCCTTTGGGCAATGTTTCTGCTATGGTGATTTTAAGAAATCATAATATAATCAGTTATAGTTATACATGTATGCACAATTCCTTACATGTACTTTGTAATATATGCACTAACTCATACATGTTATTGAATGAGTAGAGTAGAAGTATTATGTGAACTCTAGATATGTTTTATGAACGTCAGACATTAGTTGTTGAGTGTCCTTGTAAAGGTCCATGTTAGTCCTACTGCTGTCGTGTTTAGCATCCTAATATTAACTTGAAACTTATTTTTCAGCTGGAAATTCTTTTGTTGCCGTAGAGAAACAGAAGCTTCAGATCCAAGACTGCAAGTTATTAGTCGACATGGCCTATTCCAACTACTTTGAATTGTCCTCGACCCAGATGTGATTTACAATGTAATAATGTCAGCTGATTCATGTCACATGATAATTAGTGTTTGTTGTCAGTAATTTTATTACAAAAATTGAAAATATTGTAAAAGTTGTAATTGTAAATAAAAATAGCAACCCTAAGAGTATTAGTGTGTAGAATTTGCCAAACATGAAGCCCTCAGCCAGGTATAGATTGAGCTTTGACCCCAGTGAAGGTTCACTTTACAAGGGATTAAAAAAAAAAAATATTCATCTAGAGGACTCAAAAAATGAAAATGTGCTTTTCAGACGTAGGTCAAACAGATGTACTGACATTTGTGTAATATTGCACACCTGTCATTTAGCTCGGGGGGGGGGGGGGGTACATATGTTCCTAGGCGTCCCCTTAGGGGGTGCCAAAATGGGCTAAAAAAAGCAACTAAAAGCTCATTTTAACTGCAGTTTTGCATTATAAATATAAAAAAATATATGGGGGCAGTGCCAAATTGAACATTTGGCGCCAGGAAGGGTTGTTAACACCTCTGCTTTAGCTAACCATAAAATTATTACAACTCTGACTAATTTACTGGCTGTATTTTCCAATTTTCAAGTAGATCCATAATTTATTGTAAAACTGTTCACTTGTGGCATTGGTGTTCATTTATTATTTTAGTAGGCCTGGCACCTGCCTTTATGTGGACCAAAATAACTGTTACTGACTTTTTGAGTAAAAAAAAAGTTAATTATGATTATCATAAAAACTACCTGCATACAAAACCCTGCTGTGACCAACCACCTATGCCAAGAGAAATGTGAGTGTAATATTTTTTTGTTTGGTTAGATAAGTATATCTAAGTTCATGGTTCACGCAGGTAACAAAGATGTCATTCAACTTTATTTTCATAGAAAACACATACAGCAAAGAAAAGTGGGTAATCAAGTTGTCATCTCTGTGGTTTACGTTTAGCAAGAATGTTGAGAAATTTGCCTCTGGTCATCTCTCTTGCTGGAAAATTAAACAATTAAAAAAACCTGTCAGATTGATTACACGATCAGTAACTAAGACAAACCACCAGTCACTAATTATGTCTACTCAAGGTGGCAACACTGGTCACTAATGTCTACTCAAGGTCGCACCACGGGTCACTTATGTCTATTATAGATCCTAATACCTTCCTCTAAGCCTAGTTGGTAGGCCAAGTTTTGCAAGCCCCTGACTTTCTCCATCAGTTGAGATAAGGTCAAGCTACCAAATTCTGAAACGAGAGGGGGGGGGGGGGGGGGGGGGGTTACATATTCCTATTCTGTTCTTGATTGCTGACAGTTTTTTTTTTGACCTAGCAGAAAGAAATGATTATAGCTTAGCTAGTCTACAGCTAGGCTGCAATGAGAGTTTACCTTGCAGTAAATTGATATCATCTTTTTCTAAATCAGCCAGCCAACGTGGGGTACCTGCACTCTTGCACTGGAAAAATAAACTGGCTTTCTACAATCTATTAAAACACTTAACTTTGACTAAGACAAGAGGGCAAGACTGTATGCCTACACATTGACATTGTCAGTACAACCTTCTAGCTGAATTACTGACACCTGACTGGCATGACATGCTTGAGAAGGTCAGAGAAATCATCTTCAAACTTACATTTTTCCCAACTTCATATTCTGTTACACCAGGAACTAAAAATAGAAAATAGCATTAAGGTAGCATGACAAGTTAACATGAATGCTGTTAATCTATTTCCCTAAAATCTTGCTCAAATAACATGGCACTGAAAGCTAACATCTTTCTTTCTTTAATCAACTGTTACTGAATCTTACAGTCACCAAAGTTAAAGTATATACTGATAACAACCGTTAACTTCCTACTTTTTTCTGGCCACAAATCTGGTGACAATCTGTCCAGCTTTTCTAGACTCACTAGCTTATCATCTTCTGAAACAAAATCATTTAAAACACATCAACAATAAAATAATGTCTGAAAGCAGTGGAACTTATGCTGGAGATACTTACAGACACCAGAACAACACAAACAAAAAGACTGCCAGTCATGCTCAACTCTATCATCTCAGACTGCCAGTCATCCTCAACTCTATCATCTCAGACTGCCAGTCATCCTCAACTCTATCATCTCAGACTGCCAGTCATGCTCAACTCTATCATCTCAGACTGCCAGTCATGCTCAACTCTATCATCTCAGACTGCCAGTCAAGCTCAACTCTATCATCTCAGACTGCCAGTCATGCTCAACTCTATCATCTCAGACTGCCAGTCATGCTCAACTCTATCATCTCAGACTGCCAGTCATGCTCAACTACATCATTCTTCCTTAAGCCTGGCTTCATCTGTGAGTCTTCTAAGACATTTTAATCAAGAAAAACTGGAAAAAAGTTTCCACCAAACTTACTGAACATAATGTAGCCATTATGTAATATGTAGCCAATCAGTCACACTCTAAACAGATTTTAAGAGTCAGTCACTTATTGACAACATTATTTGGGGGTTAAAATAACTTAAGACAGGCTAATACGCAAGTGCTTTACACTGATACAGGAAGGCAAAATAAGCAACATGCTTATTTCTGTCAATAGCCGGCTATATTTAGCTTCTAGTTATTGGCATATATATTTTAAGAACTATTTAATATTTTGTTATCGTTTACCCAGTGTTTCTAACACAACATGACAGAATAGATATTAAGTAAACATTTTGAGTTCGAAGGCTGTCTTAACTGTGTTGGGTTTTTTTTAAATTAGTGCAAATGACATTAATTTTTTAACACATTATATTTTGGGCTAGGGATAGTCAAAGAAAAGATTATTAAGAATGATCTTTCAGAACAAATATTAAGAAATTTAACTGAATTAAAATTAATGAAATAAGTATCTTTTGATGTCTAGATCCTTCCCGGCGCCCGGGGACAAACTTTTCGATTTGCACCCCCCCCCCTTTGAGATTTCGATTTGCACCCCCCCCCTCAAACTTTCGATTTGCACCCACCCACCCCTCGAGATTTCGATTTGCACCCCCCCCCCCCAAAAACTTTCGATTTGCCCCCCCCCCCCCCCCCCTCGAGATTTCGATTTGCACCCCCCACTCAAACTTTCGATTTACACCATCTCAACCTTTCAATTTATTTTTCCAACCCATTTTGGCGCCCTTTAAGGTCGGCGCCCGGGGACATATGTACCCCCCCTCTCCCCCCCCCCCCCCTTCGCTACGCTACTGCTTTTGACAAATATGTAATTCATATCAAATCATTTAAGAAAATTCATATCAAATCATTTAAGAAAATTCAATCACGTGCCAAATAATTAGGAAAATAAAGTTGTTTAAATTGTTTGTTGATGACTAATTTTAATATAAAAGCATGGGCGTAGCGAGAGGGGGAATGGTGCGGACCGCACCGGGTCACACCATTTAGGGTGGGGGGGGGGGGGGGGGGGTGACACCAAGGCAAAAAAATAGCAAAACATATACAAAAATGATAGTTCCACTTTAAAAAGTGGTTAATTAGAGTGTTAAATAGTCTTTTAAGAGCAAATTTGATAAATTCCGACAAGGGAGGAGAGGGGGGGGGGGGGTTGTGACACCATGACGTAAACCTGCTAATGATAGAGAAAACATGCTACATCAACACTTTTAACTTTCTTTAAAAAAAATAATAATAAATCACTCTGTCTAATGCCCTTTGATATAGATCCTAAGGGCCTCCCCCCCCCCCCCCCCTCATCGCCCTCTTCCCACCCCTCTGCACGCAACTGAATGTTAATTTTGTTATACCAAGACAAGTAGGGCTACATATACGACATCTACAACAAGAAAGTCAGGACTAGCGTTCATCAGGTCACTGACTGTCTACTACAGACATCCCGTCTGCTCACTAAAAGGACGTCTTCATCGGTCCGCATACAATAGAGTATCTTTTTACCTGTTTCCCAAATTTACATCCCATGTCAGGTCGGGGGCTGATTCGCATCCAACAATCTCCAGTCAGCTCAGGTCAAATGCCAGGCGACCGTACCCTACACAAAGGGGAGGTGTGACACTGTTTTTGTATCGAATTACGGCCTTTCCCAGTTCAGGTGGGTGATAACTCACTAACATCAAGTCTCAGTTATAGCAATCAACAACGTCGGCATTCGACCATTTAGTTTTTCCCCATTGAATTCAGCAACATTTTTATTCTACAAACTAATTAAGATAACAATGACAGTGCTAAAGCGCGTGGCCCCTTCAGGCGCGGGGCCTAGGGTGGCCGCCCCGTTTGCCACCCCCTAACGCCGGCTCTGATCCTGGAACAGATGAGAGAGGATTTAAGTATGTTGTGTATTTTCTTCTATTGTTTTATTGTTTGCCAAATTAAGCACTAATGCTGCATTTTAAACTTTGGTCTGAGTGCAGGTGTAGCAGTCTAGAGTCGAGTAGCTGTCAAGATGGTTTCAAATGGCATTGATAATTAAATTTTTAACACATTATAGCTAAATTAGGGCTAGGTGTTATGGGTTAATCTAAGAAAATAATAATGATTATTATCTGAGCAAAGATTAAGAATTTAAACTGAATTAATGAAATAATCATCGTCAGAAGACCTATAGCACTTTCATATTTAGGTGGTTTTGCTTTTTACCTCAGACATTTTTTGGTATGGTAGAGGAAATAAGCAACCCACTTTTATCCTCTAACCTGTAAGAGAATATGAGCATAAAGTTATTTCTTGAAAGCATTTTCTAGTGGATATAAGTGTGTTGCTTAATTATTTTATCTACATTGATGGAAATAAGCACTACTATTTCTTTCAGGCATCTCTTGGTATATCAAACCGCTAACCAGTAGCCTATTACTATCAGTGCACTTAAATTACATGGTTTAGTATTAAAATTAGAGTATTGAATAATGAATTATTAATAATAAATTAAATAATTAAATAATATTAGGTCTAATCATTATTACTTGTTATTTTAATAATTTTATTAAAATACTTTTTATTAATAATATTAGGTAGTCCAAACTGAAATTAACTATTGATAGCAGACTTCTGTATTGAGTTTCTCCTAATAGAACTTTTTATTCTAAGCTCTAAAGAGGCTAATTTCATGAAAATATCTTAACAAATAAAAAAATATGCTATTTTCAAAAAAGCAAAAATTGATTAAAAAACTTATTTCAAAAAATGCAATTTTTGAAAACCAATACTTTTAAAAATAAAAAACACAGAAGTGCAGTAATTGGTAAAGTTTCTTTCTTCTAAAAATAATCTTTCTAAAGTTTAAAAAAAAAAAGAATTAAAAATTACACCTACAACACTGCATTTGGGTAATTTTTAAGATTTTAATTTTGAGATTTTAAAATGTAACATACAACTTGATTGAAGAATCTAGCATTGGTCATCAACCCTTAAAACTGTACTGCAAGTTTCTCACTCTGACCTGAAAGTCAATTTGAGGGTTGTTTGTTTCTTAAGTGAACGGCTTTGCTGCCAAAAATGCCAACTACTTGAATTGACAACACAAAGTAGTCAAGAAAATTAACTTTTCATTAGTGTGACAATTGAAACTAAATTCATGTGCTTTCATGTACCTTCATTTAAAATTTGAAACTGATTTTAAAATTGGCTCTTTAAGATTATGATTATGATTCTATACTGCTTTACCACAACATGTGTTACTGAAATAAAAATCTCATAATTTGACAGATTAAGACTTAAACTTTATTCATATATAAATTTTATATAAATTTTATTCAAGTTGTAATACTAAAAGTAGTTTTAAAAATTTTTTTTAACTACAACAAAAATAATCACCCTAAAATGTATATTTTTTTGCGAGTTTGGACTACCTAATATTATTAGAAAAAATATTAGGCCTAGAGATAGGCTATTTAGTATTAGACTGCTTAATAGATAGATCTTACGTCTAGATAGATATCTATTTTAGTTTTTTTTAAAGTAAAATCATAAAATCAATTGAAACAAGAAGCAGTTGTTTATATTGGTCATGGTGGTCAACACAATATACATACGAATAGACTTAATAGACATTTTTATCAAGAGAAACTATCAATCTAAGCCTACTCAAAATTTTATTTGGAAAGATGGCCGCTGTTTTTATCTACTAATATTTATCTCAAACACCTTGTTTAAAGTTAGTTTCATGATATTTTAAATTGTTTTGATCACTGATTGTTATTTTAAATCAATTAGGCCTATCTGTTATATTTTGTAAAATTTGACTTAAACATAGATCAAGGCCTACTTTAAGTACTTAACTGGTAATCTATCGTTTTAGGTACGTAAAATTGCCTGCGGCTAGTAATGTCCGAAAAAGTTACCTCATTGTCAAGGCTTTAATAGAAGTATATTGTGATATATTTGTGTCAAATATTATAGATAAATGAATAATAAACCTAAATCAATGGCTAAATATATCAATAGGCATAGGCCTATAGGCAAGAAATTAACTTTAAACAGCAGTGTTTGCAAGCAGGATTTGCTATATAAAAAGCGGCCATCTGTAAGTAGCTTCCCCTGAATCTTGCGCTATAAGTTTACAATATAAAAAATAAACAAGATGGCTGCTATAATAAATGAGAATGCATGGTTGCATCTGTTGGAAACATCGCTAGTCTTCATTTATTACTGAAGAGTTTTAATTCAATTGTTTAAAAACAGGTAGATCTAGATCTACATAAAAGAAACAAGGAAACATTTTTGTATTTTTCAAAACATAAATCCTCCTCAAAATGTGAAATAATTTTTAAAATTTAAGGAGTCACCTGTTTTTCACATTACTAGTCGCGAGCGATTTTACCTACCCAAAATTGATAGATTACCACTTAACTACTTATTTAAACAAATAGATCTAGAAAGTCTAGATTTCTAGATCTAGATCATAATCTAGATTTCTAGATCTAGATCTAGATCTATAATCTACCTAAATCTAGTAGTATCTAGTCTATAGTTTACCACTTAACTAATTATTTAAACAAATTTAATATAGGCCTAGGCCTATATCAAATATATTAATATATATATTATCTAGATCTCTCTAGGCCTAGATCTATTTAAAATATAATTAATAGGCCTATATTCAATTATAATATTCATCAGTTAGATCTAGATATCTAGATTCTCTCTAGATCTAGATCTAGAATCTAGTACCTTTCCCGCACATTTACTAGAATCTAGATCTACTGCAGCCGAATTGATTACGCTAAAAAAAACGATAAACCTAGTTTAAAATGTATTCATTATTCTATATTCTATACGTCATTTGGAGTCTAGGCCTAGATCTAGAATCTAGGCCTAGATCTAGAATCTAGATCTTTAAATTCAAACGTTACCTCCAATACTAGCAGAAGTAAGTTTATTTCCCTTAGCCGCCATATTCTCTTTTTAAATGTTCATTCATAGACTATGATCTCTATGGTAGAGATAGGTGTCTAGATCTAGATCTAGATTTAGATCTAGAGATCTAGATCTATTTATCTCTAGAAACCCGAAACAAAATAGCAGAGAAAAACATTTTTTTTAAATGTTTATTTCTTTATAAAATACGTAAAAATACTAACTCAAATTAATTTCTTTACATAGATTTCTAGAATCTATATCTATAATCAATAATTAGATCTATGTCACTTAATTTAACGGGCTAATCCAGGTTTTTATGATGGTAGGAGGAGCGGTGAGTGAAAAAAAAAAGCATTTTTAATTAATTTACCAGACTACCCGTTATTATCCTTGGATAACAGTGGGTTTCGGGGGGCATCCATAAATCACCCCTGTCACTTATTGTCACACAAAAACCAGACCCCCCCCCCCCCCCCACATTCTAAAAGACGTCACACCTGAGACGTTTGGTCTCTTAAAAACACCAATTTCGGCTGAGCATGGGTCCAGTGTTTCTTCCAGACTTTTTTCTCCGGGGGGGGGGGGGGGCGGACACTGTTAAAAGTATATATTTTCTATATAAATTATATAAATTTCATTTCGTTCGGGGGGGGGGGGGGGCGGTAAAAAAAATTCGGGGGGGGGGGGGCTTCGCCCGAAGAGATGCCCGTAAGAAACTCTACATGGGTCTGACCACACTATCCCTTCATATGGTGAGGTCACATAAACAGGTCAACGCTACTTCACCTGCCCAGTGTCCCGCCAGCTCAGACATGTTTTTGTCTTTTAAAACACCGATTTCGACAGAGCATGAGTCTGACCACACTATCCCTTTATATGCTGACGTCACAGGTGAATTCTACACCTACCCAACTCTACTTCACCTGCCCAGTGTCCTATCAAGTCTCATACATGTATTTATCGTTAAAAAAAGATTTCGACCGAAGCATAGCTCTGATCACACTATCCTTTCATATGCTGATAGGCAACTTTATCATTCACATCTTCAAAAAATGTTTTTAAATTTAACATTGACATAATGTTTCTCGAACCCGTACCACCCGCTGGGTAATTATTACACTAACATCTTAGCTATCTATAGGCTCTTCCTATTAGGTGCAAAATTAGTGGTAAAGTTTACGTGATTTACGCGAATAGGCCCTGTATTATTTCAAATTAAATTTTATCCCAAATTAGCCAATTCCATAGCTAAACAAACAAAGATTTATATAAAATAATTAAGGACCAGTACCTGTGTGTTTAGTAATCATCATAAACCCGGCATTGCCCACCCAAACCACAACCAACCAAAACCAAAACAACAAAACGCAAACATAACGCTAACACAATTACAAATACAAACGAAAACAAAAACCTAACAACAAACACAACCACAAACACCAATACAAACACAAAGAAAAAACAAACAAAAAAGCAAACGAAAACAAAAACCTAACAACAAACCCAACCACAACCACAAACACCAATACCAACACAAAGAAAAAAAACGAAAAAGCAAACAAAAAAAACCAAATCCAAACGCAAAACCAACCACAAACATAAATACAAACCCAAAAAAAAAACAACAACACACAAACGAAAACGAAAAAAGAAAGAACAAAACCGAACCAAATCAAAACGCAACCACTAACGCAAACCCAACCTAAACACAAAGAAAACACTAACGCGAACATAAACGCAAAGTGCTCACAGTCTAGCCCGGGGCGGAATCGCCTGTTTCAGCTTAATAAACGACTATAGTACCCCAACTTATCCATAGTCTTTTGCCGACAATTATCACTTTCAGTTTGAAAAATGAAAATTATTTCCCAACACTTTCAATATTAATTTTTTAACTCATAAATTTAGACCATAAGGACTTTAATAACCTAACACTTAAATCCATCGAAGTATCCGCGACAAACATTTTACACTTTACATATTACAAGTTACATACAGAATTGAGCTTTATATATTAGATTTAAGGACTAAAATAGTTTAATAAAGAAACTCAATAATGTATGGTGTTTTTATAATTTTTTTTATTTTTAACTAGCCTAATTAATTTTGGTTTGATTTTTTTTAGATCTATAGCTAGGCTCTACTTTCCTTCCTCCAACAGCGTATCTGTAGATCTTGAGAAATTTATTGTACACTCAAATTAGAAGAACTGTTGAAAAGTGATAATAATGTTGGAACCTACCAAAAATAGCAAATGGACGTATTGTTAAAGCTATAGCCGACAGAAAAATTTAGATTTATAATGCGTTAAACTTTTGAATGGGCAACATGAAAGCCGCCATGATTGTTGTAAAAAGTAAATGAATCATGTGACGTCAATATAATTTAAGTCATCGTTCTAAACTTTTATAATTAAAGTGGTGTTTCTACCAATGAATATATCAATAAATTAATTAACGTCTTTAAATGAATGTGTGATTAACAGTTTGGTAAAAAAAGAACATTATTCTCTACTTAAAAACGTATTTTACAGCTCTTCACATAGGGAAGATTCTCTCCTGTAACCAAACAGACAAACAAAAATAATATAAATATATATATAAATATATATATATATATATATATATATATATATATATATATATATATATATATATATATATATATATATATATATATATATTATATACTAGGCATACTGCCTAGCTTCGCTTAGGTTTTTAAAAAACATTTGAGAATTTGAATACTTAATTATTTAGCGATGGATTGGGTGTGGATTGCTCTAATTTAAACAGTAATGCTAACTTTAGAAAAAATGCTTTTGTTAGTCATTTAAATTCCGTTCTCAGGGAAAAATTGGAAAGTACGCAATGTATAACTAAAATGGAATTAGAACTACACAGGTTCCATGAACAGTATATCTCATAATTATAGTACATTGCATTTTGAAATTATATTATTTATTTAAATAGGATACGTAACTAAATTTACAACTTAATTTTGTACTAAAACAAATGCTATACTTCGTCATTTTCTGTTTCTGTTTAAAATAGTATACAATCATTTGAAAAATAATAATTTTAAAAACGTTACCTCCCTTGAAAACTGAACGTATGTCTTCGTTTACTTTTTTTTTACAAACAGTTGCTATGTTTATATAAGAAATTACGGTATATGAACATATTTAACGACTATAATGGCTGTTTCCGACGGGATTAAAGTTTTTTTGTTACCCTCCAGGGTCGGTCTACGACGTCATATAATATTAAGGGGATCGTTCGTCAATTTATTTATATATATATATATATATATCTCATATAAGGAGAATTTCACTCACGATCATCTTTTAGCCCTCGTCGAGGGCTTTGAGTCTGACCAACAGTTTTTCCATACGGCCTAGTCATCTATAGTAGTGTATGCAAAAACTTAGCATGATGTACAGACGTTAAGTAACCTAAAATTGAGTTAAAATTTCCCTGTTTTTGCCATAAAACACAAAGATTATATAGGGAAATACGACTGGTCAGTTTTGACCCATTTCCCGATTTTTCCAGGACATGGCGAGTTTTTTGTGACACCCCAAGGCGTTCTCCTACCACCTCACAAAATTTCAAGGGGGGTCGTCGTCGGAAATTTTTTTTCGTAATAGAGCTCATATAAAGAGAATTTCACTCGCGGTCACTTTTTAGCCCTCGTCGAGGGCTTTGAGTGACACCGACAGTTTTCCCTAAAGGTCAAGCCATTTACCTAAGAGCATGCAAAAAATTAGCCAGATGTAAAGAAGGTAAGTGCCCTAAAATCCGTTTTGAAATCACCCTCTGTTTTCCCCATAAAATACAAAGATTATATAGGGAAATACGACTGGTCAGTTTTGACCCATTTCCCGATTTTTCCCGGACATGGCGAGTTTTTTGTGACACCCCAAGGCGTTCTCCTACCACCTCACAAAATTTCAAGGGGGGTCGTCGGAGGAATTTTTTTTTCGTAATAGAGCTCATATAAAGAGAATTTCACTCGCGGTCACTTTTTAGCCCTCGTCGAGGGCTTTGAGTGAAACCGACAGTTTTCCCTAAAGGTCAAGCCATTTACCTAAAAGCATGCAAAAAATTAGCCAGATGTAAAGACGGTAAGTGCCCTAAAATCCGTTTTGAAATGACCCTCTGTTTTCCCCATAAAATACAAAGATTATATAGGGAAATACGACTGGTCAGTTTTGACCCATTTCCCGATTTTTCCCAGACATGGCAAGTTTTTTGTGACACCCCCAGGCATTCTCCTACCACCTCACAAAATTTCAAGGGGGGTCGTCGGAGGAAATTTTTTTTCGTAATATAGCTCATATAATGAGAATTTCACTCGCGGTCACTTTTTAGCCCTCGTAGAGGGCTTTGAGTCAAACCGACAGTTTTCCCTAAAGGTCAAGCCATTGACCTAAACGTATGCAAAAAGTTAGCCAGATATACCGAGTTTAAGTACCCTAAAGTCTGCGTTGAAATGACCCTATGTTTTCCCCATAAAATACAAAGATTATATAGGGAAATACAACTGGTCAGTTTTGACCCCTTTACGAAGTTTTCCCAGATATGCCGAGTTTTTTGTGACACCCCCAGGCATTCTCCTACCACCTCACAAAATTTCAAGGGGGGTCGTCGTCGGATTTTTTTTTCGTAATATAGCCCATATAAGGCGCCGGTCAGTCGAGGTCAGTTTTGACCCCCTCTCCGTCGACTTTTCGGCCAACCGTCACCGGCCCTCGTGTTCTATCTCCCCAAGGCACCATCGTGCCAAATTTGACGCGCTTATAGTAGAGTGATCGCTTGTATTATTGTGATGTATAGCAGTTATTTTCTACTTTTTAGTTCAATCAGAAAACGTGGGTTTTTAAAAACTTTTTTAATGATTATTATTTGTACTAATGCAAAAGGGCAGGGAGACAAACAAAAATCTTATATAGCGGCATATTGATGAGAGAGATAAATTAGATCAACAATCACATTGTGATTAAGGTTAAAACTAGCAGAAAAACATTGACAAATTTTCGACTTAGCTTGTTGTGAAAACAGTCCACGGTTGTTAACAAAAAAAGAACTCAATTGTAATCATGGATGGGTGGATGGACGGAATTTCGGTGAGGACAGAGAGTTGAGAGGGAGGGCGTGCAGGATTGTGGCGGTGGGGTTGAGAGTTTTTAGCGATGCGTATAAATTTTCGGGTGCCGGGTGCCTATCTCACAAAATAGTCAATGTTCAAGTTTATGTATAGGCTACTTCTCTCAACGGATTGCCCAACAATTCAACAATGCCTATAGTGATATTAATACCGATGGGCCCTGTGCAACCCCTCCCAAGTAAGAATGGTCTGGGGGCCTTTTTTTAGAACATTTGATCACTTCTACAATAGAAAATAAACTGGATTTCCGTTTTCTTTTAAAATTATTTTTAAAATACAAATATTAAAATTCCAATGTAAAAGTTTTTAAAAATTTAAAGAGGAAAAAGGACCTCTATTTGCCTTGGGCCCCTATGCCTTGCTTACGCTAGCTTTACGGTAGCTACGCCACTGCTGTGGGCCCCTAAAGGGCGTGGGCACTGTAGTTCCGCCCCTGATATATATATATATATATATATATATATATATATATATATATATATATATATATATATATATATATATATATATATATATCAGGGGCGTAGTGAGGGGGGGCGGGGGGTGCGGACCGCAGCGGGTGACACCATTTAGGGGGGTGACACCAAGGCAAAAAATAGCAAAATACAAAATATATAGAGAAAAACTTGAGGGGGGGTGCAAATCGAAAGTTTGAGGGGGGGGGGTGCAAATCGAAATCTTGAGGGGTGGGTTGCAAATTGAAAAGTTTACCGGGTGCCGGGAAGGATCGCTACGCTTCTGACAGAGGAATCAAGTTGTAAAAAGATGAATCCCCTCTCTCCCTTACTGTTATGCCACGCTTTGACCTTGATGTTAGTTCAGCAAGCTAAGCACTATTCATTTTTCTAACCAGGTGGGTGTGCGTGGATTCTCAAGTTTCTATTGGTCAAAAGTAATACAAGGTTATAGTAAAGTAAGACCTTTGACCTCTCATAACTTTGAGAACAGGGATACCATATAAGCAATTTAACGGTCAATAGGCTTTTAAATTCCACCAAAAGAAAGCAACTGGTTAATCAATAGTTGTAAGCACAGTTTTGTTTCATAATCGATGTCACATTTGATTTATTTACTGTAGGCTATATGTCCACCATATATTTTTTAGGTACAAAAATAACTTAGGCCCTAAATAATTGCACAGTTCAGTACTTTTTACCTCAGCAGGTGCTATGAAATTGGGTTGTATCATTTATATGTATCATGATATATTATATCGTATATCGTCTAATCGTAAGCACTAGATTATAGAATCTCTACCAAAGCAACTGAGTTTGCATGACTCACCCTGTGGGCTTCACCGTAATTTTGCTATAATGGTTTGTAATATTCAACATTTATATTTGAGTATTTAAATTTGGCATCTTTTTTAAAAAATCAGTTGTCTGGCGACCTTTTCACAATTTTTATCTGACTTGGCCTACTTATCTCAGCAGACTCGCCTGGCACACTCGAGGGCATCAACCAAAATGACGTTTCTAACAGTTATACGCAGTTTAAAATTGGTAGGCCTAAACTACTGTCTTATTTATTAATATATTATATTTACTATAAATATTTAGCTTATAAAATAAATGGGAGGCCTAATGAAATGTTAATGTTCTTTGAGTAGATTTATGCAGATATTGATAGGCCTATAAATTCAATATTATAAATAAAGGCTTCCTATAATAGGCCCCTACTTAATACTATATATTAATTATATATAGATTCTATTATATATAATTAATATAAGTAGTAAGTAGCCTATATAATAATACTATAATAATATTTTTCACACTACTCACAGTAGTAGTAATTTAATTAGATCTAGTTAGATCTAGTAGTTAGTGTACTATTACTAAGTAGTAGTAGGCCTATACTTCTATTTTTTTCTAAACCTAGGCCACAGGTCTATAAAATAAAAATTAATAGGCCTAAATAAATTAAATGCCTATGAAATGTGTATGTATTCTTAGCAGCCGATCTGCTAATGCCATGTCAAATATTACCCTAATTATTAATTAATACTAATAATAGGTAGTAGTAGTAGGTAAGCCTATTAATTATGCACTTTAAAGTCTAAAGTAATCTACAGAGGCTAGTAATTTGAATACTTTCCGATTGCATCACTGCTGGTCCTCTAAACCTGCTCCCTAGGTCAAACATGATCTAAAAATAGATATCAAGACTGCTTATTCTTAGCAATTCACTGTTGAAATTAAGTATTATTTCAATAGGCATACCTAAGTTTAAAAAAAAAAAGAATATAATCTAAATCTAGTCCTTGTAAAAAGACAGTTCAGTATGAGCAACTTAGTCTTGCTGTAAAAAAACCTTAATTTTTTTTTCTCTTTTACAATTAGCCTTATCTAATGTTCTTTAGACATCGCAAATTAAGTGCTTTTACACCCTGCAGCAAAAGTTGACTGACTCGACCCTGCAGCAAAAGTTGACTGACTCGACCCTGCAGCAAAAGTTGACCGACTCGACCCTGCAGCAAAAGTTGACCGTCTCGACCCTGCAGCAAAAGTTGACCGACTCGACCCTGCAGCAAAAGTTGACCGACTCGACCCTGCAGCAAAAGTTGACCGACTCGACCCTGCAGCAAAAGTTGACCGACTCGACCCTGCAGCAAAAGTTGACCGACTCGACCCTGCAGCAAAAGTTGACCGACTCGACCCTGCAGCAAAAGTTGACCGACTCGACCCTGCAGCAAAAGTTGACCGACTCGACCCTGCAGCAAAAGTTGACTGACTCGACCCTGCAGCAAAAGTTGACTGACTCGACCCTGCAGCAAAAGTTGACTGACTCGACCCTGCAGCAAAAGTTGACTGACTCGACCCTGCAGCAAAAGTTGACTGACTCGACCCTGCAGCAAAAGTTGACTGACTCGACCCTGCAGCAAAAGTTGACTGACTCGACCCTGCAGCAAAAGTTGACTGACTCGACCCTGCAGCAAAAGTTGACTGACTCGACCCTGCAGCAAAAGTTGACTGACTCGACCCTGCAGCAAAAGTTGACTGACTCGACCCTGCAGCAAAAGTTGACTGACTCGACCCTGCAGCAAAAGTTGACTGACTCGACCCTGCAGCAAAAGTTGACTGACTCGACCCTGCAGCAAAAGTTGACTGACTCGACCCTGCAGCAAAAGTTGACTGACTCGACCCTGCAGCAAAAGTTGACTGACTCGACCCTGCAGCAAAAGTTGACTGACTCGACCCTGCAGCAAAAGTTGACTGACTCGACCCTGCAGCAAAAGTTGACTGACTCGACCCTGCAGCAAAAGTTGACTGACTCGACCCTGCAGCAAAAGTTGACTGACTCGACCCTGCAGCAAAAGTTGACTGACTCGACCCTGCAGCAAAAGTTGACTGACTCGACCCTGCAGCAAAAGTTGACTGACTCGACCCTGCAGCAAAAGTTGACTGACTCGACCCTGCAGCAAAAGTTGACTGACTCGACCCTGCAGCAAAAGTTGACTGACTCGACCCTGCAGCAAAAGTTGACTGACTCGACCCTGCAGCAAAAGTTGACTGACTCGACCCTGCAGCAAAAGTTGACTGACTCGACCCTGCAGCAAAAGTTGACTGACTCGACCCTGCAGCAAAAGTTGACTGACTCGACCCTGCAGCAAAAGTTGACTGACTCGACCCTGCAGCAAAAGTTGACTGACTCGACCCTGCAGCAAAAGTTGACTGACTCGACCCTGCAGCAAAAGTTGACTGACTCGACCCTGCAGCAAAAGTTGACTGACTCGACCCTGCAGCAAAAGTTGACTGACTCGACCCTGCAGCAAAAGTTGACTGACTCGACCCTGCAGCAAAAGTTGACTGACTCGACCCTGCAGCAAAAGTTGACTGACTCGACCCTGCAGCAAAAGTTGACTGACTCGACCCTGCAGCAAAAGTTGACTGACTCGACCCTGCAGCAAAAGTTGACTGACTTGAATCTGGGTTTATGTTAGTAGAACGTTCCTACCCACACTATCCATTCATGTGCCAAGGCCACAGAAACAGGTGAACTCTACTTCACTTGAATCCTTGACTCTCAGGTTTGAAAGGGAACTTTACTTACACTTGGGCTGACCTAGTTTACTAAAGGTTTACACCTGGGTTGCCCTAAAAACAAACATCTATTGTTTTATAGCCTAGTAAAACTTACAGGCTCTAAGCTTTTGGCATTTATAACATTCTTAAATGGGTGTGCCAAATCTATAAGTGCATTCTAAACAATTGGTACATGATGCAGTGAATTAAACAGTCGAACAGGCATTAAACAAGCCTTTTCTATTCCATGAGATAGCTAAAAATACCTAAACCATGACTAATTAAAACAGCTTGCATTGATTGCTGATGTAGGTCAAATGAAATATTGAGTGTACTAGTGCAATGGGTGGGGGGGGGGGTGGTAAGGACATGGGGCTAACTTACACATGAGGCCTGCTGTTGACCTTAGAACTGTTATCATGAAATGATAGTTTACTAGAGAGCCGTCAATAACATCCAGTAGATAGGAAATATTGAACTGGTCATTAGGGCAAGATGAAGGTAGAGGGAGATAACTCAAGGTTGCGCTTATCACACCATACATGTGGTCAGAGGTTAATGAATGTGGTCAGTCAGTGGTTCTTCTGATGAATGTGGTCAGTCAGTCAGTGGTTCATCTGATGAATGTGGTCAGTCAGTCAGTGGTTCATCTGATGAATGTGGTCAGTCAGTGGTTCATCTGATGAATGTGGTCAGTCAGTGGTTCATCTGATGAATGTGGTCAGTCAGTGGTTCAATGATGAATGTGGTCAGTCAGTCAGTGGTTCATCTGATGAATGTGGTCAGTCAGTGGTTCATCTGATGAATGTGGTCAGTCAGTCAGTGGTTCATCTGATGAATGTGGTCAGTCAGTCAGTGGTTCATCTGATGAATGTGGTCAGTCAGTCAGTGGTTCATCTGATGAATGTGGTCAGTCAGTGGTTCATCAGATGAATGTGGTCAGTCAGTGGTTCATCTGATGAAAGTGGTCAGTCAGTGGTTCATCTAATGAATGTGGTCAGTCAGTCAGTGGTGCATCTGATGAAAGTGGTCAGTCAGTGGTTCATCTGATGAATGTGGTCAGTCAGTGGTTCATCTGATGAATGTGGTCAGTCAGTGGTTCATCTGATGAATGTGGTCAGTCAGTGGTTCATCTGATGAATGTGGTCAGTCAGTCAGTGGTTCATCTGATGAATGTGGTCAGTCAGTCAGTGGTTCATCTGATGAATGTGGTCAGTCAGTCAGTGGTTCATCTGATGAATGTGGTCAGTCAGTCAGTGGTTCATCTGATGAATGTGGTCAGTCAGTCAGTGGTTCATCTGATGAATGTGGTCAGTCAGTGGTTCATCTGATGAATGTGGTCAGTCAGTGGTTCATCTGATGAATGTGGTCAGTCAGTGGTTCATCTGATGAATGTGGTCAGTCAGTCAGTGGTGCATCTGATGAATGTGGTCAGTCAGTCAGTGGTGCATCTGCTGAATGTGGTCAGTCAGTCAGTGGTTCATCTGATGAATGTGGTCAGTCAGTGGTTCATCTGATGAATGTGGTCAGTCAGTGGTTCATCTGATGAATGTGGTCAGTCAGTGGTTCATCTGATGAATGTGGTCAGTCAGTCAGTGGTTCATCTGATGAATGTGGTCAGTCAGTCAGTGGTTCATCTGATGAATGTGGTCAGTCAGTCAGTGGTTCATCTGATGAATGTGGTCAGTCAGTCAGTGGTTCATCTGATGAATGTGGTCAGTCAGTCAGTGGTTCATCTGCTGAATGTGGTCAGTCAGTCAGTGGTTCATCTGCTGAATGTAGTCAGTCAGTGGTTCATCTGATGAATGTGGTCAGTCAGTCAGTGGTTCATCTGATGAATGTGGTCAGTCAGTCAGTGGTTCATCTGATGAATGTGGTCAGTCAGTCAGTGGTTCATCGGATGAATGTGGTCAGTCAGTGGTTCATCTGATGAATGTGGTCAGTCAGTGGTTCATCTGATGAATGTGGTCAGTCAGTGGTTCATCTGATGAATGTGGTCAGTCAGTGGTTCATCTGATGAATGTGGTCAGTCAGTGGTTCATCTGATGAATGTGGTCAGTGGCTCAGAAAAGGTTTTTTTTTTTTTAAGGGAAAACACTCAGGTATTATTTTGACAAGGTCCTACGCCTCTTCTTCTGTGGTAAGTTTTTCTTTTTTGTCACTGGTGGTAAGTTTGTCTTATGTCTGTCTCTGGTGGTAAGTTTGTCTTGTGTCTGTCTTTGGTCTGTCTCTGGTGGTAAGTTTGTCTTGTGTCTGTCTTTGGTCTGTCTCTGGTGGTAAGTTTGTCTTGTGTCTGTCTTTGGTCTGTCTCTGGTGGTAAGTTTGTCTTGTGTCTGTCTTTGGTCTGTCTCTGGTGGTAAGTTTGTCTTGTGTCTGTCTTTGGTCTGTCTCTGGTGGTATGTTTGTCTTGTGTCTGTCTCTGGTAAGTTTGTCTTGTCTGCCTTTGGTGGTAAGTTTGTCTTGTGTCTGTCTCTGGTGTTAAGTTTGTCTTGTGTCTGTCTTTGGTGTTAAGGTTGTCTTGTGTCTGTCTCTGGTGTTAAGTTTGTCTTGTGTATGTCTTTGGTCTGTCTCTGGTGGTATGTTTGTCTTGTGTCTGTCTCTGGTGTTAAGTTTGTCTTGTCTGCCTTTGGTGGTAAGTTTGTCTTGTGTCTGTCTCTGGTCATGTGTTATCCAATTTTCTTCCAGCCTACCACCAAACTTTTTATCAACAATGAGTTTGTAGAGTCCAAGACAAAGAAATGGGTGGATGTTCACAATCCAGTGAGTATTTGGTTTGTTGTGGAGTGGGGGGGGGGGGCTTGACAATTGCAGTACATGAGTGGGCATGTCTTAGTAGAGCTAGTTGGTGACACGTTCTTCCCGCCAACAAATGAAGTGGTGACACATTATTTCAGGCAACAAATGAAGTGGTGACACGTGTCCCAGAGTCCACACAAGCTGAGATGGAAGCCGCTGTTGCCGCAGCCAAAGCTGCCTTTCCCTCCTGGTCTAGGACCACAGCTCTCTCCAGGCAACAGATCATGTTCAGGCTCCAGGACCTCATCAAACAAAATCTGGTCAGTCTTTTCAAGGTCATGGGGGGGTGTCAAACTACAGCACCCCATCAAACAAAATCTGGTCAGTCTTTTCAAGGTCATGGGGGGGGGGGGTGTTTGTCAAACTACAGCACCCCATCAAACAAAATCTGGTCAGTCTTTTCAAGGTCATGGGGGGGGGGTGTCAAACTACAGCACCCCATCAAACAAAATCTGGTCAGTCTTTTCAAGGTCATGGGGGGGGGGGTTGTCAAACTACAGCACCCCATCAAACAAAATCTGCTCAGTTTTTTCAAGATCATGGGGGGGGGGGGGTGATTTCACAAAGGATGTGTATTGAGTGTGAATGGTGTTTTATGTATCTGATTTGAAAGGTGGGTTAGGGTTGTTGTGTATTGGATGTGTATGGTGGGTTGTATATCAGATGTGTATGGTGGGTTGTATATCAGATGTGTATGGTGGGTTGTATATCAGATGTGTATGGTGGGTTGTATATCAGATGTGTATGGTGGGTTGTATATCAGATGTGTATGGTGGGTTGTATATCAGATGTGTATGGTGGGTTGTATATCAGATATGTATGGTGGGTTGTATATCAGATGTGTATGGTGGGTTGTATATCAGATTCAGATGTGTATGGTGGGTTGTATATCAGATATGTATGGTGGGTTGTATATCAGATGTGTATGGTGGGTTGTATATCAGATGTGTATGGTGGGTTGTATATCAGATGTGTATGGTGGGTTGTATATCAGATGTGTATGGTGGGTTGTATATCAGATGTGTATGGTGGGTTGTATATCAGATGTGTATGGTGGGTTGTATATCAGATGTGTATGGTGGGTTGTATATCAGATATATCAGATGTGTATGGTGGGTTGTATATCAGATGTGTATGGTGGGTTGTATATCAGATGTGTATGGTGGGTTGTATATCAGATGTGTATGGTGGGTTGTATATCAGATGTGTGTGGTGGGTTGTATATCAGATGTGTGTGGTGGGTTGTATATCAGATGTGTATGGTGGGTTGTATATCAGATGTGTATGGTGGGTTGTATATCAGATGTGTATGGTGGGTTGTATATCAGATATGTATGGTGGGTTGTATATCAGATGTGTATGGTGGGTTGTATATCAGATGTGTATGGTGGGTTGTATATCAGATATGTATGGTGGGTTGTATATCAGATGTGTATGGTGGGTTGTATATCAGATGTGTATGGTGGGTTGTATATCAGATATGTATGGTGGGTTGTATATCAGATGTGTATGGTGGGTTGTATATCAGATGTGTATGGTGGGTTGTATATCAGATGTGTATGGTGGGTTGTATATCAGATGTGTATGGTGGGTTGTATATCAGATATGTATGGTGGGTTGTATATCAGATGTGTATGGTGGGTTGTATATCAGATGTGTATGGTGGGTTGTATATCAGATGTGTATGGTGGGTTGTATATCAGATGTGTATGGTGGGTTGTATATCAGATGTGTATGGTGGGTTGTATATCAGATGTGTATGGTGGGTTGTATATCAGATGTGTATGGTGGGTCGTATATCTATTTGAACAGAAAAAGATAGCTGCCAACATCACACTAGAACAGGGCAAGACTTTAGTGGATGCTGAGGGTGATGTCATGAGGGGCTTACGTAAGTCAAGAGTTTTTTGTATCACCTCCTACAGTCATATCCTGACCATTTTGTATCACCCCCTACAGTCATATCCTGACCATTTTGTATCACCCCCTACAGTCATATCCTGACCATTTTGTATCTGATTTGACCTCTTGTACCTGACCTGTGACCTCACCCTTGACTTTGTACCTGACCCTTGACCATACTTGACCTCATGTATCTGACCCAAGTCTTGACCTCTGGTACCTGACCCTTGACCTCTGACCCTTGACCTGTCTACTACAGAGGTTGTGGAGCACTGCTGTAGTGTGACATCCCTACAGCTAGGAGAAACCCTGTCCAGCATAGCCAAAGACATGGACACTATGACCTTCAGACTTCCACTTGGTGTGACCGCTGGCATCACCCCCTTCAACTTCCCTGCCATGATTCCACTCTGGGTAAGTCCACCTTACAATCCACCTTACAATCCACCTTACAATCCATGGTGCAGAGCCAATAGTTTTGGTCAATTTCCTAGACGGTCTAGGTTTATTAGGTCAGTATGTCAAGTAATATAAAATCCTACAGACAGGTACCCATTGAAGCTGTGGGCCTAGTCCTACAGACTTGAGACAGGTACCCATTAAAGCTGTGGGCCTAGTCCTACAGCCATGAGCCAGGTACCCATTGAAGCTGTGGGCCTAGTCCTACAGCCATGAGACAGGTACCCATTGAAGCTGTGGGCCTAGTCCTACAGACTTGAGACAGGTACCCATTGAAGCTGTGGGCCTAGTCCTACAGCCATGAGACAGGTACCCATTGAAGCTGTGGGCCTAGTCCTACAGACTTGAGACAGGTACCCATTGAAGCTGTGGGCCTAGTCCTACAGACTTGAGACAGGTACCCATTGAAGCTGTGGTCCTAGTCCTTAAAGTTGATGTTGTGTGGTGGTCGTGTGAGATGGCCTAAGAGCTGTTGTGGTGGTCGTGTGAGATGGCCTAAGAGCTGTTGTGGTGGTTGTGTGAGATGGCCTAAGAGCTGTTGTGGTGGTCGTGTGAGATGGCCTAAGAGCTGTTGTGGTGGTTGTGTGAGATGGCCTAAGAGCTGTTGTGGTGGTCGTGTGGGATGGCCTAAGAGCTGTTGTGGTGGTTGTGTTGGGATGGCCTAAGAGCTGTTGTGGTGGTTGTGTGAGATGGCCTAAGAGCTGTTGTGGTGGTTGTGTGAGATGGCCTAAGAGCTGTTGTGGTGGTTGTGTGAGATGGCCTAAGAGCTGTTGTGGTGGTCGTGTGGGATGGCCTAAGAGCTGTTGTGGTGGTTGTGTGAGATGGCCTAAGAGCTGTTGTGGTGGTTGTGTGAGATGGCCTAAGAGCTGTTGTGGTGGTTGTGTATTTCCAGATGTTTCCCATGGCCATTGTGACTGGCAACACATCAGTGATGAAGCCCTCCGAGCGGGACCCAGGGGCCACCATGATGCTGATGGAGCTGTGTAGGGAGGCTGGCGTCCCCCCTGGTGTGGTCAACGTCATTCATGGCAGGCATGACTGTAAGCATTTTCATTTGTCAACACCCATAAAACTTGGCTAATTTTTTCTGTGGGAAGCCATATTTCATTTCTGGAAATATTCAGCTGGAAAATCTTCCTGGAAAAACTTGAAAAACCTTCTATAAACAGTTTGAGTGGTCCAAAAACAAGTTCTTGCATAGAATTTAATTTATTTTTAAAGAATTTTTGGCAATAATCAAATTGGAAGGCATATTTCTGCTGAAAATGTCTCACCTTTAACAGGTACATTGAGGGGGTCAGAAAACCAGACGTTTGTAAGTATGCACACATCTTGAGGTCACTAGCAATTAAACAAGGCCCATTTTTAAAACACTTTTCAATTGCTATCTTTCCCTGGTACCACTGAACAGTCCTGTTTAGGTGTTGAATTATGACTCAGTGTGTGGTCAGTTGTTTCACTGTGTGGTCAGTTGTTTCACTGTGTGGTCAGTTGTTTCACTGTGTGGTCAGTTGTTTCACTGTGTGGTCAGATGTTTCACTGTGGGGTCAGTTGTTTCACTGTGGGGTCAGTTGTTTCACTGTGTGGTCAGTTGTTTCACTGTGTGGTCAGTTGTTTCACTGTGGGGTCAGTTGTTTCACTGTGTGGTCAGTTGTTTCACTGTGTGGTCAGTTGTTTCACTGTGTGGTCAGTTGTTTCACTGTGTGGTCAGTTGTTTCACTGTGGGGTCAGTTGTTTCACTGTGGGGTCAGTTGGTTCACTGTGTGGTCAGTTTTGTCTTTTATTTCCCAGCTGTGAACTTCATCTGTGACCATCCTGATATTAAAGCCATCTCTTTTGTGGGCTCAGATCAGGCGGTGAGTTGGTTCTTTTTTTTTTGGGGTGGGGTGGTGTAGCACACATGATGGGTGGGGTGACATGGTGTAGCACACATGATGGGTGGGGTGGTGTAGCACATGATGGGTGGTGTGGCACATGATGGGTGGGGTGGTGTAGCACACATGATGGGTGGGGTGGTGTAGCACACATGATGGGTGGGGTGGGGTGGTGTAGCGGACATGATGGGTGGGGTGGGGTGGTGTAGCGGACATGATGGGTGGGGTGGGGTGGTGTAGCACACATGATGGGTGGGGTGGTGTAGCACACATGATGGGTGGGGTGACATGGTGTAGCACACATGATGGGTGGGGTGACATGGTGTAGCACACATGATGGGTGGGGTGGTGTAGCACACATGATGGGTGGGGTGGTGTAGCACACATGATGGGTGGGGTGGTGTAGCACACATGATGGGTGGGTCGGTGTAGCACACATGATGGGTGGGGTGGTGTAGCACACATGATGGGTGGGGTGGTGTAGCACACATGATGGGTGGGGTGGTGTGGCACACATGATGGGTGGGGTGGTGTGGCACACATGATGGGTGGGGTGATGTAGCACACATGATGGGTGGGGTGGTGTAGCACACATGATGGGTGGGGTGGTGTAGCACACATGATGGGTGGGGTGGTGTAGCACACATGATGGGTGGGGTGGTGTGGCACACATGATGGGTGGGGTGGTGTAGCACACAGGATGGGTGGGGTGGTGTAGCACACATGATGGGTGGGGTGGTGTAGCACACATGATGGGTGGGGTGGTGTAGCAGACATGATGGGTGGGGTGGTGTAGCAGACATGATGGGTGGGGTGGTGTAGCACACATGATGGGTGGGGTGGTGTAGCACACATGATGGGTGGGGTGACATGGTGTAGCACACATGATGGGTGGGGTGGTGTAGCACACATGATGGGTGGGGTGGTGTAGCACACATGATGGGTGGGGTGGTGTAGCACACATGATGGGTGGGGTGGTGTAGCACACATGATGGGTGGGGTGGTGTAGCACACATGATGGGTGGGGTGGTGTAGCACACATGATGGGTGGGGTTGTGTAGCACACATGATGGGTGGGGTTGTGTTGCACACATGATGGGTGGGGTGGGGTGGTGTAGCGGACATGATGGGTGGGGTGGGGTGGTGTAGCGGACATGATGGGTGGGGTGGGGTGGTGTAGCGGACATGATGGGTGGGGTGGGGTGGTGTAGCACACAGGATGGGTGGGGTGGTGTAGCAGACATGATGGGTGGGGTGACATAGTGTAGCAGACATGATGGGGTGACATGGTGTAGCAGACATGATGGGTGGGGTGGGGTGGTGTAGCGGACATGATGGGTGGGGTGGGGTGGTGTAGCACACATGATGGGTGGGGTGGTGTAGCACACATGATGGGTGGGGTGGTGTAGCAGACATGATGGGTGGGGTGGTGTAGCACACATGATGGGTGGGGTGGTGTAGCACACATGATGGGTGGGGTGGTGTAGCACACATGATGGGTGGGGTGGTGTAGCACACATGATGGGTGGGGTGACTTGGTGTAGCACACATGATGGGTGGGGTGACTTGGTGTAGCACACATGATGGGTGGGGTGACTTGGTGTAGCACACATGATGGGTGGGGTGACTTGGTGTAGCACACATGATGGGTGGGGTGACTTGGTGTAGCACACATGATGGGTGGGGTGACATGGTGTAGCACACATGATGGGTGGGGTGACATGGTGTAGCACACATGATGGGTGGGGTGACATGGTGTAGCACACATGATGGGTGGGGGTGACATGGTGTAGCACACATGATGGGTGGGGGTGACATGGTGTAGCACACATGATGGGTGGGGGTGACATGGTGTAGCACACATGATGGGTGGGGTGACATGGTGTAGCACACATGATGGGTGGGGTGACATGGTGTAGCACACATGATGGGTGGGGGTGACATGGTGTAGCACACATGATGGGTGGGGTGACATGGTGTAGCACACATGATGGGTGGGGTGACTTGGTGTAGCACACATGATGGGTGGGGTGACATGGTGTAGCACACATGATGGGTGGGGGTGACATGGTGTAGCACACATGATGGGTGGGGTGACATGGTGTAGCACACATGATGGGTGGGGTGACATGGTGTAGCACACATGATGGGTGGGGTGACATGGTGTAGCACACATGATGGGTGGGGTGACATGGTGTAGCACACATGATGGGTGGGTGGTGTAGCACACATGATGGGTGGGGTGACATGGTGTAGCACACATGATGGGTGGGGTGACATGGTGTAGCACACATGATGGGTGGGGTGACATGGTGTAGCACACATGATGGGTGGGGTGACATGGTGTAGCACACATGATGGGTGGGGTGACATGGTGTAGCACACATGATGGGTGGGGGTGACATGGTGTAGCACACATGATGGGTGGGGTGACATGGTGTAGCACACATGATGGGTGGGGTGGTGTAGCACACATGATGGGTGGGGTGGTGTAGCACACATGATGGGTGGGGTGGTGTAGCACACATGATGGGTGGGGTGACATGGTGTAGCACACATGATGGGTGGGGTGACTTGGTGTAGCACACATGATGGGTGGGGTGACATGGTGTAGCACACATGATGGGTGGGGTGACATGGTGTAGCACACATGATGGGTGGGGTGACATGGTGTAGCACACATGATGGGTGGGGTGACATGGTGTAGCACACATGATGGGTGGGGTGACATGGTGTAGCACACATGATGGGTGGGGTGACATGGTGTAGCACACATGATGGGTGGGGTGACTTGGTGTAGCACACATGATGGGTGGGGTGACTTGGTGTAGCACACATGATGGGTGGGGTGACTTGGTGTAGCACACATGATGGGTGGGGTGACTTGGTGTAGCACACATGATGGGTGGGGTGACTTGGTGTAGCACACATGATGGGTGGGGTGACATGGTGTAGCACACATGATGGGTGGGGTGACATGGTGTAGCACACATGATGGGTGGGGTGGTGTAGCACACATGATGGGTGGGGTGGTGTAGCACACATGATGGGTGGGGTGGTGTAGCACACATGATGGGTGGGGTGACATGGTGTAGCACACATGATGGGTGGGGTGACTTGGTGTAGCACACATGATGGGTGGGGTGACTTGGTGTAGCACACATGATGGGTGGGGTGACATGGTGTAGCACACATGATGGGTGGGGTGGTGTAGCACACATGATGGGTGGGGTGGTGTAGCACACATGATGGGTGGGGTGACATGGTGTAGCACACATGATGGGTGGGGTGAGGTGGGGTGGTGTAGCACACATGATGGGTGGGGTGGTGTAGCACACATGATGGGTGGGGTGACATGGTGTAGCACACATGATGGGTGGGGTGACATGGTGTAGCACACATGATGGGTGGGGTGACTTGGTGTAGCACACATGATGGGTGGGGTGACATGGTGTAGCACACATGATGGGTGGGGTGACATGGTGTAGCACACATGATGGGTGGGGTGACATGGTGTAGCACACATGATGGGTGGGGTGACATGGTGTAGCACACATGATGGGTGGGGTGACATGGTGTAGCACACATGATGGGTGGGGTGACATGGTGTAGCACACATGATGGGTGGGTGGTGTAGCACACATGATGGGTGGGGTGACATGGTGTAGCACACATGATGGGTGGGGTGACATGGTGTAGCACACATGATGGGTGGGGTGACATGGTGTAGCACACATGATGGGTGGGGTGACATGGTGTAGCACACATGATGGGTGGGGTGGTGTAGCACACATGATGGGTGGGGTGGTGTAGCACACATGATGGGTGGGGTGGTGTAGCACACATGATGGGTGGGGTGACATGGTGTAGCACACATGATGGGTGGGGTGGTGTAGCACACATGATGGGTGGGGTGGTGTAGCACACATGATGGGTGGGGTGGTGTAGCACACATGATGGGTGGGGTGACATGGTGTAGCACACATGATGGGTGGGGTGACATGGTGTAGCACACATGATGGGTGGGGTGACATGGTGTAGCACACATGATGGGTGGGGTGACATGGTGTAGCACACATGATGGGTGGGGTGACATGGTGTAGCACACATGATGGGTGGGGTGACATGGTGTAGCACACATGATGGGTGGGGTGACATGGTGTAGCACACATGATGGGTGGGGTGGTGTAGCACACATGATGGGTGGGGTGGTGTAGCACACATGATGGGTGGGGTGACTTGGTGTAGCACACATGATGGGTGGGGTGACATGGTGTAGCACACATGATGGGTGGGGTGGTGTAGCACACATGATGGGTGGGGTGGTGTAGCACACATGATGGGTGGGGTGGTGTAGCACACATGATGGGTGGGGTGACATGGTGTAGCACACATGATGGGTGGGGTGACTTGGTGTAGCACACATGATGGGTGGGGTGACTTGGTGTAGCACACATGATGGGTGGGGTGACATGGTGTAGCACACATGATGGGTGGGGTGGTGTAGCACACATGATGGGTGGGGTGGTGTAGCACACATGATGGGTGGGGTGACATGGTGTAGCACACATGATGGGTGGGGTGAGGTGGGGTGGTGTAGCACACATGATGGGTGGGGTGGTGTAGCACACATGATGGGTGGGGTGACATGGTGTAGCACACATGATGGGTGGGGTGACATGGTGTAGCACACATGATGGGTGGGGTGGTGTAGCACACATGATGGGTGGGGTGGTGTAGCACACATGATGGGTGGGGTGGTGTAGCACACATGATGGGTGGGGTGACATGGTGTAGCACACATGATGGGTGGGGTGACATGGTGTAGCACACATGATGGGTGGGGTGACATGGTGTAGCACACATGATGGGTGGGGGTGACATGGTGTAGCACACATGATGGGTGGTTTGACATGGTGTAGCACACATGATGGGTGGTTTGACATGGTGTAGCACACATGATGGGTGGGGGTGACATGGTG